AATGAGCGACAATAGACAGAATCATTCATTATACAGTCCAACAGCTATCATTCGCCGTTACGCGCGGAGGGGTAGCCTTTTATATTCCACCACACTCAACATCCATGTGACGGTTGTGCCACAGGGCCTCTGTATGGCTCTTTGCCGGCGAGAGTTTTGCGCCTGGGCCTCTCAAGCCTCTACTCTCGACTCTTCCAATTGAGGCTGCCGGCGCCGAGAGAAAGGCAGTTTATTACTAAGCCTTTCGGCCAATAGTTTTGCCGTCTTGGCAGTGGCGTGCAGCTATGCTTATCTAATCAGCCCCCCACAAGGATTTTTCAAATTCAGACTCAGCGCCAGCAAAGAAAAGACATCATCAAACTCTGACAATCTTCCCTCTCTGCACTCACAGGAGGAGATTTCTTTTTTCCTTTACTTCTTTTTGCCTGTCTATTTCCTGTCTTGTTCTTAATTCATCCAATCCTATTGGAAAAAGCTGAGAGTTACGACTTAATAGACAGCAGTGTTTTTCTTGTTCCCTTGTTCCAACCCACTTTCTTAGGGCTTCTTCTATCGATAAGACCCCCAAGACCCCACCTAACACAGGATATCGTGCAAACCTTTCAGATTGCTTTATATTTTTTTTCTCTCTTCGTATTTGCATATATACATAGACCTCTTGTACTCGAGCCTCTCCCACGGCGATTTCCACATTTTTGACTCGGTCGCCATCTGTTCCTATCCAGACGATACATATTAGACTCCCCCAGCACAAAGGAAACACCACACAGTCAAGATGGTTTCTGCATCCAAGGCTGCCCGCCAGGCAAAGCGTGCCGCTGAGGGCAAAGAGAAGAAGACACCCGCTTCGCGCCTGTCGTCGAAGGTCAACTCGAAGAATGCTTCTCGAGCTTCGTCCGTTAATGGCGATCAGGTAGAGGATGCCAACCTCATCGAGGAACCCGCCACCAGCGCCTCCAAGATGTCCGACATCAAAAGATTGACAGAGCAGATGGACAAACATGGCTTGTCTGATCGTGTTACGACGGGAGTGTTGGCATCTCTTCCCTCGAGTCAAGACGTTAAGATTACTTCAGCGTCTCTCGTTTTCCACGGCCGAGTCCTCATCACCGACTCCACACTCGAGCTCAACTATGGCCGGCGATACGGCTTGCTTGGTGAGAACGGATGTGGCAAATCTACATTCCTCAAGGCCATCGACAAGCGGGAGTTCCCTATCCCAGAGCATATTGACATCTATCTGCTGAATGAGGGAGCACCCCCCAGTGAACTCGGTGCTTTGGAGTGGGTTGTTAAAGAAGCAGAAAACGAGATGGAAAGGCTAGACAAACTTGCTGAAGAAATTTTGGAGAAGGATGGACCAGAGAGTCCCATTCTAGAGGATTTGTATGAGGTAAGTCGGAGCTGTACTCTTCCCCGTTTTGCAGCTCATGTAACAAGACTAATTGTGATATAGCGCATGGAAACCATGGACCCTTCGACCTTCCACACCAGAGCCTCTTTGATCCTTACTGGTTTGGGATTCAACAAGAAAACTATTACTAAGAAGACGAAGGACATGTCCGGTGGCTGGAGAATGCGTGTTGCTCTTGCAAAAGCCCTATTCGTCAAGCCATCCTTGCTTCTTCTCGACGATCCAACTGCCCATCTTGACTTGGAAGCTTGCGTGTGGCTTGAAGAATATCTAAAAAAATGGGATCGCACTCTTATCCTTGTCTCGCACAGTATGGATTTCCTCAACGGTGTCTGTACGAACATGATCGACATGCGTCAGAAGTCGCTGATGTACTATGGTGGTAATTACGACTCTTACCATAAGACTCGCTCCGAAAACGAGACCAACCAGATGAAGGCCTATCACAAGCAACAAGAAGAAATCGCTCATATCAAGAAATTCATCGCATCTGCTGGTACATATGCCAACCTTGTCCGACAAGCCAAGTCACGTCAAAAAATTCTTGACAAGATGGAAGCCGATGGCTTCATTCAGCCAGTGATTCCAGATAAGATTTTTACATTCCGTTTCGCCGACGTTGAGAAGCTACCTCCCCCTGTTCTTTCGTTCGACGACGTCACGTTCTCCTACAGTGGAGATGCGAAAGACAACCTCTACGAGCACCTCGATTTTGGTGTGGACATGGACTCCAGAACTGCATTGGTCGGTCCTAATGGTGTTGGCAAATCCACCCTTCTTCGTCTCATGACCGGTAAACTGAGCCCAACATCTGGAAGCGTCACACGCCACACACACTTGAAGCTAGGATTGTACAGTCAGCACTCCGCAGAACAGCTTGATCTTACCAAATCGGCGCTCGACTTCGTCCGAGACAAGTATAAGGAGAAGTCCCAGGATTACCAATACTGGCGCCAGCAGCTTGGCCGATATGGTCTTACAGGTGATGCTCAGACGGCCTTGATGGGTACCCTGTCCGAGGGCCAGAAGAGCAGAATTGTCTTTGCTCTCCTTGCGATCGACGGACCCAACATGCTCTTGCTCGACGAACCTACCAACGGTCTTGATATTCCTACTATCGACAGTTTGGCAGATGCCATTAATGCATTCAGTGGAGGTGTCGTCGTTGTTTCTCATGACTTCAGGTTTGTATTGCTGTCTATTTTTGCCCTATCGTAGTCTAGAATATTAGATATGCTAACGTGCCTCCTTGTATAGATTGCTTGACAAGATCGCTAAAGACATCATGGTTTGCGAGCACAAGACTGTTCGACGATGGGATGGTTCCATTGGCGAATATAAGAATTACTTGAGGAAGAAGATGATTTCCGCTGGTCAGGTTTAATCTTTCTTTTCCCTCCTTACATCTTTTTGAAAGGTTGCTTTCCCTTTATAATACCATACTATGCAACTTGTGCTCGTTTTTCTTTCCCTCCTTGCAATGATAAAAAGGGACGGCTTTTTACTTTTTTGTTTTTTGCTCTGGGCCGGTTTTTGGCTTACATAATAATAAGCCTCAAAAATGGCAAATAGGTTATTTACATGAATAAATTGATCGCGCATGCCTTCTGGGCCCATGAGCAAAAGTATATGGCTGCGGTTGATATGGCTGGTAAGCTGCCTGTGTTAAGCATTGTGATTTTGCCTTTGTGTAGAGCTGGATGATCGAATGAAAGAAAAGCCATCGTTCATTTTCATAATAATATCTGTAGACTTTATGGTATATGATGCATCCGAGTTCCCAAACCTGCTAAATGAAGCCCACCATCTATCGAATATCAAATCCGGAGAAGAAACCCTCCAAAGCATTCCAGATCCCATGCCGTTATCGTATATGTGCCAATCATTTATTACCACCATTACCAGCCTCCTCCGCCTCCTTCTCCAACTTCCTCTTTTTGATAGCAGGACCCTCAGTCTCATCCACATCGCCTCCGCCAGCGGTAGGTAGTAGGGCTGGCGTGGTGCTCCCTGAACCCTCCCTCCTCTGGGTCCTACCCGCGCTTAGCTCAGAGAACTTCTCGGGGTTTTGGCAGTGGTAAAGTTTTTTGCCAATGCGTTTTAGGTTCTTCATGCGGGCCGGATCTGGAGGGGCATTGGGGTCATGGGTGTTTAGATACGTGCCCAGGAGCGTGGAGCAAGACTCCAGGACACCCGTGAGCTTTGCACGGAGGGCAAAAAGCATGGCTAGAGCGGATTCTGGAGCGCTGGCTGGCGGGGAAGAACCAGACGGCGCGGGGCCGAGTTTTGTATCGAGGTAAAATTCTAGGAGGGGCTGGTCCACGAGGAGGAGGGCAGAAAGCCAGATCTGTGAGGGTGTGTAAAGGAAGTAGGCATCTGTCATTTGTGCGGCGGTTTTGAGGATTTGTCTTGTTTTCCCATGGGCGGAGGCGATACGGTCCGTTATGGAGGCTGACGGTGCCGCTCCCTCTGCGGGAGGAATGGCCTGGATGGCTTCTTGGAGCTTTGCGGCCGTTTGCTCTGGGTGATGGGGACCAGGCGCACCTTCGCCTTTTGCTATGGCGGTGAGTTCCATGACTCCGCCTTCCAGGCCCCGAAAGGGGTGGCGGATGTCAAACGCGAATCGTAGGCCCTGAGTAAGCAGGAATTCTGGAGCTATAATATCCTCTGCAGTCGTATTAGGGATCTTTTCCGCAAATGAACGCAGGGACATGTAGTAATTGTCCGTTTTCGTGGCAAGAAAAAGGGCACAGGGCATTATTGATTTCGGGTGATAGGTCATAGGCGAGTTGGTGACATAGAAACGGCGCAGATATTGAATAGCGGTGGCCTACATCCCATGTATAGGTCAGTATCCATTCACTGTACGAGCTCTATAGAGATGCCCAGGGTGGGAAGAGTCCTTCTTACCCTCACCGTCGTCGGCAGCGGAGGCTTGTATTCATCCCCCAGCTCCAGCGTTTTCTCACAATAATATTGCACCAATTCCAATTCGTCTTCCGGCGTCAAACACTCAATCTCACTCTCAGGCCCTGCGGGTGTATTGGTCTTTGAATCCGGTTCATCGCTGCCTCCAGGCGTCGAAGTCGCCCGGCGAGCTTCTTGCGCCCGACGGATCGCATCTCGAACACGAACGCTCGCAAGGGAATTGGTGTTTTCTCGAATAGAATTTAAGGATTCCTTGGTGAACGACCAGAGCCGGTACTGGGTGGACGTCCGATAGATGTCGTCTTCGAGCATTGTGTGAATGGAGTTGGCGTTGGGGAGAAAGGAGGTTTGGAACGGATGAGCGAGCTCATGTGGGTCGTGGCAGCTTCAGATTTTGAGCTACGTACGAAGTGCGGAGATATCGAATACACATGTCAACAGTTATTATATTTTGGGATGAGGTACTCTGCAATCTGGATGACTTAAGTAGCGAATCCAGTCTTCATGGTTGATCAAGTTATATTTACTCTGCTCCATCGACCCGAACCGCGAAATCCTGCCCCCACGCGAGCTGTTTTGTGAAGTGATATGAGAACAGTATTCCGCATTAAACCCAACTAACGAACCTAATCTGAGATAGAGAAAGGCTTGAAGAATAACATATTGCACATGGTGACAATAACACCTCCCATTCCTGCTGCTGAAACGCCAGAAATTTGTTCGCCAGACACCTTTCGCTATCCACCACCTTCATCGATCTGTTTCATGGTCATTGACACGTAAAAGGGGTACAAGGTTCGTGCGGATAATGGAGTTCACACTGGAGGTCCTTGCAAAAAGAAAACACGACGCAGGCGAGGGGAGAAACGTAATGTTGCTCCCCAGAACACCTTTCATGGCTCTCCCAGAAGACGAGCGGTTACATCTCCCATGTAAGCCTCCTCCAGTTCGTAATCTTCTCCGTCCATCCGGTCGATGCCAACATATTTGAAAGCTGCAACGACTCTTGGGACATCGAAGCCCATGCTGCAGAAACGGTCGATGAGATCCTTGTTATATCCCTCATACCTGTGGATCGATTGGTTAGCGAAGGGGAAAACGATGGTTTTCGACTCGGGAAGTGGATAAAACATACGCGGCAAGCTCTTCTTGCTCTTGCTCCTGCTTCGACTTGATCTCTTTCTCGCGGATGGACGCCGCTGTAGCTCCGCCGCTGCCTTCGCCAATCTGCTTTTTTGGCGCGCCGGCATGCATGACGGCCCATTCCCTTGCAACTCGTTCGAATTCCTTTGGATTCCGAAGTAGCATGTTGGCAACTTCGGCATCTTGGGGATCTTTTGGCTCAGGAGTGCTGAGCAGAGACTGCAGGGAGAGCAGCGCAGACTTGATGGTAAGGACGGGGGACCAGGCCGTGCCCAATGTGTCAAGGCAAATAGCTCCCTGTGGTTAGAGCTGCATTAGCGGTTCTGTTTCCAGATGGCGATGAATTGCGGCTCCCGACTCACAGTTTGACTGCTGACATTTGGATGCCACAATTTGGTATCAAACCTCATAACTGGAGGGCGGAAGGGGTACTCGTTGGGGATCCTGATGTCGACGCGATAGGTTCCACCTTCGTATGGGGTCCCCGGAGGACCCTGAAAAGTTCCCTTCAAATGTGTGAGGTCGTCCCCACCACCAATGGGCTCGACAGCAACCTGGGAGTGACTGTCATCATGAATGTCTGCGAGTTCTTTGGCGATGCGGCGAGCGCGATTTGAAGCCATGATGGACAATTGAAAGTTGGTCGAGTCGGCCGACGTAGGGAAATTATAAAGAATTCACCGAAGAATATGTGCAAGAAGTGAATCTAGAGGCAATCTATCTAAAGGTCCTTCCGGGTATTCTGAGTGCTAACAATGACTAGAACTCGAAGTTAGCTTCTTTTTCTGGCTAATTTCTCAGCCATGTTTGCCGGGCAAATCCAGAAAAAAAGTGTGTCATGCGACATGCCGGCGCAAGATGTGGAAAGGCAAGATGCAAATACCTTTTCAGATGGATGCTGAAGAAATGCAACAAAAAGGAATAGAAAGGCAATGGAAATTAACAAAAAAAAGATTAATAAATGAAAAAACAAAACAGAATAAATCAGGCCTTCCTTGAAAAGTCTTAAGGCTGGGTCAGACAACCAGTGAATGAGTCAAGGATTGACCGGTCGGACGGTGAGGACACAGAAAGGTTACTGGAGGCTTAATGAGAGGCAGCTGGTTGCACAAGTGAAGTCCAGAAGAGTCAGAGTGGTGGTGGAAAAGTAGTAGACGGAGCCGTGAACAAGATTGAGAAGTCAAGCAGAGGAGCAAAAAGGGAAAAAAAGGTTGAGTGCCAGGCTTAAAAGAGCATGTACTCCGTAGGTGGGTGAGAATGTGACGATGCTATCCGTCAGCGGTGTCTATGATTGCTAAGAGTTGGATTAGGCTGCGCAGGAAACGCCTAGGCAGATACAGCGGCTTGCAGGGTTTGGGGTGGAGAAGATGGGGGGAATGGCGGATGTTACGAACCAACCAGAACCGCACAGGTGCAGGCGTCGAAGTGGCTATTTTGTGGTCCAGTCAGGGAATGGAGAGTGAGGTGGCAGCGGGTGGACGGGCTTCAGTGAGTGGAAGAACAGGAAGAGACAAGTAGCCGATGTCTTTTGTAGCCAATGCTGAACGCGATGCTTGAGCACTGACCGGGGAGTCTGAGGTCGGTATGGGCGGTTTTGTTCACCAACTGCACCGGCACCCGGGGCTGGATTGGGCTCCAGTTCTAAATTCAACAATAAGGATAACAAATTCAGTGGCTGTTGTGGATGGTGAAAAGCTGTCTCCAGTGCAAGATGGGATCACCAACCAACTCTTCTTCTTCTTCGTCTTCTTCTTCGTCTTCATCAACGCTCTCTCCTTGCGATCGCGTTTCGTCCGGTCTCGTCGCGGAAGGGCACTGCTGACATAAGCATCGACGAGTTTGACTGACTAAGCCACAGCTTGTTGTCGCCTCTTCCAGCCAGCTTGGGCGAAACGACGCTCGACTGCCAGAAGACAACAGCTTCATTGCACCGATCCTACAGCCTTGCCCTGTCTCTCCTGACCCTCGACTGTCTATAGCTGCAAGTCTCTGTTCGTAGCCATTTATCTATATCCAAAGCCACTCATACATTTAAAGCTTCGCGAAAGCCTAGTCATTTAATACAATGGTCAGCTTCTCTCCCTTTCCTTCCTGGCTTGCTGTTTTCGAATATACTAAATTGGATTTACTGTAGGGAAATCAACCATCCCAGATGGGCGGTGGCCCCCCGGGGGGCGACGGGAAAGACGAGAAGGACAAGAAAGTATGGATCAGGGCTTAAACCCCCGTGACGGTCAACCACGTTATGAGCTTGGTTTTTCCGCTGCTAACCTGGGATTCTCGCAGAAGGAAAAGCCAAAGTACGAACCTCCTCCACAGCCCACGACTAGAATCGGGCGTAAGAAACGTAAGGCTGCTGGCCCCAATGCCGCTGCCAAACTCCCTACGATATTCCCGACTTCACGGTGCAAACTGCGATACCTCCGAATGCAGCGGGTCCACGATCATTTGATATTGGAAGAGGAGTATGTCGAGAATCAGGAACGTCTCCGCAAGACGAAGGCTCAAGCGTCGGCGGCGCCCTCGGCCAGTGATGACTTTGATGCTTTGGATCGAAATGCGGATGAGAGGAGCCGCGTCGATGATATGAGAGGGAGCCCGATGAGCGTTGGCAATCTCGAGGAGATGATCGATGACGATCATGCAATCATCTCTAGCGCCACGGGTCCCGAGTACTACGTGTCTATCATGTCTTTCGTGGACAAGGACCTACTTGAGCCTGGCGCCAGCATCCTCCTACATCACAAATCGGTATCGGTTGTTGGCGTGTTGACCGATGACGCGGATCCTCTGGTGTCTGTTATGAAATTGGACAAAGCACCCACAGAATCGTACGCAGATATTGGAGGGTTGGAGTCGCAGATTCAAGAGGTTCGAGAAGCCGTTGAGTTACCGTTACTACACCCAGAGCTATACGAGGAGATGGGTATCAAGCCCCCGAAAGGTGTCATTCTCTATGGAGGACCAGGCACAGGAAAGACCCTACTTGCCAAAGCTGTCGCCAACCAAACCAGTGCTACCTTCCTTCGTATTGTTGGTAGCGAGTTGATTCAGAAATACCTTGGTGATGGTCCACGGTTAGTCCGTCAAATTTTCCAGGTTGCTGCAGAGCACGCCCCGTCTATCGTGTTCATTGATGAAATCGATGCCATCGGAACAAAGCGTTACGAATCCACTTCCGGTGGCGAGCGGGAAGTTCAACGTACCATGTTAGAACTTCTTAATCAGCTTGATGGGTTCGATGACCGTGGCGATGTAAAGGTCATCATGGCCACCAATAAAATCGAGACTTTAGACCCGGCCTTGATTCGACCTGGCCGTATCGACCGCAAGATTCTTTTCGAAAACCCAGATCGTGAGTTTGCCTTTAGAAACCGAAGCTGCTGTATTTTCCTGCTGACAATGCTCCCTAGAAAACACCAAAAAGAAGATTTTTGCTCTCCATACGTCCAAAATGTCTCTCAGCGACGACGTAGATCTGGATGAGTTCATTAGTCAAAAGGACGACCTTTCTGGCGCGGATATCAAAGCTATCTGCTCTGAGGCAGGGTTGATGGCTCTCCGAGAGCGGCGAATGCGAGTTCAAATGGCGGACTTTAGAGCTGCTAGGGAGCGCGTGATGAAGACGAAGAGTGAGAACGAGCCTGAGGGCCTCTACTTGTAGAAGGGGCTTGCGACTTGTGCATATTCGCGGTGTACACTAGTGCATTTAGCTGCTTCTGATGCTTAGCGACATCCACATAGTTATTAAATCCTGAATTCTGCTCAGTAAACCCCGTATAATACCGCCGTATTATGTTGAAAATATATCAGCGTTCCCCCTTACCGGGCAACCTGAGGTACAGTACGTCTCCCGCGAAAATAAAGGTGCAAACACCGCAAACTTTGCCACAGCTTGCCTCATCAACGGAGCTTGAAGAGCTGCCATACACTGACGTCCAGCACACGCGGAGTTTCAAAGGTCTAGTGAAATCATGGACGGATTCGATGAGGAAGCGTTCAAAAAGTTCTTCCCGAGTACCTTTGGGAAGCAGAGCAGAGAAGCCGACGTTGGGGCGCAAATCAACAGGACGAAGCGAACAGAAGCGGCAGCAAAACCACAGCAGCTCGCGGGAAAGCCCGACGTCCAGACGCAACAGGAGGTTGATTCGAAGGCTCCGGCAGCTCAGCAGCCAGCCTCCGCGTCCGCGTCCGGCTCTGATTCTGATTCCGACGATTCAGAAGACGACGACGATGAGTTCCCGGTGTCGCATGATCTCGTGTTTAAGACGCACGAGCGGGCAATCACGACCGTTACCGTTGATCCCTCTGGCGCTCGAATGATAACTGGTTCGACAGACTGCACAATCAAATTCCACGATTTCGCATCCCTCACCCCGACCACTCTGCGCGCTTTCAAATCCGTCGAACCCTCTGCGAAGAAACATTCCGCTGCTTCGGAAACGCACCCCGTTCACGTTGCGAAATTCAACCCTTTGTCTCCGGGCTATGTGCTGGCTATTGCTGCGACGCCGCAGCCGAAGATCTTGTCCCGAGATGGGGATACGTTGACAGAGTTTGTCAAGGGGGATATGTATCTGCGTGACATGCGTAATACGAAGGGTCATATTTCGGAGGTTACGAGTGGGACGTGGAGCCCGACGGACTGCAATCTATGTGCTACGGCGGCGACGGATAGTACAGTTCGAATATGGGATGCCAACATTGGGAGAAGTCAGAAAGAGGTTATTGTGCATAAGTCGAAGGCGGCGGGCTCGGCGGGGAGGACGAGAATAACTGCTGTCGCGTGGGGGTCCCCGGCGCAGGGAGGGAACAATGTGCTGGTGGCTGCTGCACTGGATGGGAGTCTTGTAATGTGGGGTGGAGATGGACCGTTCACAAGACCGAGTGGTGAGATTAGAGACGCGCATACTCGGGATACCTGGACGAGCGGTTTGGACATAAGCCCAGACGGGAGGTTGATTGTGACGAAGGGAGGAGATGACACCATCAAGCTGTGGGACACGAGGAAATTTAAACAACCTATCACGACCGTGTCGCATATCTCTAATTCCAATATCTACCCTACGTCGAATATACAGTTCTCTCCCACGGGTGCCAATATCATCACGGGCTCGCAAACGGGAGATCTGTATATCCTGAATCCTGCAACTCTGAAACCCGAGCTTAAAACACCCATCACCCCCGATTCGCCGATAATCACCGTTCTCTGGCACGAGAAGTTGAACCAAATACTCGCCGGCTCTGCAAACGGAGAATCACATCTTCTATACAATCCGAATCTTTCTCGCAACGGCGCGCTTACTATTATGTCCAAGGCCCCGAAGCGTCGCCACATCGACGATGACCCCAATCTCACTACGGATCTGTCTCTCGGTTTCTCCGGTGAAGGTATTATCAGCGGCAGTGGCATCGCATCCGCTACTAGCTTCTCTAGTAGGCACCCTACAATTGGCCTGACCGCGTCTGGCCGCTCCCGCGATCCGCGTCGACCGCATCTCCCTGCACAGACGCCTTTTGCTAAAAGTCAACCCGACGAGAAGCATATCAAGGAGAACATCCCTCTTAGTTCCATGAGAGATGAAGACCCGAGAGAGGCATTGCTAAAGTATGCGGAAAAAGCGGAGAAGGACCCGATATTTACAAGTGCATGGAAACATACGCAGCCGAAGCCGATATTCGCTGAACTCAGTGACGACGAAGAGGAAGAGAAGAAGCAGGGGCATTTGGGTCCAGATAGAAAGAGGATCAAGAGATAGGGAGGCGCATCCGAAGGTGCACCTTTCTTTGCCTTATTTTTCGTGATACTCTGCCGTTGAGTCTTTTATGTATGGCTTCATTTTCAATGGGACCTCTGGCGTTGCTAGGGTGTTGGGGGATGGTGGCGGACCAGCCTGATGGAGGGAAATTGGTTATTTATACTACCCATTTGTACTCTCTAGACACGATTCTTCTCTATCGAGGGCTATCTCCAACAATGTTACGGCGTGTACTCCGTAGACAACACCAACTCAACAGGTAAAAGCCCTGACGTCACGCGCTGCTTAGATAATCCGACCGAGCTTTCGCCAGCCACCTCAGCTGCGCCTCTGTCTCCGCTGACTAACTCGGCTTAGTTCGTAAGGGAAGAACCTTAAATCCCGGGTGCTTCGAAACTCTCCGCGATGCACTTGGAGCTTTTGGCTTAGCTGAAATCCAGGAGAAGCGTCTGCAGGTCAATACATTATTGATGAAGGCAACGTAACGGTTGATTCGCGGAGGTAGTTATGTCCTCCCTGTCACCCTGGGCGAATCGCGGGATCGACAGCGACCCATCAAGCTTACCACTCCTTGTCGGCAGCGGGGGCCCTCGCGAACCCGGGACGAGAGGTTCGGCGGATGTCAAGCGTGTAACAACTGCTTCCGTATCGTTCCAGCAAGATTGGGAAGAGGCGGGCTTGCCGCCTGTCGGGTCTACTGTGGGCTACAACTTTTACGGTTCCTTGCGTATTTAACCTCTGATAGCCTCGACGACGGTCCGATCGTGACACCAGCAGGATGCTGCACACGTTCTTTCTATCCTTTTTTGTTGACAGCGTCGTATCGAATTCCCCCCTCTCTTCGTCCTTACACAATGGTACTCCTGGCAATGGAGGGGATGATGGGGGAGGAAGGCCGATAAGCGAATGGTCGTCCACGATCGGAATCGTTACCGCGATTGTTGGAAACGTGCTCATATCGTTTGCGCTGAATATCCAGCGTTACGCTCATATTCGAATTGCACGTGAATTGGAGCGGAAACGGATTCAAGATGGCTGGAAACAGAGGAGCTCTGCGGTCGGGGGCCCATCGGGCGGCACCTACGGGACCGTTTCTGGAATCAATGAAGATACCAGGCAACAATTGGGTATAGATACGCAAGCGGAAGGTCAGAACAATACATCTCGGGCGAGTTGTGGCCAGGAAGGAGTGCTTCAGACGCCTGGTGTTCGTCCTGGCGCCGACGGGCCAGCACACAGGGACCACTCTATAGAGGTCGATGATACTAGCGACGACGGAGCTGACCGCTTGAAACAGTCGTTTCTTTCGGAGCGGACAGTGACTTCATTGGAAAAGACGTCCCGCAGAGAGCGAAAGTCCTACCTCAGATCACCCTATTGGTGGACAGGTATCATACTCATGACAATAGGAGAGGCCGGAAACTTTCTGGCTTATGGTTTTGCACCTGCATCCATTGTCTCTCCTCTTGGTGTCGTCGCTCTTATATCGAACTGTGTTATTGCTCCAATTATGCTGAAGGAGAAGTTTCGTCAGCGAGACTTCTGGGGCGTGCTTGTTGCCGTGGGTGGAGCGGTAACCGTTGTATTGAGTGCCAATACTTCCGAAGGAAAGATAGGTCCTGGTGACATTATGGGGATGATCACACGATGGGAATTCGAACTCTATCTCGGCCTGACCGTTGGCATGATTCTTTTTCTGATGTGGATGAGCAAAAAGCATGGACGGAAGACGATTTTAGTTGATGTAGGGTTGGTGGGGCTATTTGGTGAGTCTATTACCTTGAATTAACCCACTTCTGTCACTAATGGGTATAGGTGGTTATACGGCCCTGTCCACCAAAGGTGTCTCATCGTTGCTTTCCTATACGCTATGGCACGTTATTACCTTTCCCATCACTTATGCACTTGTTGCAATCCTCATATTTAGCGCGATGATGCAAATCCGTTACATCAATCGAGCACTACAGCGATTTGATTCGACTCAGGTTATCCCTACTCAATTCGTTCTATTTACGATATCGGTGATCGTTGGTAGCGCCATCCTATATCGTGACTTTGAGAGTGCTACCTTAAAGCAGGGCCTGCAATTTATTGGAGGCTGTGCACTGACTTTCCTTGGTGTCTATCTGATCACGAGCGGCAGATCTCGAAGTGAGGAGGATCGAGAGTCAGATCAAGATGAGGAGGAAGCTATTGGTCTATTACATGGCACACGATATCGAGACTCGGTCGATTGGCAGCACCGAGGTGCTTCTGAAATCAGTGGGGAAACCGACCCAGCCGGACCTGTAGAACAGGACAGGCAGTCCCGCCGCGGGTCTCTTCTAAGTGAGCATGACGTCCGGGATGAAGATGAAGAAACACTTCGCACTCCGCGTGCACCGCTATCTAGTTCTCCTGACTCTCTACGGCCTTCCATTTCTGATACGTCTATATTGGAGCCATCAGAGGCTAGTCCCGAATTACACATCACAAACCCATGGATTCAACGTCGAGAAGATCCAAATCGACCTCCGGCATCAGAAGCGCATCCCGGTACACCGCCGCCGCGTTCTAGTGTCATTCTTCAATTTCCCACCGCCCCAGGGGTGATCGACTCCCCTCGACAGGCTCAATTAATGCAAACTCCGAAACCTCACACAAGCCGCGCCCATTCGCGTCGACATACAATCTCGAGACCTCCTACTCCTTCGTCACGATCTCGCCTTTCTTTACGATTCTCTCCAGGACCACTTCTCCCGCCGCTCTCAAGCGGATTGAGTGCTGTCGTGGCGGAATCTTTGCGGCGCGGCGAGGGTTCACCCGAAAAACGTCGCCGAAGAAAACCAATCAAAACAACTCTAGATGGAAGAAATCCCGGGTCGGGAGAACATGCAGAACAAAATGTGGACTATGAAACCGACACGAGCCTTTTTGGTGAGGTCGACATTGACCAACGCCCCCGAGGTGGTGCATCCAGCCGCGCGCGCAGTTTAGGACCACCCCTGTCTTTTAGACCACCACTCACACCGAACGATCAGGAGCATGCTGTGTCCCCAGCCAATGGGGGGACCCCATCCCGCCGCAATCGTGAAAGGAAGGACTCTTGGACGGAAAACTTTGCACGCTTTGGCGCCAGTCTACGCCAAAGCGGTCGACGATGGGGACTTATATTCAAGGACCATGATGATGATGATGGTGGTGGTCTCAATCCTCAATCCTCCCTCGAGTGAAGCAAATTCACAAGACCCAAGCCACGGGTCGAACCTACAAAGAGCCTCGCATTGATACTTGCCTGCATCGTGAGATTACTGGCTATTCTCCGTGCACATTATATCTATCTCCTTTTTTGGTTTGCTATTGTGGATTCTTGCTGATCGGTCGCGATTAAGCAACATTTACAATTTTCCTACTCCATTATATGGTCGCTCTTTTTGACAGTAATTAATAATATGATACACAGACGCCCCTTAGGTGGTCGCCTCCGTCTATACCATATCAATTTGCTTTTGGCGTTATCGGGTGGACAGGTTGGCTTTTTCTTTCCTGGTCTGCGAAAGGATTTTCGGACTAGGGTTTCTAATACTTAACTTCTTGCAACACGTTCTCTCCTGGGTTTCAACGTCTAGTACACATTTCTCTCCTATCTCATCCAATGATGCCCATGTCTAGCATTTTAATAGCAAGTGAATCAAGGCAGACTATCAGATGTACAGTACATTGGATAACTTCTTCAAGTGCTCCCTAGCTGACTACTATTCCTTCAGCGGATGCTAGCATATGTACAGATGATCAGGAAGGTAGGCTAACGTGGATCGCTAAGATTTGTATGGAATAGCGGATAGAATACAAAGTATTGTATCCAGCTTTCTATTCCTCTAACAGTTGAATATCCTCGCCTTTTCCAGAGTTGACATCCGTGTCCGTTGAAGGAATCACTGGAGAACGCACTGCCTCAGGGTCGGCTCCACCAGTCGGTCTACTTCCAGCACCCGTTGTATTCGCACCGGAAGCAGCAGCAGGACTACTTCCATTGCCCTCTCGTCGGTTTCTCGCTCCTTCTTTCAACTTCTCCCACCGATCTCTATATCGACCCAACACAGTTTTCAGTTTCTCATTTTCTTTCCCAACCCTCTCGAGCTCTTTCTCATGATTCTTCACCAAGTTCTCCAGATCCTTGATTTTATCGATGTCCACCGCCTCCTGCCTTGCTGGCGGAGGTCTTGACGCAGAGGCAGACGGGGAAGCCTGCCTTGACGCCACGGCTTGATTTTGGATAGCTTTTAGTGATTGCTGCAAAGCGAATGAGGAAGACTGCGCGTTCACCTCCCACATATGCAGGCGTTTAGCTAGAGTATCCGAGAGATGTCTCAAAGCCTGGTTCTCCATTTGAAGCTCTTCTAGAGTCTTGGTGTCTCTGGCAGCTGTGGTTCCAGACGATGATGCCTTTGGAGTGGAACGACCGTTTCGCCTGGCTCCCTTAGTCTTGTCTCGGTTCATGCTCCCTCGTGCTTCTGGGGACGGGGGATTCTCGCGGGCGTCAACAAAGGTGTCTTCGTCCTCTTCAAGGCTATTTCTCCGCGCTTCTTTCTCTGCACGGGAAAGGATACCTGCGTATGATATCATCCCACCAGAAGTAGGAACAACGTAAAATGATTCTGAGGTATTACTGCCGAAGTAACCATCTTTGTCTTTAATGGCTCGGAGAGCTGCGCTGGACACAAGGTTCTTGACATCGGGTTCCCTGTGGGAATACTGTGTAAGATCTGCTGCTGCAGAGAACTTGTCCACTTTTGTGTCCGCCGGGGATTTTGTAGCAGTAGGGGATCGTTGACCAGCTGCATCGGGTCCTAGAGGAAGACTGGCAAAAGCGAGAGGCGCTGAGAGTTTCGAAATAAGGCCACCGAATGTGGAGTAGAATCGTCGAAATGGTTCATCACCAGCAAGAGACCTAAATGGCGCGGAAATCTCGTTTCCACTATCCGGCAGTACGACCTGCTGCTGTGTGATTTCTGTCGGGCTGATAGCCGGAGACCAAGACGGTTTCCAACCTGATGCCCGAGTGTCGGTATGATTGCTAGCAGTGCTCCTTATCTTATGGGGGGACTCTGCCATTTTCGCGCCTCCATTTTGGGTGGACAAGGTGGGAGGAACAGGGCTTCCGCGACGGGGATAGGCAGGTATACCACGTGCTGAAGCTAGATTGCTTGCAAGGGAAGTCGTTTCGCGATGACCGGGCCGATTTGTCGCTTGCAGACGCGGTGGCTGCTGCAAGGGCTGGGATGACCGGTGCGTTGTAAAGGGCGCAGGCTTGGAGGGGCTGTTTGGAGTGGCCGTCGGGGCTACGGTCGAGGGGGAAAGGGCAGATTCGGGTTCTGGTGACGAGACATTGGGTGGATTCTCATGTTGAAATCTGATAATTTTCGCGAGCCGTTTATGATGTTGTTCCAGTAGGAGAAGGGTTCGTAACGCCTGGTGTCCAAGATGCAGTGTCAGAATAACAAGTAGTTCATCTTCTCCATGGACGGATCTCACATCTTTGTCAGCTGTGTTTTGCGCAGCTATGGCAAACTCCCCCGCTGCGAGGTCATGTTCCTCGCTCGCTGCTACAGGGTTTGCTTTGCGTGTTTCGAGAAGGGCGTTGCGCGCATGGGTGTGCGCCTGCAGAGAGAGCAAGACGTCAGTTGCCGTTCACATGCGACGGAGCATCAGCGCGGTTGAGTGGGGCCTATCGTTACCAAAGTTAGGGGAGATGATTCCATGACTTGTGGTTCTTGTTCCCCCTAGCTCTCCGAGAAGTTCATATCAAATTAAACTGCCAGAAACACCCCATAACTGTCTGATCCGCATCCACATCCGCAAGAGCGATCCCAAGCACACGCGCCAGCTCGGAGATCAGCCCGACACGCGATTAGTCATCGTTGGGCACCGCTTTGTGATCATGTGACTTATTCGCTTCGGGCGGCATGCAGAGAGCTATCTATCACCAGGGTGTCTTTGCGGTGTCCTAAGTAGCTTTTTGGACTACATTTCCGCTGGAAACTTACGCATCCTGAGAGCGGGCATCTCCTTTAGGTGGAGCTTTGCATTTACATTTTTTGATTATGTTGTGGTTGAGACAACGTGGCTCATCCGTGTGTGGGCTAGTTACCCGTTGTCTACAAAGGTCAACACTTTGAGCGATGCCGTTTGCGTTACACAGGCCTGCACCGGTTTGCATTATCCGAAGAACCCAAGCTTTCACTCCATCCCTTGAGTAGCCGAACGGAATCCGATGGACGAATGCGTAGAAGTTGAGCGAATCACTGTCCAAGTACTCCGCTACCCATCCATTGTTGTCCAGAGAATCGAATCATATAATCACTCAACTATCGCTCAGCTGGTTTCACTCCTTCAGCGAGGTTTGAAAGAATGTATCGCTGGAAATATTTCCAAAGTGCTCCACGGAATAGAATTCAGGAGTTTCGGGGTAAGTCAGCGTTGTCAACTCAATCTTCCCTTCTATTTCCCCTCCAAGACAGTCCTTAGAAACAAATAGGAAGCCAGAGTGAATGAGAAGGGCTCAGTTTTATGTTTGAAGGAAAAAAAGAAAAAAAGGAGAAAAGAAAGAAGAAAAGAAAGAAAGGAGAGAAGGGGAATAAGAATCCGAAGAAAATTGCGATGGAATGTTGGTGGCCGGCACTAGGCTATATTTGGACTAGCGTGTTAATTATTCCGGTCTGTGCTTATCGATAAGCCTCCTTGACATCATTGCGGCTCAGCCGGACGACATTCGCTGCTTCAAGACGGCCAGCGCTGGACGAGGAGACGACGCCGGGCCTGCTAGACATGGAGCGTGTGCCTTCAAGTAATATACCTCCTTCTGTAAGGGCTCCCAGACTGCTGGGATTGCATGGTGCGACCTGGCTATACCCTCTCAAGGTAAGGAGACAAGACTCCGCTGTGAATGAACTTGGTCGGGTGGTGTTGATGGTATAGCCTCCAGGGCATCGTCTACTTTCTTCGTCATCGCTTTCTCTGGCCGCTATTCCATGCTCGCATGCTGCCAATAGCTCTGCTCTCCGCCTTTATTTACGCCCTTCTCTTCTTCTTCACATACCTCCCGCAGGTTGCATTTCTGGCGATCTTTCATGGATGGGCTGGTGCCTGGATTAACGGGGCCTTCCTCGTCCTCGGTGAAGGTGCTGCCATTGTGGCCCTTTTATTCGAAGCATTCTTCGTCGACGAGACCCAGGTCGATATCTTCGATGCGGTCCTCATTAAAACGGGGAACAAGGACCTTGTGGGCACAGCAAGACTCTTGCACCCCGAAGCTCCCGATCCAGTGAACATGCTGGGTAAGCTTAGCGTGGGCGCAGTGTATGCACCGTTTTCGTTCCGGCAGATTGTGGAGTTCATCGTACTCTTGCCGTTGACCTTGGTCCCGGTGATTGGAGCGCCGCTGTTTCTCGTCCTCACGGGCTATAGGGGCGGGCCGTTTCATCATTGGAGATATTTCCAACTTAGAGATTTTACCAAGTCTGAGCGGAAGGAATTTATCGCGAGGAGGAAGATAAGGTATACAATGTAAGCCAAGATTCCTTGAGAGTTGCTTCGATGTGCTTGAGCTGGAAATTTTTGGCTAAATCCAGGGGTCCAGGTTTGGCACTACTGCTCTTATACTGCAGTTGATTCCATTCTTCTCAATGTTCTTCCTTGTCACTACGGCGGCGGGCTCAGCGCTCTGGGCTGCCGACATGGAACGGCGGAGAAAGCTTTTGAGCGAGCGAGTGGTTCACGTTGAAGAGGAATATCACGACAACCCAGTTTAGGCCCGATTCGCGTTTGGTTTGCAAAAGTCACTGCCCTTCAATCTCAGCGGCTATCTATTTATCCCCTTTCTGGGTGTTTTTGCGTGCATCGTGGGAGATCTTTCAGTGTTCGTCCGAAATTTTCGCAGCATTAATCTGTGCAATGTGTGCCGGATGCTTAGCTCTTCTGGGTTCGTCTGTGTTTACTACTCCATAGATCATCTCGGTATTCCTATCATGCGTCTGCTTTTCAAATGATATTCAAGCCTATCACGGATCTTGTTGGATGCTTTACACTTGCGGGCAGACCAGATATCTGTATTTGTCACCTAGAAGGAAGCTTTCTTTTATTCTCTTAAGGTCGTCTATGGTCTCTGGCAACGAGATACCGGTTACCTCGTAGGCAGATACGCGAGCGAAAAACGAGCCGAGGACGCGATCGCCGTCCCTCCGCAGAAGCTCTCCGCGAGTACCCCGTAGAGTCTGGCATAATTTATAAACAGGATAGATGTAACAAAAGTTGTAAAAACGAAGATAAACCAATAATCCAGAAGCCATCGAACCATACACAGTCGGTTGGCTTCCGAAAAGGCATCAGCCTTGTTCCCGCAACCGGCGACCGTTAGTTGGCTCCCAAAAATAGCTTATGCTTTCCCGGTCACTCCTCGGATCAGCTCCCGGTTCTGGCCATCTCAATCACCCTTGACGAGGCGACAGGAGGCAGAGAGGGAAACCGAGTTGTTTTTTTTTTTTTTCGAATTCCTAGAAGGCTATCCAATTGTCTGATCTGGACGATTGTTTCAAGTTGGACTGAACCTTGGAATCCGTCAGCCAGGCGTTTCGTCCGTAACTAACTGGGCGAGTTAAGGTTCACGGCTCCAGCGCGAGAGTGTTGACTAAATCCGGAGCTTCTCAGCCACGACCGTTTGCTCAGCCATGTTCATCTGAATACACCTTTCAGCGACGATGATAACACTGCACGACGCTGGACTCGACTAAGATCCTCACTTTTATGAAATTCTACATAGAGACCATTGCGGAGACACCGCTTGTCAGAGGTCTCCCATTTGTTCCGGTAACAGATGGAGAGCAATGCGAGTGAATCCCCTTCCGCATCCTCCCCCAATGGTCTCAAGATCTTCACCAGGCCCAAGCGAAGCCGGACCACCCTGAACGAAATAGACCACCCATACGCGTCCGATCAAAGCTCGAGGACCCCCTCTCTCGACATCCGCCCCTCGACGAGCCATGGCAGCAGCGTGGCACCAACTGGGCTCGCGAAGTTCATCCCTGGAGCGAAGAGGCGACAGCGGAGGAAGACAAAGGGGGCCAATAATGAAAGTTTGATTGACTTGAATAGCGAGATTTCGGGGGAATCTCGAGTCTCTCTGCCGGCTCTAGAGGTAAATGGGGAACGTCACAGGCCGATTACCGACCCCAGCCCTCTCATGGATGACCCGGAGTTTGGAGCGTACGTTACAAGCTCAGTCTTCTCCTTTGATGCACCTATAACAAACTCTAGATGGCATTTACCATGGATTACTTTGTACTTCGCTGTCGGACATGCTTATTGTGGTGGATAGGGACTGACATACTGGTACTGCTCTTAGAGGTCCTCCTACCGCTCCACATAAACTACATGCCGATGGGCCTCGAACATCGCCGCTTATTACAGTATCCGACCCATCAATTCGTGAAGAACACCACGATACACAAGGCGGAAGTTCGGCTGCGAATTCTGAGACGGCCTCTGACAATTTGAACTTAGCCATACTGCGTTCGACCGCCGTTGGAGTCCCGGCGCATTCACCCACAAAAGAAAGTGTGGGTTCGTCGACAGGGCGGAAGCTGAGAAGTGCCTTCAACCCTCGTTCTCCGAATAGAAGCTCGAATACTAGCCCGGACCGGGAGTCTTCAAAATCGTCGGGAAGCAATGCCGGAAAGGGGTTTCTGGGCTCTGCGGTTAGGACGACAAGCTTTTCTTCAAAGAAAAACAAGAAGAGCCCAGAAGATATCCCGCCGCTGCCAGCTCCTCCTAAGCTTCCTGAAGATACTGTCTCTAAAAACAACCGACATTTACCTCCCCTCGACACGACGCCCAGCACGCCGCCTCTTGGCCATAAGCCTCTACCGGTCAAGACAACCGTCACTCCTCCAACTCCAACAAACCCCCGATTGCAGGAAAACAATGCCGAGCTTGTCCATTCTCCCGAGTCCATGACAAACCCTTCCTCACTCCCACCCAATGCTGTTCTCAGCCCCTCTGGAAATATGATATCTCACCGGCGTGTGCGATCAGCATCCGCGGCCCATCCTCCAAGTAAACTATCCAGCTCAATGACAATACCTTCAACACCTTCTATAGACGAAAAGAGTACAACCCCAGGCTCGCGGAATGGCCAGGGCAATTCTGCCGGGGGTGGTTTCTTTTCCTCGATGTTCTCCGCCGCGCAAAATGCAGCCTCAACTCTTTCCATTGGCTTGAATCAGGGACGAGCCCGTAACGCGTCGGATCCCGGGGAGGCTGAAAAGCAACCCACGCCAGACCAGCCCGAGAATAGGTCACGGTCGTCGTCAGTCCGTGATACCGAGGTTGAAGAGAAGAAAGAACAGGCGATAGATACCCTTGGCATGGGTAATTTGGATTTCAGCCACCTTGGGATAGACCCATCAGCGGGCAATCAGGTAACCACACCCGATGGTGTAGTTTTCACAAAGGCCGATCAGGGTCACCGTTCACGGGGAAGTACAGTGTCGGAGCGGGATGAGCTAGCAGCGAGGATAGAGGATCTGAGGGCTGCTCGAGCCGTATCGATGGCGTATGAGAAAACTCCTCATAGCGCAAGCTTCCCGGCTTCCATCGCTGAAGATAATCAACTAGATAGTCGTGCCAGTGCGCCATTTTCTGGTCTCGGTAAAGGAGGAAGTGGTGGTGAGCGCACGCCACCCACGGCGAGTATCGTTGATGGCGACATTTCTGAACGCGTTATGCGGAGTGGGAGTTTGCGAAGCCGTCGTGGTATTCGTAGGAAACGTGGATCTTCCGCGGCTACCTCCACGACCATTGGGACAATTGGGGCCGCGTTAGGTATGCCAGGAGCCCACTTAAGCACTCCTCGCTTAACAGGCTTTGCTGTGGCTAGCAAGAAGAGAAATCGAGACTTTCATCAACTGTTCAGGAGTGTCCCGGAAGATGACTATTTGATTGAAGACTACAGCTGCGCGCTTCAACGAGAAATCATCTTGGCTGGCCGGATCTACATATCAGAGGGTCATATTTGTTTCTCTAGCAATATTCTCGGCTGGGTTACTACATTGGTGATTGGATTCGACGAGATAGTGGCCATTGAAAAGGAGTCGACGGCTATGGTGTTTCCTAACGCTATTGCTATCCAAACCCTTCACGCGCGTCACATTTTTCGCAGCCTGCTCAGCAGGGACTCAACATATGATCTTATGGTAAACATCTGGAGAATCAACCATCCCACGCTCAAAAGTTCTGTCAATGGAGCACAGATTGAACAAGGAACCGGTGATAAGACCGAAAAGGCTGAACTTAGTGACGATGATAACGCTTCTATCTCCGACGGCGAAGAGGTTTATGATGAAGATGAAGAGGGTGGAGTGGCTGGCATCATGGAAAATGTTGACAGCTTGGCTACTAGTGACATTTCGGAGCCGAGAAAACGCGTGGCTCGAAAACCGTCGACAATGCTGGTATCTACGGGTATTTCATCCCAGGCAGTCTCCGTAGCGGCTGGTGATGAATCCAAAACTGGAACTAAGTCTGGGACTTCGACGGATGTGTCCGCGCAATTTCCCGGTCCGAAGACTCATGCGCCCACTGAATTCACGGACCCTTCCGGACGTTACGATAAAGTCGTCAAAGACGAAACAATTCCAGCCCCCTTGGGTCAAGTTTATTCTCTAGTATTCGGAGCAGCTTCTACTTCATTCATTTCGAAGTTCCTCGTTGAATACGAGAAAGTGCTGGATCTGCAGTTCGAAGGCGACAAGAAAGGTCTGACAGAAGAGAACAAAACCAGATCGTACACCTACATCAAACCCCTGAATTCGTCCATAGGCCCAAAACAGACGAAATGTATCAGTGTCGAGCAGTTGGACTTCTTTGATTTGGAGAAAGCCGTGCTAGTAACCCTTACAACCCAAACTCCAGATGTCCCGAACGGCAACGTGTTTTCCGTTAAGACGAAGTACCTCTTTACCTGGGCACCAGGAAATTCAACTCGTTTTCTCATGTCTTGTGTTGTGGAATGGACGGGGAGAAGTTGGATCAAAGGTATGTTTGGTAAACTATTGATATCAAGGTGGTACTAAATTCGTGATAGGACCTATTGAAAAAGGCGCTAATGACGGTCAACTCGGCTACGGGACTAATTTAATAAAAGCTCTCAAGGCCGGAATCGCTCCTAAGGCTCGCAAATTAACTCCTAAAGGTACTACTAAGAGTAAAATCAAACGCACGAAAACAACTACTTCTGAATTGGATGCGAGCAATGGCGGAGCCTACAAAGCCGATAGGGCCGGAGCTACCAGTTGGGGCCTGTTTGAACCATTCCGAGGTCCGCTTTCTCCAATCGTTGATATATTCAAACCGTTTTGGAGCTCCAATGTGGCTGCTGTACTCCTTTGCAGCCTTCTACTCATGATGTGGTTACGTACCCCACCGACTTCTTCCATAAGGCCACACGGCATTGCTCCCCACCATCTCTCTGTGCCTGAGAGACTACTTGCCTACGACGAATTGTGGGCTAAAGAAGAAAGCGATTTGTGGGATTGGTTAGAGGACCGTGTTGGGATGGACGGTTTGGCTATACCGGCAGCTGGTATAGAAAATGGCAATTCAAAACAGCGGCGCAAACGAGTTCACAAGGACGCAGAAGCTCGCCTGCGAGACGAAAGAATGTCAGAACGTGAGATTGTAGATGCTATTCGTGTGACGCAGAAACGGCTAGAGACTCTTCAACAAGTCATTGACAGACGGAAACTTGACCGACAGCGAGGCGAAAGTGAAGATCGTGCGGCTAAAAACTAAAGGCCATTAAAAGTTTGTGACCGCGGTCGTTTTTCACCGGCCAGTGACTCTTGTTGACATGGGACAACCATGTCTGTGTTGATATATTTCCCTGGAAGCGAGCCCTTACTCTTCTACCAAGATTGGTAGGAGTTTCGTTTTCTTTTCCTCTTCAAAAACAAGCATTCCCTTGAATTTTGTTTCTTTTCCATTTGTCCTCTTTACTTACGAGGCGTCTCGGGTAACAGAAGGCGTTCCAAGTCTACGTGAGCGTTTCCTTATTCTCTTCATCAGCTGTACGTATACGAAACGACATGCCAGCTGCATTTTCCAACTTTCATATGTTTCTACACCACCACGGGCTGTTTCCTTTCTGCTGCTCCTCCAAACAACCCTGGACCAAGTTGCTCCGTGTGACAGGTCCTTGATACTCTCGTTTGTGCGTCTTTCTATTAGTCACATGCTGACGCCATCTCCTTTTTGTACTCTATCCTTTGCCTTTGCCTTCTAGCGTGTTTCTCGTATATAAACTTGGCGGTATATAGTCTCTGCGGAAATTAGATTCATCGTGTTTGTGACTTTTCCATCATCTCGGTGGCTCATCCGCTCTTCCTAGCCGCTCTGTGTTACGTCAGCGCCCACTAGCTGGTCCTAAACATCCCCCATCACATCTGACGTCGCATTATATATATCGAAACCTTGACAGTTCAGTCACACGAGGAATGAAAACCAAATAGGATCATTCACGATGGTTTCTTTATCGGAAGTGCGAGCTGCGAATGCCCAGCTCGTCAAATGCTCACCGGGAGGAGTTTATGTCTTCGTCGGAGCAACGAGCGGAATCGGGGAGAATGCTTTGCGCAAGTTTGCCCGCCTTGCTGCAAAGCCGCGGGTGTATATTGTAGGGCGAAATCTCGTCGTGGGAGAGTCTCTTTTGCGAGACCTGCGCGAGTCCAACCCAGATGGCGAGTTTATCTTCATTCACAAGGACATCTCTCTTGTGAAGGATGCGGAAGACGTTTGCGCAGAGATCGCTAGCAAAGAAACCAGATTGGACTTGCTATTTCTATCAGCGGGTTATTTCCCCTGGGATGGTCGACAAGGTTGTTTTTGAGAGTTTTCTTCACGTCGTTCTAAACATTCTCTAGGCTCATGCTCTGACATAAACTCGACAGACACCGTTGAAGGGTTGGACGCCGCTATGGCTACCCGTTATTACACGCGGATCCTTCTGGCCAAACGTCTTGCCCCGCTTCTTGAAGCATCTCCAGCAGGAAGAGTTGTGAGCGTCCTTTACGCAACCGGTTCCACTCGTCTTGTGGAAACAGACTTGGGGCTCGAAAGCCCAGAAAATTACAGCATGATGAAGGCTGGAGTTGGAACGGCGACGATGAACTCTCTTGCACTGCACCATTTAGCTATATTACATCCTCGGGTTTCGTTCGTACATACCTACCCGGGCGTTGTTCGGACGAAAGGATGGGCGAACGGTGGTCGTAGTTTCGTTGGTCTGGTTGTGAAATATGTTCTAGCTCCGCTGACATGGCCTTTTGCGTTAAGCGTAGATGAAGCTGGAGACAGGGCTTTATATACCACTACCTCTGAGCAGAACAGAGTGGACGGGTCTGGTGCCAGTCAAGTAATTCTAGTCAACTGGAATAATGATACAGTCCAGCCCGATAGACTGACCAGGGAGTACATGACGAGCGAAATGCTTGGGAAGGTTTGGGACCACACAGAAGCAACTTGGAAATCGATTTTAGGAAAATAATACCGTTTGATTGCCATTATGATCTGGTGCCAGAGCCCGGTTGAATATCGAGACGTTCAGTGTTATTTGTCGTTGTGAACGCCTGCACAGATTATATAGTAGCACAAGTCAGTCATCATTGTATGATGAATGCTGCTATTTGGTTAATCATTTAGTTAACATAGAAAATGAATGGAATTTCTGTTTGATGTCGAGACCCATGCCCCTTTGTCGTGCTTGAGCCCTTGTTAGGAGAGGGCAACCATGTCCAATACTTAGTTGCATATCCCTTTTTTGCTGAAACTCGCAGCGATAATGTTTTCATACTGGATGCATTATCAATTCATTAACCAATGTAAATCTCATCCAAAACACACATATATACAGTCATAGATTAATCATTAGACATTTCAGCAAGCCAAAAAAGAGATTGAGGTCAATTTCCGTCGATTCAGCCTACACCGCCCGGCTCGACCCATCTCCACACTTTCCCCCGCACCCGTTAACCGCTTTGAGCACCTGGCTCGGAGTCCGGGCGTAGCTTGGTGGGACATCAAGCACCGGGTTCCTGTCAAAGAAGTTTCTGGGACGGAGCAATAAGGTCATAGGCTCAGCAGGCATGATTGGGAAGTCTTCGGGAGAGGGGAAGTGCGTGATGCCGAACGTATGCCAGAGAACGATATCAGTATTCTCAATGGATTCGTTTTCGGTTTCGGATATCCACATTGGAAGGCCGTGAGAAGGTTCGCCTGATGTTTGAGGAACGTGTCGGCCTGCTGGGTGGATTTGGTCGTCGCGGTCTAAGATCAAGGTTAGCCCTATATTAACAACAATCAAACAAAACTTGAGGGGTAGTCTGCTTACATTTGGTAACATGAACGGCATGTCTGGCAAACCCTGCACGTTTCCAAACCAGTCCTCCTTCCTTAGGAAGCAGAGGCGGGACTTCTCTGCTCACGAGCTTATAGCTGACAGGCTTCTTGCTGAAGGGGTTCAATTTATTCGTGTTAGCCATCTCCCACGTGCGGCTGGTAAAGCCATCATAGTCTGACATGGCTTCCTTGGGAGTCGTGAACTTCGTTTTCTTTGCGTAAAATGCGTTTCCATGCTTGTTAATTAGGCCTCCGACTTCGCCCGGGCCTCGAACCGCATCAACCTGGAAGACGGTATTGTTCGATCCGTCAATATTAGGATCAACACGGAGACAGAAAAGGTGCTGGTGGTTATGAGCGTTGACGCCCGGGTACACCTCAGTTCCCCAACCGTGTGTATCTTCATTAGGGTTCATAGCATAGGTGTTGAGAATACCGGTCAGCTTGATATCAAGCTGGACAGTTCCGTCCTGGTGGAAGATCCAGTAGACACAGTATTCGTAGTTGGCCGCGGTGAAAATATGAGAAATGATCAATTTACGGCCGCGAGTCACGATGACAGAATCATCACGGAAATCGGTATGCTTGAACAGGATTCCAGCGTCTTCCTCGTGGATACAGATCGCGTTCTTAATAATCGTGCTTGCACCGGCTGCGTTGACAAAAGCGGCATCCATATAATGGATGGCGCCCTTGCAGTCGCATCCGAGAGTCAAGCTATTGGTCATGTATCCGCCGCCGTATTCGCCTAAATCAAACGCGTGCTTGCGCTGATGTGGGTGTTCGGGATTTCCATATGGAACGACCATCTCGGCGAGTGAAAGTCGGTAAAAGACGGGGCGGACTGTACCTTTATCGTTATATGTGATGTTATTCAAGACAATACCTTCTCGATAGTTGAAACCAACGTGGATATTCCAATTTTGCCAATTGATGGTTCTGCCGTCAACTTTGAAAGAAACTCCTTCAGGCTGTGTAATGTTAATTGGCGTAACATCTTTGCGGTATCCGCCTTCCTTCTCAATAGCTTCAACATGGTAGTTGTTTGGAGGAGCTCTACTGATCGGTCTCCGAACGGGAGGAATGTCGATGTGAATGAACTCCTTGGTCTCTGCATTATAGATCGGGCAGAAGTCCAGTGGGAACGCATATTGGCAATCGTCGATGTTTGGGCGGTAGTACATTAGTGCTTGCTGTAAACGGACGTTGTTTCCAAAGCGTTCATCATATCCAATGGTCCAGGCTGCATAGATACGATCAGCTCCTCGCTTACGACGTTACAGATATGACGAGAGTGGCACTTACGATCACAATAGACTTTGTGCATATCCTCCCTTGGGATACCGAGGATCTCGCATTGTTCAATGATCTTGGGGTCTTTCCTCATCAAACCTTCGACAGCTTGCAGATCCTCCATCGTGATCAATGGCTGCACTCCGGGCGTGTGCTTCCACTGTACGACCTTCTTCTCTGTCAGGTCCACGACTCCATCGTAGATTTTGCCACCGGGAGCAATGACAACGGCATCAGCCATTCGATGCGGACGAGGGGCATTGTTTGGATCGGCCAGCCAGGCCATCATTTCCGCTTTCCGTGGCTCCCACAGCGTAATCGCGTTGAACCTGACGGAGCCATGTTCAGCACGAATGATTGCCACAGCAGCATCAATTTCCACCGTAGTGAGAGGGTCTAAGGGATGTGGAATGGGAGATGTCCCGTCCACTTGGAGGGATAGCTGCTTCAAACGATCTAATACCATTGTTAAGGGATGTGATTTGGAAACCAAACAGCACGGATGAAGATGGTCAACGAGTGCGATGAAAAGAAAAGAAATAAAGGGAAATGAAGGCAAGAGGGGGTTCGATCACAGCTATATGTAGCAGGACGGAATCCGTGAGGGGGTGTAGCTATACGCGCATAGTATAGGCAAAGCTTGAGCATGGACAGTGTCCCCGCAGAGCGGCAACCGGCAACCCATTAGAGCCCAGGCACAAGATCACAGCTAGGTACGAGTTCTAGGATAAGAGCGCAAAGCTCCTCATGCAGCTAAGCACTTTCAGGCCGTGTCATTGAGAGCAGTCCTGATTATCCGTATCACCAGCTTCCATCTCCGTTGTCGGTGATAGCGAGATGAGAAATTTTCGGATAGTCCCTCAGAACGGGACCTCTTACAGTGATCCATCATTGACTGGCCTTGCAACCCGTCGCGACCAATTCGCCCCGGGGTCTCTCTCTGGCCATCTCCGTCAATCTCGAGGGTGTCACAGCAGACGCTGGACATTGCTGGCACACGCCACCGACAACTCCGCTGTGATAGGGGATTGTTTTTCCTGATTCGGACTAGCGCCCCCTCCCTCGCAAAGAAGCTCTCTTATCGGTTCTGGAAATTAGATCCGACCAGGCCAGCTGTATCAGTGACACGACGCCACTCACGAAATTACGTTATGCCACATGTATCTGGTACTTTCCGGGTGTTTCTCTATCTCCCCCACTGGATGCCCTCGCGACGGGGAATCGGAGACACGGTGCAACGGATGAGCTGGCGGGGCGCGGACGTAAACGCCCTCGTGTCAGGGTCTGCCGTCGGTCTGTGCATGCCAGCCTCCAACAACACCGGCTATAGTTGACTGTTCAGGTCATTAAAGCCAGCGAGGGAGCGCAGCTAAGTTATAATATACGGTGATTTATGCTGTCACGAGTAACCGCAGAGTGTACTCTGGACGAAGTACGGAGAATTGCACGGCAAGTGACAAGCTCCAAATACCTTGAGGCTTGAAGCTCCCCCCACACTGCACCAGGATCCCCTCACACCGTTGTAGCCAGAAGCCAGCATCTCGCATCTCTCCCCACACACCCCTTTCCCCGCATCGGGATGCAAGGGTGAGACCGAGATGGGGAACTCTGATTTCATGAAAGATGCCGATCCCTTGTACACACATCCCCGGGGAACAATGTACGGCGGAAAACATATGTCAAATTTTTGACGAATATAGCTGAAGACTGGAAGAAATCGCAACCAAGAAAGAATATTTTAGCGCCGAGAAACACCACCGTGAATAGAGCACACCCGCGCCGAATGAATTGAGAACAACACTCGACTCAGCGCCAGGACGCACAGCACGCAAAAGTAAAAGAGAGGAAACAACTCCAAAAGCAAACTTTCCACACGAATACATGAAAAGAGCGCAATAAGATAGAATAGAGACAGAAGCAGCACACCCCCCCCCGCAACCGCAACCGCAACAACGTATACAAACCAGGGAAAGAAACCTGGTACCATGGACAGGAACAAAAAAAGAAGATCGAAGCGAATAAATAGCTACGGTTGCAATTGGCGCCTGCTCCAGCATGCTGGCATGAAAAATCAAGGAAGAAAGTATGAGACCCAATACCCGCTTCAAACGTTTCCTTCATTTAAATGCCATTCCCCAAAAATTGTTTATGTCCTTCCGAGCTGAAATGCCCCGAAAACGCCGCCGCCTCCACCAGGGGTCAAACTTGGATTCCCGCTGACGTGGGACTGTGGCGCTGGAGTCTGGTTGCTATTCGGCGCAGCATGACCGGTGTTTGGAGTGCTCGGAGTTGCCGTGTTCGAATAAACCATCGCCCCGTTCAGATTCGGAGTCTGCTGGGGTTGATTGCCCGTATGATAAGGCATAGCGGGAATCTGTCCGTTCAGACCCCATATTTGACCAGAGTATTTAGCTTGATCAATGGTCCCATTGAACACCAGTTGGCGCATCTTCCAGAATATTTCACCTGTTACAAGCGAGTCGGACCCTGCTTGATGTGCGATCCCTACCCGCTTAACGCCTAGTTCATCCGCGATATCCTGCAGCCCCGATTTCTGCCCAAGGTTGGCCAGTATTTGCACAGCGCCTTGAGTGAGGGGGGATCCATTCACCGATTGATTCCGGCTCGCATGCTTCATGAGAAATTTGATGTCATAAAGTGAAGGGAAGAATATAGAAAGGAGCTTGTGGAACTCCTCTTCGTCATCAGGAAGAGGCTTGCAGAGCATGATCTTCATTAGATAGCCAAAGTCATACCCAGAGTGGAACGAGATCCAGTGTACGTCATCCAGCAGAACCAGTCCGGAGGTCATCAGCAAAGCGCCAAATTCCAGCGGATCGATTCCATTCTTTTCGTGCATCGTGAAATCGATTCCGGCCTTTGCTAGCATGCTTGTAGACTCCTGTGCGTACATGTCATTCTCCAAAGAGAAATGGAAGTTGAACTGCCAGGTACATGGCGCCGGAACGAGATGATTGCCGTTCGCGTGTAGAGTGCCATTGGTAGGATACGCAGGCGGAACCTCGCCCTCTTCCGAAAATAGGGTAACCCCGAGCTGTATCATCTTCAATAGATCCACGTTACACCGTAGCGTCTGATAGTGGTAGTCTGCTTTTGTCGTAAAAGTGCCCATTGGCCGTGCAACGATTCCGGGAAATTCTGTGTCCTAGACAGTATAAAACATGGCTATAAGCACATTCACACCGGGAAAACCCTAGGCCTTCAGGTAAAAACTGTCCGCAATGCTTACCATGCTGATATATGGGTATTTCTCCACCAACGCACGAAGGGACTCCATTTCCTGCGCCAGGTTATGCTTCCATACATCCCTTATCCTCGATTTATCCGCCTTGCCATCCATAACCAACCGACCGTCATGCACCAGATGCGATTGCTGCTGCTGAGCTTGTTGCTGCTGCTGCTGCTGCTGTTGTTGCATCTGAGCACCACGCAGAAAACCCATCTGAGCAGCATGGCTCGCGAGGCCTGTCCCGCCTCCATCTGGGATACCACTTCCAGCGGCTCCGGTTGCAGGGAATCCAGTTACGGTCATTCCATTGGCGCCGGGGAGCGTAAACGGGTTAATATTAGAGCCAGAGGTGCCGAGGCCGAATCCTGGGTGCCCACCAAGTGAAGAGGGGGGTATTCCGGTGCTGGCGGTCTGGGGGTGTGCGCTATGATGCTGTTGGGACTGCTGTTGTTGCTGGAGGTGTGCTTGTTGAAGATGGGGAAATGGGCCTGCAATGCCCGACGGCCCGTATCGACCGGCAGGCGGTGGCATCGTGGTTATATGCTTCGAAACCTCGTAGAGCGCGGTGGGAATGCCGAAGTGGGATGGGGCATGAAGAAGTTTTAGCCAGAGAGAGACGGCAACAAGTAGAAATGGCAGCCAGCCAATGCCCAGAGATAAGATATAACGCGTTTGATGTAAAGTTGTTAAGTGTTCATATACTCTGAACAGCGATGGCAGTGAGTGGGAATCAGCTTCTTTGACAATTGAGATTGATGTTACTGCTTGCTCGCTGGCAGCTTGCGCCGGCGCCTCTCCCTTCGCCCCAAGCGCCCAATCGCGAGCTTAGCCAAATCGGGCCTAGCCTAGAAAGCGCCATCTCCAGAAACCTGCTTACCTCATCACCCGAAGCAACAACCTCGAGATCACGATTCACCTGGTGGATGCGCCAGCAGCCGTGCCAATTGTGGTGGAAGAGCCGCTACAAATTACTGCGTCGCTCTTCGAATATCATCAATTACATTCCATCTATTCCGACAATTTCCCTATCGTGTCCTCGTTGTCCCCACGCCAGCGACAATGGCTCCCCCAAACCCCACCGGGTTTGACATGAAGACTTTCAAAGCCGCAGCTAATCCGAAATCCATATGGGCCCAGAAGGATCCATGGAAGCGAAAGTAGGCACCATTCTCTTTATGTTCCGTCTTTACTGCATCCATGCTCGTTTTCCATGTACCTGCTGTCGGAACTATACATCTAACATCATCTGCAGCGAAGCATGGCGATACAGCGGCCCCTTCTCCCGGATGAACCGACTCAGAAACAGTTTCCCCGGTCTAGGAATAGCAACTGTTGCCTTTGCGATATATTGCGGGTACGAGTGGGCGTTTTTAAAGGATGACCACCACGGTGAAGGGCATCACTAGAGACTTCATTTGCTGTATGACCCGGGACTGTTGTGGATAGATTAGAAGTTGGCGCCGACGACGATCGGTTTTAAAAATGGGTGGGACATTTAAAATCCTATACGCATACGAGTTCGTTTGGATGGAATGATGGGGAAATCCTGGAAGTCCGATGCTAGGCATAAGCGTGGGGAAGGTCCCTATTTTCACATAGATTTTGAAGGCGCACTGACTATGTTTCCCATTCTCCTTCTGACATCTCTGTACATATTACGCCTTCCGTGCACACTACGATTGTTATAAAACAAGCTTCTTTGTTTCCAGATTCAAAAGGTGACTTTTGTCTTTCCGAGATAGCGGGCATCAATGCCGTGCATGCATTCTATTTAGTCACCCAAATTTTATGCTTCCAATTTTTACTCCTCAAAAACTAACGCAACTCCATCATCGCCAGCTGTTACTATTCTTTTCCCTCCTTGATCCCCATGCACGAATCCTAGAATGCCCCCGGATTGTTCGCCGTCCTCGTTCTCACTGATCCCCGCGTGACCTCTCCATTCTTTGAGAAGACCATATCCAGCTGCAGCAGTTCCACCACGGGTATCCCATCGTCGTACCACACCGTCCATGCCCACCGAAGTCAGTAACCACGGTCTACCCGACGTTGTGGATGCCGGGCCAGTAGGTCTCTGTGTTGAAGCTTCACCGTCGCGAACAAAGTCGACCTTAACAACCGCCGACTCTCCGTGAGCACCTCGAATATGACGTCTAATAGCGAATCGATGCGCCACATCAAACAGAACTATCGAGCCGTCCACGGAACCGGCAGCAAGTAAGTTAAGGGGAGGCGAGGAAAATGAGACGGTTTCGATACCATCGGATTGCGCTTGGAGAGACGCTAGAAGTGTCCCTGCGCCACCACCAGCCGAGGGAGCTGCTCCACCAGCTTTAGATTTCGATTTTTGTCTTGAAGTCTGATTGGAATCTGATGACACACGCGGAAGTCCGACAACTTTGATATGTCCTTCAGCCCCACCAACGACGGCAAATGTACCAGAAGGAGCTATAGCGACAGAGTATAATCCACCGTCAACGGCAAATCTCTGGTCTTGCGCTGTCAAACCCACCACAGTCTGTGTACCTGCAGATGAAGCGATGCCAGCAGCAGCGGCCGCACCAAAGACATCATACACATAGAAGCTTGCATCTTCCGAAACTGTAGCCAGTAGATTCCCGTCAGGCGACCACGCACCAGCAGTACAAGAAGCTGTATGCTGAAAAAACGACGCCAGCATATAAAGTGGCGCTTCTCGATCCTGCTTATCGACCCGATATACCCATACACTGCCGTCATTCGCGCCCAACGCTACCACATTCCGTTTCTCCTCGTTCTCGCTTTGCGACACGGGGCAGACCGCCAGCCAATTGATCTCTTCCACCTCTTGGACCTCTGCCAGGAATTCCCACGACTTTCCTGTTAACGAAGCGCTCGTATCCCTCCAGGCTCTCAGTTTCCCATCCAGCCCCGCCGTAAGCATGTACTCGCCTGCAGGTTCCGTAAAACAAACTGCATTTACAGAATCAGTATGCCCATCCAGCCGCAAAATTGGCTCAAGTGACTCTCTTTCCTTCCTAGGCTGCGGTGTCGTCTCATAGCTTGTGGGTAATAAAGGTCTATCATCCGTAGGCGTCGAATCGAACATGTATGCCGTATCATCACCAGAACCTGTAACCACGATGGACGTATGTACGGGGTGCTGCGCGATGCAGAAGATAGAGTCGGTGTGCTTGTCGAAGTGGGCAGTGGAATCGTTTTGGAGAGTTATTTCTAAATCCTCGTCTTCGTCGGAGGCGTCCTCCATGTGTTGATCTTCATCGGGGATGATTTCTTCGGCGGCGTCTGCGGCGTCAAGGAAGACGTCTTCGCCTTCCTCGTCACGGTGATGATCGCTTTCGCGCGGTTGCTCTGGCATTGTGAATCGCGATGTATAAGATAAGGTAGGCGGGAATCCGGGAGAGAAATTTTGGACGAGGAGGGGCAGTGCGGGGTGGGGAAGTTGAATAGATATCCCAAAAATTCGGTCTCAAAGCAGAGACTACTGCTCTGTAAAATGGAGCTGACTGTAATTGACACTCATTAAACCTGCAGGTTATGCCACTATATAGTAAAATCTCTGGATGCTGATCGATGAATGTAGAAAGTTGGATTATAAATCCAAAATTTTGGCAGCGTCCGCCAGCAGGGCCGTCACTCCTATTCGAAAGGAAGCAAGCAAAACACGACCAACAAGATGACAGATAACTAAACTTAGAACTACTTTCAATCTTAACTTGGTAACCAATTCAGGATAAGTAAAAAGAATTAATTGCTCCAAAAATTCTCCTTTGGACCTTTACTAGGGCCTGTACTACAATGATTCCCGAATGTTCAACCGGGGAACGTGTAGAATGTGGAATCAAGCTCCCCTATCATATGTGGGACTGCTATCCTTAGACTTAGCGTGAATCACACAGTAGACCTCATTCCTCCTCAAGTTGCTCTCATCTACAAGCTGCCCGTTGCAAAGATGTCAATGATTGACCGTTTGGAAGATAGCGGCCCGGCTCACCGGGATATATTTCTTCCGGTCATCTCGGGTTTATCTAATTCTTATCTCCAGCTCAAATGGCGCCCTTTTACAACACCGCAGACCAGGGTGCTCGAGAGTCATCTTGCAAGCTGTTGGCGGACAAAACCCGCTGGTGTCTGCAGGTAGCAGAGGTGTTAGTATCTATTCACCCTTTCTGATCTCGTTAACTTCAGCTTCGACTTAGCCCGCTTCAGCTAAAACAATGGGTTCAGAATTGAATACTTCGACGCGCTTGCTCCCTCCGCCGGGACCCAAGATCCGACGGCCTGTGCCCTCAGACCCTTATCCGCCATGCAACCCCCCCTTATTCAACGATGCTATGAGCGTTCGTACCACGGTCTTTATCGATGAACAAGGATGCTCGCCCGAAAGCGAACTTGATGAAGACGACCAGCGCAGTTACCACTGGGTCATGTACGACACCCAAGCGGACAAGCAAGAACCTATTGGGGTAATAAGATTAGTTCCACCACCACACCCACCGCATGAAGTCCACTTGAGTAATGGAGGGCCGAATCACAGCAAGTCAGGTTCGGAGGGCCATGCTCAACACGAGGAGCCATGCGTGAAATTGACGAGAGTTGCCGTGTTGCCGGCCTATCGGGGATTGGGTTTGAGCCGCAAATTGGTCGATACGACCCTGAATTGGGCGGCGGGACACAAGGAGGACATCAGCTCTGCCCTCGGACCCAAGGAGTCCTGGAACGGACTTGTTCTGGTCCACGCTCAGGTGCAAGTGGAGGCATTGTACGCTCGAATGGGATTCGTGACGGATGAGAGTATGGGAAAGTGGGAGGAAGAGGGCATTTTGCACGTTGGAATGTGGAAAAGGATTGAATTAACTACCACAAGCCACTAAAGCCCTTGGATTTGGGTGGTGCTGTATATGATACATCATGAACCGCCGTGATCGAAATTCGGCGGGTTAGACCTTTGGCATTTGCACATAGCTTTTGGACGTTAAGTACGGAGTAATTGGAACAGAAATAAATATCGCTCCAGCGGGTTGGCGGGTTTTCGATAAGGTGTATCAAATCTACCATGGTCGCAGTCTGGATTGATACCTTTGAGGTTGATGCTTCCAGATTGCCTGTGAAGAGCCATGGTACTCCAAGAACGTCAAACTCAGGACTGGTCTCGGAAGGTTGAGCTCCTCCCAAGCGCTTTTTGGCTTTTGCGCCGCCGAACGAATCCATCAAATTGTTGGGTTGGATGAGGGGGAGCGCCCAATCACCGTCTCCCGTTATCATTACCCAAACCTTCAGCCCCCGCAGAACGAAAACACGGGCACCAATCACGCCTGCACTTAGCGTGGTGGTCGCCCCGAATTAGGTGTGCAGCAAGGCCCCGGGGGATACTGAATGCCGAACCGATCATCCATGTTTGCTTGGACCTCGGGTGAGCTTGGAGCAATGGGGACAAGTTGTTTTCGCGATGGCAGATCTTCCGCTGTTTCAGTCGAGCTGCTGGCTCTGTCTCTCACTATTTTTCGCTCCCTTCCTTTGTACAGATTATCATCTTGGACTACTTCAACCCGCTGTAAATCGTTTGAACCAAGCCTCTTCACGAGATGGTTTTCCGTGCTCCTGCTTGGGTCGGCGAGCTGCCCCCAATTCCTGATGACGTTGCCATCTGCGACTTCATGCTGGATGACAAGTATGGCCGATATCCGCTGGCCTCGTCGAAGGACCCTTTTACATGTGGAATGACAGGCCGCACGTACTCGGCTGCAAAAGTAGCTGAACGCGTTGATGTTCTTGCCCGGGCTTTAGCGAAGGAGTTTGGTTGGCACCCGAACAAGGGAACAGAATGGGAGAAGGTCGTTGGTATCTACAGCTTCAACACGGTAAGGCAGTCATCTACCGATCTCTTCATCAGGGGCTGGGTGGTTGATGTCATCTGTTTAGATCGACTTTTTGGTGCTTTGCTGGGCCATCCACCGGTGTGGAGGCATCGCTTCTCCCGCCAATGCCGTGTACTCTGGCCCTGAGCTCACTTACCAATTGAAAGACTCTGGAGCCCAAAGCCTCTTCACCTGTGTCCCCTCTCTGCCCATCGCTCTCGAGGCAGCGGCTAAAGCTGGCATTCCCAGAAACCGAATTTACATCCTCGATCTTCCTACCGAGTTTACGGGGTCTACCGAAGCTCCACAGGGCATGCGGACTTTGGAGCAGTTTATTACCGAAGGCTATTCATTACCAAAGCTGGAGAAATTGAACTTTGGGCCCGGACAGGGAGCTAGGCAGACTGCATTCTTGTGTTACTCGAGTGGAACATCAGGTCTACCGGTACGTTGAACTTGGATACTTAGTCCATCTAGTGGTGTATGGGGTACTAATTTCGCGCTAGAAAGGGGTCAAAATTGCCCATAGGAACGTTATCGCCAATACTCTTCAGATGATGGTGTATGAGGCGCCTCACAGGAACTCTCTGAAACCTGCCGGTCAGAGTGCCTTCAACGATGTCGCCCTCGGCTTACTCCCTCAAAGCCATATCTATTCTTTAGTAGTTATGTGCCATTGTGGACCGTATCGCGGTGATCAGGTTATTGTCCTACCCAAGTTCGAGCTTAACCACTACCTTCAAACGGTCGAGAAATACAAAATAGGCACGCTCTATTTGGTATGTTCTGTTCCTACCCTGCTTAGCTCTCTTTGTGCCCTTGCCCTTTGCTGATCAAAACCATAGGTGCCTCCGATTATTATTGCGATGTTAAGAAATAAAGAGCTATGCGATAAGCGAGATCTGAGCGCAGTCAGAGCCATTTTCACCGGAGCTGCTCCCTTAGGCAAGGAGACAGCTGATGAGTTACAACAATGGAAACCATCCTGGTTGATCAAACAAGGATACGGTATGATTCTCGCTGATGGGGTCCAAAATACTGAAGTGTCTAATGACCAACTTTAGGTATGACTGAAACCTGCACCGTCGTGTGTACTACAAGCTCCCATGATGTTTGGCTTGGTTCCTCGGGCTCCATCCTTCCTGGAATCGAGTGTAAGATAATATCTCCCGAAGGCGTTGAACTCACGGGCTACGATGAACCCGGGGAACTGGTCGTGAAGTCTCCATCTGTTGTTCTAGGATACCTGAATAATGAGAAGGCGACGGAAGAGACGTTTATTGATGGCTGGATGCGCACTGGAGATGAGGCTGTTGTTCGCGTTGCACCCAGCGGCAATGAACATATCTTCATCGTTGACCGGATAAAAGAATTGATCAAGGTCAAAGTAAGTCTGTCTTTTCGCTTGTAGGTAGACTCGATCCGATGCTCATAAAAGTTTAGGGTCTACAAGTCGCCCCAGCAGAACTCGAAGCCCATATTCTCTCCCACCCGGATGTTGCCGACTGCGCCGTTATTCCTGTCCCGGATGATTCCGCTGGCGAGCTACCGAAGGCCTTTGTTGTTAAGAGTTCCTCGGCAGGATCGGACGATGCAGCAACCATCAGAGCAATTATGAAGCATGTGGAAGACCACAAAGCGCGGCACAAGTGGTTGAAAGGAGGTGTTGAGTTCCTTGATGTTATTCCGAAGAGTCCGAGCGGCAAGATCTTAAGGCGCTTGTTGCGGGATAAGGAGCGAGAAGCAAGACGCAAGGCCGGCGCAAAGATTTAATGCGGCGGCCAATGATTGGTACATGCATATATAGAGATGGGCTGGATTCGAAGGCATGGCGGTATGGAGTCGAGCGAAAGCCAAGCACATTAACATTGATATATATTGCTTTTTCCTGTGGACATGTATATATATAGAGACCTGAATACACAGTTAGCTATGAATAGTACACCAAATGGGCCATCCGTGTCCCAATTCTACTGTTTAGGTTTTTTTCCTCGCATCTCTCACACTTGATTGCTGGAATCTTTCACTTTTGCCTTTGATGCTTTGCAGTTTTTCATTCATTCATTTCGCTCTTAGTTTCGTCTCACTTGGAAATAAATGCTGGTTACTGTTTGTCGCATCTTTCACTTTCAAAGCTTCGGTTACCAATCAGTCACTGATTGCAGGAGATCTTTTCGATGAATCTTTCATTTGGTGTATTGGACTGCTCTTTGGATCATGCCCACTAGATTTTGAGTGACTAGACTGTCAAAATTCAAGCTTGCTGCCTCAAGTAAAAGTGTTGAGAGAGCTGGACATCACTGACTGCTTTAACTCTTTGCTACCATTGGCTACCATTCTCACAGCATTCACCCAGTCCTGCAAACCTTCCGTCGCATCTTCACTTTTCGTCGTAATTTATTCAATATTCCGTCTTATCTTCACTTCACCACAGAGCAACCGGCAATATTATTGGCCCTTCTTTATTCATCGCATGACACTGTGGTAAGTTAGTGATCAGACGGCAAGATATGTTACTAGATTCTCAGTGCAGCAGATAGGGCCCCAGAGAGGGTATAAATATCCCCTCCTCCTCCAGTCCTTTTTCTCTTTCTTTTTCTTCAACCTCTATCAAGAGTCGAAGATATCAATACCCTTGAGATTCAACGGTTTTCTTCTACCGCATAGCATACAATGTTCCGCCTTTAATTATCATATCATTTCTAGCAGCTCGATATCCTTAAAGCGTCATTGCAAAAAGGCCTTCAAATCTGCCCACATTCAAAACCATTTGTTCCCTTATTTTCTATTGTCAGAAGAACAGATTATATACTCACTAAAGCCCGGCTCCATAAGGGCCAGCCAAGGACGAAATGGTCAATCGCTGCTCAGGGCGGAAAAAAAATTCGCTTTTTAAGGCCATAATTTAGGCCATACCCAAGAACATAGAGACCCTTTGCCTTCCATGCTGCGAAGGCTGTGTGTTTAAGGGCCGCTAGCAAAGCATAAACGGTCGCCGTTCCAAAGACGCCAGCTCCCCCCTGCCAAGACCTTTGACGTCGGTTGAAGCAAACGTCAATCCAAACGGCTTGCCGGCCAATCTCTTAGGCTAAAAACAACGCCGTCGCGAAGGAGCTTTATGGGCGTGTACGGAGTATTAACTGCCGGTTAAAAATCGACTAACAAGCCTTTTCAATTGCCCGGATTACGGGAAAATGTTCAGGTCCATATCATAAGGAAACCTACGAGACGTCTTTGCCATCCAGGCTGTGGAGAAGCCTCTAAGCATCAAGCATGCAATATTTTAACATATTGGGTTCATACTTGCCCTTTATATTTGCGATCTATTATTTTATATTTCAATCAGACATAGGCATGAGATCTATGTCTTCAGATTCTAAAGTTTTAAGAATTATGCCGGTTGGAGTTTAACTGATCCAAACACACCCAATTTTTCGGTAGAAGAGACGTCACGATGATACCTACTCCCAACCTTCATCCCTGAGCCATGGATGTCTCGACAAGCAAATATCTCGTCATTCTGATGGCGTCCATCTGGCGGGACCTTAAAACGGTCTCGGTGATGTTTAATTCGATCCCCCTACAAACATAACAGCAGCTTATCGCATCATAATACCGGTTACTTCGATTATCCTGTTAAAAGATAGATCCTATAAACATCCGCGCCATACAATCTTGACTTTGGCTAGAAGCTATTGCTATAGGTGCCGAGGCTATACCAAGTCGCCAAAGTGGTCGGGGGGAATCCCAGCATCGTGCGGTACAAGTCTATGAGCGCCGTTGCTGGTACTATATATAATATAGTGAGTGAAATGAGCTCTTTTTCGGGACTTTTCTACGTTGTCCTATCTTCAGTTTTACGGCAAGATATACGATACTTTGTATTCTCTGCAGATGTATTCTACGATGTTACGAGCTGTCGTAACACTGCGAGTCCTGCTTGAGTGACTGATGCCCCCTTCATTTCACGCCCCTTTGTTTGCTCGCGTGCCCTATGTTATTATGAAGATTTTCCCTGTATCTGTTACATTTTAATACATATTTCTCCTTGTGTTCTTTTCTTCTTGTCACTCAGCATCCTGCTTATCACTTCATATTCCAGTGAATCCTTTTGCCCCAGTTGTGCTTAGCGCGTCGTGTCTTCTCTCACAATGTCTATAAAAGTCCTCTGGGCCCCTGGGGCCGTTCTTTTTCCCTCGCAGTCTACCGCACAGTCCTCAAATTCCTCGAGTCTTCGCCCTCATTTCGCTCTTGACTCTAACGCCGTTGATATCCAGATATCAAAGCCTATCAACTCGACGTACCACGTCGCTAGACAACTGGAAGGGACGTTCCTGTTCTTTTCGATTATCAAAGCTGTCCGATATAACACTAGCTACAGCGCTTGCTAATAGGAGAAGACCATTGGCTTTATAGACCATGGCTAAGTCACGGAAGCCTGTCTCTCGCGGCAGTGACAAGAGGCTAGTTCAGAATGGCGCAATTAAAAAGACCCAGAAATCAAGGGGTGAGTTGGGCTTCATTTCGAGTTATGGCATATAAGACCACTAATGCTTTCTTTAGGTAATAAAATAAATAAGATCACTTCGTATCTGGGGAGATCTCAAGATTCCTCAGAAGAGGTTCCTAACATCCCGCCGAACGAAGCGCGGCCAGAGCCAGTCGGTACTCCACCAGCGTGGGCAGTTGATCGCCCCGAGTTGTGCGATGCGCTACCCTGGTTTCGTTCAACTCAAGGAGGCTGCTATTTCAAAGACGGCATCGCATTTGGCGTGCTGATTGATGGAGACGCCGGTGACAGGGCACATCTAGACCACGAAGTGGTAATTACTCGGGTGTAGGTTTTCTATTGCTATTACGATATTAATTGATCTGACATATTCCTAGTGGCGGAGGCTGCATAAAAGTTGGGGGCAAACTTCAGCTTACTGAAGATATCGATATCAAGAATCCCGCATTTAGAGCCCTCATATTCAACCTGGAGCATGATATCCCCGTTGGTTTGGTTGTCGGTATGCTTCTTCTCACTGGGATAGCACATATGAAAGAAATACTAACTCTGTATAGGAGATAGAAATGTAATTTGCACAACCAGGGTCCCGCATCGGTACAACGTGATGAGCTTCTTCCGAGTCACGGATATCTGGTACGAAAAGTCCGGACCATTTACCGGAGCAAAAGTTCGTTTCGAAAAGCTAGATCTGGAGTCTCAGAGTTGGTGGGCCGCCAAAAACGTTGACGTGCCAATTCCTGTTAGTGAACGCAGCGATGCCAAAGCACCAGTACTCCCAACTTGCCCAGAGTGCCTCCAGTTAAGTCATCAAGTATACGCCCAAGGCTGGATGTGTTTGAAACGCGAATGCAAGAAGTTCTGGACAATGAACAATCGAAGCCCGCCGACGGAACTAACATTCGCCCCGCACTTCTTGAAGATGAGACGTCAAGCTCCATGTCCGATGCGACCCCAGCATAGCTTGGTACCGGATCTCCTCGCCACGTTGCCTCAAGATAGCAGGATCTCTATTACTGCACGAGTGATGTGGAAAGGGATTGTTTGCCCAAGATGCAACAGATGCGTCGCAAGAACTCTCTGGAATGGCTGGAGCTGCGCTAAAGAAGATGGCGGGTGCGGATTCAAGCACATCAATCTCCCAGTCTCTGTCGACCTACGATCAATTATTTCCGACTTCGAGATGGGCGCCACAGGTCATCGATATCTGGTTGGAAACGAACTGGTGTGCAGGTCTCGTGTTCAGTACCTAAAAAACTACCGATTGGACATGTTCGACCTAGGAATGGGCAATATCATGACCCATTTCGCAGCAAATACCACGATTAACAAGCGTGAGGGTGGTCCAAACGATCTGTTCAGGAAATTATGCACGGAAGATATCGGGCTGAAACGACATAAGCTTCAAGCTAGCGTCGGTGAGTTGTATTGAATAGTGCATTTTTTCGATGGCATATATCGACTAACAAGTCGAATCCTACAGTTCAAGGTACTCTAACGTCGCACTTCGCGGTAAACTTTGTAGGTGACACTATATTTCAGTCTTGGTTGTTTGATGGCTGATTACCGTTTCTAGGGGATGCCGTACAAGTATATAGTGGCTGTTGATTCAAGGCCGTTTAGCGAGACACCGTCATTCCTCCTTCGAGCCCTGGGCCGTCTTAGCTGGGCTGTCATGAAGACGGTGCCGCCGACAGAGTTCCAACAACCCAATGAACTCCTTACGCTGGGGTACTTTGAGAAAATGGCAATCAATGTAAGTCAATTATTAGCCTTTTTTTTTTTTTTTTTTGGCCCCTTTTCCCCAGGGTGTCTAACGGAAAATAGTACCATGACGACGGAGAAGATACGCTGGGGCCCACGGTTGCGACCTTATCTATCGGTGCTCCCGCTACGATGCTCATCCGCATGAAGGGCAAATACTTCAGAGTCCCAGAGCCCAAGAAGAAAAACATAGCACCTAACGACCTTGTTCTGCCGGGCTGCGCTATGGAAAAAGAGCGGCGCGAGTTAAAGATGCTTTACGAGAACGAGGGGATCACCTGCGCCGAATATTGGGACGCCCTAGCGCGACTGAAGAGCAGCAGAAAGGAGGCAAAACCTATGTGCTCGCTCGACCTCCATCACGGTGACATGGTTGTTATGCACGGCGCGAACCTACAGAAGTACTTTGAGGTAAGCGCACAGTCCGGCATTTGCAAGTATTTTACTAATAGCCGACCGTTACTAGCACTCTGTAACACCGAACGGCGACCTTCGATTTGCATTGACGGCCAGATATGTCATGCCGGAATTGGTCGAACCAGAGCACCACTGGAAGGGCAATCTTGAGCCTGGGCTGGATTACAAGTACGACGGCGACGAGTAATAATGACCCATGTACTCCGTATACGGCGTGTTTTTTGAAATTGCCGCTAGTATATGGCACAATTCGATCATCCCGAGGTTTATACACGCTTTGATTTTTTTGGTGTTTAAAATGGTCGGTTTCCTGGCATTTTGCTTGCATGGGCGCGTTGGCATCATTATGGGTGGCCAGTTCTTTGCACTTTGATACGGTGGAGCGCTGGGGTGTGGCAATTTTCTTCTTTACCACGACCAGGGTATCGTTATTAGAGAGAATCTCGAATGCTGTAGAAATACTTTCGCTGGGTTTCGAACGTGAGAAGGCTTCGTCATGTCCTAGACTTCCAGGATACTAATTAACTATCTCCTACCTAAGGACAACAAAGTTTCATGCGGGTCCCTAAACTAGACTACGGAAGTAGAGCTGCTGCGTTTAAACCGTGCCGTGGACTCCTCCATAGAGACACATGCATACATGCGACCAATGCACAAGCTGCTCTTTCTCGCCGTCTCCCCTCGCTCTCGATCCCACCGGTGTCCTTTGTATTAAAATGCCCTGCTGGACTTGCTGCGTTGTCGCACAAGTGGGCGCGATTAAGTAAGCAAGAATGGGCGCGGGGACGCTGATGCTGACTAAGGCACACGTGCTAGTTAGCTAACTAAGCCCGCTTTGGATGAGGCTCTAAGACACCGCCCTGCGCTGCGATCGTAACAACCCGTCATCTCAGGCGTGCCTTTCGCCCCTTGTCGCTGGCTGCGAGCTTCTCCACGTCGTTCGTTTCTCTCTGTTCCCTCTCTCTAACTATTAATTTAACAGTACATCGGTTTTAATCGCCTGCGACAGCTCTCCGTCTGACGGGACACCGAGCAGGTGCCCCCTCGAACTCCTCTCCGTCGGCGTCTCCGTCCGTTTCCCGCTGGCTCGTTTGGTCGCTTGGCATGGTCCCATCGATGCCGAACCCTCGCACACCCTCCACGTTCCCCGGAAAATTCGACAGGGCTCGCTCGTCTGTTGGATTTTCAGCTCGCTCTCAACACTCACATGCGTCTGTAAATTTGGCTTATCGCTAGATGCGCAATGGCGTACCAAGATAACGTCCCGCAGCGCTTCACCAGCTCTGCCTCTCAGACGCCGTCGGTGTCGCAGTCGCAGATGCAGTACTCATCCGGTTCCCAGTTGGGAACCCAGCAGAACCAGATCCCTTTGCGACGCAGTCCCAGTTATCAGTCTGGTGACGACGCGAGTTACTGCCAGCCGACATCCCTCGGAAACGGCGCATACCAAGACCAATCCGGCCGCGCCGGAGACTCTACAAACTACAACCGTGGGGGCTCGCAGAGCACTCACGGTTCTCGACACTCTCAGTTCTCCGTGGGCAGTTCTCAACACTCTGTGATGAGCCAGGCCTCGTCGCACGGCTCAGCCATGTCTGGATACCAGCACCAGTATCAGCCTCCGTCTTCGACCTCCCCAAGTCAACCCGTCTACAACCCTCAGCAATTCGCGCAGCCATCGTCCCCTGTGTCGTCGCAATCGAGATATAATCCTCAGGCCTTCTCTGCGACCACTGTTCCGCAATACGCAAATTACTCGTATCAGTATAACCCTGCAGCATACCAGTCTCCCACCGGCTCATACCACTCCTCCCAACCATCCCCTAACCTGCAATGGCAGAGTCCTCAGACCCCCCATCCGTATAGCCACCCTTCACCGTACCAATCTTCCCAGCCCCAACCCACCAGCCAACAACCTCCTCCTCCTCCTTCCTTGGCCCCTAGAACCCACGAGTCGTATGGTTCTTATTCTTCGCCTGAAACACCGAACCCTCCTCTGCATACCGCCCTAGGTTATTCTCCAAGTGTCTCCCACCATTTAGTATCGTCCCCCGTATCTACTATTCCGTCTGGATACTCTACATTGCCACCTCCTTCATCTACGGTTCCGCCTTCGTCTTATATACAGAATGATAATTTCCCTCTGCCGCAGCTACATACCTCTTACTCAGGCTCTACAACATATCAGCATAATTTGCCCCATCCTCCTCCGCATGCCCCAAGCCCCCATGATTCTGCGGCCCAATCCCATTCTCATCAGCCAAGCAATGAATCGGCATACTATGCCCGGCCGGCGTCGTTTTCAGTTTCCTCCCAAGTTCCCATAACAGATTTCGTGCCTACGCCCCCGCCGCATCAGGAACAGCCATCTTCTCCGCGTCGTGCGGACACCCTAAACCGCCATCCACAGTCACGTCCATTACCCGGTCCGCCCATCGAGCCGGAAATGGACCATGGCAACGGACGTGTAGGCTACAATGGTCGGGTCGAAAATGATCTGAGCTATGACGATATCATGAAAGAGGTGGAAGCTGCCGTAATGGAAGGAAGACCGGCGAGTGCTCGGCGTCATAATTCACGTACCAATCACGCCATCCAACAGCAGCCTCCAATCCAGGAAGCAGATGAAGTTTCTGGTGCCTCGCAAACCCAGTTGCGAGTGTCTCCTGATGTTACGCCCAGTCATATGAATGGCCACGAAAACATCAGTTCCACTGGTACCGGACAATATGTGAATTACAATGCCTATAGCGATGATAGCGAAGCCGAAGCGGCTGCTGGATTGGCCGCGTTACAGATGGCCGAAGAAGAAGAAGCCGCTATGCGCGCGAGACGGAGTACTCAGTCATCACTGCCTGCTGCATATTCATCGCACCAGGACCGTCCACCGAGCTCTGCGACCCCCGCTGAATCGAGCAGTGACAGTGATTACCGACGTCATGACATGGAGCTGTACGGTGGAGGTTATGATGCTCAGATGCACTACGGCTATGATTTCGGTGCAGTCTCTGGTAACAATCGCCTTGAGCCGACGTCGGGATCACATCGAAGTTCAACCAAGTCAGCGGAAGGTAAATCCAATGTCTCTGACTACGAGTACCCAAATATTGACGATGAGTCAATTCATCCTTTTCCTTCTTTGGCTCCAATTGCTCGAGTGGATACCTTCGGAACTGGCGGTCTATCCGACCCGTCGTTTAACCCAAGGAGATTAAGTTTTGATGATGGCGACGAAACCCTTCATTCGGGTAGGGCTGCCCAACAAAATTCATTTACTGCTACGCCAGAGGAAGGGGAACCTCAAGAGCTCTTTTTCCATCCCGGAATGACCTCTCGCCCCTTACCACCACCGCCTGTAAGCACGAGTTTGGCGACACATCTCATGCCTGCTGGGACTTATCGAAGTCAAGACCAAATAAGCCAGGATGTGTATGAACAGTATTCCCGGCCTCAGTACCCAACTACCCCTGAAGGATTTACTCAGGCCCATGCTGCGTCTTCGGCTGTACCTCGGTCGACGTCTTTCACTGGCCACACCACCACACCCCGCACTGATCCAATTATTCGCTCTAAGACTGATGCAGATAAGGTTAAAGTTAAGCAGAGCTATGAATCATCATTATCAACCCCGTCAGTCCCAATAGATCTCCCGACCATTCCTGCCGGAAAAAGAAAGAAATTTAACCCGGCGAAACTGTCAACGGAGCAGTTCAGAAGATGCACTGAACCATGGGCCCTCAGTGCTATCGTGGCTTGGGTGAAAGACCTGAGCGAGGATGAGACGGACTTGAAGCGGCAAGCCATCGTGGACGCGATTGTGGCATTGTTTACGCACAAAGTGCCTACAATGAATATTGCTGATGCCGAAACTCTCGGTGCACGCGTCGTAAAGGACATGTTTGATGCCGGCGCTCTGCTCCATGATGAAGAATGGGTCAAATTTGGAACAGAATCACTATCGGGAATCCTATGGCAAATCACTGGTCAAGGTTGCTATTCCTCTCGTCTTCACGCCGTGGAAACCGAGTCATTTGGCCGATGTTATTCATACCATTGTATGAGGACGTTGAAGAAGATTAACTTGCAAGCACAAATGATGGAACCCGAGAAGAAAGCCGAGGACTGGGCTACTTTTTACAAAATTGGTAAAGAAGTTTTTGAGACCCATTCGAAGAAGGAAATTGAGCGTCAAAACAATTTGCATGAAATCGTCACCACGGAAGATGCATTCATCTCTCAGCTCGACGTTGTACGGACGCTCTATCGCGATCAGCTTGCTGCTTCTCAACCGTCTATCATCAGCCCTAAACGACGCGACAGGTTCTTAAACGATGTTTTCGGCAAAGTCGACGAGATTAAGAGAGTCAATGAGAATTACTTGCTTGCTCAGCTTAAGTATCGTCAAAAGGAACAAGGTCCATTTATCGCCGGTTTCAGCGATATTTTCCGAGAATGGATCAGAAAGGCCAAAACTGCATATATTGAATATGCAGCTACCTTCCCCAACGCGAATTATCTTGTTAGGCGTGAAGCAGAGACCAATTTACTTTTCAGGCAATTCTTAAACCAGGCGAGAGAAAATAAGATGTCGAATAGGTTGAATTGGGACACCTACTTAAAGGCTCCTATCACACGCATTCAACGATATACCCTCCTCTTGTCTACTGTTCAAAAGAATATGGTCAAAGACTGTGAAGAAAAGACGAACCTGGGGCAAGCGATTGAAGAGATAAGATTGGTGGCAATGGAATGCGATAATAAAGTAGGTGAGATGACCAAGAAGGTAAATCTCAGAGAACTCGGTGCAAAGCTGCAATTACGACCAGAAATGAAACGACTCGTGGAGCTCAATCTGGAGCACCTCGGGCGCGAAATTATCTATCAAGGTGACTTGCAACGGCCAAGAACGAAGAGATTCAATTGGGTCGATACCCGCGCCATTCTGTTCGACCACTATCTGGTGTTAGCGAAGATTGTGACCAACAGGGACGTTAGCAAGTCTGTGAAATATGAGACATATGATGTCTCTAAACTACCGATTCCCATGGATCTGCTCATCCTTGAAAGCTCGAATGATGATCCTGTGATGAAATCATCTGTCAAGGGAATAACCGCGATTACCCCACCTGTCAAGCCAGGCACAGCACCTGGACAGTTGAGCCATACCGGCACGAGCAGCTCTACAAGCTCCGGGGTCTCCGTTGCGTCCAATAAGACGGTGGTTCCGAACACCGTTCTTGACGGTTCAAAGGATGATAAGATTTTGTATCCTTTCAAGATTAGACACCTTGGCAAATCGGAAGTCTACATCTTGTACGCAAACACGGCTAAAAGCCGACGTGAATGGTGCGAAAAAATCATTGAAGCGAAGACAAAGCACGCTGCATCTCTATATGCGCAGAATGCAGAACCGTTTAGGCTACGGGTTTTGTCAGACTCCGCTTTCGCCTACTCGGACTTTGCTATTGGGTCAAAGAGTGTTGTGATCAAGGGCACTCCGCTGGATCGGGCAATCGAAGAGGTAGAGAAGAGATACGTCAATAACTTGTCACGTCCTTTACCCATTTGTCGGGCGTCAGTGAATTGTGCTACAGTGTTCCAACAGCAGAACGGACATAAGATGTGTGCTGTTGGAACAGATTATGGTGTCTATATCTCGCATTACGACGATCCTCGAGGATGGACCAGGGTAAATTTTTCTTGTTCTTTTCTCTAGTCGATGGTTCTGACATTGTGCTATTAGGTAATTGGCATGTTACGGGTGACTCAAATTGCTGTGTTTGAAGAGTTCAACCTGTTCCTGTTGATCGCTGATAAATCTTTGATCGCGTGCCATCTCGACACTGTCTGTCCAGAGAAAGGCGCAGCAGCGGCCCAGAATGACTCGCAACGGCGTGCCCCCCAGAAGTTATCTGGTAATAGGGAAGTTGGTTTCTTCGCCGCAGGGCGGATGAAGGATCGTGCTCTTGTGTTTTACAAGAAGCGCGACGGAATCTCTTCGACATTCAAGGTGCGTGGGTCTTCGGCTTTCTCCTGTTATATGTACGCTTACTAACCGGATTATCAGGTGCTAGAACCAGTCGTCCAAAAGACATCTTCGTCGAAGACTCGCTTTCTGCGTAGAGGTCACACGGATTTTTTCCGTGAATACGATGAGTTCTATATCCCTGCAGATAGTTATAGCATCAATCTATTCCATACTTCTCTCGCTATCTCAACGTCTCGTGGAGTTGAGGTTTTAACTCTGGACAAGAAGCAGCCGTGGTCGGTGCCAATCCTGCGTTCGGAGCAAGTAGATGCTCAGGCACATCTTACACGTATCGCCAACAGAATAAAAGACCTTCGCCCACTAGGGATGTTTCGTCTAAGCGACAGTGAATTCTTAGTTGCCTTTGAAGAATGCGCAGTTTATGTTAACAAGCACGGCGACGTGAGCCGCAGCGTGGTTATGGAATTCGTCGGAAAAGCTCATTCAGCGTGTCTCTATGGGAAATTCCTCATCCTGTTCCATGAGGATTTTGTTGAAATCCGCAACGCTATGAACGGCCGTTTGAGACAGGTCGTTGCGGGAAAGAACGTGACGCTCCTCGATGACGGTGGCAATTGTAGCAATGGAGTCGGGAACTTAGGCAGCGCGCCGATATCGTCGATAATTGGGAACTTTAACGATGCTGCATCTGGTACTCTTGGCGGAGGTACGAACGGCCTTGGCTTGTCGAGTGGCTTCAGTACCGTCCCGCGCACGGTGAAGATCTGCATGACACACCCTGAATATGAGAGAAGTCAGATTGTGATCGAGTTAGTGGAGAATGAGGGACAGGAAGATTAAATCAAATTCTGAAGGTTTATATTATAATTACTTTTGAGGGCCTTCAGAAAGCCCCTGCAGGCCATGGGAATTGGGGATGGATGGATAAAATCTTTTTCGGCTATCAAACTTTTTGACCTCCTTTCGTGGAATTCTGGATTGTGGGACCATTCAGAAGATCTTTAATGACTTGGATTTTCATTGTCCTCTTCTTCATGACGATGGGTCTATTTTATTCGATTCTTGTTATGTGATGTGGATGCCATGTATAGAAGCCGACAAGAAGGGGATATGCTATGGCTTTTATATTTTTGTTCCCCATTTCTTGTGCGGATTTGGATTTCTTCTTTTATATGGATTCTTTTACGACGCTTTTGATGGCTGACTGGAACTTGATTAGCACTATTTTTGTTTCTTTGCGGGCCTTTTTTTTTTTTTTTTTTTTTCAGTCTGTTGGTTTCGTCACGAAATACATTTGCTTTTATTGATACCTTCATCTTCCTTTTAATTCTTCTTCCTTAATACCGCCATTTGTTATATTCTGGTCACTAGCTTTGCCTTCCTATTTGTTTTCATGATGCGTTTGTTTGAGCTCAGGAACTGGTATTGGATTTTCATTGCGTGCCCAGTGAGGTCATCTTGCATTCTAAGAGAAAACTAAACAGTTCATATTGATAGTGCCTAGACAAGATGCTTTTCATAGATATGAATGGGATTGTCATTTCAAATATGATGTTTCAAAATTCTAGTCCTATCCTATATGGTCTTAAGACCTACATATTTGTAGATACCTGTTCATAAATGTCATCACCGATTATCAGTACTTGATACGTACACTGGGGGTTCCAGATGTACAGCTCCCCAAGATCAACCGGCACCCCGAAGCAGTGAGACGCCCTGCAAAGGCAACCAAAACCCCAACATACAATACAGCCAATCACGCGATAGGTATCTCTCTAGGATTCAAACTCAACCTTGCCCACGGTTCCGGTTGTCCCTATTTTCCCAGTATCCCCGGCGGCTGGCGATAAGGAGGACGACAGCAGCCTTTCCTTCTCATATTTGCTCCCTTCGTCTCTCTCCCTCACGCTCATAACCTCCGCACCTTCGAGAAGATCTCTATCTCTCTCCCTCGCCACCTGCGCAGATCTATTATCCCTTCTTCGCTCGTCATACCCCACACCATCCTCATCCTCCTCGTCCTCGTCATCTTCTGTGCTTCGATTGAGCGCATTTCGCTCCATTTCACGCTGCGCTTCGTCCATCCGCTTCTTCACTTCGGCGGCCACGCGCATTCCGTCTGAGACAATATTATCTAGAACACCACGCAGTCCTTTGTGGCCTGGTGGTACAATGCCGCCGGAGGCGCCTGCGACAGTGGCGGCACTGGCAGGCTGAGAGGCTGCAGCGCGTGGCGAGCCTAGATTGGCGAAGGTGGTGAGGTTCGAAGAGAGGGATGCTGAGCGGGGTGCTGTTGCTGGGCGGTCGGAGAGGTGGAATGAACGAGGGAAGAAGTTTTCGAAGAATTGTTCCAGGAGTTCATCTGCAAGAATTACCATGCGGAACGTCGGGAGGGTGATGTGGAGTGGATGGGCCGGGTCAAGGGCGATGTTCGCTGCCTCTGAGGCGCGTTTTGAGGGAGAAGTTGGGGTGTTCTGAGAAGCAACGGCAGGCTTTGGCGGAGGAGATGTATCGCCTGAGGTGGCCGGAGCGGGAGATTCGTCTTTATTGTCGTCATTAAGATCTAGTAAATCATCGTCGTCATCATCACCGATGGCAAAAGAATCAAGTTGGTTTGCCGTTTCCGCGACGCTGTCGTTGATGAGGTTATCTTTGTTGTGAGGATGACTTGGGTCGGCGTATTCAAAGCACCTCTGGATAAAATCACTGACGCTTCCCAAAAACCTTTCTTCAGGGGTCAAGTTTGTTTTCATTCGAATCGGCAATTGATCTGAGTCCTCAGCCTGGGTAGGGTTCACGGTGCCTTCAAAACCCCGCCGAGAGAGGAACAAAAGTGCCTCTGACATCCGTAGAATGCCCTCTCTATCTACCTGTCCAGTGCCATCGTCATCATAAAGATCGAAAAAGTAATTGATCGTGCTCAAAATATCCCGAGTCCCCTTTATGCGAGCCAAGCCATTCACAACATTTTGTAGGCTTAGCCCTTCGTTTTTATCCACTTGCCACTTACGATAAAGACGTTGAATAAAGTCGTGATCGGTAGGTTCAGGATAGTTTCCGTCAAGGGACTTGCTGCCTCGTATGCTAGAACTGCGATATGAATCCGAGGTCGATTCCCTCATTGATGACCGCGGCGAGTCCGCAACCGCCCATCTCGCCGTAGTAGCCAAAAATTCCCGGAAACCATCATAATCCATGTGAGTAGGGCTTGGTCCAAGTCCAACGCGGCCGACCTGAGCTTCCACAGTCGTTGCTAAGACTGAATAACGAGCGGCGCTTTTCCTGTGTTCTCGGTCTTTACGTTTTTTCTCCTCTTCTATAAGCCTCATTCGCTGCTGTCTATCGTATAAAACTTCGTAAAAGCGATCGTAGATGGCGCCAAGGTCGTCAACGCTCAGCTTCTTGCTTTCTGGACCAAGATTTCGAATTGAAGTTCTCTTCGCAAAGCCTTCGATGCTGTCGAGAACTGCATTTTTGTGTCTCGCTCGTTCTTCGACGATGGTCGAGTGAGTAATTGCAGAGAACTCCTTAAAAGCCACTACCATAAGCTCTTGGAAGCGAGTGATGGCGCGCAGCTTCGGATTTTCGGATCGTGGGTGAGCAGATTCGTCTAAACGAGAAAAGTAGGATTTAAGGATAGAGATAAATGTCCCATCGTCGGTGACATCGAGCAGCTCCTCTCCGTTGATGCGTAGGATGGCAAGGCCAACCTGGAACAAAACCTTTGGGCCTTCGAGGAAAAAGACATCCAATACACGAAATGCAAATACAAGGGGCATCGAATTGATATACAAGGATAGAAACCATGGAAGAGACACGACAGAGAGCTGAACATCTGACCGCACCAAATGCTCCCAAAGAATCGGCATTGTCTTTTCAACAAGAGACTCGAACACTTTCTGGTCCAATAATGTTCCGTACATAGTCGTAGAATAATAACCTGGTAGTAGGCGATCACATAACACCGACAAAAGGAAAAACGCCTGTGCCTCGGACATATAGCTATGGAAGTTAATACAAGAAGCCAACTACAAAAAGGAACCGTTACTCACATTAACAGGGCTGCAACGACGATATTCATGGCCTGACAATATCCGACTTCTTCATTTATCCAACTGTATGCGGTCAAAACCCGTCGTAACCTCCCGATGCCTTCTTCGCTCTGGAACCCAGGATATTCAGGCAAACTTCGGTTTAGATCTTTCTCGATCTCATCAATTGCGAGAGATTCGCGCCCAGAAAACTTGGAAAGGGTCTCTTCGTATAGATTTGGTGACCTGAGTCGCATATAGAACGAACCGGAAGTAATTTCCCAGATCTCGCCGCGAAGTCGATTCGGGAGGCCCACGCGAATAAGCTTGTGGAAGGTAGGTTGTCGTATTATTGTCGCATTGCGACCGTTTTCTTAACGATTTAAACCTCAGCAAGAAAGCGGATCTAGCGCTAGGCATTCCGACATACCTCTAAAGTACTCTCCCCATAACCTCATCTTACTTCTATCTCTTAATTTTCGAGCATCACCGGGGTATCTAAACACCAACCCCAGCCCCGTATCAGGAGGCTCTCTCGGTGGAACGTCGGGATCGGCCTCGTCCCTGTGCTTTCCTGTTCTTCCAGCCAAAAAAATATATTCAGAATGACATTCTGAAACGACATTTCGGAGACTATCGACTTCCTTCATACTCTCTCTCAATCCCTTTTTCAGCCCGTTGCAAAACCGTTCGCAAGCCTGCCGACTACCAACAAGGTGGAGCGTGAACCTCTGTGGTGTCGCCTGCGCGTCTTTACCACTCCCTTTGACCAACGCACCATTCCACGTCGTCAACGCCAGGGAAAACACATGACTAAGGCTATTCAGCCGCTCTACTCTCCGGATCGAACAGAGCGGCAGAGTAAACCCACTCCCCGACGGACCAGTCCCGTGTGTTTGTCCTGTAAACGCCGACGACGCGCCAAAACTTGCAGATGGCAAGAAACTCGTAGGCTGCGTAGAGAAGCACAAGAATCGTTCGCTCAGGTGTAGGTTACCCGGGTACGTATTTCCCACTCGCCCCACGTCTCGGGGCCGTTCGCCCTGCGTAGCGCTAGAAATGGACGACGCGGAGGAGGAGGAGTAGGGCACGGGTAGGACGAGTTCGGCCGTGATCTCCTGCAGCGGGTTCTGGGAGTCTGGAAGACGGAACTGCTGGCGGAACAGGGATCCCTTTGAGGGATTGCGGTCAGAACTGCCAGTCGAGGCAAAGCCGAAGTTTGCAGCGTCTACGAGCGACTGGGCCTTCTGAACGAGGGAGGAGAGCTGGAACATTGTGGCTAAGGATCATGTACGGCGCATATGAAACGGAGAGGAACGTGTTGTTTGCCGGCTCGGAGAGGATTCGCGGATCGTGGAGGCAAGGCGGTCGCCGCGATGCGAACTAGAGGGAGGCTCCGTCACAGGCAGAGAAGGTCCAACAGCATCGTAAGAAGTGCTGTTGGGCGAAGGACCAGCGAGCCAAAGAAAACCAAAAAAGGACAGCAGCTCAAGACCTGCAGCTCATGCTCTGCAGATGCGTACAGAGTATTGGGAGAGTATTGTCTGCGTCGACGCGCTGCTCCTGATATGCAACTTCAGCCAGCTGCAGCTAGCCTCGGCGCTACGATGTTCCTCCCCGGGGCTGCTCAACGGCGCATGGATCGTATTCAGGCGGAGATCATCATCAAACGGTTCAGCTGCCGTTTGGCTACGGGCTAATAATTCATTTCCAGGATAAAATTCACAAATTTACCTAAAGGCAGAAAGATACATAACTAATAGACAAGCAGACAAACTGTAGTAGGAAAGCCAAGTCCGAAATTCATATCTACCAAGGCGGACAAAACAAAACGGTTCAAAATCAAAAGTAGAGATTCAAGAGTTAGAATCGAAAAGAAAAAAAAAGAAAGGAAAAAAAGGTCGATGCAGTCTCCGTCGAACCCCCCGTTGTCTGGTAAATAGTAAGTACTCCGTACGTGTGGCCTTTTCATGTATTTCCCCAAAAAAAAAGAGCATGATGACACGTAGGTTCAGTTTTCAAAATCGGAAATCAAGTTTACTCCTTTTCAGCAGGAATGACAATTTTGCCGTAATCACTTTCGTCATAGTGAGGTGGCAGATCGTGTTGCTCTTCCGCCATAAGGGCTTCTTTCTCAGGAGCAACTCCTTGCTCCTGATCGACAACGCGCTTGTTGCTGTGTCGGCGGAAGAAAGCTCGGGCTGCAACAAGACCACAGGTAAGTTGAATTGCAATGATAGCAATGCTGGTAACGGCGACAACGCCGATGAGACCAGGAAGGAAAACGGTTTTCAAGATGTGGCAGAATCGGTGAGCGAAAGTCTTAGATTTGTGTTGCTGATGAGTATGATGATGGCCGCCATGTTGCATCATATCGTGGCCTGGGCGCTGGTGCTGCGAGCTACCAACTTTGTGTGGTCTGCGATGGCATCCTTTGACCTTGGCCGAGACCTTTTTAGCAATGGCGAGAGCACGGAGTTTCGCCGAAATAACAAAGGCACGAATGCGAGCAAGGATAAGGTGCTTCAGGCATCTACGATCCCTTCGGCACTGTCGCCACGATTTCTTTGGCATCGGAAGGACACCGGCCTTGGATGTGACGATCGTAAGATCTCCATTTGGAGATTTAATGGTGGGTAAGTAGACAGTAGAAACTGGGACCGGGAAGCCGCCAAGGTCAAGAACGGTGAAGTGGAATAAAGTCAGCTTCGAGTCTGAGTCAGGGACGTCAACAACCTGGAATTCTAGGCCATATCCAACGGGAACAGGAGTGGATGCTTTCATGTCCGACTGGCGGTGGAGGACTGTTTCAAGGGAAACCGGTCGGTTCTCTAGCGGGAAGACTTGACGGCCGTTCACGGAGAGGGCGTTACCCTCGGTGGTGAAGTTAAGAGGCTGCCAACAACATCAGGGTCAGTAAAAGTTCGCCTGAAAATGGTATTGCCAACCATCGGATTACTTACCAGCCAGCTATCCCATGCATCGTTCAAAACAAGCTTGGAATCCTCGGAAAGAGAGGGAAAGGGACATTCAGGGCACTGGAGCCGTAAACCCAACTCATGGGAGCCGCCATGGTGAGCGTTGAGATTTGTCTCTGGGACAACCAGGAAGGCAGCGGACTGGAGCGCCAGCAGACTTGCGGTAAGGAACTTTGACAGCATCTTTGCTGGCTGTGGATTTAGAGGGATTCGATCATCAAAGGGAGGAGCTGCGGGAAACGGAGGTTGTCGGGATTATATGACAGGGGGCGTGCTTAAAGAGAGGTTGATCGACTCCTCGTGGGCTGGTTTCGCAGGTGAGGCTGAGGCGGCGATAATGAAACTTCGTCGGAGCAGACTCGGAGGGGGGCGGCCAGGTCTGGGGATTGCTCCGTCCCACCACCGACAGGGTTGTCGAGCTAGCCGGCACCTCGCGCTTGGTTGGTTCTATTTTCAGAACTCGCATGATCCGCCTCTGGGATCGTCAAACAAAACACAACAGGGGGTCGACGGAGACTGCAATCGTGAAGTGACTCGAGGTCACTGAACATCTTCAAAAAACGTCCCTCTCGGGACACCAACAACCGACGCAATAACCAGGTCAATCGTGTGCCCAGCCAACCTCCTCCCAAAAAAGAAAAAAAAGGAAAAGAAAAAGAGGTAGGTTAGTTACATGAACAGTATCGGGCCTCAGCACCAATCCCAAAGGAGGGCCAACAGCCACGAATACATGCAAGGAAAGATACATGACTTCTGGTTGACCATCATCCCAGCCCTGAAGGCGGGACGACTGGTCGTACATGAATAACCATATTAAACCAGAATCAAACCCCCTCCACCCTATTTACACACCGAAATGGAAGAGGCCGGCTGAGCACACGATGTCAAGTTAGTATATAATCCGGAACCCACCCAGGATCATCGGGCAGAGCATGCTGCACCCTACCCAAGCATAACCCGGTCAATCTGCAGCCAGTCGCTGAGATCGAATCTCAACTCCTGGAGCCAGAACGGCCAAGCAGACATGCCTCCCACTTCGGAAACGACGGTATTGGCTTCGAGCCATATCTGCTGGTCACCGCTGCGGCCCCAGAGCGTGATGAATGCCCAGAGCAGCATCAGGAAGACGAGGAGCAAGCCTCTCCCCCATCTGCCCTCCGAGATTATCACCGGCTCTGTCTGCACCAGGCTGTCACTCGTTTCCGGAGGCACATCGGCCTCAGTCTGAGTCAAAGCCTCCAAGACGGCGACTTCAACCTTGACTGTCTGCATCGAAGTGTCTACCACCTCCACACTCGCGGCCGGAGCCGTTTGTGTAGAAGCCTCGACGAACTCCGACACAGGAGCCTCTGTGATAGTGGACGCGTCGACCACGCCCTCACTCTCCAGCGAAACGAGGAGATTCCGTTCCACGGCTTGGTCAGCTTCCAGATCTCCAAGGTTCTTGTCATCCTCGCTGGGAACCTGGGCAGCAGCGTCTCGTAGACACTCGACGTGCTTTCCGGCGGTGGTGATTTCCTTGGCTGCCTCAATCGCCTGAGTCAACGCCTCGTCACCGATTTCCAGCTCGGACTTGGTTGGGACCTGTTGCTCCAAGCCGTTTTCACCGACCTCGGTGTTGTCCTCCGCGACCTCTCCTCCCGCGATCGCCGCCCAATCAGCAGCCTTGACAGCGTTAGACTCGGCGGACTGCTCCTCCTTGGACTCAAGTTGAGCCTTGAGCTCGAGGTTTTCCTCAAGCAGGAATCGGCAACGCGTCTCCGCCTTGTCTAGTTGCTGAAGGATTTCATTCTCACGCTGATTTGCCAAAGACAGCATTATCTCTTTTTCCTCCTCCCACAGTTCTCTGCGTGGAAAGAGGCGGGCATAGTCCTCCTTCAGAGCGCGGATTGTTTGGTTCCGACCCTCACAAATCCGGCCCAAAGCCAGGACCACTTCCTTGAGTTTCTGGAGCTTCTCTTCTCCGCTGCGAGAGCTGTCAGCCAGCATCTTTTCGAGTGCAGCGGAGTCGAGGCCCTTGCCACCCTGCACGTAGAGATCGGACATCTCATCGTGTGCAGAGATCTGCCCCATATACGTCGCCCACGCGCCCGGCGCTGGGCACACAGGTGTGCGCACAGCAGGGCGTTCTGGACGACGCGCTGTCTTCTGTCGGTGGACGACGGCTGCGTTCGTCGGATTGGCCACATTGGTTCCACTCTGAACTCCAGCTTTTCCTAGGCCGCTCTCCCGAGCTGGAGTTCCTTTCGCAACCGATCCCTCTCTCATCGCCGCCAATCGGGAATCAAATTGTCGGCTTGACGGGTCCACCGCGCCCGAAGGAAGCTTTGAGGCCGGTGGACCCGCCAAAGGGGTTGTCGGACCCGATGGCTGTTGTTGCTGTCGTCCCTTTCCGGTGTTGCTTGGCTTGGGGGACTGTGATGACGAAGGCCCGCTGGAGGATTGGGTTGGCTGCCCAGCGGGGTTGTGAGGAGATTGGCTGGGCTTGGTCACTCTCAGGTGAAGAGGAACTTGGTTACCAGCCGGGGCTGGTTTTTTCTTGCCGTTCCTTCTTCTGGCGCCCTGAGAGCTTTGCGGCGTGGCAGGCTGCTTGCCCTTGCTGTTGCCACCCGAGCCTTGGGATTGGTTGGGAGTAGTCGAGGTCGGATTCTGTCCTTGGTTTCCGGCCGCCCGCTTTCCCTTGCCTTTTGACGCGTTAGATTGGCTTTTTGGCGCCATTTCGTCGAAAAGAGCCAACTGCTGCTTGTTCGACGAAGTGAAGTTGTCAAATCGCGATGGGACCCGAAGTCCTCTCGAGCGACTTTAGGCGAAACGCTTGAGCTGAGAAAGCTAAGGGAAAACTAGGCATAATATGTTAGCTGAGGCTCGATGTGCATGTTTATATGTGAAAGATATGGGAACCTACCGTGGGTACTACCAGGGACAGGCGGTGATCCGCGAGTCCACGCGTTCGAGAGTCGATATGGACACGAGGTCGCGAGAGATATCACCTAGCCCGGTGCTAGGTAATGACGAACCACGTGTGGTTAAGCTCAAACTTGATGGTCGAAACTCGAGCGAGGGTAACAACGTGAACTCGAGAGAAAAAGGAGGCAGTTCGCTGTAAAGCGAGAGTGAAGAGCGAAGCTTTAAAAATGGTTAAAGAAAAAAAAGGGGTGAAGCGGAGAGAGCTTGCTCTTGGTGAAGTGGTCAAGTGAAGTCAACAGGAACCGCAAGGAAGAGAAGAAAGAAAGGAAGAGGGAGAGGAAAAGAGAGAGAGAGAGAGAATCTTATATAGTGGCGTCAGATCACGCCCTCGCTTAGCTCAACCCGTGATCTTGTTTACCTGGAGATGTGTTCCTATAGGTTGCTAGGCGGCGCGTTACGGGAGTTCCCGTGCATCAAAATTGATAGACTCGAGGGTCTGCATAGCAACAGCTCGTCTGTTGTTCTGCTTGTGGGCTACCAGGGTCTCCTGATGTGTTCCTCGGGGGGGGAAATTCACTGCTCATGCGTTGTAACCCACAGAGGCCCCTTATACCTGGGGGATTGCAGCGTCTCTAATAAGTGATCGCAAACAAGGGCTTCAGAAGCCCGTCAATCCGTCGACTGGAAGACTGTAGAAGCCGCTATCTGCTCCCTTCTACAGGCGAGTTCAATGGTCTTTTACAGCGGACTCGCTTAGGCCTGACAGCTTGTTTTATGCCCCTGATACTCTTAGGGGGTAGTACTACTTTGTTGCCGCCCTCAGCCATTGTTTTTGCATGTTTTAATGGTTAAAAAAGAGAGCTCTTTTTGACCACCTTTCCATTGTGCTGCTCGCCTTGTTGCGCTCGACGAAGTCAGAATTTCCGCATCGGGAAACTCATATCACGTGATTATCACCTTCTCAGGGGCAGCGGGCGGCTGGAGGAAGCTCTGAGCGTCTGTTCGATGCGAGTAGCCCATTGAGAGATTCGAGTGCAGCTGATCGAAGTGGTAAGAGCAAATGGAATTGTCCCAAATAGTAGCTTTCGAGAGTATTTCAAAACTCTGTATGCGTTCCAATACACACGTGTGTCAAAGCGGTGCCAGGCGCAGCAATTTCTAGCCCATACAAAATGGATAGCAGTCAAATAAACATTCTTAAAACCTCTTTATAAATCACACCCTGTCTCAAAGCCTCCCCGAGAACATATTCAGTAAAGATTCGCTCATCAAAGCTTTGAATTCTTCATCCCCGAAACGCCAGTTATTCCCTCCCCAGAAAGAAGGAAGTCAGGGTATTTGAATCCGAGGCCTGATCGGCCAGACTGTGTTCTCCAGGCACCTCCATCAACTGTTCATTGCGTTGTCAGAATAGCTTTAAACGTGAAGCAAGGAAGGAAATTCAGGACACGTACCGACTATAGTAGAACCAGTCACGTAGTTTCCAGAATCAGAGAAGAGATACACCGTGGCGTCTGCAATCTCTTTGACGGTGCCGTACCGTCCCAGTGGGATGGCAGATTGGTCGGCTCCCTTCTTGGCGAGACGTCGCATGCCCTGGATTTGCCATGTTAGCCCAAAGTAAAGTTGGCATTTGGTTGGTTCCGCCATACCTCAGTGTCTCCGATGGGTCCTGGAGCAATGATATTGGAAGTCACACCAAATGGACCATACTCGATGGCAACACTGTTTGAAAGGCCATCCACGCCGGCCTTGGCCACTGTAACGTGTGCCTGTAGGGGTAAACCGGTGTAGTGGATGGTTGCACTGACGAAGATGATCCTTCCTCCGGTCCCAGTAGGAGATGCTGGATGGAAACACAATAATTGCTCAGTGGTGAACAGCAATAAGCAGACGGTCAGTGGAACCGAGAATACTTACGAGTCGCTCCATCGGATTTGTGTTTTGCGGCGGATTTCAAGAGATAAGGAACGGTGGCTTTCAGCGTGTTGTACGAACCAAGAACGTCGATATCTATGACTGACTTGAAAGCATTGACTGACAACTGTTCGATCGAGGCCAGAAAGTTCCCCGCAGCGCCAGCACTGTTCGTTTTGAAATGTTAGTTGAAATTAAGTCTGATAGCAAAAATTCGCAGCATCGTCGTACATGACAAAGTCAATTCCGCCCAGCTCCTTCACACATCGGTCAACGGCATTCTTCAGGCTGTCGATGCTTCTGACATCAACAGCCCCGATGCCGATTACTTTGGCGCCTGGACGGGCAGTAGCAATGTCTCTTGCCATTTGCTCTGTCTTCTCAACATTGCGTCCCACGATGCAGGCATTTGCGCCTAGATGGACCATGGCCCGAACTTGAGCGCTGCATACTGTGCCAGAGCCACCGGTGCAGAAGAGGACTTTGTTGTCTGCAGGGAAGAAAGTAAGAAACCAGAATCATCAGCGTTCTCAGGGATGGGCGATGAGATGTACCAAAAATGCCATCCCTCCACACATCACTCAGGTATGCAGATTTGGGCAACGACATTTTGGGGACAAGGTAGAATGTAAAATCTTTTAAAATATAGTCTATTGGTTCAAGAAACTACATAAGACTTGGGTGGAGGATGACAGACGATCACTTTTATAGACTTTCAAAGCATATCTTAATGCTGGAGTTCCCTGTCAAACTGCGAAAGTAACGAACCTCGGCAGGGCAGAAGCCAGCCAGATGGTCAAAGAATTAATTACGAAGTGACTAAGCTTCAAGCTCCCCCCACAGGGTCTTTCAACGTATACCGTGCACACAGTACGGAGTACTGAGTACCGGGGTTTGTATGTTCCTCGCCGTTTTGTCTCCGTAGTGACCTAACTACGCCTTTAGCGATGACTTCTCATGATGTAGCTGCTGCGGCCCGTTCGAACGGTGAAGCCCAAGCCCGACTGGACCTCGGCGCGGTCCAAGAAGCTGGGTGGAAACTATCCCTCAAGGAATGCAGGGCGGTTTCAGCGCTTATTCCAGCGATGCGATGGATAGCGTTCCTCGAGTAGCATTCCCATTCGCATACTCTCAGCTTTTCAAAGATAGAAACCAATCCCGCCTCAGAATCGCTTTTTCTCCCTTCGTTCCGCCCTGCGCTGCCAACCCGGGGATCCGATTACATAAGCCAAGACCGCTGGCTGGCGCCGGCCGTTCCATGACGACGATGATATAAAAAAAAGCCACGAACAGACAGCAGAGACGGCAGCTTGGGGCTGGTCCTGTGTCGTGGGCAGTGAGCAGCTATTATCCACAGCATTGCTTATGCATTGTATGACTAGACGACTTCACTGTTGAGAATTGTAATTCCCCCAGTGTGTTTTGTACCAGCGAAAATTTCTTGTTCGACATATCGATCTGCTATCTGTGGCGAATGGGAATAGGATTGGCTACGCTACGAAAGAAAATAATATTCACTTAGGCTGCGTGCAATAGCTCGTCTCGCCATGGCTTGTCCCATCACAGTCGCGAAGTTCGTCGGAACGATTTCCCTCGGCCTGTTGACCGTACGTTATTCATATTCCGCCCGTTACTCCACGAAGGCTTCCACCACTATCACCAGACGAACCGCTTTGCTAACCAGCTCTCTTCTTGTAGGGTCTATCATACTCCGTTTCAACCGTTACAATCCCCGCTCTCCAGCTTCTCCCTAGCGCGAACACCGCCGCCGAGACTCTCAATGACATCCAACTCCGTACCCGCAGACGGGTGCTCACTCTTTCGAACCTTGCCGCTATCTCTCTCATCTCAGCCTTCACACTCTCGTCTCCCCGCAGAAAACATCCGTATCTCATCTGGACCAGCCTTTTCGCTCTGATCGGAGGCACGGGTCTCGAATTCTGGTACAATCGCAAGGCCATGTCCTGGGGCTGTCCCCTCCCAAGGTCGTTGTGCCGTAGCCCCTCCTCCGCCTCCGCATCCGGACCGTGTCCCCTTAGCTTCTGCTCCTGGATCACAACCCATCTCGGCTGTCGCAGGACCCAGGTGCGGAATGATCGAAGACGCGAAGAGGAAGAGTCGAACGGCAACGTAAGTGAGATCGAGATCGTGGAGGAATCTGACGCCCTGCCCACGCCTGCCAGAACCACCAGGGAGCAGTCCACAACTCCGGTCGAGCAGGCAGAGATGAATGGCGAGAGTGTGAAAGAAAGTATGGAGCGGGAGCGAAATATCCAAAGGATCAGATCTTGGATCGTCGGAGTGGCTTTCTCTATGGGCGTTGTGGGTATCTGGGGAGACAGCGCTTAAGGATGTCGATATCGCGTTTCATCCACTGACGCCGGGCTACCACCAACCCACTGTATCTCTCACCTGGATCCGAGTGAATCAGCTGATCACTCGATTTCTCGAGGCCTTTTCTTCTTTTTTATGAGAAAAACTCTTACCATTGATTTGCATATATATTTCGAGAGGCGAAGGCTAGGTGGTTGGATGATAGGCGTATTTTGCTTGTTCCCGAATCGTCTACACTTCATCTCCTTCTCTACTCTTTTCTTTTCCATTTATGGGATCATCCATCTTTCGCTTGATATGCAACAGGAGGAACCAGATGGTCGCAGATAGTTAGAAAGATCGAATGTAAATTTAGGAGCTAACCGGATAAAAGGCGACGGGCCGGTATTCTACGAATCTTTTGTGCAAATATGTATTTTATTTATGGTATATTATCAATTTGCACTGCTTTCCAAAGCACTACTATCAGCCAGGATGAGTGATTTGGGACATGAAGAAATATCCTTTCATGTTGTTAATGCTCCAGAAAAATGAAATATCACTCTCTGATTTTCTTATTGCTGTTCTGATGACTCTACTATTACAGGATAATGATGGAAAATCATCAAAGAAGTTGACCTCGTTGCAGCAACAGGCCAGGCAGTTGTCTCACATCTCTGCAAATGCAGGAATCAATGCAGAAAATCAATAACCTATCTTCACCTTTTTCCTCCCGCAAATTTTCATTGTCTCAATAACCCTACGCTTCTTCGTCGGGCTTTGCATTTCCACATGCATATCACTTCCACGCATCTTTCTTTTCAAGGGAGACTCCAGATGCCTGTCAAGCAGCTCATCTTCAAGGAATGCATGGCGCACATATACATCAATGGGCGGCCGCAAAGGGTGTGTATCCATGATCCAGTGCTCATCAGAAAACAGTCGACGGATCCAGCTCTCATTCACCTTCATCATTTCAAAGTTCCAAGCGCTGCTGTTAATGCAGATGCCACGAATTTGAAGTAAAGAATTTTCTGCTTTGCAGACCGGATAGATTCGACCTCCGAATGCACGCGTTTCCCAACCAGTACCAGCTTCGCGACATGTGATTCCAGGAGGAGTTTCGAACGGCTTGCCGTCAGGGCGTAGTCTGCCTTCGTGAATACATTGGAATTCCAGTACATGGGCTAATTCATGGCATAGCAATACTGCTAGGAAGAAGAGAGCGGCGAGTTTTTGACTGTCTCTCGGCCCACAATCCTTGAGAAGACGAATGAGATTGTAGTCTAAGACAATCAAATCTGATGCAACATTGGGGCGGAGAGTTGTTTGCGCGAAAGAGCAGGAATTTGGTTCCATGTCAGGATCAAAGTCAATGTCAGGCATCACATTTTTGACCTGACTGATAACTTCATCCTTTGATAGTTCAAGCTCTCCACCTGAATCAAGCCACCCTTCTATAGGGCTATGGTGCTGACGCCGGACAAATATTCGGAGTGACTCCCAACGTTGGATTATAATTCGCGAGGCGAGGAGGAGGGCTGGTTCAATTAGTGTGTATGCGTTATCAGTGACAGGAGTTTCTTTGCGGAGCATTGGGAATCTAGCTCGTGGGAATAGATTTTCAATTTGAAGGCTGCAGAAGCCATGAGGGTAATCACTGTAGTCTTCAAGGATAAAGTCTTCATCGCGGAAAGCAAATGCCGTGTCCTCAGTATGTGTGTTTGCCATATTTGCCATATAGACCTATTCTTGAGACTTCAAGTGCACTTCAGGTTAACTGTCAAAGGTTGACTTAGGTCAGGTGTGATTCGGCACTTTCTTGACTCACATTTCAGTCGTGATGTGGCGATGAACAAATAATGATTCTCGGATTCGTCGGCTTTGGGGTGACTCACGTTGAATCACGTGAGTTGAATTTCCTGTTATGGCTGGAAAGTGAGAGGGGCAAGAGCAAATCAAAATTAAAAAAAAAAAAAAGCTTCTTGGGTCGTAATATGCTTCTAGACGTATTATACTCCTACGGAGAGGAATGCTTCTATACATTCAGGAGCTGGCTCACCGCGTATACTTACCAGCTGCTTGACTTGGTCTATGTAGCGATATTCTAACATCGATCCGTAGAGGTAAACAGGCACCTCCCAAAACAATAAAATAAAGTTGAAGGAAAAGAGAAGGGGGGACTGAAAAAAAAAAAAAATGAGAGAACAGGCAAGATAGAAATTATAGTTTCGGAACCACCAGTCCCTGCTTAATCTCCTCCTTCGCCTGCTCCCTCAGCAATCTCTTCAAAATCTTCCCACTCGCATTCTTCGGGATCGAATCCACAAATTTCACTCCACCCGTTAAGCTCTTATACTTGGCTAACCTGGCGGCCGCAAATCTCTTCACCTCCTCTTCACTCAAGCTCTGCGCCTCTGGCACCGGCTGCCTCACCACAATGGCCCGCGGGTGCTCGACCTTCTCTTCCCCTGGCAAAGTCACCCCAATGACGGCAGCATCCATGATCAAAGGATGAGAAAGCAGCACGGCTTCGATCTCCGGCGGTGCTACCTGGAATCCACGCACCTTGATAAGTTCCTTCTTACGATCGACGATATACCACTTCTTGGTCTTGCTGTCGCAGTAGCCGATGTCTCCCGTCTTGAAGAAGCCGTCAGAGTCAAACGATTCAGCGTTCGCGTGCGGATTCTCAAAGTAGCCCGAGATGATAGTTGGACCACGAACGCAAATCTCGCCGCGGGTGTCATAGGCAGAAATGTTGTTGCCGGAATCGTCTATGAGCCTGGTGAAGTTATTTAGTTTGTGTGGACATAGGGATATAGCCAGTTCATTGGGAAATGGACAGTTTTGAGAAGGTAATAAAGGTTAAAGCTCAAATACTCACTTCATCTCAAGGCAAGGGATAGGCCGCCCAACAGAGCCTGTAGTGTCATCTTCCGGCCAAGGGAACCTTGTCGCAACGCAGGAAGTTTCAGTCATGCCCCATACCTGGGTGTATCTCCCTCGTTCGCTCAACAAAGCACGAAACTGCGCTTGAACGCCTTTATCGAGAGGAGCAGCGCCCACTGCTCCGCTCCGTACACTTTTCAAAAAAGGTTGTTTGGACAATGGCGATTTAACGATAGCAACGGCCATTGGTGGAACGGTAGAGGCCTCAGTGACTTTGTATTTCTGAGAGACCTTTAGAAACGCTTCAAGATCGAAACGGCGCATGACGTAGACGACATGTCCGGCTTTGAGTGCACTGGTATGTGTCGACGGCACAGCGGATGCATGAAACATTGGAACTGCCACGATGCGCGAAATCTGCACAAAGATAGGATCAGGACCCAGGCCCTAGTTGTTTGACTAGACCTATCGAAGCACAAACCTCATACGGTAAGGAAATCACCCCAAAAACCAGCTCATGCTGGGCGATAAGATTATAATGACTGATCACAGCCGCTTTGGGGAGCCCAGTGGTTCCACTGCTGAATAGCCTCGCTGCTGTGGTATTCTTACATGTGTCTAGGTCATTGAACCGTACCCAATCCTCTTCGCCGTAGTTCATGAGGTCGGTCCATGAACTGCAACCAGGTGGCAGAGGTCGTCCATTAGTGTTAAAAACCCAAACTCTCGAAGAGGGGATATTATTATCCTTGGCCGCTAAGAGGACATTTTCCAAAATTTCGGGCTCCGAAATCAGGAAATTGACCCGAGCGGTTTTGATATGGTGTGACAGCTCAAATTGGGTGTAACTTGGATTCGTCCCCGCGAAGACACCGCCAGCACCAATCACTGCAAGGAAGAGTATTGGGTAGTAGATCTAGTTCACATTCAATTAGCATTGTGCGTGAGTTTTCAGTATGGCATTTAACCCGTACGTCATTGAACGAGTGGACATTTAGGCAATCGCCGTTTTTGAAGCCGTTTGCCCTCAGGCCGGCAATAAGTTTCCGAACCAACACTCGAGCCTGATTACACGAAATTGATTCCGAGGCATTGTGCGGATTAATATAGATCTGGATATAATTAAGCAACGTTGAAATCACCCAGCAGGTCGATGGAAAGGGGGGGGAGAGAGTTTCATTTACTGGCTTGTCTTGATCATACTGGGGATCGTCAAAGATCCAAGAGAGGATATCCTTGGTCGGCAAAGGCAGATATTCATCTGGCCTAAAGAAATCCATAGTTGCAGAAGACATCCTCATAGATACCTCCTTAGGATCGATGGGTACTTCAGGCTCTTCGTGATCAGTTTTGAATTAGTATAGAATGAGAATGAGAGGAGTGTCGACAAAAACGCTAATATGGAAAACACATCTTTCGGGAATAGAATGCATATTCCGACGACTTCGGCCATTTTCTGACAGCAAGTTATATGGCACATAGCTACCTACTAGTTACGTTGGAGAAAGGGCTGGATCGATGCCGTGCTGTCGCCGACCCCGCAGACACTACCGGCACCAACGAGGTACGAGGCCCAGCAATCTGCCGGGCCTGAAGAGCACCTGAGGGATTTCCACCCCCTCAAAAAAAAAAAAAAAAAAAAAGGGAAAGTCAAGGGGATTTTTCTTTGTCTTTTTTCATCTCTTTGACTTCTGGCTCCATGGCGCTTGGCCACGATAAATGCCGGCCCTTTCACGATAATTCCCTACATGCGGGAAGTCAGATAGTTAAGCAGCAAAGGAGCATTGTGTGCCTCCCCCATGGCATTCAGGCGTGTTTCTCGACAGAGCTGGCCGGACCGCCGTCGCCTTGGGCTGTGAAAGCTCCAAAGATAGCGCAGCCGCTGGGCGGGGAAGGCAGCCGGCAAATTTTGGCAGAAGGCGGCCAAGACAAGGTAGAGAGATACATAGCGAGAGACAAAAGACGCCCAGAGACTCTCATGACAAGACAGCGCGAAGAGCGAGGTAAAAAAGGAGGGGGGCTTTTTCGAGACTAGAATTTGACCAATAAGAGGGCAAGGAAATACTTATTTGGTGATATTTCATTGGCTAGAGTTGTTAAAAATGACTCCTTAAATCGACCAATGGGATCGGACGGCTGGGCAACCTTAAATCAACCACTTCGACGGCTCGACTTGGCAGGACGACAAAACCATCGAAGCGAGGCGGCCGCCAGCATAAAAGAAGCAAAGTGGTGGCATCGCCCGCTCTGTTTTGGACTATTTTCCCACCCATTATGATAACTCCAGTTGACAGGTCGTGAAGTCAGGATCTTAAGCTAGTTCTTGTGACGCCACTGGGCGGATATCACGGGAGGACGGTTGTGCACCACGCGGCCACTGGGGAGATCGGACAGGCTGCCCAGCATGTCTTGCAGATACAGGGGGAAAAAGCAAAAAGAGGGCCCAAAAAAAGGAAAAAAAGAAAATAAAAGCAAGGAGAAAAATGTGAAATATTCATTTGTTTCATTCTCCGGGTGGACTTCGGCGTCAATGAAAGACCAAGCTGTGGCATGCCTGATTTGGCGCTTCATTGTCTTTCAAATGTGAATCACTCTACTCCGTACTCTGTACTAACACGCAATTCCCTGCAGCAATCTAACATGTCCACTGCACACTGCGTCTCTTCCCGCCGGATATCCACCTTTTGGGGGGCCTTGACTTAGCGGACCAGACCTGTCACCTTCCCCCCGGGACCTACATTCCGCTGGCTGGCGCGCGTGTGGGCTCGGAAGGACGCACCAGCTTATATGCTTTTTGTCTGCCGTTGACCGGGACGCCAGCAGCCAATTCAACATGCACACCGCTTAGTGTCCCAACGTGACGGCGTAAGACCAAGGACCCATTGGCTAATGACTTGTGTCGCCGCGCTTCTACGGCTGCCAAGCTGTCGTTTGCGGCATCCCACGCTCAAGCTGCCCATCATGCAGGAACTAGACCAAGTTTATAAAGGGTTCACGGCTACCTGCATGCATCCGTCGCGCCTCCTTTCCCTCGGTTTTAACGTCCGATCCGCAGCGTTGGGAGGATCCGCTGCCCTCACTCAGCATTAGTCTCGAGAGCAGAGTGATGTGAAGTTTCTCACACATAAGCCTACCTGACTAGCTGCATCCTCACCGCTTCCAACAGGTACCCTTTTCTCGATTTTGGACCAGTATCAAGATTAGCAATCCGGACCGCTACACCCATGCAGCCGGGGCTTCAACCAACAATGAGCCCCAGTGTAAGCATATCCTACTCCCTTCCCCCAACGGTGAGTCTGCGCCTTATGCTGCGTTTGTGCTTTGGACTGGGGTTTTAGAATGGTGCGATTGGCCTTCTGGAAGCTCTCATTTTCTCTCTCCATTCGAAAGACTAGCCTCTCATGGGTAGCCACAGCCCAACTGCCAATGGTTCCAGGTCTGGCCGCATGGAACACTGTTACATCACACTCAAAAGCAATTTCGGCACCAAAAAAAGCAAACTATCCTTCCATATCGAGTGTTGCAAGATTCGGAAAGTGGTTACGGTCGTGGAGGAGCATCCCGACCTTGCCGTCTCTGCCTCCCTCCAGTAATATCCCCGGATCAGCCGTTTTCTGCCAGATCTACTATTCCAGGCGCTATGCAGGATGGATCCTCGAAGTCTATCTTTATCCTTTTCAACAAACTGAAAAAATGTGGAGTTAAAAATTTCGCCTGGCAAGCGTTATCCACTTTAGTGCAGCTGCAGCGCCAGCTTTCTTTCTTTTGCATTTTATACCATACATTAGTATGTGCAGTTTTGGTCAATATATATACATTGCTCCTGCTTCGTCTATTGGTTGGCCTATGCTTTTCAAATATGTCATCATATGAAAAGCTAATCTCAGTTCAAAGTCATGGCAACACAGACAATGCTGTCCTTTCCATGATCCTTGAAACCGTTAAAATTGATCTGTGGCCTGCGCTGCAGCAAAGCGTCTGTAAGACAAGCGAGCCAAAGTTGGCCCCTCTTTCCGTTGAGATTTGACATTGGTTTACACAATTTTGTGAGAAGCCACTCTGTACTTGTCAAAAGCCGGCTTCCTCCCGGTCATGTCCTAACAACCCTCGCGCGCTCATATTTAACGAGCTTCCTTCTTCCAAGAGTCCACTTCAAACAATATTAATCAATTGAAGGCTGCCCAATTCTCTGCTTTCTCTTCCTATCTCCTTGCCTCTACAACGTGACTTTTACATCCTCACTATCGTGATACAGTGTATTCCATTTTATTAGACTGTTTTGAAATTCAGCAGTATCACAAATACACTCATCGACTCACATATCTTTCCTTTTCTCTCTCCTTTCTTTACTTTCCTCGTTCAAGATGGCCCCAGAACTTCTACTAGAAACAAACCTGGTCCCCACTGGCCACCAGCTGGAGAATGTGTCAGACAATATTGATACTGTGAACGAGCTCAAAGCCTCACTCAAGCAAACCGATGGTCCATCACAGCAATTCGGCGACAACAAAGACAAATCCAAATTCCGTCAATATGAAGAGGCCTGCGATCGGGTGAAGTCCTTTTACGAAGAGCAACATACCAAGCAGACTGTCGCCTATAACATCCAAGCACGACACGATTTTCATTCCAAAATAAGGGCCGAGATGAGTGTATGGGACGCGATTGTCAAATTGGACACATTGATCGATGAGTCCGACCCGGATACGTCACTGTCCCAGATACATCACCTTTTCCAATCTGCAGAGGCCATCCGCCGAGATGGAAAGCCAAGATGGATGCAGCTTGTCGGTTTGATACACGATCTCGGCAAGCTCCTCCACTTCTTCGGCGCTAAAGGCCAGTGGGATATCGTTGGCGACACATTCCCAGTCGGCTGTGCATTCGACGAAACAATCATCTATCCGGATACCTTCGTCAACAACCCGGACTACAAGCATGATGTGTACAGCACCAAATACGGTATATACAAGCCAAATTGTGGACTCGATAAAGTTATGTTATCCTGGGGTCATGACGAATACCTCTACACGGTGGTCAAGTCCCAGTCCACGCTACCGGAGGAGGGACTTGCCATGATTCGGTACCATTCATTTTACCCGTGGCATACGGCTGGTGCCTATCGACACCTGATGAACGGCCGAGATTATGAGATGTTAGAGGCTGTAAAGGCCTTTAACCCTTATGATCTTTACAGCAAATCAGATGAAGTGCCTGACGTCGAAAAGCTAAAGGTAAGCCTCCGCCTTACGTCCCTGTTTACTTTGGGTTTTGTTTTCTAATCCAGCCGTTTTGAGTAAGCCTTACTACCTCGGACTTATCGATGAATTTTTCCCTCAGAAAATTATTAGGTGGTGATCTGACAACTTTTTATCCCTTGATTGGTGCTGTTAGCTTTCTCAATTGCTTCCCGCATTCTGTTTCTCCCGCTCACTTCTTAAAGATTTGGGCTCCCATATCTGTTGTTAATAGTCGCCTAGCCTGCTTTTCCTGAGCTATTTTGCCCCTAGCGCCCATGTTTATCGCCTGTACTCTCTAGATCAGTGACGCAGTTTATTTATGCCTCATTACATCTCTGGGCTGTCATTTCTTGCGACTTTTATTTGGATTTCTTTTCATTATAGACATTTCTTCTAACACCCACTGTCCTCTCGGTTTTCGATTTTGCTCCTTCATCCCAATCCAATTATTCTATCAGCCTGTCCCGCTTTATCGAGTATCCTATATCACATGCGGGACAGTTCAGTCCCCAGACCTCAATTTGCCTATAAAACATCATGAAGAAAGTAATTTGGGAATCTGCTTCCTTTTACAATATCATAGATTTGTCGGGTCCGTTACTGCACCTTTGTTGGCCAAAAAAAAAAAAAAAAGAAAAGAAAAGAAAAAAGAAAAAAAATTCATCTCACATAGACCTTTATTCTCCTTGGGTGAATGTAGCTTGGTTTCTCTATTTGATCCACTCTGTCAGATATTTTTACCACCTGTCCCCGCTAGAAAACAAAGCTCTTGCTTGTTAGATATGCAAGAATGAAGCATATGGTTTGTTGAGTGGATATACGTGTCTCGAAGCTCCTGTATTCCTTTGAATAAGAGTAGTCAGCGGGATATCTAAAACGCTAGAACAAAGAAATAAAAAAAATCCGATCTATGTTCGTTAAGGTGTCTATTTACTTCACCAATTTCTAAAAGTTGCTGTGCAATTGCGCCGTATAGTCTTCTTTTTTGACGCCTAAGCACCCTGTCCTGTAAACCCAGGGCCCAAACCAAGAGCAAACGCCAACAAGAAAAGGTCATCGGAGAGCATATCATCATTTCTTCCCAAAAGCCTCCTCTCCTTTCAAACTCGATCCAGTCTCACATCGTCCATATAGCGAGTCTCAAAATCCTCACTCCGCTCCACGGGATTCAAGCTGTCCGTCTCCGTCTCCGTCTCCGTCTCATTCTCCATCTCCGCCTCCAACTTCCCACTCTTCATCCCCTGACTAACATCATTATCATACCCGTCCTTAAAGCAGATCGCCGGATTAAACGCATTCAGCACCACAACAGCGATAACAATCATCACGCCCTCCAGCACAATAAACAACGGCTCATCTCTCATCAGCGGACCATCCCAACCCTCCGATAGCTCCGCAACGCGATACACGCACCGCGTGAAGATAGTCAGCGTCGACACCGCCAGCGCCACGAGGAATGCGCGGAACCCAAAGGACGCGCGCAGACGAGTGTGGCGCGGGTCCAGCGCCGCATCGCCGCCCATGCTGCGCATGCGTCGGTAGGCGCGAATCGAGAAGTCCACGGCGAGCAGGATGAAGGCGCTCAGCGTGACGACTTGCGCCACGAGCCCGGCGATCATGATGTTCTTGCCTAGGTCGGCGCCGTCGGGGTCCTCGCTGGAGCTGGCGATGCCGCCGCCCGCGCCCTGCAGGGAGAGAGCGATGATATCGCAGGGGATGAAGATGCGTGGGTACCACAAGGGCCGGATGCGGGAGTTGTCGGCGCCGAAAGTGGTGACGATGCGCGAGAGGGTGAAGTAGATGCCTGCGGCGAGGAAGGCAGGGGCGATGGTGAGACAGCAGATTTGGATCATGAATGGGACCTAAGGGGTGGGATTGTGAGTTGGCTATGGGGGATATTTTTTTTTTTTTTTTTTTTTTTGGGGGGGGGGGGGGGGAGGACTGTAATGGTATGATATCGACTTACCTGCTTCCATGGATTATCCCACATAAGGATGCGACCGACATAGCCTACAGCTTCTGCGACCGTGCCCAGGACCATTGCTATGGTGAAGCCGACAAATCTCCTCGTCACTATTCCCTGGATCAAGAAGATGATCGCGGAGAGACCAAAAATAGCCGTCAGGGTAGCATTGGCTTCGAGTGATGGGCGATATTTGTACCACGAGAGTTCAATATCGCAGGTTTCGAAAGTGCAGCTTTCAGTGTCGAGTTCACGCCGAAAAAGCGTTGTGAGTAAGGCTGTCGTAGCAGACATAATTTGAAGTCAATTTGAATTGCCTCAAAATATTAAAGGATATGTTTGAAAGTAGGGAAAAAAAGAAATATCAAAATATTCTATACAACTTTCCAAAAAAAAAAAAAAAAAAAAAAAAAAAAGGCTAATGATATTGCTCTGCTGCTTTGGACAATATCTCAGGATTTCCTGAAATGTATCGATTACTTTTATATCCTTTTCTTCCCTCAAGGACTCCGTACTCCTTACATCAAGAATAGATCTCAATCCCGACTGGATCTCCAAGCCGAGCTGAAATTGTAACCAATGCCACAGGTCTCGACCAGAACGAAAACGACAGTTAACCCCAGCTGAATTGCGCAGATAGGGCTACATACGTAACCCCCTTTTTTCCGAAGGAACCATCAACACCGACTAGAAAAGCAGACCTCGTCCCGTGTTGATGCTTAGCATAGGGCAGGGGGCCCAAGATGCTCAAGCCACAGCAAGACGATAGTTTACAGGGCGAACGACTGCGCGTGGCATTGTCAAGGAATGGAACAATGTTAACATGCTATTTCGCAAGGCTGAAGCAATTGGCTCTCCGCGCAAACTTTCAAGTCTATCATTAAGGGAGGGGAAAAAGAAATGGGCATCCATAGAGATTTGGGAAACTCAATCGGGGAAATCGAGCTTAGCGGAAAGAAGGCAGCACAGACAAGCTGCGAGACGTGGCTCGACAGCAGTGCATTCTTCATCCACTCAGAGATGAACTAAGGGAAGCTTCGAGTGTTAGCGATCAATCCCGGATCGCTAGATCATCGACCCGAAACGAGAGAAAGAGAGGGAGAACCAAAAAAAAAAAAAAAAAAAAAAAAGGCGTTGCCTGCTCAAGCAGCCAAACGGCCGTAAGAGAAAGTGTATAAGCACGATTGACAGCAAAAAATAGAAGCATCGAAGAGTCAAGCCAGTTTCTCATTGGGTTTTGAGTTCAGAGACCCTTGCGCGTCCTCCGTATCGAAGCGTGCTCCGCCCTTCGCGAGCTGGAACCAAAGCCCCCTTGGTTGCTCGCACGACGGGGGGCCAGCCAGTGAACGGGCTCTGGCTGCGACGACCAACGTGTTGGGGCGGTACAGTATTGTACTCTGCTTCGTCGACTTTCGTCCTGACGCTGCCGGAGCTCGTCGCGAAAGGCCAAAAAAGAGGCTGGTGCGGGCCGGTGGAGCCTCACCGCAACACGTGAAGCTGGGCTGTGCTGTGGCTGGAATGATGAGTAAGTAAGTAAAGGCCCAAGCCCCATCGACAAGCAAACACCGCAAACAACGCAAACCGGACAAACAAGCCCCGGAATCCACTTCGTTCGGTCAAATCATTATTTGTTATTAAAGTTGAATGCTCGCTTGCTGAGATAGATCTCACCGCGGTGATCGATTCCGTCCACCCATCCACCGTGCCCACCGCTCTGGCGTGAGCTCCACGTGGAGAACCACCTCGCGCTTCTGACGTCCGAGCTTGCCCACTGCCGTTTTGCCACCCAGCCCTTCTCTATTATGTCCGAATACCTTCAACCCCCTCTCGCGCTGGCGCTGTCGCTGTCTTGTTCCAGCGACTTCACCTCTTGGCATCCCAAACCCCGGATCAACCCGTGGGGCCCCTTGAACAGAGGAGCCAGTCACAGGACGGCTCATGTCCTTGCGATCGTGACAAGTTACTTGTTGTTCGGCGGGTAAAAATTGCCCGGCCAATGACTATCGTGAAGATGTCTGCTGGGGAGGCCACTTTCTGTAGATCCCATTTTTTTTTCACGACCAACTCCCTTCCCCTCGACGGAGACAGCTGCTCAGTCAACTCACAGGGCAGTATTTACCCGTGCATACACTGCAAGAGACGGGGACGGACGGGGACGGACGGCACTTGCAGTCCTAGACACTGTCTCTCCCGAGCCCCAGCCGAATCCACTTCGTAAGATGTCAAAAAAAAAAAAAAAAAAAAAAAAAAAAAGGAAAAACGGTTGTCCGACGATATCCTTTCTCATCAAGCGCAAACGCCCACTGTACATTCCGTCATCATGGCTGGATCTGGTTTTCTGTAGACACGTATTAAAAGAATGAAAAAGAAGAACCCCAGTTCTTTTCCTGTGGTGTCTTTTCTCTTTTTTTTTTTTTTTCCTGCATTTTAAAACGACCTGGGGATAAAATATCATATCATTCTCATCGGCTCACTTCCACAACCTCGGGATAAGGCAGGCCTCCCCCAACTGTCGAGGTCGCACAGCCCCCCGCGTGTCTGAAACCTGCCTCAGCTTTTTTTTCTGTGGGGCCAGATACATAACATACGTCGGCCACTGTGACCGGATCACCAAGGAGGTCCTGGTCGGCGAGCCTTTGTATTCACCGAGCGATACAGAGCAACCACCAAAGAAAATCATTGTTCATAGAGCGGCTGTTCGTAAAAACAAAAAAGCATATTGTGACTGTGCTAGCCCACGTGGCGGTCGAAAAGAAAGAAAAAAGAAGAAGAAAGAAAAAGAAGAATAGTAATATAAAAAAGGGCAAGGGAGAAAGCGACAGTGGTGTGGGAGGGATGGAGCATGACACGACCTTGATGGCAGGAATGGATGTAACCGCAGTGGCGGACTCCATCGCTGCCTGAAGCTCAATCGCTGACGCCGGTTAGTTCATCTGACGAAAAGGAGCAACGGCGGTGTAGTCGCCTCTACAATTACGCCACAGACGGGCACATGGTCATCAGACGATTCAGTAGCAAAGCCGGAGAGCGGGAGCGATATTCCCTCCCCATTTTCTCCCCCCAAAAAGCAACACTCCATGGCAAGCATCCGCGCATGCATATGCCTTCTCCGTATCCCGATATTGTTTATCCGAGATCATGCTATCCCTACCCACAAGGGCGGGGGGCAAAAAATAAATAAGGGTTAAAAAAAAATGAGAGAAGCGAGAGAGATGTCCATTGCCTTTCTGCGGGGGGGAACCTTGTTTCATCAGTGATCAGCCAAGGACCCTCGAAGATAACGTTGGACCGTAAAATAGGGGGTTTGGGTTGGGTTGGAGGGAAATTTGAACCTCGTGAAGAAGAGCCGGAGGGCTCCTCAGCAAGCTCTTCCGCCAGTGACTGGTCGTGTTCAAGCCGGGATTCGACTTAATCCCACACGAAAGAGACAAAATAAAATCCAGTAAAACACCAAACACAAGAGAGAAAATAAAATCAAGTAAAACACCAAAACACAGAGGAGAGTTGAAGATTGCTCTCGTCCACGGAGGGCGGAGGAGGTTCCTCACACGCCCGAGTACTCCGTAGTAGGCTGCATATTCTCGCAGCAGCCCAACGGCGCCTTCGACGTAATCGTACATATCGTATCCTTACCGGCACGCTTTCTTTTTCGCCGTTGTTCTTCGCCCGCCTCCACCCAAGTCCAGCGAACCAGCTCGTAGCCAGCTCGTCGGAGTTTCGAGTACATACAGGATGTTCCATACCACCCTTTTCATTTTGGTTTGTTGATGAATTTTTTTTTTTTTTCTTTTTTTTTTCCTTTTTTTTTACCTACTTTCTTTTTGCTTTGCGCTCTGCTCCCTAGGCGGAATGCATCGGTTGTTTGGCCAAGCCTGGGAGGGGATTGTCTGGCGGATGTGATTGGTGGAATTGGGGTATATCCTTTTTTATTTATTTATTTACTTTTCCTTCTTTGATCCCTTTTTATGCTTTTTTGGAGAAATCACGATGGTGGGGGTGGAAAGGGGAGATTGGCAGGGCGTCGGCTGTTTCATCAGGTCTGAGAATTTTTTTTTTGAAAGCAGGCACGCACACGCATGAAGTCACAGGTGCACACCACAGAGGGGGAAAGTGCACACTCCCAAAATGTTGTGTTGATGTTGGCTGGCTGGCTGGGTGGGCAGGAACTAATGAACCCAGCAAGCACAACCTTCTTGTTCCTTCAGTATCTTTCTCCATCTGGGCTGTTCTGTTGGACGGGGTTTTTGCTCCTTCTCTCTGTCAGACAAGTTTACTGTAATCTCCTCCTCGGCCGTGGCTGCCCAACGGAGCACTAAAAAGTACTCTGTACCTACCTAAACCCTTACCACTCACCCACACTAACGTAACTCAAAAAAACTCGCAGCTTCCCTTTTGCTTCTACTGCAAGGCAAAAAAAAAAAAAGAAGGGCAAGTGGGGCGCAATCTGAAACCAAAGAGCCGGCTGCATGGTGGGGCGGTGGGGGAAAAAGGGAAAAAAAAGGGAAGGGGGCAACGAGAGAGAGAGGGGGGGAAAAACAACCAGATGATGTCATCGCCAACCTTCCACGCGACCGCCAGAACAACAAACCACCACTGTTTTTCCACACACTCCTTCTCTCTCTCTCTATAATCGCTTCACTGCCTTCTGCTACTTTGGACTTTGTTTCCCGGGAAGTCCATGCACGTGCCTATGCAATGCAGAGGATCATATGACTTCTTCAAGGTTTCCCCCTTCTTCACACCCTGGCGGCGGAAACTTGCCCGGGATCATCGCTCTCTCTTCCTCGTCACTGTCACTATCACTGTCACCGTGATACCTAGTGGGGAAAGAAAAAAAAAAAAAAAAAAAAAAAAAAAAAAAGAAAAGAGAGAGAGAGAGGAAGAGAGGGAGAGAGAGGGGGGAAGACATGGGCATCCGCCGCGGGGCCCCAGCGGGGCAAGCAGATAAAAATAAGACAGTAGCAAAAGTAAGATATGTATTAGCAAAATTAAGATATGGGATGGGATAGGATGGGATGGGGGCTTGTTGGCCAGGCACCGCTGCTGTGCTCTGTATGTGGGATGTATGTACGAGGATGTAATATGTGCTCTGCCCCTTATCGCGGGTCATATGTATGTATGTATGCATATCTACTGTGAGAAAGTAGCAAATGGGTGGAATAACCAGAATGATGAGGAGAGAGGGGGAGAGTGTGTGTGAAAGGATGATGAGAAAAATGTCATTATGATGAACAGCGGATTTCGATTACTCAATTTCAAGCACATGTTTATAACAAAACAAAAAGAAAAGCGAGCGACAGATAGCCTCCCAACCACATGGATGCACCCAAAGCAAGTAGAAGTATCCTTGTCATAAAGTTCCAAGTCCTGCGAAGGGGGGAAAAAAAAAAAATGACCGCATCACAAAATATTCCGAATCAAAAAGAAGAAAAAAGAAAAAAAGAAAAATTGAGGGGGTTTGAGGAGAAGCGAACAAGGAGAAGGGCCTCCAGGACCACCAGCGGAAGCGAAAGACCGAAAACGAAGAAAAGAAAAGAAAAGAAAATTGAAAATCAAGTCGAAAGAATAGGAGCGGAACGATCAATCTTGAAAGCGACCAAACAGGTGGCGCCAGGAGGGAGGGAGCAGCAGCAGCGGCACCGGTGGCTAGCGAGCTGAAACAAACAAGCAGCATCCACCGATCCGCACTTCGATCGGCTCTCTCCCTCGCTTTCGCTCTCGAGCCGCATGTCCCTGCTGATCACCCATTCTCGTTTCTTTTTCCGTTTTGCCCTTTTTTTTTTTTTTTGTTTCTTTTCTCCTCGATTAACGGAGGAATAGCACAGCGAACCGGGGAAAAGTCAGGAATCACCGAACAAGATAACTGCTCCCCGTTCGTTTGCCACCCCCTGAAATCTTCGCCGGAGGGGAAAGAAGTAAGAAAAGAAAAAAGAAAAAAGGGTTGTGGGAAAAAGGAAGGGTTTCCTCATATTCTCATTGGCCCAGCCGGCCTGTGACATGCCTGTGTGACCCTGGGCCTGTCGCGGGAGCCAAGTGATCCGATCCTGTTTTCCTTCCGAGAGTGTTTTTCCTGCAAAGTGACGAATTGAAACCTCGCGTTGGACGGGACCGCGCGGGGGTAGGAGGGATCTGCGCAGGGAAAGGAAAAGAATAGCGAAAAGAAAAAGAAACGAAAAGAGAGCAGAGAAACGCCGGTGCTGGTGCTTGGGGTGGCGGGGGGGGGAGGGAAAGAAAATGGGCTAATAACAGATATCCTCCAAATGCAAAGGCGTCAAAAAGTATGGGTAACTAGAGAACAAGAGACATAGTAAGAAGACTGAACAGAATAGAACAAGAAAAGGAGAAGGAAAAAGGGTATTGTGCAAGCCCGTATGCCAGCGGGACAACTCCTAGAAGTAGTAAAAGAAATGAAGGGGGGAGAAAATCTATAACAGTGAATGCCGAAAACCTGAAGAGGAATTCGAGAGAATGTAAAAAGAGAATTGGGGTTCCAATGAATTCTGAACTTTTTTCTTTTTCTTTTTCTTTTTCTTTTTTTTAGTCAATTTGTCTGTCTTATCTGGCTCTTTTCTCGCAATGTATCCTGCCTTTTTGCCCTTGTCTTGCCTTGCCATATTTTGCTTTTGTGGTTGCTTTTGTGTCCTTTTGTGTCATTTCTCTCCTGGGAGATAGTTTTAAATGATAGGGTAAACCGGCGGATTCCAGTCCAAGAAAGTAGAGTAGTAGCACCTTTTTTTTGCTGATAAGGTCGGGGGTAATTCGGCATCGAGCGCTAGGGGTTCCACCAAACTCTTCCCTTTTCTTTTGTTTTCTTTTTTTTCTTTTTTTTCCTTTTTTTTTTTTTTTTTTTGTTTTTGGGATGGTTTCTTTCTTTCTCCTTACTACCATCCCACATACACACGCGCACACACTACCTTTTTACATCATGCGCCTAGTTCTCCTTGCTGGTCGTGCGCTAGTGGCCCTATTTGGACTCCTGCACATCCCAGGATCTCTTGTATGTCTTGTGTGAGCGCAGCGCAGAAGAGAATGGCGATGAAGAACCTGGGCGCCGGAGATTGGAGGCCTAGATGGTGGAGGTTAACAAAAAAAAGAAAAAAAAAAAAAAAAGGCTGTGCCAATATAGTCTGCGAGGGAGGGGGGGAGCGCAGTAGAGTAGATATAACGTACGATGCAGGTGGAGCACTTGGCTCCTTGGACATTGACACGGCCGCGGCATCCGCGCGGGTAGTTGACGCAGGAGTACATCTTCGCAAGCAAAGAAAGAAGGGAAAGAAAAGGAGAGGAAGAGGAGGAGAGACGCGACAGGGGGGCCTTGAGAGCGGGATGTCGCGCAGAGTTGAAGAGGTAAGAATTGAGTGTTGTCAGACGCAGGGTGGTCTGTCGTTGGGAGAAAAGAAGCAGCTGAAAGTAGGAGCTCAGCCCGGAGAGGAAGTAGTAGAAGTAGTAGTAGTAGTAGTAGTAGTAGTAGTTGAAGAAGAGATTGATAACGGCTTGCGCCCCGGACGGGTTATTATAAAGAGATAAGCTGGGATTGGAAAGGATTGTAAAAGGCCCAAGATAGAAGAAGGCAAAGGGAGTGGGTGCTCGCCCAGGAGGAAGAAGAAGAAGAAGAAGAAGAAGAAGAGGAGCAGGAGGAGAGTAGTCGAGCAGCAAGGCGTAAGAAAGTCAGCAGGATTATGATTAGGTTGACAGCGGGAGGGAGGGAGCAGGAAAGGGAGGGCGGGCGAGGCCTTATATTTCGGAGCCCGACAAGGGAATCAAACCTAAACCCGGCCTTTGTTTTCCAGGAGTCAGAAGTGGGTAACGCTGGAGTTTAGCGATTGACTTGCAGCTCCGGTCCTGATATCTTTCGGGGGGCCCATGGCTTGGGTTGCTTATCCAGCCTGACAGCCTTTTTCTTATTTTTATTTTTTTTATTTTCTTTACTTTTTATTTTATTTTATTTTATTTCTTCTTTATTTTGCATTCTTGCTTTTCTGTATTCTGTATTTTTCGCCTTTTTACGGAGTACACTGCAATAATCCCTAAACTACGCCTGTCTGTCTTTTCCTTCTTCTCTCTCTTTTCTCTCTCTTTTTCTTTTTTATTTTTTTTGATTATTAGTATTCTTTAATTATTTTTCCCCCCTTTCTGTATTTATCTATTTCAGCCTGTTACCACATTAACCCTCATGCCTGACATTTACCAGGCAGAGCAGTCCTTCTGTAACGCGGTTAAGCCTTTTCCATCTCCTTCGTTTTCCTTTTGACTTTTCTCGACCCTCCTTTCTTGTCTTACCACCGCCAAATCCACGCCGCCCCCCAAGTCTGCATCATATTCTTCTGGCCGGGCGTCAAGATAACACATAATAGTTACATACAGCCAAAAGCCGCAGCCGACAACACCGAAGCCCTGTTGTTGGGCAGTACGGTGTGCAGATAATTAATGATATACGGGAAGCATAATATGTACTCTCGTAATAATATCCAGCGAGGTGGAAGGGCGAAGCGCACCGTCGTACCGCATATCGCTCATTCACTCACTCACTCGCGCACTCTCACTCACACACAAGGTTCTTAATATAGTTCACAACGTCCCTGATGCACCGTCCACACATAAATGCTATGTACATGCACACTCTGATTCGAGCAGACTCTCGGCCAATGACGAGCGCCCGGCCCTTGTCCACCTTTTGCAGAATGATCTCCACCGAGAAAGAAAATAAAAAAAAAAAAAAAAATCCAAACAGGGGCTTGGCCGTGGTCCTGCATTCGGAGGGGCGTGTTGCTGAGCTGAACGTGCAGGCTGGCTATGCATGAATGCCTGGATGCTAATGCTGTATGATGTAGTTAATGTATTTCCGCTACGGCGGTGCAAGGGCAATCAACAACAAGAAAAAAAAAAAAAAAAAGGAAATAAGGTGAAAAATGAAAAAGCGAAAGGAAGGACAAGACCAGTTGCTCCGCACTCCGTACGAAGGATGTATGTGTGTGGACGACGATCTGCATCTCTCGCGATTAGGCGGGAATTTTTCTATGTCTGTTCCTCAACCGCCGGTTTGGGGTCCTGATTTCGGAGGCTGCCGTGAAGGGAGAGAGAGAGAGGGGGAGGGGGGCGCCCAGGTGGACAGTTCACGAGCAAGCGAGGGTATCGACAAGGGGAATTCGAGGACAAAACCCTTCTCCTCCTCGTTGTCGTCGTTGTCCGCTATCTCTCGCTCACCGCTCAGCAGCATCCATGGGGTGAGACCAACCGGGCCATCGTCAACCCCATCGCTTCAATCTAACTGGCCGTCAAATCACATCACGCAGATACATACATATATGTAGTTAGTATGTAGTTAGTACACACACACACACACACACACACACAAAATCAAGGCAAATTCGATGACATGAGACGGTCAGGCCTCAGTTCCATTCCACTTGGCCAGAAAGTGATAATTATCATTGCGATCAAAATGAGATGTTCGCCTTCCATGATCCCTGCCGGGCTTCGAGTTTCATTTTCAGGTTTGACACTTCTGACAGCCACGGTCACTGCTAGGCCGGCGATGCGTTTAGGCTTTAACTTAGTCAGTTAACAGATAATAAGAAGTCGGGCTGAAGCTAGTTAGGTATGTAGTGGATGCGATGATTTGCCCTGGTTCGACCCAGCACTCTGGTTCGATCAAAACGCCTCAGGAAATCAAAAGGAAAATCGACAAGCCAAAAAAAAAGAAAAGAAAAGAAAAGCAAAATCAAAAAAAGGCAGAAAGAAAAAAAGAAAAAAAAAAAAAAAAAAAAAAAAAAAAAAAATTGAACGAAACAGAACAGGCATCAAGCTAAGAAGGGCTGGCACTTTTTGAAACGCGCTGGGCTTTGTTCGGATCCATCGGCAGAGCGAAAGGCCAGACCAGACCGGCAACACGCGCTCGACGAGATGCGATGGATGGATGGATGGCTGCTGACTCGACACGGCTTCACGATTTGCTTCGAGAAAAATGATAATCCAAGAGAAACTCCCGTCACCGACTCAGCCCACGTTTTTCACACCGTACCGTCGGAGCTAGCCGACATCCTTCGAAGCCGTGATGGGTTATCGTGAACCCTTCTCCGAGGCGGTGACTTGCACCTTGACTTCTTCCCCACGCACTCGTCAGCCACTGACAGTTTAACGCGGTCTTTACGAGGGGAAGACGTACTAATCTGCTCCCCTAGATAAATTCTCCGGGATTTTGGCTGCGAATTCAAGTGAGAGCTACGGGAGTAGTTACGGAGTACGGAGTACAGCCCTTTGTTTCTCTTCTCCCCCCCTCTTTTTTTTTTTTTTCGGGTTGCCTTTTGAGCCGCTGGCATGGCTGGAACGAAGTAGCATCGCATGCGGGCGGCTCGTTCCACTGTGAACTATGGAGAACAAGAGTATCCGTCCTTCAGCCCTCACGAGACAGCCCAATGGTCTCGATCTCGCAAAGGTGAATCACCACCGATCAATCGATCAATCACGTTGTCTCTCAAGTTAATCTCCACCCGTCGATTCACCGACAATCCCCTGCTCCCTCTTCGGTTTTAAGCTCGTCCTTAGCGAGCCCGGCCTAGAAATGTCTCTGGAATCTTCTCGCGGACGGACCATCACGCCCAAAGCCGTGGCCCAGGTGTATGCATGTATCCATCCCGCCCCCCAGAAACGCCCCCTCAGCCATCAGCTAGTTTTTTTTTTTATTTTTTTTTTTTTTTTAAAAGAAAATATTTCTGTATAGCGTTTTTTATTCTCCCCTTTTTGCCCCTGCGCCCCTTCGCTTTGATTCTGGCCGGCTGGGTCTAGAACTTCTACGCCGAAGAAAGAGAACACAGAAAGCAAAGAGCAACAGCAATAACAAAAAAAAAAAAGAAAAGAAAAGAAAAAAAGTCAATTCATGCGCCGTCTCCATCACAGCAGCTTGCATCTAGACACAGCTCCCTTCCTGGTGCAACTTGACTCATAGGACAAGTGTTTTTTTGTACGGAGTATTTTTTTTATTTTTCCGTTGGATTTCTCAGACCTTCCCGCGTGTTCCGTGCTCTACGGAGTAGTTTTCTTTCTCTCAACCATTGCGCATGAGGACAAGGGGAAAAAGTAAAATGGTCCAGCCCGGAGAAGGCTGCATATCGACTTCTACAAAGAGTATGTCCATCCATCCAGGCGTCCAACCGCCCCGGCCCCCTCCGGCAAGGCAACCGTTGGCCTGCACATGCCCTTATTGTTATCGTGCGTCTTGCCAGCGAGCTGAACCGGAAGCCCGCTAGGAGCATCCCAAAACCCGCAGCGTCGGGGCGGCGCACCACATCCTGCAGGTAACTCTTTGTAGGGAGAAGGTAGCGTACTTACGAAGGGCGCGCGCCGTACTGAGTGACTGTCTATACATGCATGGATATATTTCGAAGCTGAAGGGATGCGCCTCCAAAGACACGTTGTCCATTTTGATGTGAACGGAGCTGAAAAGTGAAGCGCTCCTTTGATTGTCAACATGGATCAGGGACTCAAAACGGTTTTTTTTTTCTTTCTTCTTTCTTTCCTTTTTTTTATTTTCATTTTTCATTTCATTTCATTTCACCTTTTTTTTTTTTTTTTTTTTTTTTTTTTTTTCCCACAAACAAAGTTGATGTGTATATCCGTTGGGTTAACTGGCAACTCTAAGCATAACTATCGTCGATCTCGAGTTTGATACCGTTGTTTTTGCTACCATGTGCACGAGAATATGTACTTCAATCTTCAATCCACCAACGACCTTTCGAGACGTTGGCTGACAAGGCTCTGAAGAAAGGTTAGCCCTCGAAACCAGCACGCCTTTTCAGACGGTTGGAACTAACTAGTTGGTAGTTCTAGACCACGTCCCGCCTGAAAATAAAGGGCCCGCTATCGCCCCAAAACACGCATCCATGCTTTTTTTTGTTTTTTCTTTTTTGTTTTTTCTTTTTTGTTTTTTCTTTTTTTTTTTTCTTTTTTTTCTTTTTTTTTTAAAACAAAGCGATGCAAAATGCGGCAGGCCGATCCAGCCGAAGCAAGGCTCCTTGGATCTTCCCTTTCGTGCATGCATGCATAGGGGTATGTATTCGCCAGCTCCGTACGCCGTACATATGTAGTTACATACGGCGAAGTTAGTGCCTTTTTCCTTTTTTTTTTTTGTCATGCAGCCTGTCCCATTTATGCCGGACATCAAACGTCCCGCCAGAACCACCGCTTCGGTGTCATTAGTTAGTTTGAGGCTGGTAGATCGTCTGGAGTGGGCTCAAGACGTAGTTACTCCGTATTTGATCGGCATTTTACTCTGTATTTGTTTTCCTTTTTCAAGTCTTTTCATCTCTCCCAACGAAATCTGCAGTGGCTGGTAAATGTTCTTTTATTTTTTTATTTTTATTTTATTCAAGCTGTTATTGTAGGCATTCGAGACAACTGGATAATAATCATGGGAGAGAAATCCTCATGTAAATTTCCCTGTAGGCCACGGATGAACTGTATGTATGTACTCCGTACGCACGTCATATACTTGTATCTGAAAGAAACATCCTCCCTGTGTGTGCGTGAGTCATTCCTGGCGATAGCCTTGTCGTCCCACCGCTTCTCAAAAGGGTCCAGGAATGCTTCACAGCCCTAACTGATCGTCTCACGCAACAAGTACAGAACCGGCTGGTATGAAAGGGGAGGGGGAGGATTCAGGGAAATTGTTGAAGAATTCAAGGAAAAAGCCCTGCAACGGCGTTCGTCGAGCCAAACTCCTCTAGATCCTTGCGAAGTCAAGGGTCCAGACGTCAGCCTTTGCTAGTTCAGTTGGTGTCGGCCTCCATCCGTACGTCTATGTCCACTTTCTTTTGCCCTGTTTCCCGAGATCAAAACAACGCATGTGAGTGCCGTGATGCAAAAATCATCCCACGGCACGCAAAACTTGCGACGAATCATTAGGGTCTCGGCAACTTATTCTCCTTTCCTTTAATATTAATATTAAGGATCGGGCAATCTTGTCAGTGACAACCCTGCCAATTGCAAGCATCACTGGCATCACTCCCCCTGGACAGAAAATCCAATTTCTCGGGATTTAGCTTGGCTACGATCTTCTTCAAGTTTATCGAAACAGTTTGCCACCTTCGCAACCAGGGATTATTGAACGAAGGGAAAAAAAAAAAAAAAAAAAAAAAAAAAAAAAAAAAAAAAAGGGAAAACGAGAACGAAAAATGGTTGAAGAGGGGAAAACACAGGGAAAAAAGAAAAATCCAAAACCTCAAGTGTGTACGACCGGCATGCGCTCCTTCGGGGTGGGGGGAAATAATATTGACTTTCTGCGCCAGATTGAAGGCGTAAGAAGAGAAAGAGTTGCCAGAATAGGCATTATTGACGTTCTATGTTTCATGCCGCTTTGGCCATCTGGCAACCTGACAGCAGACGCATCCGATATGCACGTAATGTGTGCGCGGGGTGGGTGATCTCAAGGTTGAAACGAGCCCCCTTGCCCATTTCCCAGAGGAGTTTGGGATCGAGAGATCATCTCATATACCCCACAGAGTGTTCCGGGTGTACGTATGCATGCCCGAAACGAGGCCCGTCCGGCATATAAGCTTCATGTGCGGAGTACGTTTCATGGATGGCATCTCATGCGATATATTGCGGTATCAAATGTCCAATTTATCCTGAACTTGGGGATCAACCCGCGAGGAACGTCCGGAAGCCATAATACGCGGCCGCGACTGCTAGAAAGGCTGCGAGCATCAAACCATTTCCCTCCCAGGTGAGGCCAAGGTAAGCCGCAGCACCAATGGCCAGCTCTTTGCGTCTGGCAGCTGCACGCTTGGTGTCCCAGTGCGGATCAACTTCGAAAGGAGACAGGTAAGTTCCAGGTTCCGGATGAGCTTTTAGAGGCACCGAGATGAATAGAACCACCGCACGATGATCCGAGGTTGAGAATAATGGAAGCACGGTATACATGTGAACTTTGATGCCCGCGGACTCAGTCACAACGGAGGGATGGCTGCGATAGAGGATCCGATCGCACCAGCTTGGCCAACGGTTCTTTGCCCACTTCCAATTACCGTTGGGGTCAGCGAGTGCGGCATCCCGAGCCTCCAGTGAGTACTTGTAAGTCGGTGGGAATGTAATCTTAGCTTCTTGGAGCTCGTCGAAAACCCTCCCCGCTTCGCGCTCACGAGTTAGTTGATCTTGCATGAATAAATCCGCAAAGTGGACAAAGTCATTCGGATCATCCCTTGGTCGAGGAAACCGTCTACAATCGTCCGGCCCGGGACCGGTATCTGATGTGCGGTAGTTGAAATCACCAGCGACCAGCAGATACGATTTTGGTGAATACAACGCTGATGGTGTGCTCAAGGATGATGGTGCCCGGAGAAGCGGCACCCCTTCCTCATCTTCTTGCGGATGCGTGCGATCAGAAGAATTCTCTGCTTCCTCGGGGTGGAAAACGAGCCGTTGTGCAATGCTTTTCCAGTCTTCATTCCTTCTCTTCCACTCACGCTCACCAGGAGCCAAGTGTGCACTGACAAAAGTCATCTCCACAATGTCATCCTCACCATCATCATTGCTATCTTCTTCGCTTCCTGCCAGATATCCAATCCGTGCTCCAACGGCACCTTTGTTCCCTGTCTCTTGAACCCCTACACCAACTTCGGCCACCTCAACGTAACGTATCCTCCCAGAAACGTCATTTCTCGCAAACACCATCAACGCGGTCAAGCCAACATTTTTCGAAAGCAGGTTGACATAATGCACACCCCCATTATCATCATACCCGGCTCCCCCTTTTACTGCAGTCGCTCTATCCACCACGCTTCTGACAGAAGCGTAATACTGATCCAGATATGAACCGCCCAGAAAGGCATAAGCAATCGGCGCAATTTCCTGAAGTGCGAGGATCAGGATATCGGGGAGGTTTGCGTCCGCTTGTGGAGATTCTGGTTGTGATGTGTTCAGCCCGTCGAATAAGTGGGAAGCGAACTGTTCTGGTTCAACAACGTTACGAGCGCAGTTGAACGTTAGGATGTAAGCACTAAGGGATTCCATAATGGGCGGCCAAAAAAAAGTAAAATATAAAAGAAGAGGCCGAGGCTAGTAAATGTAAAGGCCTCCCTCAAGAGGCCCTGGCGGACCTGCGTCCAGCTTGCGAGAGATGGAGCACGTTCGTCAGGCCGTCCGGGCACGAAGCTCTTGTGTCACGTGGTTTTCTGCAGCCAGCAAGACAACCCAACTTCTCTCTACGGAGTACAGAGTGTGCGAATACTAAGAAGCTCTATACGTGCCTAAAACTTTACTCCCAGCATCTGCTCACAAACCCACATGGCTGTCCTTGTGTGCAAACTCAGATCCCTCTCCTCATCTTGGTTCAATGGCATGTCTGCATCACCTGCCCCAAGTTTCCCCAGGGCCTGGAACACCACAACCTGGTCACGCATGAATGAATCCAGGAACCGGTTCGAAAAGCCGTCTCCTAATATTTTCTTGAGGTCCCGCGTGCCACTTCCATCCGCGAGCTCATACATTAAGTCCTCGACACATTGGTCAACCAAATCCCCGATCATGCGTTCCAAGTCCGTTCCCGTCTTGTGATCTGCATTTGTCCGTGATTTGCCTTTTCTTTTTGACTTTCGTGGGCCTTTGTGGCCAGACTTCTTGTTTGATTCAAGACTACTGGGTGAACCAAGTAGTGCGTCTCGCCCCAGGCGGAAGCCTGTCGACGTATGCGCGACAAGGAGAACATAAATTCGAGAGCGGTGGTGTGTGGACTCCGACCAGTGTAATTCGATCTTCGGCGGCTGAAAGCTGGAGTTCCCCTTTCTCTTCGCGCCGAATTCGTGGGAGACTTTCTCAAAAGTGTAGTTTTCGATGAACTCGCGAACGGAATTAGGGGCAAACCGTTTCCCGGGTTGTTGCATCTCAGGAGAGCCATCGGAGTCGGAGTCGAGCCCTAAATCTTCTTCCTGGCTCCTGTCTTTGCTATCGGTGATATGACTCTGTTTACTATTAGGGTGGTGGTATTTATTTCCTCGTTTCGAGCGGCGGGCCGATCCTGCTTCATCTAAAGACATGTCTGGCGCCAAAACCGTGATATCGATCTGCGTGATTCTGCCCCGCCTCAACACGTGGAGATCTATTCTAGGGAAAATCGGAGAGAAGGCACCAGAATCAGACATAGATTCATGATTATCCCCTGACGCCGCTCCCTCATTCGATTCTTCCCTCGTTTCTCGAAGTTTCAGAGGGGTGATCAAAAAAGATACAGACCCCAGATTCGTCTGACCCGCGCTCCAACCGCGGTGCTTCAAGTTCACGCTGAGCTGAGGTAGCCCCAGTTTTGCAAAATTTGGGATAAGGACCTGTGAGAAGTAATCGTGAGAGAGAGAAAAGGAGACATTCGTCCCGCCTGTCACACTCAGTTTTATACTGGATTCGCGGAGGTTTGCGTTCCTTTCGGTAACCCGAGCATTGTGGCATGCGCCAGCATACAATAAGTATGGATATAATGCTTGAAATATAAGGAATGCGGAGCCTGGGGTCTTTAGGCGGATGTTGTACTCTGACTGGATCGGAAGTACATCGTTCATCGATTCCAGTTTTATCATCGCTTCCAATGGCGCAGCGAGGCCCTCATCCCCGTCGTTGGCTTCCTCTTCCGATGCAACATCGCCATCTTCCCTAAGTTGGCCTCGAGGGTAGAAGGTGATTTCGGAAGATCCCACTGTCGCATTGACAGCGGTGCCACCACAGACATCACGTAGGCACTGGATTGCCACTGCATGCGATGGCCTCAGGCCGGGTCCTTGTCTATTGGCTCGAATGCGGGTTATTTTGACCGGTCGAGATGTCAGAGCAGACAGAGCAACTGCGTTCCGCAGAAGTTGGCCGCCTCCTTCGAGGGTGCTGCCGTCGAGATGTATCATTGGTGGCAGGTAGTCAACCGGAAGGGAATTCTAGATAAGTTGAGTAGAAGTATAGATGGCTCTCTACCTTGCAAAGCGAGGCTCTCATGCAGTAATTTCGCGGAAGATCCAGCAGGTGTGATGCTTTATATACGGGTCTACGACGGAATAAATAAGTATGGATTGTTCAAGGGCCAACATACATGTTTTCTTCCATTGCTATTGGTGGTGGTTTTGCTGCATCTGGATGGAGCGAAAACAAGAATGACTCTCCATCCTGACTCACACAGAGACCAGGCAGACGTTTGTGATTTGGCTTACGTCCCCTTATTGGCCGTATAGCCGCCCTTGACATCTATCTTTCTTTCTCGGCGTGATTTGCAGGGGGTCAGGTTTTGGAGGCATGGTCTCAACCTTTGGAAGGGCCTTGTGTGGGAATCTCAATGTGAGAAACCGAACGGCCTGACGACGGATCTGATTGTAGCACTCATTCACGATGCTCGGAGTCCAAACATTCCTTGGACCTCAACCTTGATCGGGGCTCCGGGGCAACGTTGTTCCGTAAAGGCTGTAACTTACACTTACAGTACTGTGAAATTAAGTTACGGGAGCTCCGTAACTTACCGTCCCGTGACTTTGAGCCGCATTCCGTGGCTTGGTTTGTCTTGGCTAGTTATATTACCTAAGCAAAACCCGCTGGTTAGTTAACTAACGTTATTTAACTAGTCAACCAGCTGACTTAAAGCTCTGCTCGCCAAGCCTGGCGGTTCGTTGTCGCTACATTTGACATCAGCCGCTAACAGAGCACTCCGTGTACAGATGAAATGATGCTGCCCGTCTGAGAGTCATGGATAGTTTCGGTGCCCAGGTTGTGCTTTCCAGCGTATTCCGGCTGCCGGGCATGGGTGTGTGTGCAGCCCGGGCCTGCCGTGTTATCGACGGTTTCCCGCTCTCCTATTCTCGCCGCCGGGGTTGAACCTGCCCTCATATTTTGTGTTATGGCCGTTGTCCTGACGGCCGGCTTGAGTCTGGGATCATGCCACTGTTGAGCGTCTGCGGCGCGTGTCGTCCTAATAGAATGCCTACTCCCAGCTGTTAGCCGCTTATCAGACTTTAGATATATTTAAACCGGCCACAGTATATACAAATCTACTCTTTCAATACATACTTTGGGACAGCCAAGCCCTGCGACAATGCTTTCCAGAGGCTCCAGTGCCAACTCCAGGCTCAAAAGAAGCAAGTCTCTTGCTTCAACCAACGGCAGACGCCGTGACCGTTCCTTTGCTCAACCCATCGACGATGAGAGAGCTCAAAGACACGCCTTGACTGCGGCGTCACTTGCAATGCAGCGAGCCACGAGGTCATCCTTTGATGACTCAAACGATAGCGAAGCTGGAGCTCATCGCCCTCCTGTCCAAGTACCTAGGTCTCAGAGCATCCGCTTCAGCGACGGTACAAATGCCGGCGTGAGAAAGATGGGTTCTATCCGCTCCTCCCCGGCGGCAGCACATCTTACGGCCGACGATACTGTACAAGAGAAGGAAGACGGATCACGAGCTCAGACCATTGATAACTTCAAAGAATTTGGCATGCTCGACGACGACATACCCTCCGTGCCTTCGATACCGTCGTCCTACCGAAAGCTTCGCAAATCAAAGTCGATGTTCTCCGCGCGTTTGCGCACTGGCTGGTTAACCAATGGTTCCCGCTCTCCAAGACGAAGTCGCCGTCAATCACAAGACACCAGCAAGCATCACTTTGCTCGCACTCCGCTGCGTCGATCGATGTCTTTCTTCAAGGGGGGGGACAGTGTGCCCCCCACAAAGAGACATAGTTCCACGAATAGCCATAGCCCTGCGATAAAACTTGGGGGAGAACAGTTTTTGCGCGATCTTAGCCGAACATCCAAATCTGACACTCTTGGACCGAACATCGCAGGAGAAGGGCGACGCGAACAGAAATCGTTGAGGAGAACCCTTCGAACCAGCACCTCCATGACAAACGATGACGACCCCAGATGCTCGACCCGATATGCGGAGGAACGGTATAGAGATGGTCATCGTAGCATGCGGGCGAGGCTTCTCTCTCAATCGATTAAGAATGGGTTCCGCAAGATCTTTGGGCGGCATGGAGCCCTGCGAGGGAGCGTGTCTCCGCAGCAAACGGACACATACCGGCCCCATGTTCGAGCCTCTATCGACCCCGAATTCCAGCCCGATCTAAATCCCAGTCACATGTCGACGCCCACATCCCATTCTAATCACCCAGACGCGAGTGTCTTCAACGTGTATCGTGGATTCTCGGGCCATCGACCTGCGAGCATCCGCTCGATGAAAAGCATAGATAGCGTCTCCACATCAAATTCTCGAGCTACGACTTGGACAAATTCTACAATGACAAATTCTATCAACACGACACGACCGGTTGAAACACGTCTATCCATTATCGAAGAACATGGTGATCCCAATAAGCCCATTCATATTCAGCCTCGTTATCACGATGGCTATTCTCCATTCAGACAGCCTCTTTGTCTCGATCCCATGGCCAATTCCATTGACAGCCAGCGAGTCTATTCCGCTCTAATGCGAAAAATAGACGGATCGAATACGCTCAAGAAGCAGAGTGATACTACAAACCAATGGCTCGAAGGGGCTGAAGCCGGCCGAGATAACACCCAGCCGCCTTCTAGCTCACAGCGCCCGAGCCAGGGGACAGGGCAAGCGCCTGGCGAAGCGCTCATGCGCTATAGTCAAGTTGTTTCCATCCCCCCGCGAAACTCCCCAAGTGTTCGCAGCTACATGTCAACGCAGCCTACTTATATTGTAGAATACCCTGGACGCACCCCTCAACAGATCGCTCAACGCAATGAGAGCATTCTCCAGCATCGTTCACGACGGCCTTTAGGCCGTTTCAATTCTAATGCGTCTCATTCAAGTCCTTATCGACATTCGGCACAATACGCAGGTGATACTATAACTACGCCAACAAGGAGCCGTTATTCTGATGACGATTCGCGTACCGTGGTGGTGCTGAATTCGCCCCCTTCGGATAGCTTCGTTGTATCGCCTAGCGTCTATTCAAGAACAACAAATACTCCGGGTGGCCATCAGAATAACATCGATTTTGCCTTTTCTGAACTTGATGAAGACCGAGGGACAGCTACCATCATAGGTAGAGAGACGCTCCCTAGCACACCTCGTGGCCGTGATCGAATATTTAGAGGTAGCGCTGAATGGAAATCTTGGATGAATTCTCAAATGGAACTTATTGATCGACCGAGCCTTTCAAATGAGCTTGACATTAAATTCTCCGCTAGTGATAGAATGCACTACAGAGAAGATGCTGATATTCATGGCGAGATCTCAGATGACGAACCGAGCTGTGGATTCCGAAAGGTCAATCGCAATAAAATCTGTGTAAAATCTCCTCGCTGTGAGGACAGAGTCTCCAACAATGAAGGTCACGCCTTGACAGAATTGAGTACTATCTCCCAGAACAACTTTTCTCGGCCTCTCCATCGCTCACCGAGTGGGCCAGTATCAATTGGTGCCACAAACGCGAGGAAACCGTCTCTAGTAACACACCAGCATACTCCTCCATGTAGCGCCCCGGTCGTTGTCGATATGAACGTGCCTTCCACTGGCTCCAGTCGATCCAGAAGCAAGTCGAAAGCTCCTAATCAGTCTCCATTGATCTATAACAAAACTCGCCAGCCTGAATCACGTAAATCGTTGACGGTGTCCCCACTTGATGGCCGGAACCCCCGTACCTCCTTGTCGACTCGAAGCCGACATGACGGGAATGTTCCACCCCCCTTTTACGGAGCTGACATCACGAGGCGGATGCCGAGTGTTCAATACAGCTCGACACGTTCAAGGGGAGGTGATGGTTTAATGGCCAAGGAAAATAGAGAAGGGAACGAGAATAACCCACCTGATAGGAACGAGTTTGCGGAGGGATTTTCCAAGATCAGGGATCTCCACTCTACCATTAGCAGCAAGCGCATGGTTGATTTATTCTTGAGCGATCGGAGACGACTCATGGGAGGCGCTGATAGCCCCACTGAATCAGCCTTCATTTGAATTCCTCGAGGAGGGACATCATCGCGGGAAACATTTCGATCCCAGCAGATAGGCAGAGCATTATGTTCCAATACCTGAAGCTGCAACGTTGAATGGCTTGAGACTTTCGAGCACAGTTAAAACAGATATCCATAAGCTCTAATATTAGTATACTTTAGGAGTATATGTGAGACACTTTAAATATTCTTCTTAGATCTTTATTAAACTTCCTGGGGGGACATGTAGCATTATGGCTTGAGGGAAAAGGGAAATATGTGAGGAATTAGCTCGCCCGCTTGCTTGAACTGGGGCACAAACGGTCTCCGCTCTATTCCCGGAGTATATTCTGATAACAATTCGTTCGTATCAGAAATTTATTCCATACTCACCGTACGATTTCTCAATTGAATCATAAAATACCTTGTCTTATACAATCGAAATGAAATAGATTTTCCACCATTCGGGTTTGAGTTTTGGTTTGAGCATTGTGTGTTCATCGCACCGTCATTCCGAGGTGTCCATGTCGCTTCCTGCAAGATAGCTGCGACTGACTCTAGAGTCTTTCGAGTTGGCGTGATTGTCACTGCTCCGTATACAATTCCAGCATCGAATGACGATTTTGACCAACATTAGCCGCTGCCGATTCAGCTCAGAAGGGTGTGTCGACGACTTTGGGCCGAAGGAAAAAAGGGACTGTCCCGTTGTTGTAGAGATGAAGGCTGACTCATTCCATGAAAAATAGACATTATAGTTCCGCGTATCGATAGGAGGCTTTAAGGCTCGAGTATCTCAACGTCTCGAGGCTGTTTTGCTTGTATGACGGGCTTTAAGATTCTCTGTACCAAGGGTCGCCCAGGGCGGATGATTGAACAACCCCCTTTTGCCCCTCACGCTGCCAGGACGCATACCATTGGATTTGCTCCGGATGACAACAATGAAGAATCATCGTGATGTAGGAGCTCTGTCAATCAGGGTATATATATAAATAAGCCGTGGTTTTCTCCCTCGATCATATTTCTCTTTTTACCATTTTGTCCGAGTCCTTCGTTTCTCTGTGTTATCTCTTATGCCAAACAGGTGCACCCATCCGTTTTATATAAAATCGACGTTCCTTAATTCCTCTTGTTTTGTTAGTGCCATAGCTATAACCTTTTGTGTTTGATAACAAAAACACTACAAGGATGGTCATGGAAATTGATCCAGCCATTGTCTGGGGATGGCGGGAGAGCAGAGGTTTCTTTATAAACAGCTGTGTCTTCTTGTGCCTTCTTATCTTGACTTTTGCCCTTCGACGAAGAATCCGGTCCCAAAACATACTCCTCACTTATTCCACCCGGATAAGCCTCCTGGCGATAAACATAATAGCCCTGGCTATCATCTCCGCTCAGTGGGTCAGATACGACAAGGCGTTCCGCTACCTAGACGACAAATACCCGGATATTATCAGGAAGCAAGTTGTGTCGATGCAGTGGATCAACATCATCTTCGTCGTCGTCACTATATTGGGATCTGTATCCTGGATTGGCACCTGCCTCGGTGGACGACGAGGACCGGAGTCGAGTATCCCGAAAAACATGATGGCCCATTTCGCGGCGGCTTATGCATGGCTGCAAACGTTGCCTTCAGCGCAGGCCATGCTGCCTAATGCGTCGTATTCGAATATGCCTGGCGCAGAGCTGTACAAGCCAACGAATTCCGAACTGAATCTCGTTGACCTCGCAAATGCCTGGTGCTACGGCGGCTTGGCTGCGCGGAGTGCTGTGCTCTTTGCTTCTATTATTGTCGCCAATACGATCTCCAGACTCATCGAGAGAGCAAAATTTGACATCGACGAGCATCGGATTCTTCGTCAAGTCCAAGCTACTAGGGCTTATCTTTCGAATATAGAACGTGACTCACCAGAACGTCATCCGTCACATCCATACGATGTCGAGAGTGAGCTGCAAGTCCTTCCACCCGTGGCTCGATCCTGGTCGTCGATGTCTCGGGATTCAACACTTTGCGATTACAGATAAACGTGCCGGCTTCTCGTGTACGGAGGTAAGATCGATGAATAAAGCAGCCATCGCTGGGGTTTCGATGTCGAAGTGAAAAGCGTTTCCCCAAGAGAGCGGCTAAGTTTCCCACAATACGATACCGGTTTGAAATATCCGCGCCGAATGGACCACTTCTAGAGATAGATGTATCATTTCTCCGCTGTGCAACCTTGTTGCTCTTGTCCTCATCATGTCCGTTTCCACTTTTTGGTTGCTTTCACGAAAAAAGGGGGTTAGTCCGCGCATAAGTCCTGTGAAAGAAAGTTTGTAACCAGTAATTAGCATACTGTCATTTTGCTGGCCTTTTTGGTTGCTCTTTGGTTGAGTGCTTCATATTAATCAACCTCATCTTGCTTCTTGTGTATATATATCTCCAGCAGATTGCAACGTTTTGAAAGAGAGGGACATGTGGTGGAACATAACTAATATGTCATGTTGTATTCTTTTCTTCTTTTCCATGTGAGTGTATGTGCAAATTCGACAAGAAGAATAAAGAGACTTAGGCACACATTATTACTTAGAAATGAGGGTTGTGCGGAGTCATTTGAAAGGCTGTTTAAACAAACATCAAATGAATCAAGCAAAATAGAACAATAGGCAAGGGAAATAGACTTCAGAGATGAACACCGATGGAATTTGCCTCCCCACGAGCATGTACTGATAAGAAAAGGCTGGATCAGAGATACACCTGAAGGGAACCGAGCGGAAAGGAGATGGAAGTCCAGGCCACACCAGACACGATAAATGTGTCGCGCTTCCATGATACACGGGGAGAAAAAGAAAAAAAAAAAAAAAAGGGCTGACAATCGTTATCCATCCTATATTCTAGTAGGTCAGTATTAAAAGGAAAAAGCAAGCATAATTTTCCCATCCCTTTTCCTTTTGTTTTCCCACCAGCCCTTCTCCCCTTTCCCCCAGCTATCGCCGAATTTGAGAAGAGATGAAAAACAACCTTGACCATGCAAAATGAAAGTAGGAACTGTTTGTAGAGACAGCGAGTCCTCCATTACGCACAATAGTTAGCAGGAAAACTGCCCTTGACGCCTCGCAGTTCTCCTTCCCACCAATCGTCAGTGCTCTCGGTCTTTTTGATGACACGAATGCGGTCGCCTTCTCTAAACACGAGGTCGCCAGCACCTTGACCGCCGAAGTCGTATAGTGCGGTCACGAACTGTATCTGGGATGATGCCGATCGTGGTGGGGGAGGAGGGGGAGGGGGCTTTTTCTTCGCGGCGGCTGCAGCCATTGAGGCAATTGCAGCGGTAGGTGCGGATGTTTGCCTTTGTGTGTTTCGTGAGACGGGGGGTGTATAGGCCTGTTGTGGTGGAGTAGTATGGTAGGGAGAGGGATCTAATGATTCGGAGGGGGTTGGGCTTATCCTTGGGGGAGAGCATTGCTTGGCTGTGTTTGCTGCCATTAGATTGCCAGACGGGGCGGTGTTGAAGCCATTTATCCGTGGCCGTGTGTCAGCTGGGATAGATGGTGGTGCATGCATGGCGCGAACCGGGGAGACAGACGGTTTACGAATTGCAGACGTGTTGCTGGTATGGCGTGCACCCAATCCATTCCGCAGTCCGCCATTTCTGAATTCATCGGAAGCCTTGCGTTGGCGACCTAGTTTACCATGAGAAATGCAGGCGATTGATTCCGCCTGTCGCTGGATAGGGAGGAAATCCTGCTCCCAGGTGTGAATCACCACGTCCATCGGAGGTGGTGGAGACGGGAAGTTCTGCTCCGAGGAATAATTGTGTAGCGAAGTGTAGTATAGAGCAAGAAGGGTGTTCTGGATCTCGATCTGAGCGGCGAGAATGTGTGGAAGAATGGAGAATGTGGCAGTTATCAAACCAGGCAAATGGTTGCGAAGATGATCATCTGCCGCGTTATATTCCTGCAAACCAACACCAGTTAATCGAGGGACAATCGGCACGTCCAGTTCGACAAAGCATGCACAGGCACCCACCTCTATGGCTTTGGCCAGGTCAAGTTCAGCTTTAGCAAGGGCCGCATTCTCTCTATCTGACCGCCTCGATTTCTTCCGCGCGGTGTCCACTCTACCTTGATACCGTTCATAATCGAGCTATACGTCCACCAAAGTTAGCCTCGATCATAAACCACCTCTTGAAGCCAATACTCAATTGCCCAAAATAAATCAATAAATAACAATTACCCAGCGATGAACCTTTTCATGTCCATGCGCGCATTCGGGCATAATTGGGAGTGTGGTCCAAAAACATGCGCAGGTAGGGATTTCGGACCTTTTTATCTTCGCGTTTCTTCATGACCTTCTTCATCGGCTGTAGATAATCCTTTGCTTCCATCGCAGGCTTGATCATGCGGTCGTCTACCGACTGTATCTCCGCCAAAAGGTCAACGCGGAGGGACTCGTATTCCTCCTTCAATCGAGACGTCCTTTCCAAGGTGGATTCTGGTGTTATTGCGGGAGGGTGAGCGGTAGGTTCGGACGAGCCGATAATGGGCTGGTAGAGCGTCTCGAATTCCTGGAGCAGTCTCGCCTGGTAGGTGAGGATGGAGGACCAGGCATCGCGCCATGCTTTGCTCGAGTCGATGATCTACTCGCAGCGGGCGAAATGGACTAGTTTAGCCAGGACATTTCGCAGGAAGGTTAACGCCGGATCAAAAAGTTTGCCGGGGCATACCTTGGTCAGCAGTTTATCGGCATTGTCAAAGTCCTTGAGGAGCACGGAGACTTGGCTCTCGTCGGCGGATCTTTTCATCAGCTTGCCGAACTGCCTGTGCATGGTCAGCATGGCGGGCAACGACGGGTTCAGAGGAGTCTGTCCAGACCCCTCGACTGGAATTGTGTTAGCTGCAATTGTAAGATCGATAAGTGAACAATAGATCGATTGCGGAAAGGTGGGGAGACGGCGTGGTTTTCGAGCTCGGAGGAAAGGCGGAGAGGGAGCCGCCTGAAAGTCTGTCAACGGGAGAGCAAGGCAGTTGTGAAGGGAACGACAGGCCAGACGGCTGCAGGAAAAAAAAGTATGTGGGACAAAATTGCGAGCAGATGCGTCACCGGGATGGCGATCCCTCCGCAGAGTTGGCTGTTTCACCTCTGCGCAAAGGCGTGGATGGCGGGCCAACCAGCCAACTACGGCCTCAAGCAGCGGGACATCCTCTTTTTCTTTTCCCTTTTCCCAACCCGTGTTAACTACTAATACAGAGAAAGAAAACGAACAAACGAGGGTGCTACCAACGAAGAGAAAAGCGGTTTTCTGCTGAACAATGAACGAACCATCTCCAGGACCTCCCAGAAGCTTGGATGAAGGCTAAATCGGTTGACTTGCAGCCCAGCACCCGATTGGGCCGCGAGCTTCGCCGTTCTCAGCTTGCGTAATTGCTGCCCACACACAGTCCACCGCCAGTCGCTGCGCCAGACGGCGACGAGAGGGCGTGCAGTATCGCGTTCTTTGTCGGTGACGGCCGGTCCATGGCCCTGCCCCGCTGCTCTCTGAATTGAAACAAGCCCATTTCCAGAGAGATTGATCTTGTATCAACTCCCAGGATCGAGCAAGGATATGCGAGAGATAAAATCAGGCGACAAACTCATCCAGTGAGCTCTGTAGCTGAGGTAGTTCCGCCAACGGCGTAACATTGGCACAATGAACCCAAAACGGCTGCAGCACTCGCGAGCTTCTTCTAGCTCGTTAGTTAGTTAGTTACATGATCAATCAATACCCAGTGATCGTCTTTTGGGGATGAGTTCTGCTCCGAACTACGGAGTACTGTGATTTGGGGCTGGACATTTAGCTACGGCATCAAGTTATTGGGCCACCATTCTTCCTCTAGATCTAGCAAGTAGGTAGATAGCCATGTTTTCCACCATAGCTACGTATTATCTATTCTCGCCTTCATCCCCTTCAAACAAGCTCATCGTCGACGGCGCAATTGAAATCTGCCGCGGGACGGAATGAATGCTGACTAAGCGTGTTTTTCTTGACGCGTCGGATGCACGCGACAGGCATTTAAGCCGGCGACGAGCAACGATCAATGATCAACAGCCGTCCGCACGGGGCTGGGGAGTCGGCTGCTGGAACGTAGGGAGCTGGACCGAGCTCGACAATGGACTGCACCCCCTCCGCCAGGACGACACGCCCCGTCGCGGCTGGCCCAAGCCAGACCACCGCGGCCGTCATCAGGTTCTCGTGCCTCTTTACATACGACATCAAACGAAAAGCGAAGCGATGGCAGGACGGGTTTCTTCGCTTTCACACGTTTAATCGGCGGGTGATGGTCTACGGCACGTCCGGAGATTTTGTCGGGGACCTACACATGCGGGAGAGCAGTACCGTCCGGGATGGTGACCAGCTGGAACTGGAGCGGGGTGTTCTCGTCGAGGTTGGCGAGTGCCTGGAGAAAACGGAGACCGATCTAACTGAACTGCTGGAGAAGAGGAAGACAAACTCGACTGCATCGCCTGCGAGGACGATGATTCAGCAAACTCCTGCCGCCGCCGCCGCTGCTGCTGGGGTGGTCGCGAACCCTGCTAGACCCAAGTCGTTGAATGAGCTGCTGGGGAAGAATCGCGGTCCACTGGGGAGAGCCGTGCTCCCCAGAAAGTCGCCATTTCAGCTGCAGCGTGAGAATGATCAAGACCAGCATGACCATGCCGCGGAGCGGCCGACCAAGAGAAGAAAGCTATCCCCGGTGGTTGAGAGACAGCGGGAAGGCGACGCCAGCATTGCCTCGAAAAATCTTGAACGAATCTCCGCGCGTAAAATAAATGACGGGGGAAGTACCGGAATAAACCTCGCATCTACTACGAAGCCAAACCAGAATGACACATCCGGTGGTTTCCAGCCAGCCAGCGCGCTCAAGATCACTTCTTCAAGCCGTGCAGAGCATGGTCGCAAAGGATCCAAGAAAGCCCTGTTGGGCAACCAGAAAGCGATCACCGCCATGTTTCATGGAGATAAGCGCAACATAACCTTTCCATCGCCAGTGGAAAACCCACGCAAGAAGCTCATGTGTTTAGAGATATCGAAGAAACCCAAGACGGGAAAGAAACCAGCCCAGAGGGAATCCACTGGCAGTTCCTGGAACACATCTATTCCGGGAGGTGGAATCGAGCCTTCCTCTAGTAGCTCCGTAACTCCCTTGGGAGGGCTGTCCAGGTCTGAGGGCGAGAAGATGGCGGTCTTGACCCCAACAGGCGGAAACTCTCCTATGGATTACATTCCATCCACCTCTACGATGCGCGTTCTCGAAGAATCTTTTCATGTATCTGAAGCTCCTCCGAGTCCCCAGAAGGCTACAAGGTCGATATCAGATTTCTTCAAACCTAACCCACCGCCTCCAGCAATACAAGAAGAAAAGGAAAATACCGGGCCATCACCGAAACCACCATCGCTGTTACGGAGTCATTCAGATATTGAAGCTCTTGCACAGCCAACTGAATCCACTACCCTTCTATCAAATCCCGCCCCTCCACATAGACACAGAACCGCGGCCAACGGCCTCCAGAAATCCCTATCAGATACCTCTGCGCTAAGATGCAGGTCGAGTCGCCCTAGTCGCAGCCTACAGACTCGGCTGATGACAGTTAGTGGCAGTTGTACGCCTGATAGTTCGAGGAATGACGAAGAGCAAGGGCCATGGACGAGTGAGGCTCTTGATTTATTCGATTGGTGGCCACCCAATCGACCGAAGCCTGGAGAACGAGGACAAGAATTATAGCAACAGCAAGCTATGTTTCAGACCTGAGAAGGCTATATATGCCGTCTCGAATACTGAATCAAGACCACCAAAACATTACGCAATGCAACCCATAATAGCGTGGGTTATTACGATATGGATTATGCAAGGGACCCTGAGCTCAGCTGACGATGTAAATAATGAAGTATACCGACGTCTTAATTGAACAACTTTCAGACTCCAGTTGCTCGAGAAGACAAGTATTCACACCATAAGATAGAGAACGCCAAAAGCTGGGAACAAAAAAAAAAAAAAGAAAAGAAAAAATCCATCCAAAAACACAAACCAAAGCATTCTAGCAGGCACGAATATAAGAAGCCATCAACAAAACATAACAAGCGGGGAATCAGCACCGGGTATCTCCTAACCTATCATGAACTAATGCTCCCCCGACACAACATCCTCTCTAGCTCCTCTTCACCAAAATCCCACTGACATAAGGCATTGGTCCCCACGCAAAAGACGTCTTTAGGGTATCACTCGCCCATCCGCCATCTCTTTCAGCGGCTTTCCTCAACATCTTCCCCGTATCCCTATTCATGTCACAGCTTCCCATGAAGAACGGCCAACCGAGTAGCGTGTAAAACAGCTGCGCCAACCGTCCCACAATACTCCCCTGTCTCGTGCACCACGGGTTAACCACGTGTTCCGCAATGAGCAATTTACCGCCGGGTTTCAGCAAGCGGTACAAGCCCTGAATCGTCTCCTCGGGTCTGGGCACCGAACAAAGCACTCGCACACATATAATGGTATCAAAGACGCCGCTGCCCAGCTCCTTGAAGCCCGCCTTGTCCAAGGCTGGGATGAGGGATTGCGGCTCGGCGCCGCAATGGAGGATCTGGTACTTTGACGATAGGCCGCAGGAGTCGATCTTGGCGAGAAGGTCGGTGTGAAGGCCATCGGTGGGTTCGGCGCCGTAGATGGCTTTGATGTCCGGGCTGGTCAGGAGAGGCATCTGCGTTCCTGTCCCTGGGCCGATGTCGAGGATTACGCCGCTAGCGGTGGAGAGGAGGGCTGGCATCAGAGCGCTGGAGCCGACGCGTTCTGCTGGTATGGAAGATGCGGGGTCCCGAGCTCCTAAATGTGGGAGGGGAGGGTTTAGTTTTCGAGGATGGGACATTGTAAGATGAATATAATCGAGGGTTGAAGTAAGACAGAAACGGCGGCTGTCGAACACATTTGCACCTCGCAAGACAGCATGATTGCTGCCGGACTCCCATCAAATGCAGTTTGCACGAGTTGCAAATGCAAGCAATCTACATACCTGAGAACTTGATCCAGAACCTCGAAAAGCCTTCGGCTCTGATCTGGGACATCCTGAGAACCGGAGCAAGCAGTTCTCCCCGTCTAAACACCGTGTCCAAGAAGACTACCGTAAAATCTAAAACAAAAGCAGAATTGGAAGGACTGTCAATAAAGAAGAATCACGGCGACCTCGAAGATTCCTTCGCAGTGGGATGAATTTACTGACTCCATGCACTGCCGAGCAACAGCGGCGCTGGCTCTGCAAGGTCATTGACCCGTTGGCAGAAGGTAGGTGGCACCATCATGTCGGACATGTTATCTCGAGGTGCCGTGCTTTGTTTTGTGCCTTGGTTGGAGATGGGAGCCAGGAAGACGTGCTGCTGCTCTTGGGTCACAGGAGACAGTTGAGAGAGTTACAGCGGCAGTTTGGGTATGGATGCTCGCTCGATAAGCTCGGTGCGAGATGTGCGGCGCGCGAGTCGAGAACCTTGGCTCTCAGATCGGCACGGCAAACCTTGCTGCTCGGCCGCCGGTCGGGATTCGCCCGCCCAAACCAAACCAAACGCCGGCGCGCCTTTCCCCGCATATTACGTAATAGGTCAACTAATTTCTCACGTGATATAAATGCTTGATGCTTGGAAGGCGCGATGTTTACGGGTAGGAAGTGGAAACTACGGAGTCTCGGAGGAAGAATAATCCGTCGACCCATTCGACCCATTTTTAACAGAATCCCAACGCTAACCTTGTTGCTAATGGTGCTGCTTGCAGAGAGACACAATCAAGACTTCCAGGCTCACTTCGGTTGCCGGGTACGCAGTTGAAGAGACTTAACACTGCGGTAACCTATGCATACCCCTAAGCATTTCCAAAAAAAAAAAAAAAGGTGGTATTCGGAGACGCCAGCTATGCTTTGGACTCTGGTTTTCGCCCATAGACGACCGTCCTAAAAAAAGAGAATTCGAAAAGTCAGTGACTAGCTTGTCCAACTCTCATCTCCAGCACAAACAAAAGATTCTCAGGGTATCGGAGAGACCGTACACTTCTTGATAGGCGTGAATCTTCGAGTTGCGAAGCCCACGCCTCACCTCCGCCAGATAAAGTTCTACCTCATCGCGGGTCCACTACAGACCGATTAGCGATTTGTATGGACGGTGTAGTTGAAGGGTTCGAAAGAGGGAGCTCGTACCCCCAAAAAGTTGGTCAAGAGCAGCATTGTCCAGCCTTCTATTCCTTCCTGCCACTGCAAACGGTTATACTTGCCCAGCTCCTTGAGGTGAGGATCCTTCGGCCACGGCCCCAGGGGCACCTTGAAACGATTCTCAACGACGTCCACAAAGCCGGCGTCGATCATTCCCTGACGGGATTCGTCGACGATTCGTAGCGTCTTTCCAAACGCATCGCCAGCTTCAAGGGATACTTGGCCCCATTTTTCAAATATTGTCTTCTCGACAGTGCCATCATCGGACTTGAGGTATACCGACTGCTCCAGCTGTTCGATGTAGCCACCCGGTTTGAGGTTTCTGCACGTAGGTTAAAGAAACAGGGAAACAAGTTAGAAACCTCGCTGGCTACCCCAGTGTGCACGCAGGCAGTCATCCGCATACCTGTACGCTTCCTTGTAGAACTTGTCCCAGTCGGCGACGCATCCGTACAGTCCTCGCACGTGGATGAAGTCGAACGGGTTTTTGTAAACCCATTCGTCGCAGCAGTCGTCGATTTCAAATGCCACATTTGGCGGGACGAACCTTGGCTGAATTGGCGACAGATCGGTCCCTATGACTGAAGCGGACGGATGAAGGTCGGCGAATTCGCTGGTATCCAAAGTTGAGTAAATTCCTCAGCCCATAATGACGGAGTTACGCAAGCCGGGGGAAAAAGAAAGGGGGAGGGGGTTTGGACTAACATTGCCCATATCCCAGTTCCAGTTCCCACATCAAGGACGCGCTGGTTAAAATTAAGAATGTTTTAGCACAAACCGGCATCATCGCAGCCTCCATAGAAAGCCCGGAATGGGGGCTTACTTGAGGATTCTCTGGAATAGGAGCTAAATAGAGCTTTCCATGCAGCATAACCGAAAAGACATGATGCCTGCAAAGAGTCAGCATGTCCCGGGTTAGTGAATCTGTAACAAAAGTAAAGAACGCACCCGATATCTAAGTGGTCTATTGCCTTTTCGTCATTAGGACCCCTACAAGTCGGTTCGAAAGCAGTCCCTCTGGCATTAGGCGGAGCACTGTCAGGAGGCAAAATGCGGCACCTTACCAGTAGGCCCCAGCATGAAACGCATGGTAACGTCTACCATTTTCATAACGGTAATTGGTAATGCTGCTCTTCAGCGATGTGTACTCTCTGGAGGCAAAATGGACACGAGTTAACAACGCGGATCGTCGAGAGATAAGGTGGCAGAGGTAGGGACATGTTTGACACTCACGACCCAGAGTCATCTCCATAAGCGGAGTCGGAGTCTTGGACGGAATCCTTAGTATCGCGGTTAGAGGTAAGCAATGTCCCTCGGTTCTCACCCAAAAAAAAAAAAAAAAAAGGGGTGACCTACCACAGCGATATCCGAGTGATTCCCGTCCATTTCTGTTTCCGAAAACGTGAACTCTTTGGCTCGAGTTCCGACAGACGATATACGGCGAGGTGACTGAATATTGATATTTCAATGCATCGCAATGTTTGAGAAAATATTTGGGACCGGGCGTTGGAACCTTCCGTGCCACAGCTTGATGGTCTTGATATGGGGCAATATTGGTTGCTTTTTGTGCTCCGCCCAAACCATCACACATGTTGCCCCCGAACTTAAAACGGCGAGCGGCGTTGCCCCATTGCCAGGAATCCTAAAATGCCGCCAACATCCCTGCTTAGTCCAGAATTCTTGTTGCTGGTTTTTCGAAAGAATCCAAACCTTCTCCGCACCCTTCAAAGCCAAAGCGGTGCGATCCGGGCAGGGACATGTGTTTGCATCCCCGAAGGGCATCCCTTGCCGCCACAAGCACTTTTGAGCTGGCGAAAACGAGCCAACCATTTCGCCAGGCCCCCGAGTCAAGAAGTCTAATATGCGGACCGCCCATGCCGCTTTTGCTCCGGATGCGGTCCCTCTGCATTGGGTGGAGCATGGAGTGACCGCGGCGCCCGCTTCAACCTTCTCTGCCTGCCAATGTCGGGCTTCCCCGGCCAATCCGCCGGTCGTTCGTGGTCTCTCCCCACTGGCGCCTCGCGCTATGGCTTTCCTTTCCCGCCAATACAAACTTAAACCTTTCTGGCTCAATTTTGAGGAGCTGCAAGGAAATGCTCGCATGAACGGGGTATTAGAGGAGACCCATGCTCCTGACCTTTTAAATCATGTTTCCGGCTGGCCCCAGCTCCAGCTGCTGGGTTTGTGTTCCGGAATATTGGGGAATACCTGAATGATATTCTTCCGACATGAAACCCTTTGTTCTCACGGAGTTCGGTTTCCAAAGCCATTGGATCCTGCTAGCAGCCCTATATCTAGCGGGATGGGCTGTTTACCAAGGGATTAAAACCTTATACTGGCATCCGCTGGCCAAATTCCCGGGCCCTCGAATTGGAGCTCTCACTCGTCTTTACAAAACATATGTGGAATGTGTCGCCCAAGGTTCTTTTGTGCACTTGCTAGAAGAGCATCATGCTCGCTATGGTGAGTCGATACACTGAGCATGATGGTGTATAATAACTGATTCATGTCCGTTTTCTTTAAAGGCGACATCGTGCGTGTCGGGCCAAACGAGGTATAGCTGTCATTTATCGTCTCCCTGATCATAGTAAAGAAGCCATGCTGAATACTTCAACCCTCAGCTACACTTCAGTAATCCTGCAACCTATCTCGAAATCTACAACCCATCCAATCGATGGGATAAAGAGGAAAGCCTCTATCATAGCTTTGGAGAGGACCGGTCGTCGTTTGGCTTCTTGACATACAAAGAAGCAAAGGAACGCAAGGATGTTCTGAATCGCATGCTCTCCAGGAAAGCTATCCTTGGCTCCCAGGGAATCGTCCAGGAGAAAGTAGGTGCTTCTCCTTTATTCTGTATGAAAAGCTCCTCAAAAGTTTTGGTCTAACTCTTGGAAGGTTGTGGAACTATGTAAATCTTTCGAACGGAAGAAAAACTCAACAGTAAACCTCTTTTACGCTTTCCGATGCATGTCGATTGATGTCATTACCTGTAAGTAGAATTTACTGTTGGCAGCAGCATACCATACTTACTCTGGACTAGATCTCTGCTTTGGCAGCTCAGTTGATGCTATTAATGCGCCAGATCATCAGGCACCAATTATCATAGCGATGGATGCGTCATTGCCTGTGTTTGTTCGCTTCAAACATTCTGCGTTCTATAAGTCCATGATCGTCAACTGTCCGCCGGCTATTTCTAAGATTGTGAGCCCGTTAACAGCAGGCTTGGTAGATCTCCAGCAGGTAAATTCCAAACACATCCTAGCGCAAAGCCTCTGGCTAACCCGAATAACTAGCTTTTAAAAGGCCAAATTAAGGAAATGACAGAGGACCCTAGCACATTGGAGAAGCTTCCGCACTCCCGGACAGTTTTTCACGAGCTGTTGCGACCAGAGGCGTACAAGAGCCGGACCGTACCATGTGCAGACAGCCTCTATGAAGAAGCGCAAGCCCTTATGTTTGGCGGCGCAGATACAACCGGCACAACCCTCATGCATGGTACTTTTTACATATTGAAACAACCTGAAGTGTATCGAAGATTGAAAGAAGAGATTCATGCTGTCTGGCCGAACCTGAACACGCTCCCTGATTTGACTGACCTGGAGAAACTGCCTTATCTTGTAAGACAGCAAGTTGCCCAATTCTGATATACCTGGACTCATTTAGTTTTCCTTTTCTAGACTGCTGCTCTCAAAGAGTCATTGCGCATGAGTCCGGGTGTCGCATCTGCGCTTCCAAGGATTGTGCCACCCTCGGGCGCTAAAATATCAGGACAATTCATTCCCGGTGGAGTAAGTGCATATAATAATTCCCCCACCGATGATGTGGCCCTAGGCCATACTAATAAGAGCCTCCTTCAAAGACCGTGGTAGGGATGAGCAGCCACTTTGTGCACCGCAGCGAAACCGTTTTTGAGAAGCCAAACGAGTTTATCCCTGATCGCTGGCTCGGAGACAAGGGATCGCAACTCGATAAATGGCTCTTTAGCTTCTCTCATGGTCCTAGAAGTTGCCTAGGTCAAAAGTAAGGAAACCCCCTGATCATTTATTTGTTTCATTCCTACCTAACTGCGATTCCGTTACTCCAGCCTTGCATGGGCAGAACTATACTTCTGTTTTGCGCACCTTTACCGGAAATTTGACATTGAAATGGATCCGTCAAGGTAAGGGAGCTTTTTCTTAGGAAGGCTCGATTCTTCCTCCCGTGTTCAACGCTAACGTCTTTTCGTTTATAGCCCCCGCGATCTTCAGTGGCGTGACCGCTTTTTGCCTGAGTATATAGGGCCTCATTTGAAAGCCAAGATCACTCCTGTTGCCAGCTAAAGGTTGTGCCCTTACTGTTGAGAACAGGTTCAATCATACCTGTGGCTGCTGTGCAGATGGAAATGGGAGATAGCTCAAGTTTATTTCTGCACAACTTTCTCTAGTTAATACTTAATCAACTCTGTAGATATGCCAGACAATATAATTATTCAATGGAACAGGTTCCTCAAAAATGGTACCAAACTAACGTGTAGAATTTCGCATGTTTTAGGAGATCTTGTCATATTTAGCGATCTAATTTTTAAGCACTTAGGCACCGCCAATGCCTCCTGAGTGTCACCTGAATTTCAGGGCTATACATCAGTATCATGTATGATCCTTGTTCTCCAGCGCGCTACGTAAACAGATAGAAGGATTTTCATTATCCACGGCCATTGGCTTCGCACATGCTGGGCACATATCCTTGGATATTCTGGGGGTTTTACAGGCGGTACGGAGTACCAGAGGAGCAAAATACCAATGGGAGAGAGGCCATTACTCAACCAAAACCACACGAATGGCGGTTGAAACGTCTTCTCTTCTTTGATAGGTGGTGTGCACGGAGTCTAAAGTAGCTGGCCGTCGTAAGCACTCTTGTAGGACAAGCTGAGCGCAGACGGGCATTTGATGTCTTTGTCAGTCGGCGGGATCACGGAGTAATTGCTCGGAATTGTAAGCCGATGTCCGAGTGACGTCACAGATTAAGTTACATAACTAGTTAGATGCCACGTGACCTGGCGTTTCGGCGCGTCGCCCGCATTACCTCATCGCGCGTGGATTTGGCTAGGCTGCAGTGTCGACGGCAGTCAAGCCAGCGACAAAACGAGCGGCGCAGGACTTCACCATGAATCGCACTTTTCGATTGCCCAATATCTGAGAATTTGCCTTCAATTTTCAAAGAGGACTCTGGGGTTTGTTTTGGTTTATACTCAGTGACAATGGCCGAATCTGAGTACAATCGAGAGGATGATAGCTTTGAGGAGGAGGAAGAGGTTGATGACAGTGTGAGGGACACCCAAGTTGCCTGGGCTGGATTGCGCCCGTTAACTAGAGCAGGGCTACAAATCCGTCAAAGATGCTGTTTTGTTTGCTATCGAAGTCAGCGAATCCATGTTGACAGCCGCCCCGAACCCTACCTCGAAGAAAGCCCGACCGGAATCTCCAGCCACCGCGGCCCTGAAGTGTGCATATCACTTGATGCAACAACGTATCATATCAAACCCAAAGGATATGATCGGTGTCTTGCTATATGGGACAGAGTCCTCCAAATTCTACGATGATGATGAAGACGGAAGAGGAAGCCTTCCTTATCCTCATTGTTATCTCTTCACAGATCTTGATGTCCCGGCAGCATCCGACGTCAAGGAGTTGCACGCCTTGGTAGAAGACGAGGATAGAGCCGCTGAAATATTGGTTCCGTCTAAAGAACCCGTATCAATGGCAAACGTGCTGTTCTGCGCTAACCAGATTTTTACGACGAAAGCACCAAATTTCTCGTCCAGACGGTTGTTCATCGTCACAGATAATGATAACCCGCATTCAAAGGATAAAGTATTGAAATCCGCCGCCACAGTGCGTGCAAAAGATTTGTATGATTTGGGTGTGGTTATTGAGCTCTTTCCCATTTCCACTCCGGATCATGATTTCGATACGTCCAAATTTTACGATGTAAGTCTTTGTTGATACTGCTCTCGCCGATTAGCGCTGATAAAGAACTGTCCAGGATATGATATACAGAGCTTCCCCCACAGACCCAGAAGCACCAAATTACTCTTGCACTTCCACAAAAACTAGCGGCGCAGATGGGATATCGATCTTGAACAGTCTTTTGTCTTCGATCAACTCAAAATCTGTCCCTCGACGTGCATTATTTTCCAACTTGCCATTGGAGCTCGGGCCAGAATTTAGGATATCCGTCAGTGGGTTTCTTATATTCAAGCGGCAAGCACCTGCAAGAAGCTGTTACGTGTGGCTCGGAGGAGAACAGCCGCAGATTGTGAAGGGTGTGACCACCCTCGTTGCGGATGATTCTGCCCGGGAAGTAGAGAAATGGGAAATCCGAAAAGCTTACAAATTTGGCGGAGAACATGTTGCATTCACGCAAGAAGAGCAGAGTGCTTTAAGAAATTTCGGCGACCCGGTCATTCGCATTATCGGGTTTAAGCCAATGTCGTCGCTTCCGATCTGGGCGTCAACCAAGCACTCAACATTTATATACCCTTCCGAAGCAGGGTTCGTCGGCTCTACTCGTGTGTTTTCGGCCTTGCAGCAGACACTTCTGAAGCAGAAAAAGTTCGCCCTTGTTTGGTTTGTCGCTCGGAAAAATGCAGCTCCTGTGATGGCAGCGTTGATCCCCGGTGAGGAAAAGCTGGATGATAATGATGCCCAGGTTATTCCTCCAGGCATGTGGATTCAGCCTCTGCCCTTTGCAGATGACATCCGCCAGAACCCTGAGACTCATAATATTGTTGCACCCGAACCTTTGATCGACAAGATGAGGGAAATCATCCAAGTATTACAACTTCCCAAGGGGCGGTATGATCCGCAGAGATACCCAAATCCATGTAAGTCACTTACCACCATTCCCATCCACGGACTCTAACTGTTAGACAGCACTACAATGGCACTACCGCATTCTTCAAGCTCTGGCTCTTGATGAGGACTTACCAGACCAGGCTGAGGATAAAACTATCCCCAAATATAAACAAATTGATAAGGTTTGTGTGACTTTTTTCAATATGTGTTGACAGGCTGAGCATTGGATCTTATGGTATCAATTATCCTCGCTAACTCTGCAATAAGCGTGCTGGCGAGCATGTTCTCGAATGGGGCGAAGAACTGGAAACCCAGAACAGACTACTCGAAAACTCGAAGCCGATTACTTCCACCTTAGCCAAACGGCCGGCACCTAGCAGAAAGGCAGAAGGCGACGAACGAGCCACTAAACGAGTGAGAGCAGAAAGCACAGGAGACGCGGAAGTAAAGATGCACTATGAGAAAGGGAGTTTGAATAAGGTTTGAAATTGATTTTTGTTTTTCATTGCCATTTGTGGTGTCGGACATTTGGGTTAACTTAATACCATAGCTTACAGTGACGATTCTGAAAGACTTTTTATTAAGCCATAACCTTTCAGGGACTGGCAAAAAGGCTGATCTAATTGATCGGGTTGAGGAGTTTTTTGACAGGAAGTGAATAATTTATGTCTAGAGGCGGCCAGCTATCCCTCCTTTGGGTATTTGATACCGGTTTTTCGCTTGAGTGCCTGCTTAAACTGTTTAGGCTTCGAATTATGTGTTGATAACCTTTCCTTTGGGCCGCTTTCTTGGTTAAAACGCGTCACCTAATACGAGATGAATTAAGTATGACCGTCCGCTTGCTGCGTTACTGCTCTGAATGGCCGAATTCCCATACATTGGATCAAGTCGCGGCGCATCAGGTTCTACCCTGGGTCTTCATGTAGTTAAAGGTGCGGGCGCTGGGCTGTAGGGTGGAAATGACAAACCCGTGGATTGATGGTCTTGCCCTATTGCTTCCGCTCGTTCGCTGGGCTTTCTTCCACGTTGTTCCGTCCATCAGCACTTTGCACACGGCCTCCGCGCATTCATCAACCAAGACAGACGACCGAGTACATACTTCACGTGACCTTTTTGTTGGCTCAACGAGATAGTTAGCTTTAACAGGGATCGTCGATCAACATTCCGTGCGCCGGCTCGTCGAGGAAGATGTGGCGTGATATCCGTCGAATGCTCTCAATTCAGCCCGTGGGCCTTCAGTTCCCCTGAGCTTCCAACACCACCGACGGTATCTTGCAAATCATCCCTCGAGAAGAGTCCTGTCCAACGCTAGACAGGGGCATTGGCTCCGATAATGTTGGATTGATCAGCTTCTCTGAAAGTAGGAGCAAATCCCGAAAGTCGATCTAGGGTGCTGGAAATGGAGATGCCTGATTTTTTTTGAGTATCAAGTTCTTAGAGATAGGTGATACCAAATTATCTCGTTGGGATATAAATACGGCCGCCATCCAGGCGGGATATGGGAAATGTAGCTTGCTTCCACAGCAAAACTCTGCTACCCCCAGGTCCGGCAATCAATCATGCCTTCGCTACCTTCCCAGGACCGTGAGGAAGATCGCTTCACGCCAGCTGTTGAACCAATGCATGCGAAATCGGCGGAGGAGCGGAATGCGTTCCTGTCCATGTTGAGGAAGGATAGCAAATCACACCGTGAAATCACGGATGGCTATCTGAACTTCTGGCAAGCCGATGGTGGGAAAGCAAGAGACGATACCGAGGATGAGCGAGACGGAAGGATGAGCAAATACATGTCTCTTGTGAACAGGTAGACCTGCCGCTTCTGTCTGTTAAGATCATCGATATGATTATGGTTGCTAACGGATGTGTGGCAGCTACTACGATCTAGCCACAGATATCTACGAGGAAGCATGGGCACAATCTTTCCATCTCTGCCGCTTTGCGATTGGCGAACCGCTGCAGCAGGCTCTTGCACGACATGAGCATTACTTAGCTTATAGGATTAATTTGAGCCCAGATATGCATGTGTTGGATGTGGGTTGTGGAGTTGGACGCCCGGCCAGGGAGATGGCAACCTTCACGGGGTGCAATGTTGTGGGCTTGAATAATAATGGATATCAGATCCAGCGCGCAAAAGCGCATGCAGAAAGGGAGCGCCTGAGTCACAAGGTCTCCTTCGTCAAGGGGGATTTCATGGTATGTTGTCGAGTATACAAATTCACAGATAAACAGATTGACAGATTGACAAAATATTGTAAAGCACCTGGAATTTCCCGAAAATTCGTTCGACGCCGCGTACGCTATTGAGGCCACAGTGCACGCCCCTTCTCTCCAAGGTGTCTACGAACAGATCTACCGGGTTCTTAAACCTGGAGGAACATTTGGTGTCTACGAATGGGTCATGACGGACAAATACGACGATTCCGATTCTCGCCACCGCGCTATCCGTCTGGGAATCGAACGCGGAAATGGTATTGTGAGTATGAAGACGCGAAAGCATGCTGTGGACGCTATCAGATCAGTGGGGTTCGTCCTGGACTACGAGGAAGATCTAGCTGTTTACCCGGATGAAATCCCTTGGTATGCACCCCTTGCAGGAGAGTTCCGATCTGGTGGTACGCTTTGGGAGCGCTTGACCGCACTGAGGTTAACTTGGATGGGGAGGATGGCGATGAGCAGGCTTCTCGGAGTACTAGAGGGAATCAGGTTGGCTCCGCCAGGGACTGTGGAGACTATGAATGAGCTCTCCCAGGGGGCCGAAGCACTGGTAAGTGGGGGAAGAGAAGGCTTGTTTACCCCAATGTACTTAATGGTTGCGAAAAAACCCCTGCAAGGGAAGACGTGAAGAAGTACTATGGAAATTTGTTAGGGATGAACTTGAAGCGACAATGACACACATAATCCACCCAATCACTATTTTCGAGCTATATTTATGAAGACAAGGCCACAGAGGGGCCCTTAAGGGCTCCTAAAGATGAAGCCTCAGCCTGAAAGGGAGAATAAAGCCCGAAAGCCACCCATAACCAATACCCTTCCTTCGATGCTTATTTCCCCTTTCCCTGCCCTAGACATAAGCTGAAGGATATCCTCAGCGTCCTGGTATTCCAAACCCAAAGCTTCATGCATCACCTTTCTCATGCTATGGACACGGGTGATGGAATCCGTAGCCCCGAGAAAAACGGCACCGAAGATCTGCAATTTCCGTGAAAACTTTTGAGTCCACCGTTTGTAAAACCTCCTCCATTTTCCTGCGATAAAATTCCTGGTAGTGACCTAGTCGCTCGAGAGAGTGCTCCAAGAGCGGGTAGGTGCTAAGGCGGTACAAGGCCGGATTCCAGTCCGTAGCGATCCATCGAGGAATAGTCGAGTACCAAAGACGTCCAGTCTTGGTTTGGACGTTGTCCCAGTCCACTATGCTAGTAACATTTCCGGCATCGTCGGTCATAATGTTTTGCCAATTGAAATCTGGGAGGCCGACGACGAACGTCGCATCGGCGGATTCGTCAGTTGTAAAGTGTGGCAGGCACGAAATTGCCATATCTAGGATCTTTTGAGCGCCTGCGTTGATACTAGGGTTGCGATAGATCTCTCCATCTGGGCGGGATGCTAAGCAATACTGGAGATACGCTTGCGAGGAGGTAAAGGATCCGAACTCTTCGACCTTAAGGACCCTCCATAATCCTTTGTTCCAAAGGTCCCATAATCCAAGCGATAACAAGGCCCCCTTATCAGAGCATTGCCCGTAGGGAATAGGGAACCAACGTGGTTGAATTCGAGCTCTTGAAGCTGTGACATTGCCCCCGCAAGGCTCTCCAAGATCTTAACTCGCCACTCTTCCAAAGTGTCGAGTCCCGATGGTTCAAACCATGTTAAATCCGCAGGGCAGCCATGTACAAAGCTCATGACCATGAATAGGGCGCCGAGAGTGTTGCAGCTGTTATAGAAGGCGAATATCCCGGGAATAGGGATGCTCGTTACGGCTCGGATATATATTGCATGGTGTGAGCCAGAGCTATAAATGCACGCCTCGGCAAGGCTGCCTCCCCGGCTCGTTGCTGAGACGCGAATCACATACTTTTCTCCATCATCGAACTCGACAACGTAAACAAGATTGTTAGAGCCATGAAGGAAGTCAATGACGCGGCAAAAGGGGCTGAAGCTTTTTTTACACACCCATTGAATCCTCATGGCCACTTCTAAGAAAGCAACCTCTAGGATGCTCGGAGGGGGGCCAAAGCGGATCTCCAGGGTGTCAGATCATGTAGATCCAGCATTTTGCTGAACAGGCATTGCTAGTGTGTTCATAAAGAGGCAAAAGAAGTGAATGATCTGGTGATGTGAAGGTGATTATTGGGCAACCAGTGAAGGAGACAGTGAGAATAACAAATGTTTGCGGAGATGTGCAGCTCATGGAGATTCTGTTTTTAGGGGGCAAAGGAGGAGCCGTAGTCAGGTGGTACGGCTATCGCCACGGCGATGGATCAAGAAGGATGGCATGCGAGCAAATTCTCTTGGTTTGTAATTCCTATCTCTATCTGATTTGAGAGAAGCTGATGAGCTTTATTTCGGGGAAGAATACTGGAAGATATTAGACAGGTATATTGAAGCCACTCCCAGGTGGTTTGGGATCACCAGATAGAGCTGGTAAACCGTGTAGAGAGGACAGCAAGACAGGTAAACATGTCTTACTTGAGCCTCTTTGATCGTTTTTATACCAGTGGGAAACTGAAAGGGTTTCATGGTACCTTTCAACCAGCTAATGGGTCTAGGGAGGATCTTATGGAGAAGTTATACTGTTGTGACAGCAGTCTTATACACTGGGGCCTAGGGGTTTGTCCCTCCATACTTTGTAGACTTTAGCTGGCATGTTCACTTCACACTTCCCAGTCTGTTTGGGGGTTGTTGTGCGCAGTTGTTGATGTAAATCTGGCGGTATTCACCCTTCACTCTCCTCTTCGCTCACTTCTTCTCCGGCTTCAATGGCCATTTCCCGCTTTCTCTGCGCTCGCTCCCGTTTCCTTTCGAGGAGTTTGGTTAACTTCTTGGCAACATTGAAGACACCTCCCGTTCCTGAACCACAGGCTGCACAGGAGGGATTCTTCCGATACCGTTGCAAAGCACATGACTCGCAGAAGTAGTGGCCGCATTTTGTTGTCACAGGGTTCTTGTAGGGCTGCTTGCAGATGATGCAGGCAAAAGGAATGGACTCCAGCATCTCTTCTTCGTCGTCGCTCCCATCCTCGTCGAGCCTCTTATCTCTGTTTGCAGAAGCCACCGTGCGGCCGACAATTTTCTTGCCTTTTGTTTGGATGTCCCAGTCACGGTCGAGCTCCCAGCCTTGTTTGTAGTCTTCTCGGGCATGAAGGAACTTGCAGGTGTCGCCGAACCCACAGAATCCTGTCTGCTTGTAGTCCTTGCACACATCGGGAGCGAAGTCGGTAAAGGTGACCGTGCGGATATTGGTTGGTGCTTTTATCGGGCCGAACTGCTTTGAGGGAGCGTCGGGATTTTTCTGAATGAACGATTGGTACTTTGAGGATCCTCGATAGACTCCGTCGTGTCCTCCTTCAGGGGCACCTGGGCGGCTTCGCGTCTTCCCGAGGAGGTTCTTCGCGCTGAGCTCATCGTTGCCAGCCTCTTCATCGTACCAATTTGAGTGTTTAGTGGCGTCGTTTCCGGCAGGGAGCGGACGAGCTGCAGACGGTTCGTCAGACTCTTGTCGATTCGCCGGGGCAGATGTGGAAGACGCTGTTATGACGGCATTCTTGCGCCGGCGCTTGACGGCGCGGCCCTCATCCTCGTCTTCGAAGGAGCTCAGATCAGAATCCGAATCGGCAGCGGGTGGTGGCGACGGAGCTTTCTTGCGCACACTAGACTTGGCCTTTGCAGAGCGCTTTTTAAATGCAATGGGGGCTATGGGTTGTTCCGAGGAGGCTTCGTCCATCTTTGCGGTCGCTGAGGACAAGCCGGGTTTGGTGCTGCGAACGGCGATGGATTCGCCCGCGATGGTGCTGTTTTTGGTTTCGTGAACCAGTTAACTAATTATCAGATGAGATATGGCTTAGTCATCTATGCATGAAACAAAATTTTAGCGTGGTACGGTAATTACCAACAGGTTGGGGGGCAAAATCAGGATTCAGGATGCACAGCACGCTCAAAAGAGCATGCGAGTATGCAGTAAAGAAAAACAAGGGACATCTCAACCATAGCTGTTGGAGTGTCAGGGTAAGGGTCATGCATCCATCCTCTGTAACTACAACTCTGCGATTTGGGATGGAGAACTGCTGCTGTAGTTGTGCAGTCAGACCACTGTAACGATGACCATCCTGATACGCTTCCAGAATAAGGCTAAAACGAGCAATTTCCGGCTTTTCGCTGGCTTAGTTAAGGTTTGCTCTCCTTTCTCTCACTCGCCTCTCTCTCTCTCTCTCTCTCTCTTTGTCTCTTCCCCATCCCCGCCCCGGCTGCCACTGTCGCCGTGTTGTGTGTTCTCCGTGAAATACAATTCGTTGCTTTTTTGGCATGCAGTGACAGTGTGGGAGATCAGTCATTCATTTATCTTTTTTTTTTTTTTTTTCCCATTATTTTCCTTGTTTCTTTTTTGTTATTGATGCTTTGCACCTGGAAGTCCACAAATTGTGTGTTGGCAACCTACATCATCCTCGCGGCAGCCACCCAATAACGCGTCGTGAATCTGGACAACTCAGACATTCAATCAACCAGCCTGTCACCTTACTGTCAGTAGTACTCCCTACTGCCTACCAACTCAACAGGGGGCTATGTATGGAATGCTGTGGCGATAAACTGGTGAGAAGGACCCTCGAGTTAAGCTCAACTCTTCCAGGTTAGCGTTCGCCTCGTTCCAGGGTTTCTCGCCGACGGTTACCGCAAGAAGTCGCTGGGCTACAAACAATGGTATTATCCGCATAGCTCGCTTCCCGGCCATTGAAGATCTCATCGCGAATCATGGCCGATTCTCTTCCTATGTATGCTGCTGGGGCCGTTGGTGACAATGGGGTGGACTTGGACGACCCGTTTATCTCCAGTACGCCGGCTGGAAACCATACGCAACGCGAACCGCACCGTTATTCCTCCTTTGACGCGCAGCTTTTCACCCTCAACACGTCGTCGCCTGCGCAAGCGAAACGTGCTCTCGAGGCGCATTTGGCTGAAACAGAACGCAGATTGGAGGAAACGTCAAATCTTGGCACCGCCCTCATAGAGCAGCAGAGAGAGCTCATGGACAAGTTAAAGGAGGTCGAACAACAACATACAGACGGTGAGATCGGACCCGATTTACGGCGGAAACTCAATGATCTGGAGAGGGAGTACAACGAGATTGGTCGTGAGACCGCTCGAGTTGCGCTCGGTCCAAAAGTCAGGCTAACGGGCCAGGAAGATGGTCTGGCCACCCCGTCGTTGGATTCTCGTGTAAGCTCTTCAATACTAAGGCCTGCTGATCGCAATGTCTAACCCCCCTTTGACAGCATCATGCAAGTCCATCCGTGTTCTCCAGTCAAGCTACCAATTCACCCTCCAAGGTCACTGTGCCTTCTCGAAAGCAGCGCAACCAGCCCTCGAGCCGCGTACATGACATCGAATTCGCAACCGAAATCAGTACTTCTCTGCTCGCTCAAGTCCGTCAACTGCAGGCGCTGCTTGCAGAAAGAGAAGAAGCGATCAAAGCCCTCACACTTGAAAAGTCTCACCTTGAACTTGAAGCCGAAGGCTTTACACAACGACTTCGGGCACTGGATGAGAGCGAACAGCGGTACAAGGATGAAAACTGGAGCTTAGAAACCCAAACACATGATCTCCTCGCTGCCGCCAAAGAAGCTTCTGACCGTGAAAGCCGTTTGACAAGTAATCTGAATGCGCTCACGGTGGAAAAAAACAACATCCAACGGGAACTGGACGAGCTGAAACAAGCCAATGGCAGACTTGTTGAGGAGAATATGGCTACCCAGAAGGCTCTCGATTCCGAACTTCATATTCTCAGACGGAACATAACTCTTGGGGAATCTGAGCGCAATGCTCTTCAGCAAAAGGTTGATGAGTTAGCAGGGCAAAACCAGGAACTAGCTAAAGCCGTCGCCGCAAAACTACGTCAACACGAAGCGGACTCAGCGAAAGACCCCAACCCGGAGGATAATAGGAAGGCATCGGATGACCTAACCCCTGAGAACTCTCCACCTCCTTCGCCAAACAAACCAACGCCCCGCCATGGTCTTTTGGAGTCCGAGACCTTGAAAAGTTCTCTGCACCATGCACACCGTATGATTCAAACCTTAAAGGGCACGATTCATAGAGAGAAGACCGAAAAAATAGAGCTGAAGCGCATGTTGCAAGACGCCAGGGACGAGCTGGAACAGCGCCGCGCAGAGCCAGTCCGCCCAATTAGCTCACATAATAGGCGCCAAAAACCCAAAGGGGACAACTTCAAGAAGCCGGCACGCCCTGAGATGCTTGGAGCTGGAAGAAAAGGTATCACACAGATCGAAGTTGCGGAGCCAGAATGGGAAGACGAAGGTGAACCAAGTCCAACTCGTGTCGCTCGACCAAATAAACGGGCTGTATCATATGGCAACTCCGGAATTGAATCTAGCACAACCAGCGATGCCTATCAGACAGCCAATGAAACTGAGGCCTTCGAGACCGCTAACGAGCGTGAGGTCACTACTGAGAGCGAAGCTTTCCAAACCGGCACTGAGAATTTCATTGATGAAAGCAGCGATGACCTCACGGAGACTGAATCCCGCACTATGCATACGGGTACCATTCGGCCTCGACGATCGGGGCAACTCAATTCTACCAGGCCCATGTCTTTTGCCAGCACTGCCTCGACGTCTGGAGATGAGGACGAATATATTGAAGTGCGAACTCCTGTTCAACACCAGCCACCACGCTATCGGATTAAAATGAGTCGTGGAAGACGAGGGCGTGTGTCACAGGAGTCACATATACGGCAAGGAAGCGTCCCGCTAAGTCCTCGTGATTCTCCGGCAAGTTTAAACAGCCCCCCACAGAGCCCCCGACAAAGGGAAATCTCTGGGGGTCAAAGCCTCTTTGCCGAACTCAGTGGTTTAGCTGGAGCTGGAAGTGACAGCGAGTTTGGGGCGCCTCTCCGTTCAAGCACCATGTCTGAGATGTCTACTCCAAGCCGCCGTCAAAGTTTCGCGACGCTTGCGGATTCAAGCCGACCGGTAACAGCAAGGGAAATAGTCATGGTTGATTCTTGTACTATGACTGAACCCCTTCCGCCAGCAGTCCCTGCACAATTCGAAATTGTTTCCCCACCCGAATCTACCTCCGATTATAAGGACGCAGAGACGTCGACAGCGCCGCGCGAAGGAGTAGACGCGTTCACCACCTTTGAAAGAATCGTTGTCATTGACTCTGCCACCCAGTGTATGCCCATAGAAACTCCCCTCCTGGCTAAAAGCGAGCCTGCTGTTACCATTGATATCGCGCCAGAAATACCGGACACAGATGCCAATCATGAATCGCTTCATGCTACCATCGAGACATTGCCCTCCCCGGTTATGCTCCCAATGGAACCGACCATCCTAGACATTTCCCCAATTTACTCCGAGCAGACTGCCCCGATCTCGCCAATGCCAATTGATCTTCAATCTCGGCGACCCTCTGTGCGCATGGATATGTCGGTCATTGCTTTTGAGGATAGTCGCCCTTCTCTTCCTGCTGTTACACCATCAAAATCTTCGTTGGATCTGGCTATGTCATCAATTCAATCCACATCCACGAACCCCCTTGCAGTTCCCGTCTCCCTACCCGAATCAAAACGTGCCCAGGTCCTTGAGTTCTCAACTATCTTTGAGGTTGGAACCTCCCCGAAGGAGGCGATTTTCCCTACTGTGCCTCCTATGACTCTAGAAGTATCCAATATTCAATGCGTGGAATCCCTGCCCGTGAAACCTGTACCCACGATCCTAAGTGTAGAGCCACCCACGGATACCTTGAAATTGAACGGTATAGAAGCTCAGCCCTGCCCGCCTCAAGTGACCGATCGCGCCACTCAGTCTCAGATTTCGACTATGGATAGAGGAATCAGTACTTCGCCTTTACCTAAAATTGAGACAGAAAGCCAGGGTAGTCAGACTGCCCTGACTGAGGTACTGGAAACGGGTGAACGATCTTCTCAAGTTCAAATCAGCACTGCGGAAATATCCTCTCAGACCATCTTGACCGGCTTCCAGATTGATAAACTTCTAATGGAACGTCAAGCCAGTCGCCCAGTGACTGCCATCGAAAGTAGCCAAGCACAAGCTGCTATAATAAGCACGCAAAGCTCTCCCTTGACTACGCCGAAAGCGAAACAGCTATCCTCTGCCCAGACAGGCTTGCTCCACCCGAACAATGCGACTAGACGACCTGGTAGTTCAGGCAGTCAACGCCTGGGCAACAGCCTTTCCGTTCCACCCCTTCCCGTTGATCATAAACAGACCATCGCTGCAGCATCGCAGAGACTATCTTCAGAGGCGTCTCCAAGCGTGATGGGACCACCCATTGCTCCAGCTTCATCGTACCGCAGTTCCAGCCAAATCAGACCGCGTACGCCAAGCGAGCAGCCCAGCCGTAATTCAGCCCGAAATCAAAGCACTCCACAGACGAAGTTTCGCCGTACGAGTACCAGCATGGCGTCTCGCCGGTCCTCCATATCGTCTTTTGCCTCGGAGCTGGATGAAAGGTTTAACATCGCGAAAGCGACATATCCTTTTGAATCCGGTGCCGATCCTCGCATGATTCAAGCCATCACGCAGACAATGATTGGGGAATTTTTGTGGAAGTACACCCGCAAGCTTGGTAGATCGGATATGTCGAACACTAGACATCAACGATACTTCTGGGTTAACCCGTACACTCGGACATTATACTGGGGTCCCCACGATCCTCAAGTGCTTGCAAAGTCCCAGCAAAGGTCCAAGAGCGTTGCCATTGAAGCTGTTCGTGTTGTCAATGACGATAACCCCTATCCACCCGGCCTTCATCGGAAGAGTTTGGAGATCATTACGCCTGGTCGAACACTCAAGTTTACGGCGGCAACAAGCCAACGCCATGAGACATGGTTCAATGCTCTCTCATATTTGCTCCTTCGAACTGCCGATGATGAAACTGAGGAGCAGGATGTGGTGTGGGAAGCTGGTAGTGATTACAACGCAACAAATGGACGGAACTCCCGGCAAGCGGAATCGAGAAGATCAATCTCTTCCCATAATAGTCGGGCTGCTCGTACAATTTCCAAACAGTTTGTTGAGACGGTTCCCACGCTTCGTCGGCCAGTGACTCCGAACCAGCCATCGCCGTCTCCGTCTAGTCGCCCGGGTTCATCCTTGCGACCCGACCAGACAAGACCTGGCTCTGTGACCCGGATCAGCAATGTGTTCAGGTCTTCAGGGATTAAATCGACGTTCTCAAGTCGTAGGAGCAGATACGGCAATGCTAGTGGAAGCATTGACAGTACGAGTGCTGCTAGCAATGACAGTGCTGAGGAGCTGAGGCGTGTGATTGAGAGACAAGACCGGGAGGCTGATCGGCTGGAGAATGTGCGGGCTTGCTGTGATGGTGAGTTGCTCAAGTTTATGTTCACTTGTGGCCAAGCCCATCCCAGCATACTAATTATTTCCCAGGGAAACATGATGTTAGCGCCCTCTCGAGGACAAGCCGATACAGCGCCAGAATCAGCCCCCTATCCCACCATGTTCACAGCTGAGTTCTTCAACTGCTGCAGTGTCGTCTGTTCCCGACCATTTACTCGAAAGCTTCGGCAACGTATTTTATAGAAAAGCATATTGGCAAGCCGTATGTTGTGGACGAATTTCCTTGCGTTTTTTTGACTTGAATGTTTGCTTTCCCTATTTCGGTGCTCTTTTAATGATTACTCGGTGCATTACATAAAACCCAATATTCCTTGTCAGGTCTAATATCTCTGTTCGTCTTTTGGTTTTGCTTTGGAGGATGAGCCGCCAATTTGTCGTTGAAGTTCTCCGCTCCATCCGCAATCATAAATCGTGAATCCTGCTTCACTTCTGAGATTTTGTTGTTGCAGAGCAACTGGTCATGTCGCTTCTTCCTTTAATATGTTTTGACTGTTTTTCTTGTGGTTGGCGCAATTATAATGTCGATTCAGCGTCCTCCGACTTTCACTCTCTTGCCTGCTTACGCCGTCGTAATCCCTTTCCTTTCTACGGTGCTCATCCATAATTCGAACTATCTTTTGGTTCTTTTTTCTTTTTTTTTTTTCTGCCTTTCCTTTTTCTTTTCCTTCTCTTTTTTCTGAAGTATCTCCTTATAGTGTGAAAACAGCCTTTCTCTTCCTCTTAGGGCGACATGTATGCTCCAACTTCCTCGACCTTTCGTGTTAAAAGGCCGTACATGTGCGAATATGAATGAAACTAGTTCCCCAGCGGGCTGATTGGCCGTTTAGCAACTTGCTTCGCTAGTATAGAGTTGCCGCTGTATGACGGAGCTGACTTCAAGGGTGTGAGGCGGCAGCAGATTTACCACGATTTCACAATTTGAATGCCCAGCTACCTAGTCAAGAAGGGTTTATTTTCACCGACCAGCATTTCAACAATCCTAGCGTCTACACCCCGCCATGGTAAGTGAAGCCAGGTGGTTTTGAAATGCTATCATAGGCGTACATATAGCAAGTATATAACCGTCGATGCAATATATCCATGAAAGGTATACCAAAGCCGGGGATGAATATCTCATAATAACATCCTCCTCTGAGGATCTCAGAGGTTCAGGCACAGTGCTATGAGGAGACATGAATGCATCAGAGTGTCCCCGAGGGCATGTGAGGGAACCGGAAGCAGTCACGACCAAAAAAAAAAGAAAAATGGTGAGCAAAAAATATACAACCAAATGTTTTTGCTCTCAGTTGATCCTTTCAGTTATTTTTACATTTTTCCTCCAAAAAAGATTACCTCCCCAAACAAACAAATAGCAATACATTCACAAATCTCTCAAGTGCAAATCTTGGTGGAGTGTTATCGTACTTTATTTGTTACATCACGATATACATGAGCGAAACTAATACAGCGGCATTTGCCACATGCCCTATCGTTTTCAATTGATCCCGGATTCTGTTCACTCCCTGCCCACCACTGGCTCAATTGATGAATATAAACATCCTTTTATCTGTCCATGGACATGTATCCATTTGTCTCCCCAGAGCTCATCATCACAAAATAGTGAAGAGACCCTCTGCACTTGCAAATATCTATCTATCTTGTCCTACATGCTGTTCTCAAGATATTCGGAAAGATGAGCGAATTTTCCACCGCGCCATCCTCGACGGCCTCAGAGAAATTCAAGTCAGATTTTACACCCGCACCAAAAGGGCTAGGAGAGAGAAAAAGCTCTCGAAATCAAGAAGGCCGCAGGCTTGACTGCTCATAGTAAATAAAATACACACTAAGCGTACCACACCCAGCTTGTCTTCTTACATCCCTATGTATGCGTGGACAGTCAATAGATTCACCGCGATGTCAGCATCCAGCTCCTCAAGGCATTGATCCACTCCCATCCACATAGCCACTTGATACCACCAACTATTCCGTCCAAATCTCTTCGCTGTAGTAAACTCCCAATGTTCACGGTACCAGCCTGCTGACTCCCAGTCAAGAAAACTGGACAAATGCCGGTTGTAATCGACAAGGATATTGTGCTTTGAAATCCCCATGAGTGAAGGTGACTTGATGTGGGACTTGCTCAATTCGCTTTGCGCGCATGAATGTTTCGTCGTATTCAGCTCTCGACTTGAAACTATAAGTGAAAGCTGGAGCCAGAAGATACTGTGTTAACTCCCTTTCGCTGGTAAATAGACCCATGATGTGGTTAGGGACTCGAGTGCTCCGGATGGGTGTTCCAAGCACAGAACAGATATGATTCTGGTCAAAAAGTATTTGCCATAGGTGTATTGAATCCGGGCACAACTTCAGCTTGTGAATCCACAGATCTTCATTGTTGTGTTCAAAGAGATCACTGGAGTACTCAAGGAATATCCCAGGCAGCCTTGTCATCAGAATCAAAAATACCTGATTGTATGAATCTCCGACATGTTCTCCACAGCTCAGGAGCTTGGGAACATGTATTCCGGCAGCACGCGCCATTTGCATTGTGACTACTTCCTCAAGACTTGTTTGATCAGTCCACTTCATAATGAGCCCAAAGTGCAATTCCGCAACGTTACTGAATTGGTGACCAAACCAAGAGCAATATTGTTTAGAGAAATGGAACAGAGCTTTATAAACAATGGCCCATAACCAGCATGTATTTCTGCTTGGTGCAGCAGGTATCAGAGGAGTAGTTTCAGAGATGGTGGATGGCATCGGTCGCGGCCATGTATAGTCAGGCTTCAAGATGCGTGGCATCCACGCTGCGCCCATTTCTGAGGCAATATACGATCACAAGGGTACCTTTTCAAAGTAAACCTGGAGAGTTCAGTGTTCTGAAGGATGCCACTGATGCACCCTTTCCTTATATTTCTGAAGGACATGCTCGTTCGGCCGCTCACAAGTGATAGACCAGACTGATTTCTTGCATTGGAGGCCCAGCACTTGCTAACGTAATTCACCCCCGAGCGGCTCACACCACCGAGCGGCTCACCAAATTCAATATATTTCTACAACTAGATTTTAACCCGAATTATCTATGGTCAGCAGCAAATAATTAAATTAAATTAAATTACACTAGATTCTGCATATCTTAGTCTTGTATGCCTGAGCGTACCACAATTGCTGCACTTTGGTGGAGCTCGTGACCGTGGCATACGCTCTGGGGTGTGAGATGGGGGGATTGAATAACCGGCTGTTCAACAGACTAAGCAGGAGGAATAATAAGATTCTGAGCTTCTTCCCTAGTTAGACCTCCTTCATGTTGAATCCTGTGGGTAGACCTCTTGCATTTTTGCTTCTCTTTCTCATTTGCAGCAAATATATCCTGATATTGCTTCTTCATAATAGTGGCGTTGACCATGCTGTATTCACAGGCCTCAATAATTTGATCCAGGCCTTTCTCTAGACCATCAGGAAGACTCGCAAGCCTCTGTCCCATAAGATGCTTGACCTTCTTCTCCTGTCAGTGCAATTGGCGGGGATTGCTAGGTGTTTGTAGGACCGAGAATGACTGAGAATTGCTAGATTGACTAGCTGGGGGGCTAGGCGTATGAAGCTGAATATCAAGCTGCTGAAGAATTATAGCACCTAGAATAGCGGCACTGGAGCTCCGTACGGCGTTTAATCAGCTTTGACACCCAGTTTTTGCCAACACAGGGGGGATTGTGGAATGCCGTAGAGTAAGAAGATGATTAGCCATATCCTCAACAAATGCCGGCCCGGGGGGCAATCCTTGTTTAGCGAGATCTAGAATCCACTGAACTAGCAGGTTCTCTTCAGCCTTTGTCAACTTGGTTGAATTTGCGCGTAGGCTGGTTCTTGCGGGCCCGCCATTGAGTTGATAGTGTAGAGTGGAATATGGGACTTCAAATAAGCGAGCAGCTTCACGAATTGAGGGAACTTCTTGCTTTTTAATAGCAGATATCGCGAGTTCAAGTCTTCCCTCTATCTTTATAGAGTTTCTTGCATTTTTACTGCGAATTGGTGGCATTTTCACGCGTTGAAATGGGCTAATTAGAAAATTGAAGATATTTTGATTTTGGAGAGCCGCTCGGGGGTGAATTACGTTATGTAATTATATGTAAACATTGAGATGAATTGAATTTAATTTCTGCACTGTTATTGGTCATAGCCAGTATGACGCACCCAAAATTCCAAAAACCTTAGTCCTGATTAGCTAGAAATTAAGCTTATAGTAGACTTTTATTGGTGGCGCCCAAAAAAAAAAAAAAAAGCGTTACACACGTCATACTCAAACAAATGGCACAAAAGAAAAGCTTCAGCACGGATAAGTAGTGAAGCAAGAGCACGAGAGTTAATAAGCTACAAGCATTAATGCTCCGCAAAGATAGGTGTCACAAAGAGACAGAGAAATGGAGAACCTTAAATCATCAGTTGGTCCGACGCCCAGTGCCAATATCCCCCGTTCCCCATGCATTGTTTAGGTCCCAAGCATTTTGAACGGCAAGTCCACTTCCTCTCAAAAGGTGCTGTGGTCGAATCAGATTAAGTTCTATTCACATCAGTTAGTCTCCTGTAAAACGTAGGCACTGGTTAAGGACTGTTCACCTTTTGATTTCGCGTGAATTAAGCTCAACTGGTGGATGCTGGACAAGCTCGGGCTGTGAGCTGTAACCTGTCATAGCAGGAGGCGGAGGCGGAGGCATTGGGTGTTCAGCGAACCTCAGTTGTTCTGGGGGGATATTACATCTGCGTCGCTGTCTCCGCTCATACAATGCCCATGCGATGGACACCAAGGCAATAACTCCGAGCGGAACGCCAACTCCTGCACCGATGGCGATGTTCGTGGAATTGCTGGAGGATGATCCATGAGATGGAGCGTTGCCTCCAGGTGTAGAAGAAGCTGATGGGCTGTTCGTCGCAGTAGGTGCTGAGCTGGTTCCAGTCGGCGCGGTCGCACGCACAACGCCAGAAAGGGCAGCATAGCCGATTACCACTTCCCCATCATTGAGGGTGAAAGGCTCTGCATCGTTGACACAAGTTGTCTCAGATCCTCTCACGACACTACCAAGGCAGCAGTATCTCGGCTCTCGCCCACTCGAAATGGGGACAATCACGGCGCCTCCGCTGGGGTTATCGTCGGGCCCGTGACAGACAGGCGGGCATCTGGCAGAGTCCCAGTTGCGATCGGTACAGCTTCCCCGCGATATGACAAACGGTTGATCGCCGACCTGCATGCAAAGACCATTGCTCAGGCAAACATGGTTGTGTCGACAGCAGGCGGTGAATTCGTCCGATGAGCAAGGCACATCTCGGTTCGACTCGCCGCCGTCGGGAAAGTAGCACGTCGCCGTAAATGCCACTGCTGCAAGGAACGATTGAAGGTAGAGCGGCAACCAACGCTGCGATAGCCGCGCCATCGTTGACGGCTTAGCGTATGTCTATCTGGGCGATGTCGACAGGAACGAACGGACGACAGAACAGAGGTTGATGGCCTGGCAGGGCTTTCACGAAGTTCGACTTGCAGGTCCAGGGGTGAATTGACGGGTTCACACTGCTAACTGAGCCACCCGAACGGGACACCCGGGGGCCGATCAGCGGAGAAGTGCACCCATACCCCAGGTCCCATGGATCGTCAGCTCACTGGCCTATGGATGGTCGTTTTGGTACTGCCGTCGTTACGGACTTGTTAATCTTGCAGGGATAGAACTTTGTGAAGTGGGTTGTTCACAGCAAAAGCCTGGAATCTGTCGACTTTGACAGGGCATCCTAGAAAGCTTGTCGGTGATATGGCCAACTACGGAGTCATTCAGGGGACAAATGCCAATAAGAAAAGCAGAAACGCTCTCTTTTTCTCTTAAGCGAAGAAAAGAGGATGTGCATACTCGCTCATGCAGCGTTCAACTAGGAGTATCCACCAGGACATCGAGGGTGGCCCGTTATTGGCGACGACCGCCGATCTTGACGGGACACTCTCGGGTCCTGGGATGACTAGTTGGCAGCGGAATCTAGTGCGTATCTGAAGGATGGCTAAGGATCAAATCCATAGTCTAGTGAGCAGTATTCCGTACGGGGCCACTCAAGGTATGGCGAATTTTTTTTTTTTTTTGCATGTTGCTCGGAGCAGGTACCATTATTCCCGGCTTTTTTCGTCTTTGCCGCACCCCCACGTTTTCAGTAACTGTGCAAAACACTCATCTTGCGGAAAAGAAGCATTCGGGAACAAATTCCCGAGTGTCAACTTGCTAACAAAGTCATGATCCGAGGCTAAAGACCGATTCCTTCAACACCAGTTCGCGTGTCTGATCCTCGTACTGGCTTGGCTGCCAGAACGTGGCCGCGCGAGCGGCATCATGGCAACCGGATCATTAATAGTCCCTGCAGCAACACCTGCAGATGCCAACAAGTGGCGGCTACATAGTGAGAAGCGAGCATAACACGCGCGAAATTAATTGCTGCAGCTGCTCAGTTACCCTGCTTCAGAAGTTCAATCCCGGAGATTGAGCCCAAAACGTACATCGGCCTGACTGCCTCTTCTTTCTTCCTTTCTTCCACCAGAGTTGCATCGCTTGGTCTGATGGGCTGTATATTCAAACAGAGGTTCAAAAGCATTGTTGTCCCTTAAGACATTAAGCTTATTGTTTAACAGAATAGTGTTTCGGTCTTCACAATTCCCATGTTATTCTTTCTTTTGAATCTAAAGTCTTGATCCTATTTTTCTGTTTTGTTGTTGATGGAAAAGACACTAAGCATTTTTAACGTGCGACTCCAACTTGTTTCTGCAGCTCATATTTTGTACACCTTGATTTTACGCTCCTGCTGACCTTTGAGTAGCCATGGCTCTGCAGGTTTCTATTTCTTACCTCTCCCTAGAAGTAGATTCATCCAAACCAAAGCCCGCATCGCAGACAACCATCAATATATCCAGAAGCACAATGCCACCCTAGTGATTAATTACAAAACTACAGATTGGTTAAATATGACAACTTTCCGCAGAGCACACAGAGCGGCGAAATGCAGCAGCCAAGCCGTGATCGATGCAGCTGAACCCAAGACGGATCAAGGGCCGGACAACGAGAATCCATATTCCAGGTCTGAAATTAGCTAAATCCCCAGTTGATTCGATGCAGCTTCAACGATATTATAGCGGTGGAGCTCATCCACACACATGTCGGTAGACTTTTGCTTAAGTTGAAAGTCACACCTTGCGAGTGAGAGGAGTGGAAAATCTCCAAAATGAGGAAGTCAATGAGTGTTGAATATGCCGCTCAGCGGCAATATATTCCTTTTTCCCTAGAAGCAGCCGCGGAAACATGTCTAGTGATACAGATGCTCACTTGATTAACAAGAAAGAAAGTGGTTGACAAGTGTCCTCAAATGCTACACCAAAACTATGGATCTTCTGCAGGATTTGGGCGAGTCGCTCAGCGTTCAGTCATTTGTTGAATTGAAGGCTGTGTTGGTCAAACGGAACAGGGACGGAGAACCTTTGTGATTCAACTGCGACTACAGAGTAGCTACTTACTCTACAGTCATTGTGCGGCGCCACATTCATTCCTGCTGGCAAACCAGAACTTGATGTTTTGAATATAGAATAATTGCTGTGACAATCAGCGGCCTAGGATCAAGCACTCAAGAAATGCAAATCAAGACAGATGCCTCGAGACAAATATCAAACGGACCTTATCCAACGTGCTTTCAGACTGTTGCCTGTGGAGAGAACAAATATCACCAATCTCTATCATGAAGCAGATTCTACAACTGAACACCAATAGGAAATGCATGGGCATCGAAACTCTCATCAATGATCAGAAGGGTCGAGGCCCTCCTTGCGCTAATTTGGTCTGTATTTCGGACTTTCGTGCAAAATTAAACCCGATCAAAGGGGAAAAAATTAATAATTCCAATGATGCTTAGCAATCGTCCATCCGAACAACAAAAGCTTCGTGTCGTCATCATAGTCTTGCCTGTTGGCCCAGTGTTGAGAAAGATTGATCAAATAGCCACCCACCCACATGCGTTCTATATTTGTAAAAGCCAACATATGTACGGAGTATGAGAATTGATATGGCTGGGGTATTATACATCCCTCTAAGCATAAGGTATATACTTCAGTCAATTAAGGTAGATGTGACAAGGTTATGTGGAAATTGAGTTGTAGGAGGGATATATGCAAAAGGAAGCCGGGCGCTATGGTATCGAAATATGATCAAGATCCTGACGATATATACAAGGTAAATAGTAACCACAGAGGACAACGTCTTAGCCGGGGAGGAATTCGGTCGTACTTATGCGTGGGGTGAAACGTATCTGTTCCAGCCTTTTTTCAGTCAAAGACGGCAGGTCGAGCGTAAGCGACGGATAATATTTTGTGAGAAAAGGTAGGGTATAACCGTAATTATGTGCGCGGACAAAGTTAGACCACATTGGTAACATCTTCGAGATCTTCCGGCTCTGCTTCATTGCTTCCAGGGAGCGATTCTGGTACGTATACTATGATATAAAGTCAGCGGTGTCATAGCAGATTGACCCAAAAAAAATAAAAAATAAAAGAAACTGACCATGGGGCATTATGAACCAAGAGGCTAAGAATGCAATGAAAATCAACCCCGCCAAACATATAAAGACGGTTTGGGGAACGGTCGCAACCGTCATGCTGTATATCAAATTGAATATCGTAGGGGCAACCACTCGAGCAAGCGCGTGCAGGAGACCAATGGCTCCGAGAAGCTGCCCGGTCCGATCCGCAGGGACATGTTTGGTGAGAGACGATTGCAAAGTTGGTGATGCCATCGCGCCCATTGCTGCCGTTGCTCCTGACAGCATTAGTAGCGGACCAGAGCGAACGATACAATACCCCACATAGCCCAGCATATCGAATAGCACGGAAATCCGTATCACGACAATATCCAACATATCCGAGCCGGTGGCATGACTCCTTTTTGAAGCAGGTCCCCGAACGAATCGAGTCGCGGTGGGAAGGACGACCAGCAACAGGAGTACCCGCACAGAGCTGGTGAGCGAGACAAGCATGCTGGACTCAAAGTTGCCCCAGCCAAACATATATTCTGCGTAGATAATCAAAACACTCATAGTTCCCATGGCCACTCCGAATATCGAAGTGTCAATAGCGGAAAGGATGATCAGATTCCTCCGTAATTTGCGTAGATTCTTCTTCTCCGGTAACAATGCAGTTGATTTCGTTTCCGGCGGAAAGAGGATAGATAGCGGTTTCAAAAGTCCCAATGGATTGAAGTCCTTCCATGACGGGCGGATTCCATTGGCGCCGAGGAGCTGAATTTTCCGCTTTCGCCGATTGTATTCCTGATTCTCCTTAGGAACCGACTCGGGAACGATGAAGGTGATACAAAATAGGAAGAGCGCCTGGCACCCTAGAACGGAATAGAATACTACGAGGACGTTGTTCGTAAATCTGATGAGATAGCCAGCGATCAGCGGACCCAGCGCAATTCCGCTGAACAAAACTCCATGAAAATAGCCAAAGGCAACGTTTCGTCTCTCTGGCGGTATACAATCGGCTGCATAGGACTGCGTCAGGGCGACAGCCGTTGTAAAGGATCCAAATAGACCATCAAAGGTGGCGCCAAGTAAAAGGAAGTTCAAAGAGAAAGTATCGGGGCGCGCCGCCACGAGAACTGTTATCACTTCACCGAGAAATGCGCCTAACGTCGCCAATGCAATGACTTTCGTTCTCCCGTAACCATCAGAGAGAACGCCTAGCTTTGGGCTTGCGATAGCGGCGAGCCCTCCCGCGATCAGATTCAGCATAAGCTGAAATCTCGACACCAGTGCCTGGACCTCGGGAATGCGACATTGAATGTTGTCTTCGCCAAATATGACAGGCAGATACGTGAACGAGGGATCCTTGAGGGCACGACCAGCAAGATAATCTCGACAAATTAGGGTCAAGATTAAGTTGATTTTCGGCACAGCTACACCGCCGAAGGCGACTGTAAATGGGAGGAAAGGCGGAATGATCCAAAAAATCTATACATACAATGGAAGTTGTCAGCGTAGAAACTCGTTTTAAGAGAAATCAGTAAAGCTAACTCACGGACGGCCGTTTCCACCAGGGTAAACCTTTAAATCCCGTCGCCGGTGAGTAGTATTCATTCGGCTCGTCATCTTTGATCGATCCACCCGAGGTATCCGACTCCCTGGACGAGAGCAACGCGGTGCGTTCGTCCGCAGTTGCTGTTCCCATTTTTTGGGTATTTGGGCCATCAGACGCACTCTGTAAGATGCTACTGAGAAGTCCGGACGCACTCCTATGCCCTCGTGGGGACGCATGGGGAGATCTAGCTCCCATTTGTGCAGGAGAAGCTTTCTGCTGAACCGGGATTTATATGGGGGGGTGTTTGCTACCAAAGTTCATCGAAGAGCATCGACTAAAAACGAAAAACTTCGAGTCACAGAATAATGGGAATAACACCAGGGCAATGACTTGGAACCCGCTTCCAAGCCATTATTAATGCTGTCGCAGATTCAGGTCTAAAACTTGGACATTTCGTGGGAGCGAGTTAGCCGGGATGCTTCGCTTTTGTCGGCGTTGGGTGATTTTTGATTTCGGCAAATCCGTTTGGCGGCAATTCGAGGCCGTCCCACAATGTTGGGCTTTTGACACTCCCCTGAGGCTTGACAGCTCATCAATACTCCGTACTCATGGCCAGAATTGGGCTTTTTTATTTTTGCTACAAACCAGGCGCAGGCCCTGACCACACATGGCTTACCACGAGGCTGCGGCATTCCGTGCTTCGCCCTGACTGCATAACTAGCAGGGCTGACCGTATCACCAAGGGATCGTCAACCAATGAGTGACGTAGTTGGCGAAATTGAAGCCTCAAATTTCTATTTATTCCCCCTGTCGCAATCAGGCACTGAATGGCGGCTGACTGCCCCTGTCTGAAAACGACTGCATGCTTTCCCAGGTTCGTGGAAGCCTGCATCGGGCCGTTGCAGGCCTACATTCGTCAAACACTATGGCAAAAGCTCATGAAATCAAAACATTCTTCGTTTTGTTGGAAGAAGTATTGAATACAATAGTCATTGTATGGAGTACATACAATATATATATATATATATATAGATATAAGCGTTAAAAATATCAAGCCAAGATTCATATATTAATACCCAAAAGAAGCCATCAAACTCCTAATACCGAATGATCATACATAGAACCCACCAATTATTGTACAAGATTCCCATACTGAGAACCAGCGAAGAATTTCTTTTGGTATAGACATCTATCACTGGTACATCCCTGACATCTCAAAGTCATTTGTCGCGAACAATTGTCACCACTTCGTAAATGCTCAGCAGCAAGGTCCGCAAGACCCTGTATGAACACCGGATGACCGTTCAAGCTTTCAACCCGCTTCACACCAGGGCTTGCTGCATCTTTTATTACCTCTCTGTCAAGCTCGAATAAAGTTTCAATGTGATCGCTGGTGAAAGCGATGGGAACAAGCAAGAGATCAGTTTGTCCGCGGCTGACATAGTTCTCGACTGTGTGGCTGGTTTGGGCTCCGAGCCAGGCGGACGGACCGACTTGAGATTGCCAACAGAGTCGGTATGGATTCGAGAAATTCAGCCGTTGCATCACCGCATATACTGTGGCCGCGACTTCGGAGGGGTAGGGATCGCCTTGAGGGTGCATGTGTTAGTAGATATCACTCCAAAGCGGATCAGATTTGACGTGGCAATACCTCGGTTGACGACGCTCATAGGCAAACTGTGAGCTGAAAAGAGTAGCACGACACTGTTTCTCCGATCCTCAGGATACGTCTTCAACTGTGCTTCTATATTCTGGGCGAACGCCTCCACCAATCCATGATGCGTTGGCCATCGGTCAATCACGCTCCATTGTATGGCGCCAGTCGGCTCTGTTCCTCCATTCGAGCGTCTCCCTTCTAGCCGATTCCTCCATTTCCACAATTCATTAAGCGAACTTCCTGTCGTAGAGCATGAATATTGTGGATATTGCGTGAACGCCACTGCCCTTCCCCCCTTCCCTCTTCCAAATCCATCATCAAGGAGCTTAGCGTACATTTCTTCTGTCAAGGGAGCGGCATATCGGAAGGCGACGTATGGCTTGTGAGGTGCGGTCTCTGGCGATATCTTGTCTAATATTTTACACATCTCTTCACATTGATATTCTGACCATTTGCGGATCGGTGAGCCTCCGCCAATTTCCGCGTATTGCTTCTCAATTTTCGGGGTTCTCCGGCGAGAAATTAGGGGCCCGAGGTAGGACTGGAGTCGACCGAGAGGAATCAAGTCACCATCTGCCTGTATGATCCAAGTAAGCATGAAGCCGAACGTCAGAAGTGAAGAGGCGACGTACGAATAATCTGCTTAAGTAGTCGCCAACATCGTTCGTGGTCGAGGGTCCGCCCATGTTTAGAAACACCATTGCCGTAGGACCCTTGGCCCCCGTTGAATCCTGTGTGACTGGCGGCACCACCGTAGCCATTCCGCATCCTCGCGATGGTCTCCACGTTCGCCCCAGCTCCCGCCGGCCCAACCTGGTCATGGATCTCTGCAAAGCCATGCTGACTTACAGTCTCTCGTTTCCGGGAACTTATGGTAATTTCATCCAGCTGGCCGGTAGCACAGGTCTGAGAAAAGCAGTATTGCTTCGCAGAGGTGGCGGACAATGCCTTCGCCGGGAGCGGATTTCCATGCGCCGTGTTCCTGATATTTAATATATGTCTGAAGCCCCGGATAACCCAGCGAGCGGGCTTGGCAACGATGGGCCATGACTAATTCGAGTCCACCCAATGGCCAAGCTGCGTTACAAGGTTACGGAGCATTTTTGTATGGTAACTTTCTTACCGGTTTTGTTAAGGCAGTTGTAAATAATTACACAAAAATTACTATCGGAATAACTATTCACCGCAACGCCCCGTTGCAGCCAATCTCCGACCGCGCCGAAAGTCGCATCACAAATTTACGTAATCCGCAACGCCGAAAAGAAAATCACCACAGCTGACGACCTGAACGACTGGGTTCAATCTCATCGAATTGACTCAGCGGTGCCCCCCGATTGCCCCTCTATACAGAGCACCACGGAGTGCCTGTTATATCTCGTTGATGTCTCCGCAATTATGCGCGCTTGAACGATCCTCCGCCGCCAATTCACGACGATGATCCCGAAACCAACCACCGGTGCTACGCTCCCCTCGCGAGGCGCTCTCCATGTACTCCGACGGCTAGCATTAGCCGGTTCAACGGTGGGAGCGATTGGAAGTGCCTGTACGGTCGCTACTATCAGCTACGAGGTCAATCGCCGAGTTCAGTTAGCGGAAAACCTCGTCGAGAATAAGCGCAGCCTTAAGACAACATGTCCGAACTACGATTCAACGGCGAGGGGGGCAATGGTCGCCAAAATGATGGAAGCAGCCGAAGCCGGAGAGTTTGTAGGCATGGATTCGTTTCGGCAGAAAGGAGTCAGTGAAGTTAACCGGGACCAGTCGGATAAGAGGACATTGGGCGAGCTGAACATGAGAAATTCATCTGAGTTGAATGACCCTGAGAGCAAAGGAACTAGACGTCGAAGGGGAGAGGAAGCGTTGGCTTGGATGCAATCTTTACACGAGCCTTGGAATACTCGACTTTACGGTCCCCGTCCTACCACTCGCAGGTCAAACAGCAACGTAGACGACGCGAGTTTCACCAACCTATTGGCGGAGCTGCAATCGAAGAATGCAGCCCAGAATCGACCTGAGCACGGTGCAGAAGATATCCCCGCTTCTCTACCTCTATATAACCTACGATATCACGACAACGCAGCCGACAACGCCATTCTTGCCGAAAAACTGCTGCTACAAGGCAAGCCGGTTGAAGCGGCGCAACGATTCTTACGTGCATACCCGACAGCATCTCCTAACTTGCCCGAGGAAGCAAAACAACTCTGTGTTCGACTCTTCAATGGAAATCTTGATGCAGAGAATGTACATCTGGCGCATCGCCTCTTCCGCTGGATGGATCCTGCCCACGTGATATCTCAAGAGGCCTGGGAGTCCCTTATTGCGGCTCTAGCGAAGAAATGGAATCTAGAATCTATAGCAACTCTTTATACGGACCATGCTGACCAGTTTGAACTCTCGAAACCACTCCGATATTCGGTCCTACGGTCACTTACAGATTCTTTCCGATTGGAGGAGGCTAGGACGATGATTTTCAGGTTTTTAAAGGACGACTCCGAATGTACCCTATGTGCCGTCTATCTTGGCAAATTATGGAAGAAAACGCGCAACGCTGAACTCGTGGAGGCGCAGTTCAAGGCGATATTGTCATCATTCGAAGAAAACAACATGCAAGTGTCGAAAATATTGTTCAACGCTCTCCTGGAGGCGTATGTTGAGTCCGGAAAAGACGAACATGCCGATGAGCTGGTTGAAAATATGAAATCAAAGTACAACTTCTCTCTTCCGGCCAGAACTCTGGGGCTGTTGGCATATGGGCGTGCCTTAAAGAGCGACTGGGATGGAGTGGAGAGTTATTTTGAAGAAATCCACAAACTTGACGGACACCCTGACGGAAAATGGTTCGCGAAGATTTTTGACCGAGTATTTCTGGAATACTTTTTGGGAAATTCTGCATCCAACATTCGGGACTTTGTCTTGCGTGCCATTGAAAAGTACGACCTCGTCCCAGATAAAGTTTTGTTTGAGCACATTGTCCAAGCCTACATCCAGAAAGGAAGTCCAAAAATGGTCCTTGAACTTATCGATGTCGCAGAAAGTCGGTCCTGGCCAGTCATGATGAAACGGGACCGCTTCATTGATCTGCTTCGAATTCAACGGCAAAATTGTGGTAAAGCCAATGTCGGACTGTGGCAGATGTTCCGTAGGTTTGGACGCTTCTCCACCTCGCAACGCATCCTCGGCTATAACAAAGACTATTTTCCCACTGGAAAATCCTTCGATTCTCTTGGAAAGACTGCGCCAACTGTGTGGTCGCGAAAACTCAACTCGAAACTTCCGTCGAGGGACTTTAATCATTTTCCTGCTCTATATCAACAAATGATTCATTGTATGCACGTTGGTTCGATGGACAAAGCCATTGAACTCTACAATGAGGCAAAAATGCTGGGTAAAGTCATGGGCGAACTTGATATTGACCTAGCTTTGACCGCGACAATTGTTCATCACGGATCCTTCGAGCAGGCGAAATCCATATTAGCCGAGGAGAAAGATTCCTTCCCCTGGATCGACAAATCTTCGATGCCCCCTTTTTTCCAAAAGCTATTGACCGCCGGTAGCACGTCGGAGGCTGAAGCATTGACGATGGCCATTTTGAATTTCTATAGAATTCTCGAACGCCAGGTCCTCCCGATCAAGCATCATGTGACTGTCTCGACATGTAGCAACTTGATTCGACGTAGGAGGACCAAAAATGCCCTGCGGCTTATCCGAGCTGTTAACCGATCCAAGTTTGGAGGGACATCGCCGTTCGACTCGGTCGCGGTGCTGATGATTGCGAAAGCATCTTCTATTATAGGGAACCTCGCGGGAATCCGCTGGGCTATTCTCACAGCGCTGAAACGTGATTCGGCCCTGAGCAAAGACCTTGTGGCTGAGATACATCAGACTATTGAACGCTTTAAAAGCCGCTCGCCAGTTGCTTCGCTTTCGGGCGACTACGGTCAAGAAGTTAAGTATCTTGAAGACCTAGCGGAAATTCTTAACCAAAAGGAGCTCTATATTGCCGCACGCAATTCACGTCGAGCTCCTCCACCGCCGGGTCCAGATCCTTATACTCCAGATCCTAACCAATCCCAAAGCGCTGGTTTTGTCATCCCAGAACTTACTGACCCAAATGGGCACCTCTTGTCGGACACGCTTGGAACCTGGTTAGAGAGAGTACAACTAGAACATGCACTCACAGCTAATAACCTCACTTTTTCGAAATAACGATTATAATTATCTCATCTTTTTTTTTTGATACTCCCGCCAGATTTTGGATGGAGGTACTGATGCATCTGACCCTATGCGAGGTGGTGAGAAATTTCTTTTTTCTTTTTTTATTCATATGCTCTGTTGAAGGACCAAGCAAACTGTGGGCTATTATTTACGCAAGTGCTTTGAAGATCCAAAAGAAGTTTTATCTGTGGCGGTTTTTACATCTTTTCACCTTAGACTTCTCCCCCTTTTGTTGATCGGCGGTGCTAGTGTGGAACGGGCAAATCCTAGGAAAAGGACTTGGAGTTATCTTATCCTCATCTCATTGATTTATATGCCCCAGGCTACACTACTGTACAGTATGTATATAACCATATTCTGTTTATGTCTTTGTTTTCCAAAGATTTGTTGGTCAAAATAGTGAATGAACAAAGATCACAGGATCCACACAGCCAGTAACCCTATGTATTAGATTACATTCTCGCAAATTCTGAGCTTTGATAGTCTCATATACATGCATAATCTCATCATCCCATGTAGTCCAGCAGACTTCTTCCGGTGTACTAAAATACTTTATACCATTCACAGGTACTGTTCCTATCCAACAATCCAAAACCTCAAACCACTTGACTCAAGGCCTCCTTTTAAAACACACAATCCGTTAAGAGTACTCCTTTGACCCCCTCTAAGGCTTCAACAATATCTGACAGGATAGTGTGACTTAAAACTGTTCTTGATGTACCTCCGAAGACTCCCTAGGCTGTATTTACCCTTCAGATGCATGTCACATCCGCGGACGGTCTCCGCGTGTTGATACAGGCTGGACAGCTTCGGGAACGTTTTATCACAGTGGGGACAGCAAAAGGGACGCGGTCCGTACCAGGGTGTAGTGTAACACGGATGTGCCCAGGACGTAAAAGCAAGGCGGTTAACATGACCCTCGTCCACGCCTGGGAGGCAGTGGGTGCCTGCCTCCATGTGGATGAGCATTGCGGAGAAGAATGCAAATTTACGCTTCTTGCAGGCATAGCAGGCCAGGTCTTTTGCCCGATGCGTTTGTTTGTGCTAGTAAGACTGTGAGCAAAATCAAAACCCTATCTATAAAACAAGATTCCCTTACCATTCGGAGGTTATTGGGAGTTTCAAAATAGCGATAGCAATGCAAGCACCAATTATGCGATATTATTTTATGTTGGACCAGGCGGTGCGAAGAATGGAAACACCAGGTACAATAGTCACACAGGTGGTGGAATTCCTCTTTATGTTCCCTGAGATCAGATTTGGTGGCCAGATACTCATTGCAGAGTTGACATTTGTAATGTTGGATGCTCTTATGCTTGTCAAGATCATCACTAGTTGCAAAGAATTCAGCGCACCATCTGCATGACCAGTGTTCAAGCACTAGGTGCTGGTTGAGCGCATGTTTGTTTTCACAGCGCTTTAAGCAGAATTCACACTCAAAATGCTCCTCATGACAGGGTTGCCTGAGACCATCCACTGTTTTGAACTGGTCGCAGCATACGTTAGAACGGGCTTTCTGAAGTTTCAACAATCCACAACGAAAGCCAGAGTACGCATCACAATCATATCTCCGGATGTGCTCCTGGGATATCGAACTGTCTATAAAAGTAATAGTGTGGGAGTCACATTTAGTTTCAGGGTCCCCAAAGAGATAGTAGTAGGAATGTTTACCCATTTTCAGAGAAAGAGACAGGAATTAACAATCACGATAGCAAAGCTGGCTGGGTAGGAGGGCACCCAGATGAGAATGAGTGGAGAGGGTGGGGAAAAAATATCTCTCTGTTAAAATAACAATGCAATTGCCATGTTACAACAATTTGAACGCACACAGAGCACAACAAAGGCTTTAAGAAACTGAGCATATTCCTCTCAACAAAATATGAAAAGGGAGCATATCCAGTTCACTGCCGGAAATTGACTCAATGCTTGGGCCAGGGTTTTCCTAAACTCTGGGAGAAGTCACAGGGTGTGTTCTAGGCCGGGTTGATCAGCTGGTGAGCTACCTTAGAGCTAACTATGCAGTGTTGAACAAGCAAAGCGAAAGAATCTTCGGCTGCATTTGAAAGGTGGCTGGACATCACTGAATATAGGTGCCGGTTCGCAATAGAAAGCTCAGTTAAGATTTGGTTCGTGCAACCTGCTCACTTTGTTTCGGGTTTACTTTGGGCCAAGCCTGCATTGCCCTTTCAATGTGTCTGTATAATCTTGGAACAAAATATTGTCAAACTTAGGATCAGATGGCAAGTTAACAAAACTGCGCTGTTAACTGCTACTTCACCTCTCTGATCACCATTCTGAATGGACCCGGCCAAGATTTATCGAATATTCACTGTATAATTGTATCGTTGCCGATTCGTCATGGAGCTTTCGCGACCACAGTTTTTCTTTTTAGCGCTCTATCAAGCATGGGAAGACCAGAATGCTACTTCAACCTCCCTTTGGTATCTTGGTCAAAGCTGTGGAAAAAGAAGCAAGGCTGGTCAAAGTGTCTTAAATAAAAAAAAGTATAAAAAATAAATACGGAGTACTCCGTACTCGGACGGGGTTGAAGCAAGCCATCATCGCGCGCTGTCAGTGACGCCGTGGCTGATTTGCGGCTCAAGCGCTAGGGAGCCGACCCTGTAAAATACCCGTAAACACAGCCACAGCGCGTTACTAGCGGTAAACCGATGACACGGGACTTTCACATGTTCGCTGGTCATGCCACCTGCTTCCAGACCGCGCCAAGACATTTTTTTTGACCCTGAGAAATCAGACCATCTCGAGCTTCCAACCACCGGCCGCCTGTCCTCCTCTAGAACCCATTTAATCTCGGAGAATATGCAGTGACTGGCCTTCTGGCTCTGCTTCTCAGCTTCTCCAGTGCCGCCCGTCTTCTCTACTACCAATGGCCTCGCAACCCCTGACAAATGGCCTGACAAACGGCTCCGCGCACCCCAAGAAGCAGTACCGCGATGCCGCCGAAGAACGACGATGCGAACAGCACCAAGCGGATATAGTGATCATTGGCGCCGGAATCGCGGGCTGTTCTCTCGCTGTCGCGCTCGGAAACCAAGGGAGAAGTGTCCTCCTGCTTGAGAAATCGCTCAAGGAACCCGATCGCATCGTCGGCGAACTCCTCCAGCCGGGTGGCGTCCTGGCCCTGGAAAAACTTGGATTGAGGCATTGCCTGGAGGATATTGATGCTGTCAAGGTGCTGGGATATAACGTGATTTATCATGGAGCGCCGGTGCGGATTGATTTCCCGATGGATTCGAACGAGAAGCTGTTTGAGGGGAGAAGTTTCCATCACGGCAGATTTATCATGAAGCTACGTGAAGCAGCGATGTCCACTCCGAATGTCACCGTGGTGGAGACCAAGGCTGTTTCGTTGGTCAAATCGACTCATGGAGAGGGTGTGCTGGGCGTTGAATGCCTAACGAACGGGAAGAAGGATTTCTTTTTCGCTCCCCTGACTGTCGTTGCGGACGGATACAATTCGGCTTTTAGGAAAGAGTTCCTCCCGCACGCTCCTCGAGTAAAGTCAAAGTTCTGGGGACTTGAGCTTATCGATGCCGACCTCCCCATGCCTTGCTATGGCCATGTCGTCCTGAGTGACAGCCCACCCATCCTCCTATACCAGATCGGAACCCACGAGACACGGGCTTTGGTGGACATACCAGAAAATCTGCCATCAGCATCTGTAAAGAATGGTGGAGTTAAAGGTCACTTGCGAAACACGGTTCTACCGTCATTACCCAAGAGCATTCAGCCGTCCTTTGCCGCAGCGATTGATCGAGGCGGTCTCAGATCCATGCCTAACTCTTTTCTTCCTCCTGCAACCAACAAGACACCAGGCCTTATGTTCTTGGGAGACTCGCTCAATATGCGTCACCCATTGACTGGCGGTGGCATGACAGTTGCGTTCAACGACATAGTCGCCCTGCGAGAGCTACTCAGCCCGGAGGCTGTTCCCAACTTTTCCGATACGAACCTAGTTCTGAAGCAATTGTCGAAATTCCACTGGAAGCGAAAGGACTCGTCTTCTGCAATAAACATTCTAGCACAATCATTATACGCCCTCTTCGCTGCTGGTAGTACGTTGATGTTCCCCTTCTCCATAACATCTGCTTGAAACCATAAATCTCGTACAAAGCTAACACCGCATCCCTTAGACTCTGACCTGAAAGTCCTTCAACGCGGCTGCTTCCGCTACTTTCAGCTGGGCATCCTCGATGGCCCCATTGGTCTATTGTCAGGACTGGTTCACCGGCCCCTTGTTCTCTTCCGCCACTTCTACTCCGTCGCGTTTCTCTCTATATGGCTCCTGCTGCGCAGCGCACCGCCATACATGCTTCCCTTAACGATTTTCCAATGCATTTCGGTATTCATTACGGCGTGCAGAGTGATTCTCCCATTCATTTTTGCGGAGTTAAAGAATTAAGACGTATACACTGGGTATGATTTACGTGGGGAACCTGTTACCGGAGTTTCGTAAACCCCCCTCCCCAATATCTCCGTTCTTGTGTTTCGACTTTCAGCGTCTATCTCCTTTATTAATATGCCTTCTATATGTTGTTCTTTATTCTTTATTCTTTGTTCTCTTTTCTTTTTTTCCCTTTTTTTTTTTTTTTAAGGGGAGGAAGGAATATTTACATCCACTCTGGGTATTCTTTATTTTTTGACACGTTGACCCGATTAAACACTTATCTAATGACCCAATGCTTCGAATTTTCTGCCACATGTGTTATATTATGCTTTTAGTCGCATCTGTACCCCTCTTGAACGTACCGAATAGCATCAGGGTTACTGTTGTAATAGCTACTGATCTTTTTTATTTTCTCATCATCCTATTTTTTATATTTCTATACTAGTATAGATTTTTGAACTAGAATCTAATTCATTAGACATGACGTCCCAGTTGCATCGTCATCTGTATTCATACCTATTTACATACAAGATAAATATCCCTTATCCCCAAATATTATTTTTTCGCCCACTGTGATGTGATCATTTCAGATACACATGGAAATATCTAATACGAGATCAGGCCCATTGTTGAAAAAACAAATAAAAGAAAAAAAAAGGCAAGTCAAGAGAGACCGGGGCGACGCACCGATCAATAGACGGCTCCCATGATTAACCAGAGTAGAACAAAGCTAAGGAAAGAGAAAATTCTTAATGCCCAGCCGGTATTTTGTATTCAAATCATGGAGCAAAGGACAAAAAAAAACCCCCAAAACTATGCCACAAAGTCCCTCCGGACACAAATTTTACCCTCAAAAAGCTGAAGGAAGAACCTGTAAAACGAGAGCCATCCGGGGACGAGTAAGCAAGCAACTAAGCAAGACAACAGAGTAACTTAGCGCTCCCGCCCCCGCGACCCCAGTTTAAACAAAGTCCCGCTCGTGATAAACCACCAAACAAGGCTGCAGGTGTAGCAAGAAAAGCCAAAAAGAGAAACGCCACCTGATGTAAATCTTTATACTTGCACATTTTGAGAATGAAAAATTTAAACAAGAAGCAAACACTCATGGGGGAATAGAAAGCCATGCAATTCTTTATACCATCAATCAGAATGAACCCCAAGCCAAACATAACAAAAAGGCAGTAAAAAAAGACATTTAAAGAGGCACAGACTGGGGTACAGGTGGGTATTCAACATAATATGAAAATTTTCCACATACAACGCAGGACCCAAAGCAAGAACAACAAGGCACTCATGAAACAGAAACAGTAACTGGCACACAACATCATCAAGACATCCATTGGTCTGGATTTCAGAGGACCATGGAAAAAGGCAAAGACTGAGGCAGGCGTGAACACATTCCCAACGTAATAAACATCATCGAAAGGTAAGGCAGAAGTTAGGATGTCGAGATTGGAGCTCTCTCGAAACTGTGTAACGGAGTCAAAATCCCGAAGCTTTTCAAACATCAAATATAGGAACTTCTCCACCTAAAAAGCAGCTTGAATGACTTAAAGCGTCGGGTGGGCTCAAGAGTGGCTCTCCACCTTGCTCTAGCAGCCCGTAGCATGCATGGAAGGACACATGGTCCGTCACCTAGCAGCCCTGAGAACTTGGGGAATTAAATGCCATCTTTTGACAACTCCTGTACCGAATACCTTATCATTTCAAACTGTCAAAACAGGATTCACTTCCACGATTCAGTAGATCACCTATCCGGCTTTGTGTGGATTGCATGGCGCATATTGAAGTTGCATACGGCGTACTTGGCGTGTAACTTCGGCATCACTGTGGCCTCCCTCGCAATACTACGCTTTTGCGGATACTCTCGTCTTTCAGCCCCCCTTTCTCTCAGATTCATCGATAGGAATGGGTTCCGGCCGAGCCGTGCCGTCGTTTTGTTCCGCTGAAAGCTTTGGTCCTTTCTTGTTTCTCCGTTTTGTGGTTTGCCAGCCATTTGAAGTCGAATGATGACCGTTGGCATTTGAATGCAAGTGGTGGCCACCATTGGATTTTCGGTAATGATCGCCTTGTTTCTCTTTATGGTCACTGACGGGGAAAGAATTGGAATTTTCGTAGCGACCCTTGGCCTTGGGCTTATGAGGCATGCCGTTGACCTTCTCGAAGTCGAAGCCGTTTACACAATGTTTCGTGGTGGGCGACATCATACGCGAATCTTTGGCCGGCGATTGAGCCGAATTGAATAGCTGTGGGTGATTGTCCTCGGGGGATCCCTTAGTATGGAGACAATTCAGCTGATCGTCGATTGGATAAAGGTATTGTGTGCTACGATAATGGTTTGCATCAGTGTTTCTGGAAGTATCCAGCGAAAAATTCGGATCAGACAACTGAAACCTCTGCAGCCGTTCGGACAGGGTTTCGACTCTGCCCATATGACCAGTGGCAGTGACATCAGTGTGGTTTAAACCTGGCTCCCAGCCACTCATATGGCCAGCGCCCTGAGAACCATGGTGAGTCTCGAAACTGCTGCCAAATAAGTCGTCGTAGGATTCTTGCTCATGGAGGCCCTGAGAGAGCGTGTCTGGGGTTGTTCGGGGCGTATCGTACATTCTATCAGCTGATGACGAGGTGCTGAAGTCCGTCATGAACTGTTCACTTGAATGATTGGCAATGGAGTGTCGGTGTTCACTGGGGGGAACCGACCCATCAATAATCAATGGTCCACGATCGGGCAAAGTCTGAGACCGCGTCAGCCGCTGTGGCTGCATGAAATGCGAGCCAATCTTCGGTGGGCTAAGATGCCCGGAAGAGCCATTGGATTGATCAGCCATCGTAACATAAGTGCGATACTCAGGTGAACTATGAAGGTAAGCAGGAACTTCACAGCCGTGAATAGCGAGTCCCGGTAAAGATGAGGCCAGATGACCTCGGTATGACCCATGTGGTTGTGTAGAATCTCCAACATAATAGCCAACATACTCTGAAGGTAGATTCTCATCACCAAATGTCGGTTTTGGAATAGCGACACCATTGGGTAAATATGATTCTCCTTCTGTTACGGATCTCGGAGGACATTCAGGCGACCTCCGTGAATTCATGTCTTGCTGGACAGCAGGAAAGTTGGGTAGCATGACGGACGGGACGGGGCGAGCAGGCTGGGACTGAGCTCGTAATCCGCGCGGTGAGTCATTTGCAACCGACGATCGACGATGACTACGCCGTACATCCGGGACTGCAGATGGCAAAGAAGGCGAGGGAGGATTGGTGTTCGTGCCTTGAACTCCGGGCAACGTCACAGGGACATAGGAAGTGTTGAAAAACACGTTTTGCCGTATAGGTGCTGTGAGAGGAGGTTGATTCACTGAGCTGGCCCGCACTCTTGGGTTCTCTTCGGGAGATATGTTCTCGTGTTGCGGTAGAGTGAACTGTAAATATGGCTGCCTTAGCAAAGTTGGAGGCGCTCTGCCGGTCATCAGTGCTTGGTTTTGTAGCTGCATCCGCAACTCCTGTTCCTGCGCCTGAAGGATTTGAATTCGCTGATAGAGATGGTCATGGAGAATGCTTTGAGCCTGCTGTGCTTGGAATGCAATGTCCGCAGTAAAGCTAGGATTGGCAGATCGAATATTATTCCTGTTGGCAGTGTTGGACGCCCGACGGCCCATATTATTGGGGCCACGATGGTAATGGTTTGTATGTCTACCACCTCGACCGCCACCTCTACCACCACGCGACGGCAAAGCGGGCATTGGAGTTAAGATGGCTCGTGGCTGTGGAGCCGGGCGTTCCCAAGTCCGTTCTTCTTCAGGAGGATACTCGTATCGTTCACAACATTTTCCCAGGTCTCCGATCGCAACAGCTTCAAAGGCTCGACGGAGCTCAAGGTGGAGGCCGCGAAACGACGTATCGTCTGCAGTATTTCCCAGATTTCTTGATGTGTTGAAGGGCTCTTCCACACACAAACGATTGTTTTGCAAAAGATGCCAACCCTTTCCTTCCTTGGATACTAGTTTTCCTTCCCTTACGGACATGACGTTCTTCTCGTAATCAACTTCATGTCCATAATATCGAAAAAACTGGAAAAGGAGCTCTCCCAATGTCGATTTGTTCTTGTGTCCGAAGCTAGCGAGTTCTTCGAGATTATCGTCAAAGGAAGATGAGGATTGTCCATTCCCTTGTTGCTTGCGCCGGCTAATGGCGCGTTTTTGTAGACTGGGAACGATGGGTGGCGAGCGGGTTTGAAGGAAATTTATAATCAAGCATATCCATGTGTACGAGCTTAACGTCCCTCCAAGAGCTATGACGAGATGAGTAAACGACAACTTCCCAGTTCCAGGCATCGATACATACCAGCGTCATTTAATATCCGCTGCTTTGTCCAGTGTTTAACAATCATTGCCAGTGGTCTAACACGTTCATCGACTTCGACATAAGTTCGAATCATTCGAGTGTTTTCCAGAGCCATGGTGTTATTGACGTTCATGTCGCATGCAACTTGGAGTTCTGGGTCCCATATTTTGACAATTGGTACTTTTGCATGAGAAACACACACAACGCGTTCCATCCCATCTACTCGTGTTAGGTTGCGAGACGCCAAGGATAGGGGCAAATGATGCACGTACTCTTCGCAAGGAAGTCTGCCAGCAGGCACACATGTTCAAGTTCTTTAAACGGTGTTGTTATGCAAATATCCACTGAAAGAGGAGTTAGATTGATCCAGGTACTGGCACAGGGTAAGGATACATCGTCAACCTACCATCAGAATCACTTGAGCAGAGTTTGTTCCCTGATGATCCAAAGACATGTACCTTGATGTCATTGCCAGGCCACTGTGTGTTGAGGAGGTTCTCAAGTTTCTTGACAAATTTTATTCTCCGCTGCTCGCTCTCTGCGGAGGGCAACAACTTTTTGTACAGCTCTTTCATGTGGGATGTGAGTCTCTCCTCATCTTCCGGTGCCAATTTGTCCTTCAGCGGGCCCTGTTCCTCCGGCAGTAAATCGGCGCCCAGAGAATATGGCATCCTCCTCCGGAAGTGAGCCATCGCAGTTTCATATTTGCAGCCTCCATATTGCTTCCGCAGGGGCAGAATGTGGTTTAATTCGGAATGAGCGGAGCGAGGAGAACTGCTGCGGCGATTAGGCGAGGGAGACCTGGAGTGGGACCGAGATGGAAACCGGAGGCCACGGGGGTGATGGAACGGGGTTGCGGGGACAGAACTCGATTGCTGGGTGGTAAGGGCTGGGCGGGGAGGGAGTTGAGAGTGAGCGTCGGCGGGTATGGGCCACGACATATTTGTCGACGTCTCGGATGCTATCGGTGAGCTGTCACCTTCGGTGTGAGAAGATGCGGCATCCCCATACACCTCCGCTCCCATGAGGCACCCCCCAACGATGCTCGATAGTGCAGAAGGAGCGTCCGAGTTGTCAAGATTCAGAACAGGAGCCGAGCGGCGCAGATCTTAAGGCAAATGTCCGTTGCGTATATACTCCGGCTACCAAGGGAGTTCGTGCAATGTAGTAAGAGGCAAAGGAGTATGACCACCAAGCCCGAGGCCCCTCGGGGGAATAGGAGATCTCCGGAGATGTGGGTGAGGTCAGGGTCGAGGCACTGATAACGTGGAAAGAGTAAGCAAAAAGTCCGCCAAGTGAGCGATTGTCAATTCGAAAGCAATTCAATATGGGTGTTTTTTTTTTCTTTTAAAAAAAAAAAGAAATGGAAAGAAAAGAAAAGACAAAAAAAATATATCTATCTTGTAGAGGTAGCAATGCGGTCCTTCGTCGCCTGGTTTCGGAAGCGCCGTGCTGTCGACATTCCGGGGGGGTGGGAAAGGAATTTCGAAGACGGCCAGGGGTAGGAGAGATTTACCTTGATGTCCTCGAGAGGAATTTTTAGGGAAAGAAGGGTTGGTGAAAGTACGGGGTGGTCGCGTCGTCCCAGAGAACGCCGTGGGAGTGAATGATGGTCTTCCGCACAATAGGGTCAGGTCATTGATGTTACATCCAGACAAGCAGAAACATAAAGCTGAAGCGATGGAAGGTCGATCCGATCAGAGTTGCCAATGCACGGCAGAGGAACACACAATCATGAAATGAGACGATTGTCAATCAAGACAAATAGGGGGATGAAGGATGGTCGGACTCTATGTTGGGGGAAGAGAGAGAGGGAGGGAGGGAGGGGAGACAGGGAGGCAGAGTCGGAGAGGTTCTGACGGGTCGTCGACAAGCAGCAGGTGTTGAAAACCAAGATGGCTTGCTGGGTGGAGGGAGATAGCGAGCTTGCTTACCTACGACTTCTGCTGCTGGCCGCCGGGAGGGGAAGAAGCCCTACGTACGGAGTGCTCGGTATTCTATACTGTATTTTTACGTGGCTCTTACGCGCGTGTGTACCGTGCATCCCGCCGCAGAAGTGCTGTGCGCGCAAGTCACGGCCCGTACGGATCCGCGTGAGCTTACACAGGAGTTACCTGGATGGAAACTCTGCACCACCACCACATCAGGCCCTGTCCTACTGAAGGATCCCTTTGTTCAAGCATCGCCGGGACTGGCTTTTCTCCCGCCCTCTGCCATTGTCTAAGGCTGCTTGCGGGTTGCTGGGCGAATAGTCTGTTTCCCCTTCCCAGGTGACAATTCCTGGCGGCTACACTAACTAAACACCATCCTATCACCATCATCTTCTCCCATGTATGATCCAGCTGGGTATAGACGTTTACTTGCGGGGGATGCGCACATGCAGACATATGACGGGGGGAACTGTTAAGCGGACCAGCCAGGCTGCATATTGTGGGAGAGTTATCCGCACCTCATCATGGCCCGATGTTTCCCTTGCATGGGATTCGCCTTCAATCACATTTGGCATCTTCCAACACGGACGCCAGAGAGAGAAAAAGAAAAGAAAGGAAGGGCAAAAAAAAAAAAAAAGAAAAAGAAAAAGAAATGCATATAGTAAAAAAAAAAAAAAAAAAAAAAAAAAGCAAGCAAATAACCAAAGCAAGGGAAAAAGAAAAGAAGCCCTATCGCAACCGTTTCCATCAATCGAATGGCATGGAAGCTCTGGCCGGGATGGATGTCGTCTTCCTCGTCATTCGCTGCTTGGGAATCCGCCCATCGTGGAGGGTCAAGTCGTCCTTTGTCGTGCACGAACCCTAGTCTACTAAATAGTTCATATCCTATCCCATTGATTTCGCCAAACCGCATTTGTCCATCGCCGGTCCCGTCATCATTGCTTCTTTCGTTCCCCGCATCCCGTATGCCTGATCCCTTCGGAGTTGCATGCACAGGCGCCGGTTCCTCTGTGAGAATGCCGACCGAGTCGGGCCCGGGTGCATCGCCTCTTTTCAGCAGACCAGCCAGCCATGCCCCTCCCCCAGGGCGTCAAGAGGCTACCTGCAAATTATAAACAAACTAATAACAAGACGTCGAAAGTTATGCCTTGCCATTCAGCTTTTTCCTTTTTTTTACCTTCTCTCTCTCTCTCTTTTTTTTTTTTTTTTTTTTTTTTTTTTTTTCCTCCCTTTTCTTTTTTTTCCTTTTCTTTTCTTTCCTTTTCTTTTTAACTCCTCATCCTTTCTTGTTCTCCCCGTTCGGAGGTGTCGGACCCTGGACGTGCATGAAGAAAAGGGTGCAGGACATCAGAACCTTTTTGTTCGAAGCGCTGGGGCTGTTTTGGCTTGTCCACGGGATGCACATTCACAGTGACTTTCCGTCGGACATGTGGCAGAGCGTGGCTGTAACCGCAAGCAACGACTGCTTTTCAACTTTCTTCTTAGCCTCTTGAGCTCGTCAAGACATACTAGCATTGACAAATCACTCGGGCTCTTTTTCTTTTTCTTTTTCCCTCATTCGATCACAAACTCGACGGACGTTTGCAGCCATGTCACATGCTCTGAACCTTACTAATAACTCGGTTGTCTCGCAAAACCCGGGGCCAGTTTAACAAGACACTTGTTCCCGCCATTAACTAACTTCCGAGCTTCCAGAATTCCTCATCAACTTTAGTTTGATAGTATCGGCAAGAGCTTTGAGTTCCGTGCCTGTCTGCATCGTTACCCCCCAACATTTGGTAACTGCATGGCTGGTTTCAGTTTCAGACCGACAAAGCCAGTCCGCTCTAGGGTCGCTATCATACCGATGTCGGTGGCTTGCGATGGTTTTACTTGCGAGGTCCTCAACATGTCGGGGGACATACTACAGGAGACTACCTCAACTAAACGTGTCTTTGATTGTCAGAGGACCACTGCTGTTTCATCTTGGAATTCCGACTACTTGACTGCCGGCTAGGTTTGTCTGTTGATGGGATTGGCTAAATGACCGACTGCGGCAAGCATAGGGCTGAGTTGCAGCTAATCCATGCGAACACCCCCCTTTCCCCCTTCCTTTTTTTTTTTAATACACGTCTCTCCCCTCTGCACCTTTGGAGTTCCGACATAGCGGAGCCGACCCATTACTGGAAGGCCATATTCATGCAGGAACGAATAAACTGCGCCGCATCTGAAATACATTTTCTTGTCGACACCTGGAACGTGCTCTCACCCACCTTACAAGCTCACAGAAGAAGGGACGACGTTGCGCTGATCCAAGACTCCCACAACGCCATCAACTTGTCAAAACACCCAATAATATCCTCGATTCTAGAAACCGAAGAGGCGCTGCAACCTTGACGTAATATTTCTCAATTCCCCACCCACTAAAAAAAGAAACAACAAAATTGCTACATAACAACATCCGTCACTACGTTTGTCGATACTTCGATTGGCTCCTTTTATAATTCCCCAGCAACCTCATCCACACGGCATTGCCACCTTTATATCGTCTTCGAGTCCGTACTCTCCTGGGTTTTCCAAATCTCGTGTCTTCCTGGGTATCCATACAGATGTCGCATGGCCCTTCTACATCTTCTTCGATGCTGCCCCTGGCTTCAGGATTACAATAACGCTTGAGCTCCACTGCTTCTGGACAAACAAATAGCTCTATCATGTCAACACATTCGCACCCAAATCTGGCAAGAATTTGGATGCACATCGCTATGTGGTATGTACTTTTGGCAAAAAGTGTAAAGCAATGAGGTTTATGTGTAGTAAGATCTACAGCTCATCGGAGGTGTTTGCTATATTCTCTGAGGGGAGATGCGGCGTTGGCGATAAGCTTTGGATAAAGATGACTCCTGATGGATATGGATATTGTGGATGGTTTTGATTAAGATTTTTAAAATGACTGGTGGAAGGGCAATGCTCTGTGTGTGTGTGTGTGTGTGTGTGTGTTGAGTTTTCTGAAGAGAGTCAGAAAATACCTCCTTTTGGTTTAAAAGCCAAAGAGAGTAGGCAGTTTCAGGACTCCAGCAAATGAAGAGGCAAGTGCTGAGGATCATGACTCCCAAGAAAGCTGACATCATGATAACACATGAAAGGGACTATGTGTGTGGTTTTTTGGTGAATTGATCTTGAAAATGTCTTTGTTGTTGTTGTGAAAAAGTGTCAGCAGTCAATATAATTGTTTTGACGAGGCTCTGGATTCAAAGAATAGATGAAAGGGGCAAGCAGTCTTGTGTTCTACAAAAGTGTATAAATCCACCTGGTTGAAAATCAACAAAAAAGGCCTTGAAGGCCAATTTTCCCTGAGAAAAAGCAAGTAAATAGCCTGTCTCCTGTTACATTTCTTGTAGAGATCCTTTCGCTTCACGGGAAGAGGAAGAGGAAAGGTGTATGTATGTCTACTGCCGCAGCGCATGTAGTACCCATTTCTTCGAAGCAAAAATATCCGTGCATGCTGGTCCCTATACAGTGGGTGTCTACCTTGGGAGCCATGCAGCAGGGTTTCCCTGCCCAGGGCAATCAAGAGTCTTGCTTTCATTGCATGTAGCCGGCATACCACCCGAACGAAACTCTGGATGACGATCTGCGCGAGGGGACCCTGCAAGGTGCAAGGCCGTAAAATGCAAGGGCAAATGGAGTACTCTGGACGAAGTTTCCATTGTTTGTTCTGGAATGCGCGTAGAATGTGAGGCTATGCCAAGATGGTGTTGAAAATAGTAAGTTGAGGCAACACTGCGGATAGTGAGTCAGCAATGGGAAATCAGGATATTTGGCGTCGCTCGGACGGATATTAGACCGAGAATGGTGTGAAGAAGGATTTCGGTTAACCTGTCATCCTCCCTCGAAATGCGGGGGAACAGCGAAAAGGCCAAGATTGTGGTTGAACTCTCGGGGCGTCAACTGGGGGGGGGGGGGGGGGGGGGTAACTGCCGCATTCTTTTCCTGAAGGTCAACCTTCTGCTCTTAATAGTGGTCATACCACAAACATGGGTGTGCTTCTCGGATGATTGGCTGGGAGTAGTGAAGAAGAAAGACTGCGGGATGAGATACGAGCCGCCATGGGGTTTTGGCGGTTCGTTGTCCAGAGAAGCAATCGTGATGCGAATCTTCCGTTTGAGAGGGCTTTGTTTTCCTGTGCGATAGCTATCGTACATATGGCTCTATGTTATACACAAGTTTGCGCGTTCTGAGATCGCGGATCGCGTCTCTAAAGCACCCGTTTGATCACAGTTCGACACATTGCATTTTTGAGGTCGAGCTGCGTAACATGGGTTGATCCCCGTTGGCCACACTTGCCGAACGACCCTTGTGGCTGGCTCCATTGACAAGATTCGTTCTTTTGGTGAAAGCTACCAGGGATGGAATCCGATCCTTGATTATTTGCACCGTGGAGAGATCAATATAAAATTAATGAAATTGCAACACAAGACAAACGCTAAGGAATGTCCTGCAAGTGTAGCGACTCATGTTCTCGAGACCTCGCTGTGTAACCGCTTTCGAGGTAGTCATCAGTTAGTTGATTAGCTTGGAGGGGAGCAAACAGGCTATTGCGAGGCACTCCGCTGGACTGAGATTATCTTAGGCAGCCAGTGATCTCAAGATGTTTTACGGAGTCGTCCGAGCGCGTCATATCGGGTGCTCCGGGGTTTGCAAGTAACTTGTTGGTTGCCCTGCGAGCCTCTCACGTCATTCTCATTTTTTTTTTTTTTTTGATCAGCCTGCAGACAAGGCGGGAGTCGGCCTTTATCGTGCTGGGTTTTATGATTCGACAAGAGGGCCATCCTTCCCCGTAGTTAGCGGACAAGAGCTGTCCGGAGATAAGATTTCTCGAGTTGTCTGGACAAGCGCTGGAGCATGGACGGACGGAAGAAGTGACAAGCTCCATGGAATCCTGCTTTACGTAACGGGAGTGCCGGTGACAAGCAGACGTGAGGCCTTAGCGGTTAATTTCTGATAATCGCCTGACCCACTGGCTGCGACGCTATTTTTGCCTTGACAAGCGGAGTGACATGGCTCTGCGTAGAGTGTAGGAGGCGGTTAGCTATGTCTGGGTGGGAGTAAGAACCGGGCTGAGGATGACGGCCAATCTAGTAACCAATTAATAAAGGCTGCGCACATTTTGCGTCGTCGACTGGGCCGGAGCGTTGGCTGCTTGGTGGTGGTTCTGCTCGGGTGCGTGTTGGAGATCTGACGAGGATGTAAAATTACGGGACGAGCGACGTAAGATCCTGTGTAATTGTCCGCCGAATACAGAGGACAATCTGTTTGTAACGAGACTGCCCCGGCCACAGCTCAAAAACATCCGTAAGCGGGGGGAGGATTTTGATAAAAAAGATCAAGGAAAAAAAAAAGAATAAAATAGAACAGTGACCCTGATGTGTGGTTGGCTATGAGAATCCAGAAAGAAAAAGGCCAGTTTCAATAATCCGATCTTATGGAGATCAGTGACTGCGTGCGCTGGGCGGAGGGCGGCTGTGACAGCGGTCCCTGTCAGGTAATGTTACGGTAACTACAGTACGGTATGTCTCCATCCCGACCGGCGCCGTTGCCGCTCCATTTCCTCCTCCCTTGCTGCTCAATTTTTTTTTTTCCCTCTCTCCTGGCCTGAACGAACGTCTTCTCTCGCTCATCCATCCGGCTCCCATCTCCATCGCCCTCCCTCGTTCTTCTCCTCGCCCTCCTTTTCTCACATTCCTACTCCTCAGGGACGGCTACGCCTCGAGTACACTCCCCCGTCGATTCGTGGGTCTGTCGAGAGAGATTCAACTTTTTTCCGTGCGAAGTTCTAAGGGCCTTTCTTTTTTATACTTTGTGAGTGTTATTCCATTTCTCAAGCACAAGCGTGCAGTTTGCTTGCCCACCGCCAATGAGAGTCCGCTAGCATGCCCTGCTCTGCATGTCGATCGCTTCGATTCGATTCACTCGAGGCCAAAATTCAGCTCCTTTCGCCCTGCTTCACTTCATCTCTTCACCCTCGCTCTCTTCCCTTCATGCCTCCCCTTCGATAATATCCCAATTGTCTGTGTGACATCTTGAGTCTTTAACGTACTTTTTATTAATAAATTTTTACTGTCTAGAACGGTCACGAATCTGCTTGTCCAAAGTCCATTCCTTTTTTTTTTTTGTTTTTTTTCTTCTTTACGGCTGGGAATTCGGCGTCTTCCCTGCTGAGAAAAAGTGTTTTGGGTTTTTACGGGAAGTTTTTGGATTTGGGTTTCTTGAACAGATTTCTTTGGACCTGCAATTATGGCGTACTACGAACCCCAAGGCTGGCAAGCTCCCGTCCGCCAGGGCTCCTGGGAGCAACCTGCTCCCCCTTCACGATCAGGTACGTCGAGATTTCATTGCCAAGTCTAAATGGGAGAATGTCTCGGCTAATACTCCTGACAACCATAGGCACAAGCTCTACCGCTCAGCGCGATGATTCACCTGCCTTTGCCTCTCAGTTCGATGGTATGAAACATCTCTTTGATGCCGTATCAGCCTTGTCCAGCGGGAAAACACCAAACACACTTGGGTTATGATAGCTGAGTCTGTCCACATGGCTACCACCTATCATAGCATTCATGTGTCTCGGTTAAGGGGATCCATTATTGAAGGTGAAACTGACTTTTTTTTTTTTTTTTGAAGAGGTTGATCGGGCCATCGATAACCTGGTGAAAAGCGGGAAATTGTTCAACTCAATGCCACGGAGAGAATCAGTACCCCTTATGATGGGACGCCCCTACGACTATGGTAAAGCCCCCAGCGCAAGGCAAAGTTATATTTTACCACCAAGCTTACGAATCGAAATGTAGATGGAAGAATGATAGGTGGCATGGGCCCTCCACGTCATCACTCTATCAGCGATTACGATAATCTTCGCCCACATTCTGCCTCCAACCTGCAAGGATTTTACGCCGCGCAGCGATTCCAGGGCCGTCCCAGCGAAGCGGAACAGATGATGCAAGCGAAACGCCGATTGGCAGCGCAACGAGAGAGGGATCTCCGCAATTATCATCAGGAGCAACAATATAACCGAAGTACGTGATGAGTATTGTTATTCCAATCGTTTTAATTCATTTCTACCTTAATCCTGTGTGGAGACGCGATATTATTTCTCCCCGTCACCAAATTTGTTCCTCTCGTCACTTCCTGCTTGAATCGTTTGAGTGATGGTCTGGTTTGTACTTATATCTTAACTCGTTATGAACTGGGAAAAGGCCTTCTTGCCGAAATGTCTGGAAACAAATCCGATCGTTCCATGAGTCCTGCTGCGATGAGCGAAGAAAGCCGACGCGAATTGATTGCACGTCAGCACCGTGCCCTGTATGGCAATGAATCATCCTCCTTCTTCCCCAATGGAAGCCTCGGAGACGACGGCCAGCCATCTGGCACTGCGAATACGACTGCAAGCGGCGCGCGAGGCCCCTCTCCAAGGGGTGTGGATCCCTTCGGCGGTCTTGGTCAGGCCCATGCCCAACCTGGCTCGGAGAATTCCGGCCAAACCCCCGCCGGGGCCCCTGCCGCTCAATCGACCGTCGCGCAGCAACCCCGGTCACGTGCCAACAGCACTTCGTCCCCAAGCTCCAACGCGAACCAGGCCTCCTATGGCATCTTCGACTCGAACCAGCAATCTAACTCGACCTCGTCGGCAACAGGTGCCAGCACCGACATCTCAACATCGCACCCTGATAACAACAAGCCGGCCACCGGCGCTGTCGGGCCGATTGGTTCCCGTCCTGTTCCTGTAACCAGCCAGGCTCCCAATCCAGCTCTGAACAAGCGTTCGACAACCCCTCTGCCCTCTCCGTTGAGCTATGGATTCTCCCCTAGTGAGGTTGTGGGTTCCACGGGTCCAAATACCACTTCTAATGGAAACGAGAAAGTTGCGCCCAATGCGGCACCCTCTACGCACACTGGCACCGCCGGAGCCTCAAGCACTGGAAAGAAGGAGCCCGGCAATGTTGGTCTTCCCTGGGGCAACGGCAGTGGTGTGTGGAGGTCCAAAGGCTCTCTTGGCGTCCAAGCTTCTGTCTGGGGCTAAAAGATGATGACTTCTCGTGATATTGGCTGTTCCTTTTACTTGCAGGTTCCCCCCACTGTTCTTCCTTCTTCTTCTTACATGGAAGCGAAGTATGGCGTTTTTATTTTAAGGAGGGTTGCCAGCTATATTTCCAATTTTCGTACGGACATGCATTGGGGAATGGATTTTGGGACAATTTGATGAGATCGTTTCCCATTTGCAAAAGGAGGTCAAAGCATTTGCTTGGCGCCTGGTTATATTGAAGCTCAGGGTGGCCTCGATTGTACGCGCGCGCAGCAGATCTTTGACGACGTATATTTCATTTGGTTTTGCCGGTGATGTGTTTGGCTTTAGCTGGCATAGCAGCTTCATTGAACTGGTTCTATTATTGGTTGGGAGTTCGTTATGACGCTGTTTGTTTTGTTATCTCTGTGCTTCTTCTGTTGATGAAGTTCATATTGTCCTGAATTTGGTTTTGGCTTTGGCTCTTTTTTTTTTTTGGGGGGGGGGGGGCCTAGACAGGCGCAATTCGGTGTCCTGTCACATGGTTTTTGGCCGGTATTTAGGATATATTCCCTTTTCTATGGCTGCCTCCTGGTTTCCCATTTTTCGGAGATGTAGTTGTCTGCTTTCTTTTGTCTAAGTTTGGATCGGTCTGGATTTGGGGGATGTTTACGGCGCCGCTGAGCTAACTAACTTCTGCTGGGCTATTATCTACCCTATGGACTTAATGTTTGGATGTCAAAAGGGGTTACATGTGTTGGATGCACAGGGTACTCGGGGCGATATTTTGGATGTTGTTGGTGTTTGCTCCTTGCTCTTTTTTTTTAGAGTACCTTGTGGGATGTTTTGGTTTATGAATGCTTTTCCAACGTGTACTGATAGGCTTGAAGTGAATTTTTGGTTTTTCTTTCTTTTTTTTCCTTCATTTTGGACTACCCTTCCTTATCATGCACCGACTATATCATTCTCGTCCACTGTACTATTATGCCAGGCTAAATTGCGATGTATTCGAGTCAGTATGACAAGATGATTCATGGGCAATGAAGCAACGCTAATATGGTCGAAGCGGAATGATACGCTTGGGAGCTTGTAGTAGGCGTCTAACCACGAAATGCTATTAACACACGGAGTACTCCGTAGATGATACATACATCGGGAAATTAGCCTAGAGAGTACGTTTCATAACACTTAAGACATCCATCTCATTGTTGCGCACATTGAAGATTAGTTACATCAGTTATTGCGGAATTGATACAAGATTCGGGTGGATATGTTCGAGGAGCACCTATATTTTCCATCATACCGACCAGTTATGCCTAACGGGAAGAAAACCCTCTCCGGGACAGACCAGCGTCCTTATGTTTCGTCAGCAGAACAGTCAAGCAAAATAAAAGAAACACTGCCATCACCGTACGGAGTAGACTGCAGGATTTCAAACCACATTGGCAACCCCTCCCGCATTCGAATTAATCTTCTTCTTAGCCGTGCCAACGCCCGCAACGCCCTTTTCTTGATTCCTTCCCAGCCAAGGCTTCGTTGCCTCCCCCAGAACCCTGCGACCCAAGTAATAAATACACTGTCCAATAACAATAAGCACGAACGCGATGGGATACATCCAGTGTATGGTATATTGGAACACCTTAACGCCAATAACTACACCCCAGAAGTTACTTGTAAGAAGACTGATATTGAAAAACGCCGCCGACGCGAGGCGAAACAGAATCGGCGCGAGAGAGTAGAATATGAAGAGGCAGATCGTGTAGCCGGTGAGGTACCCGCCGACCTCGCCGGTCCAGTTAGCCGTTTGGAAAGAACCGCGATCGAATATCGCGGCCTGAACGCCCATTATCACCGTCGCGTAGAGGCCGAGCTGGCCTAGGACCTCGTAGAGAGGGCGCTTGCTGACGAGGTATTCTTCCGTGACGTTGGCGAAGCCGTAGCACGTGGCGCCGAGGAGGGCGAAGAGATCACCTTTTATTTGGTCGCCGCGGGATTTCTGCTCGCCGGCGGTGGAGCCGGTGATGTGGTCGGAGCCGAAGAGGACGCCCATGCCACCGATGCAGACGATGATACCAATGTATTGGGCCCAGTGGTAGCGCACGCGAAGGAGCAAGAAGGATACCGCGACAACGATGACGATGGCCCAGAAATTGATGAGTTGGGCGCTGAGGATGGTGGTGTATTGGTATGCTTTGACAACGAAGTAGTTGCCCTCGACGTCGAAGAAGGCGAAGATCATGTCTGCGAAGCAACCAGTAAGCAATCGTAATTTATTTGTCATGTATATTTCGTTCTTGGGAGAGTATAATTCTCTGAACTAACATTTCCATCCGCTTTTGTAGATAAGTCGGCACCAGTCCTTGAACCCATAACGGTATATAGTATAGCTCGTATAGACCAGGTTGAGAAGAATGTAATTAAAGAGAGTCTGAAAAGAAGGAATGGATGTTCCAGCCACAGATAAAAGATTCGTGAAGGTGTTCGTTGCAGTGATGCAAAGCGCCAGGACCTGTCTACACGATATCAAGAGAAGGCCGTTAGTCCTAACCAGCCGCCAACTAGGGGATTCGATCGGGGGCCGTGAAGCGACTCACCCAAGAAGCAAAACAACGTAGAATTCGCGGGTATGGAAGTACGCAAAGTATCCCTTTTTACTCTCGTCCAAAGCTTCCGCAACGGTCACATCCTGGTGAGAACCATTGCCCTCATGCTCATCGCCATTGGGGCGGTCATTGCGAGGAGATGTGCGCCCGCTGGTCACGGGAGACTCGACGATATCGGCTCCCTTGTTGTTCGTATCAGCCATGATATCGGAATCGAAGCTACCCTGCGGGGTAGATGGCAGCAGCTCGGGAGTAGACGGGACTGAGTAGACCGAGAGTTCTTTTTTTAGTTGGAGCTTTATGAATGTCAAGCAAGCGCAAAACTCCAGAAGTCGCTTGCTGTAGAGAAGAGGAAAATTCCCTTCGTTGGAGTGAACGGGGAAGAGAGAGGAGAGAGAAAAAAGAAAAAAGGAAAAAAAAAAAAAGCAAAATGTCATCCCATTCCCCCCCCCACAAAATTCCCTGCTTATCGCCGGAATATTTTCTCGCCCGCCAGAAAAAGCAAAATAAGCTTCTTAACCCCAATTGCTAAGGCGCCGAACCTATTTTTGGGACTTGCGCTTAGCAACACGCCCCCGTTCCCGCGTGGCAGGGGCAGCCGATCTTGTCACTTTCGGGGCAAAAAGAGACGTTTTGGACCGTTGTGGTCAGATGTGCCCAGCAGCAGACGCCGTGACCGGGCTGTGAGATCCTCCGCGGCTAGAGAGACGTTACACGGAGTGTTTAGGCGATGCCGATGCGGACGGGCCGATATGGTTTTCCTGTCCGTGCGGAGCCCTGAGACTGGCAAGCTGTTTCCCGTCATGCAGTTCGCTAGTCGCGGTGGGATGCTTGTCACTGTCCGTGATGGCGTGCATATCGGTTTCCGCCAATTTCCGGGCGATTGTCACCGGGAGCAAATGAATAGCCAGTCACTCCGTACTGCTATTCGTTTATTTTCCAACCCGAGACTTTCTCGCTGCCGAACATCGTGTTTGAAGCCGTTGCTTTGCATATTGTATTGAAGCGAAGCAGAACAAACGACCAGCATATAATTAACTAGTTATATCACTGCTTCTTGGGACAACTATACCGCCAATCCTGAATATCCACGCGGCACGGTTTGTTCTATGTCTACAATGTGAACTGACGTCGAGTTGTCCGCTGTGAGACCTTGAGGAAGAGGCATGTCCGATACACGCTAAATAATGAAGCTCTAGAGTATGCAACCATAGTCTGATTTCTCGTCTGCTTCAAATCAAACGCTGGCTTGGGATTCTAGATTCCCAAAAGGGACGTCAAGGCGAGCAGGGGCTGATATTGCGAATCTGGCGTTGCCGTTTTGGACAGGTCAATGAAGCGACTGGCTCTTCCTGGCTCAAGTGCTTGGATGTTATCCCTCATCCCTTACCTCGTGAAATACGAGGTCATGATTGAGGACACGGACCTTGGTAACTGTCGGGAAATTCCCTTTTCTAGTGAGGCCTCCCTCCCATATGCCACTGGATCGGTATCTTGCTCTGTGGTCAATGAGCCTTGCAGCCTTATTGGATGAAAAGCTGAACACTATCATCGAGGCTTACCTTTACTGACGGCATAGCACATGTAGAGGCTCAATGAACCCGCATTAGAGCTGTTGGTCTTCTGTCTTGTGCAATCTCGAGGCTTTCTTGTTGGCAATTGGTAGAGCTTTGCCTGGAGTATTGTCAAGGAGAAATTTGGTATCGGAGGGGCAACAGTTTTGTCCAGTATCCTGCAAGAATGTCATTTGTCAAATCCTGAAAAAAGGATCAGTAGCTTGATCTTTATTATTTGTGCCTGTCTTTGCCTGTGTACTTTGCTGAGAGAGCACCGTACTCTGAGTGTAGCTACGCATATGTATTGTACCCATAGCTCACATTCACACCAATCTAACTGTGCTCTTCAACAGACTCCTTTTCTGTGTTAATCAGTTTTTGGGTGATTTGATGTTGACAGTCCTGCATTGTTCGATCCCATAACATTTATCTCTGGCCCTGGTGCAGTTTGCAGCTCGGTCTCAGGCATCCAGTCGAGGGCTCCGAAAGCGTCACTCTTTGGGCTGCAAAGGAGAATTTAGCTTTGTGGAGGAGTTGAAGATCTGCAGCAAAAACCACACTCTCACTTCACATGACATGACATCGTCAGTCTTCACGCTCTGCCCGCCTCATCTTACTGGGAACAACGAGAAAAAACAACTGTTCCTCATCTTCACCTTGGTTCTGTCAATGGCTGCTGCTATTCTTCTGTGAGCTCGACTTGCTTGACCAGGCAGCCCTGCTCGGGCCCCCACATGACCGTTTGCCATCCCTCCACCGCCCGTCGCGTGCGTTAAGCCTGCAAGCAAATTTCTTCCGTGCTTCCTCCGTCGTCCGTGCCATTCCGCTCATCCGCATCGCGAGAGATCTCCATTGTGTTCGCGTCGCGCAGGCATCCCTCCCACATCCCATCCTACCTGCTGCTGCATCCTGCCTGAAAAACGCCCTGGAAGTCTCCGCGTCTTGGCACATCCGCTCTTGTCGAGGCAACCCGAGGTGTCATCGGCGTGACAAAAACGCCCGCCGCGCCAGATGATGGCCCCGGCGATCCCGCCGCCCAACGATCGAAAGCGGGTCAAAGTTTACGAGTTAAAGGATAATGACTGGTTTGATAGAGGCACCGGCTTCTGCACCGGCCAGATATTCGATGTATGCTCTGCTCTTCGCGCGACTGATGTCTGGCCTTTTCTCCCCCTTCAAACATGCGCAGCGGACGGGCCGGCCCGTGTTCTTGCGCGTGGTTGTTGACTATATTTCACTACACTCAAATGAAATGACGCGACTGTGATGGAAGCGATTGACTGACAATTCCTGACAGGATGAGCCTAAAATACTGGTCGAGTCGGAGGATCAGCCGGACCGCATGCTACTGGAAACAAAGATATCGAGGGATGATGGATATCAGAAACAGCAAGGTTGGATCGCCATCAAACGCATTTTGCCTGGGAAGCTTGCTAAACTGATGGCTTTGGGATAGAAACCTTGATCGTGTGGACGGAGCCGAACGGCACGGATATGGCTCTCAGTTTTCAAGAGGCTGAGGGCTGCGCTGTGATATGGTGCGTATACTCTTCTTGGCTGCGAGCCGCAGGGGTCCACTGATGTGTTGATGCTTAGGGATTTCGTACGGCATGTTCAGCAGCAATTCATGGGATTAGGTCCTGGTTTGTCCATCTTCCCCCCCCCCCCCAATTCCTGGTCCCTCTAACATGTCTATTAGACGACTCGCTTTCTGACGACGCGCTTGATTCCTTAAGCAATCCGATAATGCTCCCTCCGCCGGAACTTGGAAATCTCGCTGAGATAGAGAACGCGATGCGCGCATCCACCACCACGCAAACAGGCCGAGATGCCATCTCCAAGTTCGTCATCCGCGACGAATATATCCTAAAGCTCCTCCCTTTAGTATCAGTCGCCGAGGATCTTGAGAGCCTCCCCGATCTACACAGGCTATGTAACATAATGAAGTCCTTGATTCTATTGAACGATAACACAATCATTGAGCTAGTCGTGAGCGATCACGTCATTAGCGGGGTTGTGGGTGCTCTAGAATGTGCGTAATGAAATCCCCATAGTGTTGGGGAACGGGCCGATACTGATATCTGCATAGATGATCCGGAGTTTCCCACCCACAAGGCGAACCACCGACAATACCTCAACGATCGCAGTCGCTACAAGGAAGTCGTGCCTATCAAGGATCCGATAATCCTACGGAAGATCCGGCATACCTGGCGCCTCCAATATTTGAAAGATGTTGTGCTCGCTAGAATCCTCGACGATCCGACGTTTTCGGTTCTGAATTCCCTCATATTCTTCAATCAAGTCGACATAGTTCAACATCTCCAGGCTAACACCCCGTTCTTGAACGAACTTTTTGCCCTGTTTAACCCAAGGAACACAGACAACAAGCGCAAAGAAGATGCAGTGCAATTCATCCACCAATGCGCGTTGATTGCGAAGAACCTGCAAGCCGCGGCCCGCGGGAGCCTCTTTGGCAGCTTTATCAACCATGGCCTATTTCCAGTTATCGCGTACGCTGTGAAACACCCGAAACCTGCTCTCAGGACTACCGGTGTGGACATACTAGTTGCTCTTCTAGATCATGACCCTATAATGATGCGAGGATATATGTTAAAGGCGGTTAATGAGAAGAAAGTCCCTCTCACGGACACTTTGATTGAGCTATTACACACAGAGACAGACCTAGGAGTTAAAAACCAATTGGCAGATGCAATCAAGGTCCTTCTAGATCCCCAGACGCCAGTCCCCGAAGTCTTGAGCAGGATGGGTGCCGATTTCTTACCAAAGTTGCGGTCACAAAATGTATTTCCTGATACATTTGTGCAGAATCACTTCGACGAGTCAGCGAAGCGGCTATTTCTGCCTCTAAAGAGGTTAGAGGCAAGATCTGACCGTAAGACAATAGCTCCAGTCTCATTTAAGTGCAGCTGAGTACTGACTCGTCCACTTCTAGTTGGCAATTTAACCTTCCAAGAGGTAGCATTATTCTCGCACTTAGTTGATATTCTCACCTTTTTCGTTCGCCAACATCTGTTTCGGAGCCGTAATCTCATGCATGCAGAGTCCCTCGCGCCTCGAATAGCGCAGCTCCTCACAGTACCACAGAAACACCTCAAACTGAGTATGTTCCCTCTATAAAACTTATCAATCGGCTGCTGCTGACACACTTCCCCAGCTGCACTAAAGTTTTTCCGGACTTTGATCAGCTTGCAGGACACATTCTATTATTCCCAAATGACGCACAATAATACGTTTGAACTCATTCTCAATATAGTATATGAAACGATGCCGCGCGATAATTTGCTCAATTCTGCGTGTTTAGAGTTGTTTGAGTATGTCAAACGTGAAAACATCAAGCCGATTATCATCCACGTTGTCGAGAACTATCGCGAGAAGATAAAGGATATCACCTATGTTGACACGTTTCAGAATTTAATGATTCGCTACGATCAGATGCAAGGATATGGCGCCCAACCAGACGCCACACTATTTAGCCAAGATGAATCTACAACTCCTACCCGGAATCTCATCAACGGTGGTCACCGCTGGCAGGGTGTCCGAGAGATGGATGCAGCAGAAGAGGAATATTTCGATGCATCGGATGATGAGGAAGACGAGGTAGGATTCTTCTCATCAAGTGAAATGATGAGGCAAAGTATGTTAGAGAGTAGAGCCCAACTCATGGCTTCGTGTCAGCAGGGTAAACCCGCCGCCGAATCCAGTGCAGCTCTTAATGGCTCAGCCTCTCCTGCGGCTAAACCCTTGGTCGACTACCCTGACGATGACGATGACGCCATGGAAGTGACCGAACACGGACAAGCCCCTACTGGATCGGAAGTAGTGTCAGATCCGCAAATTGGCGGACAGCCCCTGTCTACGGCCTCAAGTGACACGCTATCACAAATATCGTTCAGTGGCGAGCGATTCTTAGAACGGTTTTCTGAGAAGCGGCGTCGTGAAGAGGACGACGACGACGATGAATTGATCAAATTATCTTCTGCATCAAAACGCCGTGGCTCGAGTGCTAGTGTTAGCAGTGCCGGTTCTTCAACGCTTGGTGGTTTATCAATGAAGAGGAGCATTTCTGGGCAGTCATCTACCTTGTCACCTACGCACAGTAATGCTGGCGATAAATCTTCTTCCACTACTCCTGCTGGAACGGGAGGCAAGAAGATATCCTTTAATCTAAGCATGAGCTCGGCAACACAAGCCGTCTTGAAGACCCTCGATCAAGCCTCTAGTCACGGCCCGCAGGACAGTCAAGATGGGACAATGAAAGGAAATGCTGCTGAGAGTGACAGTGGAGGCGATAGCAACCACGGTGGAATAGGTTCATAGGTGTCTAGCATTTCCAGTTTCTGCCTTTATGCGCCGTTCTTCATCGATGTTCCATTCTCGCAGTTCGGGCTTCGCGTTATTGTTTTGTCGTTTTTCATGCCAGGATACGGCAGGGCACCAAAAAGAAAAACATAATATGTTACTCAACGAGAACTAATCAAACGACACCAAGGAAGCAACGGCGTATTTGCATGTGTATTCCGAATATCCAGGGGTGCTATGTGGGCTTTTTGTTTGATTGAGATCTTCCAGCTTATTTCTGAAGTGTTGGCGGCGTTTACCGTGCAGCTTTTTTTCTCTTTTCTCTCACCGTGTGTGGTGTTTCGCATTTCTACCGTGTGTTACTTATATCTTTTACCATCCTGCTCTGTTCTATTACTGGTTTTGGTGACGGATCAAGACTTAGTCGTACATTAGATACCACTGGAATGGATGATTTTTTTTTTTTCTTTTTTTTTTTTTAATTAAAAAAAAGGTCGCAAGTCAGGTCCCGACGTCAGTTTAACTCTGGTAGCTTTCTCTTGCCACTCGGTTTCGTCGGCAGTGGCGGCGATGGCTCGGTGGTACATAGCAGCTCTAAACAAAATAGTTGGTGCAATAAGTAACTACATCTGCTAATTGAGTTTATCATTTGTTCGGTTTTGTTGAGATAAAAACGGGGAAAAAATGGTGGAGATTCCGCGTGAAAGCCGAGCTGTTGATTTGAAATCCCCATTCCTCTCCCCATATTCCGTTGCCGTTGAAGAACTATAAAGAAGCATTGACGTCGATAATTTTCCCATGAGAGAAATTTTTGTTTAGTTCTCTGCCAAACACCCCCCATTTTCCTCTGCTCTCTCGAAATAAGCAACATACTGGCGCTCTTCTCTTCTGGAAAAGCACGAGCAAATCGTGATTTATTTCTATATTCACCTTCACCACTCAAACCCACAAGTTTGACGGCGCCCAACGCCCGAATCCTCTTTGCAGGATGAACCCGTCTAAGACGCGAATCACCCCGAACTCTTTTCTCACCAAGGTTGGCAGCTCGAAGGATGGGGATCCGGTCTTAGTGTACTTCATACCCGGCAATCCGGGCGTTGTCTCGTATTATCATTATTTTCTGTCTCTTGTCGCGTCAAATCTTTCCTCTTCCTCCCCTTCAGATGCCTTTGCGTCTCTGGCATCTGCGCAGCTAGAAAAGCGAACCGGATCGCACGAAGGGGACGGAGACAGCACTCTACGGAGCAGCGGCAGCAGCACGCGCAGCGGGCATAATAGTAGCGACGAGAGCCCCATTCGTAAACTCAAGATCGCGGGCCGCAAGAAGAGCAAAAAGGGCACCGGCAGCGATAGTGAGAAATCCGATCATGAATCTCTAAGCTCGAGGAAGCGTGAGCTGTGGAACTATCCTAATACTAATTCCGATGAATCATTTATAATTACGGGCAGGTCTCTGGCGGGGTTTGAGATTGAGGATGCCTCTTCTTATATTTCTTCGTATTTGACTACGTTTTCGTCAACGGACACTATTCACTCGCTGTCATCCCAGGTGGAGTACGTGGAGAGCAATCTAGCAAAGTTTGTCCGCAAGTATCAGGACAAGATCACGACCGCTGCGACTGCCGTCGCTCTGGCTGCCGGACAGGAGAAAGATGCGGTTAAGGTGCGAAAGCCACGGCCAAAAGTCATCCTTCTAGGCCATTCAATGGGCGCATATATCTCTATGGAATTATTAAGGAGGAGAAGAGAAAGGGAGAAAGCAAGGGCTACTCGAGAAAAAGAAAGAAACGGGCCGCTTTCAGATCATAGTAATAGCGAGGGCGAGGAGGATGTCGAGATGGATATCATTGGAGCTCTCATGCTGTTTCCCGCAGTGGTTGACATTGCGAAGTCACCATCAGGAAAGAGAATGACTGTACGTTCAATCTATCTCTTGCCTTGGCCGGGCTTGAAAATGGTTGATTCGTTAACATTTGTGCTGATTGTTTCTATAGACACTTGGATACATTCCATGGCTGGATGTTATTACCAGTCTAGCAGTCAAAAGTCTGATTTCCGTGACACCTGCTCCAGTAATACGTCGCTGGGTCCGTCATACTATGAAGGATCCTCCAGAGGATGCTCTTGATACCACTATTGCGTTCCTGAAAAGTAGAACAGGAATCAGGCAAGCCCTGTAAGTGTTTAATCACCCTTCCTGCCCCACGGTTGTCGTGGCCTAGAATCCTAGCGTAGAATAGAAGTTAATGGGGTTTAGGCGCCTTGCTGTAGAGGAAATGGAGCAGATTGGTCCCGACAAGTGGAGTGACGAAATCTGGGGAATATCCGAGCAAAATAAACCGTCGGATGATGTCGAGTCACACCTTACAAAGCTGGTCTTTTATTTCGGTCGTAACGACCATTGGGTGGCCGAGAAGACGAGAGATGAGATTATTCAAGCACGATCCTCTAAGGGTGGCTGTGGGCCGAAGATGATCGTCTGCGACGATGGTATTGAGCATGGGTTTTGCATTCGTAAGTGTCGACCGCCTTGTACCGATCGTTATTTGCGAAAATTTGGTGCTAACGTCCGTGTTCAGGCCATAATGAGATCATGGCGGATAAAGTCTCTGGGTTCATAAGAGACATCATAAACGATTATAGGGCAAGGAAATAATTCCTGGAGAGTTAGAAAATTCTGTACTTGTAGTCCGCATCAAGCATCAGGTATGTCTATAGAGTAATGTAATATGATCCGATATCAGTCTTGAAAGGCAAATCCCGCATGATTTGTGTCGACAGCTAGGATCTGAATAGGATACTAGGCGTTGAATATAGTACCTAGGAATATCCTTGGTGTCCAATGCCCGCTTTTCGGAATAAGTCGCCCAACACGTCATTTCCGTTTGGCGCTCCTGGAAGTAGTCCTGGCGGGACTCCTTGAGGTGCAGGCCAGCCAACTGGTTGATTGGTGGGCCCTTGGGGCTGAGCTTGAGGATTGAATTCAGCCACCGGGCTGTGAACTTTGACGCTCCACGCATCGTCCTGCGCTCTCTGCTGACCGAAAAGCTCCTTCAAAGAGATCTGCCGGTTCATTGGTGTGGCGGACGGAGCCTCCTCAACGAGCATGTTCTGGTTGCGTTCAGCGGCCAGCCTCTCCTCGGCAAGTTTCCTACTTTCCCCGCCATGCACTGCGCATTCTTTAATCATCTGCGCATTCAGCGTCCTTGTCTCAGCTGTCGAGCTCGGTGCAGGTTCAGAAAAGATCCATAATCCATATATCATAGACGTCCGCCCATTTGCTGCGCGGATGGCGCCTTCGCGGCCTTTGTCATCGTCCGCCTTCAAGATAACATATTCATCAGTGATTTCAACGTCGTCCCCATTTTCTAGTCTGGCCTCAAAGTTGTCCATTCCACGCCTGTTGAGAACCATGACGCTGTACCTTTCCTCGCCCAGATCTCCTTTCGTGCGCTGGCACACGAACAAAGTGCCCTCGATTCCTAACTTCTCCCATGTCTGAGTAGTCGCACTGAAGATGTATACCACGGCAAACTGAGCAAGCGACAGGATTGTGGATATCGAGGGATTGTATCGGCGCACAACGGTGATGTTGAGCTCCTCATTGGATCGGGTGGGCGGCGAAACAGCCAGGGAATTAGTAGCCATGGGCGGATAATTGATTCCCTTGAAGACGTTAGTTTTTTGTATATCTAATTTGTAATCCGAAGGTTGGAGGTTGTTTACCGAGGGGGTAGAGAAGTTTGCTGATGTCAGGCCTGTTGCTGCGGGTTGCGATGCGCAAAAGTACTCAACGGTGAATTGGAGCTCAAAGACGAATCATCTCCAGGCGATCTCATTAAAAATCCACAATATTTCTCGATATCTTCTGCTTCAACCAAAGAGAAGCATAGATGAAGGGAACCGTTCTATACTCCGTACTTTGATCGTGTTGATGATGTGAGATTACCAGTGTTACCCAACTAACTACGGAGTACTTACTTACTTAACCACGCGCCTGGCCCACGGACGTCAGCGTCATCGTTCCCCCTCAACATCGACAAGGAGGATCAACACACAGCCATGAATACCGGTGCGTTCCAACACAGATCTAATTGATGGCCAAGCCAATGGAACCTGGTCTGTCCATCCCATTTGGTGGAATGTCCAATGTCTACAAATTCCCCATACGATACCTTTTGACTCTCGCCATCGCTGGAGCCTTGCAGCAGAACAGAGCTGCGCCGCGACCACCTGACCGGCCAGACACCCGTTGAAAACACCTTATAAGTTAACACTCGCACAATGCTACAAATAGAGCACGCTTCCATTCGCGACGCTATACTCCAGTGAAATATGTCGATCCACGAGTCCTCCACGCCCACCCCCCTTCGCGAAGCTCCAGGTGCATTCCCGGACCAGCCGGACGACGGAGACGGTGCTCAAGGAGCGTCTAACCTCAACACATTGTCCCGAGCAGTACACGCCAGAAGAGCGGAATATATCCGCCAACGAACGGTCAAGGTGAGAATAGGATCATGGAACGTTGCGGCACTGCCGGGAACGGAGGAAGATCTTGGGAGGTGGTTTGCGGGGCCTCTCGAAAGGACGGACAAGTCCGTTGGCGAGGACGCACCTCAGAATGTTGAGCTGGGACATGCCGATGGAGCCTCCCTTGCTAACGATGAGAATAGAAGTAATGAACGGTGCGCAGGAAAGCCACCTTCACTGCAAGGACCCAGCCGGAACGCGACTGTTAACGATCGAGCTGCTCAACCTGCCGATGAAGACATGGATATTTTTGTGCTAGGATTGCAGGAAATTGTTGATCTTTCGTCTCCGGCCGAGACGCTGAGACCATACGTGGATCCAGCCCCAGCAAATAAGTGGAAAGAAGCGATCCACAAGGCGCTCCCTTCCGGTTATACCCTCATATCCTCACAGCAGCTCACTGGCTTGCTCCTGTTGGTTTATGCCTCTCAATCAATAGCTCCAAGTATCTCTTCCGTTAGTTCTACAAGTGTTGGAACCGGATTGATGGGGTACATGGGCAACAAAGGAGCGGTTGCAACGCGTATAGTTCTCGGTGGAGCAACACGTATTGTTCTCATAAACTGTCACCTCTCCGCCGGGGCTGACAAAGCGAGCTTGGACAGGAGGAACTGGGACGCCTCGCAGATTGTGATGCGGACGAAGTTTGATCCTATCGAAGGTGACGATGATGTAGATTTTACATCAAGCCAAACCTTGGGAGATGAGGAATTTGCTTTCTGGTTTGGTGACTTGAATTATCGTTTGGAAGACATTCCAGGCGAGGATGTGCGACGACTCCTCCATTTGCATACCGAAAATGACTTCGGTCCGTTGCCCAAACGTGACACGGATAGCGCCAAATCTAGATGTTCCCAGGAATTCAGTCGCTCGGAAGGAAATTTTTCCTCTGAAGCTATTTCAATGGCGGATAATGACGTCGAAACATGTCAGGATCCTGCTTCCCTAGAGACTACTCTTGCGTCCCTTCTCCCACACGACCAACTACGCGCCCAACAAAAGAACCGGAAAGCATTTTATGAGGCATGGAGAGAAGGTGACATAAAATTTTTGCCCACTTACAAATACGATATTGGTCGTATTGGGCAGTTCGATTCGGGCGAGAAGCAACGGAGCCCAAGTTGGTGTGATCGAATATTGTATCGAACAAAGGAAGACTATCTGAAATACCAGAGACGGATGAAAGAAGACGAAGATGCGAGGAAAAGGGATGAAGAGATGAAGTATCTTGGATTGGATCAAGAGGCGGAAGATGACAACGTGCTTTTTGACTATGATCCTGAGTTTGATGGAGCGGAGTATGATGAGAATGAAGACACAGTTGAGGATATAGTCGCAGATACCGACCAAGGAAATGGCTCTGGGGGCTCACTGAATATGACCTGCTATAGGTCACATCAGGATATTGTTTCTTCGGACCATAAACCCATACATGCCGATTTTATTCTGACATACGATGCCGTCATTCAAGATTTAAAGGCAAAGGTGCACCAAGAGGTTGCTAGAGAGCTAGATAAGGCTGAGAACGAGGCGCGCCCAGATATTACAGTTGTCGTTGATCAACCCGCCAACATATCCGAAGACCACAAACTCGCCCCGAACGGGATTGCCGATCGAGACACCGTCAGTTTTGGACAAGTTCGTTACGATGTCCCGATATCGCGGAGCGTAACACTTGCGAATACCGGTAGTGTCCCAGCCACTCTCTCATTCCAGTATAGGCCTGTGGCTGCTGATGAAGACTCTCGTGTTTCTCCCCCCTGGCTCCATCTCAAGGTAGATTGGCCTGCGGATGCCCATGCGCAGACGTCAAGTTCCCAGAAGGAGTATACATTGCCTCCTGGCGAATCAGCACACGTACAACTTGTTCTTTGTGTCTTTGACGTGAACTTCGTTCGGCAGCTGAACACTGGTGAAGCTGAACTTGAAGACATACTAGTCTTACGTGTTTCTAGTGGCCGAGATCATTTCATTTCGGTTCGTGGGAAGTGGTTACTGTCATGCTTTGGCCTATCACTGGAGGAGCTCACTCGAATTCCTGAAGGAGGCATTAGGAGTTTAGACGTTGCCAGTCTCTCGCCCTATTTGTCCGGAAATAACCAGATCGATAACATCCGAACATCTGCTCCCCGCGAACTTTTCCGGTTGACTGAAGCAGTAGCCGAACTCACGGAACGTTCCATAGCAGAATGGGGTATGATTGGTAATGGTGATGATACAGAGAATAACGCACGTCCCTGGGGTTGTCAGCGGGCTGGTTGGCCGTTTGAACCCGAAACATGGTCACTGAGGAACAGCCGTGAGCGATACAAGCTTCTAGGCTTGATCCGCGAGGGACTAGATACTGGTGCCCCGTTTTTCGCTCAGTTCCCTGCTGAGGTTCCATCACGTTATCGAGCAGAGCTTCTTGCTGAAACCCTCCTTGCATTCTTACGGTCTCTATATGACGGGCTTATTACTCGGGCGCTATGGAGCGAGGTAGAAAGTCAAGTTTTTTCTTACGAAAAGTCGATGTCTGCTTCTTTATCACCGGAACAGTCCCAGTCCCAAGTCCTCGAAGCCCTCGCTTCATCACCGGCCCACAGCGTCTCTTTTACATTCCTTACGTTCATGCTTAACCGCATTTCCAGTGAAATTGCGCCATTAGTACCGCCTCCCATTTCAACACCCGTGTCACCAATTACTCCAACAACACCCTCTATATCTTCTCTCGACCGTCGTTCCACAGACCTCACAGAACCTTTGAGCCCCTCAATATCAATGGCTGCGCCCATTCTACCTCGTCCATCCATTACATTCTCATTCCCATTCAGATCGCGCAGCCGCACGCTGTCGAGTAGTGATGACAACAATGTCCCTGTCTCTCATTCAAGGCCTCCCACCAGTAGTGCGACGATTAACATAGCTACCTCTTCAATTGCGAGACGTCAAGCAGTGAATAAGGCATTTGTGGCAATATTCGCAGACGTCATATATTCGAAGGACATTCCAGTACCCGAGAAAGACAAAGAGAGGCGAGTGTTAGCAGAGAGAAAGAGATCTGTTATAGAGCCATTCTTGAGAAGCGAGGCGGACAGCTGATGGAACCAATCGCTTTTGCTTTTGGAACGATGGACGTGGACATCCTGAATATTAGTTGTTTGTTTTGAGTTTCGACTGGTAGCAACCATGATGTTGGCATTGCATATAACTTAAAGCCATAATGTTGTTGTTCCCGTATACACAGGGGACTTGTTGGCTATGTATATTTGCTTCTCACTGCTTGTAAAGCTATTGAATACATTAAGATTATCATCATTAGAATGAATTTCATGAATATACAAATGCTTTCAAAACCTAGAGGACTCCATATGCCAGCTTGAAATATGCATAGAACACATGATAAGGCAAAACCCGAGATCTTAGTTAGTTTCTTGGTGATTTGGGAGAACATTGGTCTCGTTCCGTATAGATTTTCATACTTGTCGTTACCAGAACTATATGTCAATTGTGTGAATATTATACCAATAATTCCTCGACTGTCGTCATAACTCAATGCCAATTTTGACGGCGGATCCGTTTCAGCCGAATAGAATCCTTCGCATTTGCGTTCTCTGGATATCCACCCCAGCCCAGGACTCTCGTCAGTATAGAAAACCACCATGCTGTAACCGAAATTGGAAGCATGACTACTCTCCTTAAGACATGCCATGGCAAAAGGAGGATTAGCTGAATGCACTTGGCCAATACCCGTATCCAGCGTAAGAGAAGGTTGCCTTGAGATTTAGGGCTAGGAGATTTTTTAAACATAATGTTGCGGATCTGGGACTCGATGTTGTCGAATCGCGTATCGGTATCCAATGCTGATGTCGTGAGTCGCTTCTCGTATTTGCGAACAGCACGATTCAAAGCAGCAATATCTACCTGCATAGCTTTCTGCACCTGGGCTTCGATCTCGCATAGTTTCTGTTCAAGTTCACTCGAGGACTCTTGTGCTGTCTGATCCTCACATTTGTGAGTCAACAGCTCTTCAACTTGTGCTTCCAATTCATCGAGACGCCTAGAAATGTCGGCGATTTTTGTAGCATCCATCATATCAGGGTTTGGAGACGTTGACTCTACTGCTCGCCGTAGGTGGAGAGTTCTGGCTTGCACTAGCTTTAGGAGGTGAGACAAAGGTCGGATTTCAGCAGCGAGCAAAAAGATTGTAAGATTGTAATTCGAAATAAGACCTTCAGACGGCCGTGACAGTTTCGATCTAATAGCATGAAGAAGCAAGGTTCCAAAGGCAGGGAAGATAAAACATGATGCAAGAGCAATCATTTCATGAATATGAAGCTCCCGGCTTGCTTTAGAGCCCATGCCAGCTCCGTGGGGTTGCTTCTGAGAATGGTCCGTCTGAGTGTCTTTCGCCAATGCGGTTTCTTGATCGCTTCGGCTAGCTTCGCCATTTGGCCTGTCTTCCGAATCAAAGACCTCGTTTGGTGGAGGTCTACGCGTAGATTCCTGCGCAGCATGATACCAATCCCTACGGCCAAGTTAGCTACTACGAGAGAATGAGATTGTCGGTCAGTTGGTTATTCTTACCATGGTAGACGCACAGACCAGTTGAGGAATACACCGGCAAGACATATCAGCGTTACGTCTGTAAGGACTGCACTCCCGTTCTGGAAGAAAATGCCGCCGATGGCAGGCACTAGGGCCAGCGCCAAGGGAGCGGACTGCCAATAGGATCCATCGGTTTCAACGGATGCCCGTGGTCTAATAAAGTCATCCGTCGATGATTTGATGGATTGACGGGCCTCGCAGAGTGTGTCAGAGAAGGATACGGCTCGCCGGGAACCGCGGAGTACCGGAGAGGTTCCACTTGACTTTAGCGGATCATGGTAATGACGATGACGAAGTTGGGTTAAAGGTGAGGAGCCCCGTCGACACTCCGCAGACGTCTGTCTCACAACGGGCACGGTGCTCGACCCTTCGGCCATCTCGCAACTCGGGGCAGTGAAGGATTGGAGGGTGGGATTCTCCAGGGAGAGCTGTTGCACGGAGGAAGCGAGCAGGGAAGCATTTCCCGCCGGGAAAGATGCTCTTCTCTCCTTCTTGGGTGGAGGAGAACGCGTTGCCCACCAAGTGAATTCATATACATACACGTTCTGGGCCTTGATGCCCTGCGCGGTGCTCAATGTCGCCTGGTGAGGGTGTGTATAGACTATGTAAAGGCGGGAGGGCGCGCGACCGATGACGCCCATTGGTCATGTGGTGCCAAGCCTTTCCATTTTTAGACCACGGCGCGACCCACTTCCGCGGCCAACCAAAACAAGCTTAAATTCAACCTCCATCGACCCCGGCCCTTGACGTGATGCGAACACCAGGACGAGGATGGCGAGGTAATTTTAAGCGCCCACGCCCGGACTGTCGGGTCCTGAATAGCTGCCGCTGTCCCTGCGCCTGACGACGACGGCAATTTATCGGATCTCAGGCCTTGATCAGGGCCCCGAACTGCTTCAACCTTTTTTTGGGGCCCTACTTGCACGGCCTATTTATCACAATGGAGAAAAGGGTTGAATATCAGCAGAAAGAACCGCTATTTGTAGCCGTTTAGGCCGACGAATGCGCTCCGTATGTCTACAAGCTGGTGATTGACCAGCTACACCTGTCAGACGCAAATGAATCCGACCTTCATAGAGTTCTCTATATGCTCTGTGTCTCTGATTTTCCTCTAGGCGAGAAAGCTTCTGTGCTTGCTGAATGAAGTGACTTGGCTTTCTTATTGCAATGCCTTTGTTTGCTTGGGCTTTTCTTTTTCTTGTGCGATGTATCGGATGGCCCTGAACTGCTTCAACCTTTTTGACTCCCCAAATCTCGTGGAAAATGCGTCCTACGTCTGGGTCTTTCACCCGTCTAGAATTTATTTTAACTAATGTGTCTTGTTGATTGCCAATAGCAAACAACTTACATGTCTTGGTGCAATCCCTAGGCAAGCCTTGGTGGGCGCCGTGGACATGCTGCATATCAAACAGCCAATTCTTGCCAGGCTCTCCTGACTTCGGGTGTCAGCGATGATGGCTGGTGCGTTTCTCAACATTATTAACCTTGTCCGTTTTGCTTCACAGAAGCCGAAAAAAGCATTGTATTCAAATTGTTTGCTGGGGGTGCGGGTTTTCCCCCAAGCGCCAGCCAGAGTGCACTGATCAGATAATGGCGAATGAGAATTCTATTCTGCAGCTCTGTTCACAGCATGAGCGTCCGGGTTTGCTTCCTTGCTGCTGATCTACGAGGCAAGATGTGAAGTTCGCTGACTGTCATTTGCTCCTTATTGATACCCAAATCGGGTTAGACTCCGCCCACCACCCGTAGTGGGCCTCCAACACCACTTGGCGTGTGCATCCCTCGCAGCGTCATTCTATTCATTTTGCTTGCTGGTTTATTTTTATTTCTGCATTCTCGTTATTGAGGCCCTGTATAGGAAGCTGCCGCCTCAATTCACCTATTGGAAACATGCCTGCCCCAACCGTGTTGCATATAGAGCTGATTGCTGCCCCGAGGCTTACCAGCATGGCCCATGCAGCCGTTCTCTCTTCTCTCTTCCTCTCTAGATTCAGGTTTTGGAGTAGATCTCCTGTCTTTCATTGTCACTGCGCCTGGGCGATTGACGCTTCTGCTTTTGTTGTCTCTGCACGTTGATGATCTTTGCTTAACAGGCACGCTGCCATCGATCTATAAGACTGCTGGCATCCCAGCTTGCAGAAATCATCTTTTTCCGCAGCCCCAAGTCAGTCGGATATCATTCTTCTGAACTCTAGAGGCCTACTTGTCATATGTCCCGGGCCTTCTCTTCGTTCATTGTCATTTATCCCCATCTCTCTTCGCCCACATAACGTCCTCGCACAATGTCGGAAATTCAGCTTTCCCTCGAGAGATCTCTGGAAGGGGTTGCCCTTTCAGTATTCGCATTCCTCTCTATCCTCGTTTGCTTTCCGCCTTTGCTCTGGCACTCGAGGAATAAGAACTTCCCCGCAGTATGTTTGACGGTCTGGCTTATCGTTCAAAATATCTTCAACTTTATTAATCCACTGGTCTGGCCTACCGATGATATACCTTCGTGGTGGGACGGCCGAGGATATTGCGATATCCAAGCCAAACTCATAACTGGAGCAGGCGTCGGAATTGCGGGCCCATTGGCATGTATATTTCGATCACTGGCAAAGGTCCTGGACACCGAGCATGCTACCATCATGCCAAGCAAAGGAGAGAAAAGACGAGCTCTTGCGTTCGATATTTCCTTCTGCGTGATAATTCCAGCATTCGTCATGGCGATTCACTATATCGTCCAAGAAAGGCGATATTTCATTTATGCTATTGTCGGCTGCATGCCTTCCTACATCAGCAGTTGGCCTAGTATTGTCGTCAATCACATGTGGGCGCCGCTTGTACTTACAGTTGCTGTGGTATATGCAGGTAAGCCAAGGAAGCCCTAGCACAGACGAGTGTAGCTAACCTTGCTCCCAGTGATTGTTGTATATCGCCTTATCAGGTACAAGCGTGAATTCAATTACATTATCTCAGTCAGCAGCTCCACAAATAAGTCAAGGTTCATGAGGCTCTTTATACTTTCTATGGTCCTGCTTCTCGGAAGTTATCCCGTCCAGATTTACGTTCTCTTCTTTAATATCACCGGATTCGGGCCTTTGCTGCCATTCTCATGGGCTGAAGTGCACGGGCCAGAATGGCAAGTTATAGAAAAGTATCCAATGGGGGGTAAAGTATTCTTCGATCGTTGGATTCATGTTACTGCTGGATTTTTGTTGTTCGCTTTCTTTGGCTTTGGAAAAGATGCCACTCTCATGTATCGATCGTTTCTCCTCAAACTTGGCCTTGGACGATTCTTTCTTGGTCTTCAACATCCTCATATTATGGGCTCTGGGCACGGCTCTTCTAGGAGCAAAGGCGGATCCTTTGGAAGCCGGACAAGAATGATTTTTAGAGGGAAGTCCGAAGACACCACGACTATGTCTACTGTTTCAAAGCCAGATGAATCGTTCGTATTATCCCTATGAGACCCCACCGTTAAGTATCTCGTCTCTGACAATTTCCCCCTGTTTAGGAGTTCTATGACTATCGGGCCATTTATATCTAGCGACTCTGGACGCCGAAGCCCATCGTTTTCACTGAACAAGCCTGCTTCATCACATCTTGCGCGAACGACCCCAAATGAAAACCACTCTACTGAACCTTATCTATCTGATATCGGAAACATCTTGCAAGTTTCACCTCCTAGGCCTAGCCCACAACCGGGAACTGTTGACGTACGAACATCCTTCCCCGTCTCACCTAGGAGAGGAGACGATATGGTGTGATCGAAGTGGAGCGCTTAATAACGGACGCTCATCGTTTACATCATCAAAACTTCTACAAGATGGTGCAGGCGCCGTTTGATAATACGAAGATTTCATCAAAGGAGGGGATGATTTCTCTAATTTATTCATGACGCCGGGAATGTTTCCACTTTCTTCCCCGGCTTACACCCATTTTCGCTACATACATTTGAGATGTACCAGTTTTCCACGTCCTGAACTTTCTCCTGATACCTCGACACCCCATTTTATAAGATAGCTGTTTCTGCTCCTGTTGTTGTCCAAATAAGGCATCGTGTCTATGGACTGTTGTCCGTCCTGGCTCGAAATGATATTTGAGCTGATGATAAATGTGGCTGATGCGATATGTACATACATAGTTCCCGGCTAAATACATAGTCCCAGGTATATGAATAAAGAAATAAATCTCAGAGTTGTCCATCTGGATATGTTTCCCCCTTCTACACTTTTCTTTGTTAACATGGAAACATACCTACCCATCAGTGAACATTGAACACATCAGATGCTCCCAACAGGACGATGGTTCTCTGGGAAAGTGGTGGACGATATATGAAAGATTGGGCTGCACCTTATCCAATTATCTGATGGGGTGTGAGGTGTACATTGTTTCTTGTCCGTATGCTCTGCACATACCTCCACTGCTGGATTAAAGATACCTAGCTAGGTTAAGCTGGGCCGGAGACGTGGCAGGTATTCATTTGCTAGATTGTTGCCTACACATAGCTCCCTCAAGAGCAAGTTGATTCTTCCACTCGGAGTGAAAGTTGATACCGGACCACTAGGGCCCTACGAGCTACTCCGTACCTCGCACGGAGTAAAGGAGGGGGGTCGATTACTGAGAGAAATAACTAAGCCAGCAGGAATGATTCAACTAGAATACACGATGGACTAATGAGCTCGAGAATATAAATAGATGTTGTAACCGACCATCATCCACGAAGAAAGCCGATAACTCCCAAGGACAATATACCCGCGATTCCCAAAGAGAAAAAAGCCTAGCGTCTGAAAATACATGCGAAGAAAGGAACTCGACCTGGGCTGGTGAGGATGGGTGGGTGCTTTCAAACATTCCTCCGAAAACAATACATTAGAAGCAGTACTCTGCAACAGCCTGCTCAGAGGAATATCCAATACATATGAGATAAGGCTCCAAATGGCATATTGCGATTCAGTATTCTCGATCTAATGAGCCTCTTGTTTCGGGGATTGGTCATGTTCGGTGGGCTGCTCTGCGGATTGGCCCTGTTCAGTGGACTGATCTTGTTCGGCATCTTTGAACTGTCGCTGTCTGGGACGGCTAAGGACCGTATGTCTCCCTGCAAAAATCGAAAAAAAATATGTTAGACATAGAGCAATGGTAAAAATATTAGGTCAAGACCGGACGTACGCTGCACAACGTTAAAGTTGTACTTCTTCTGGCCCTCGGGGGTCTCAAGGCTGGTAATGCTCGGTTCTCCCTCAACATGCATTATAGTCCTAAAGTTCCCTATTAGCCTCATAACAACGCTCTGGCCTCGTGCATCACAGGAACGCCATTCGCAGTGACGGTTTGTGTTCAAAACTCACCCCTTCTCCAGCCCGAGCAAATAGTTCTGGCTCTTTTCAGCCTCCGTAAAGCTTAGAACCCGGAACCATGTCATTTCTTGGGTCATTGAGTTCTTGGAACCAACGATATATCTTATGTATTGGCGTCCATTCTGGGAAGTTTTGAGCTCCGGAGCCGCGCCGAGAGGTCCGGCAATAGTTATGGTCGCATGGCTTCGGGAAGTAGAGGCGCTGAAAGCGCGGCGCAGGGACGCGGTGCGGAGGGTAGGAGCGAAGCGGCTAAGACCGAACATTATTCCGTTCAAGAAATGTATAGACGGGGAAACAATTGAGTATTGAATAAACTAAACAAAGCGCAGAGGGTTCAAATCAGGTGTTATTGCGTGTGGAGGAACGTTGTACAGTTCCCGCGTCGAGGGAGAAAAAACACCGCGACATTAGCTCCAGCTCTGTGTTGATCACGTGATCAAATTGCTGTTCCAATTGGGACGCCCAGCCTTGGCTTCGTCTGCGAACTTCGTGCACGCGTCATACGAGCTTAGTCGTACCTTGCAAGGTCAACGGCGTTGTCGCGGGCTTGTCTTTACCGGCACACGCAGAACCGAGAGATCGTCTCTTCAATTCTCTCTCTTTCTCTCTCTTTCTCTCTCTTTCTCTCTCTTTCTCTCTCTTTCTCTCTCTTTTTCAGTTGATTCGATCGTTGCCTGTTGCTGTTAATGTTTGGAGGCTACTTTCACGGACCGCTGTGCTCTGTACATCGCCGGTAAACCGGGGGTCGAGCCTGGCTTCACTTGCTAACAGCTGCTGAGGACTAGGCTCATGGTGGGCAGGAGGCTGGCGGCGTCGTCGCCTGCTGTATGGCCCGCGTGCTTATCTCAGTTCTGGCAATCGGACCTGGGAATCCTTCTCAATAGGAAACACTGCACTCATCACGCTGACCGGTGCCCTCCGATCTAAAGAAAGGGATAAGCTGTGGCTACCTGATCAGGGCTGTGGAGTAGCCCAACTACGCCCAGGCATTGAAAAACGTCCTTGGCCGCGAGACGATTGGAATAGCCAAGTCCTTGCTTTATTTCATTCCGGGTTAGGATAGGGGAGTAGGTTCAACCGAAGAGTGGCCCTCTTCTATGAACTCTTCCTTGATGTTTAGCACCGTTCCCTTGCACCTAATTTCCCACATATATATAAGTGACCTTTTACTCCGTAGAGACTTTCAACTTTTTAGAGATCCATGTTTGAGAATGGCTTGTGCTGGGTGGACAAAATTGATATGATGGTGACACTTCAGATAAGTCATGCATCTCAGATGATGTTAACGGGTGGTGTTCTCACAAATAGTCAATGATGTCGCAAGGCTGACATCTAGCACTTTCAACACCGCATGACTGACGATCTGACTACAGTGTTAGCATCAATGCAGAGCAACCTGCAGTTGGAAGCTGGGCAGGGGAGGCTGGTCAAGGAAACAGAATCATATTCAAAGTGTATGAGTGCAGAAAATTGGTGATTTTTTCTATTGAACTCTATTGAACTCCAACCCCTATACTCCATACCTTGTGCGGCATTCAAGAACCAATCATCCCCCTTCTGCACTTGAGAATCTTGAAGAGGTATCCTATGGTGCCTTCAGGGATGTGACATGTGAAGAGAGATTTTGTTCTTTAAAACTTTTGGCATCTAGCTATTTGGCCAACACATGTCCCTGCATCCTGTAATGCCATTCAACCTCTGCCTCAGATAAGTGTATCAGGACAGCAGGGCCGTGCATGGCATATTGAGTACTGAAACAGATGTGCACGGCTCGGCCAATAGAAAGCCAGTTCAGCTCGCGGAGGAGATGCCTTCGACTAACAATAGGTAGGACCTTGATACCACGTATACTTCGTCGTAGTTATCAAGCATGCACAAAGATGCTGTACATATGCATTTAGAGACAGAAGTGCCAGAAAGAAAGCTCTGCTGGGTTGACTTTCCTAGGGCTCCTGGCAGTGTTATGTGTTGGGTTGTGGCGCAGATCTTGGATTCTGTTATTCCTCCAAATCCTGCTTTCGTTCCTCATGTTGATGCTGAAACATGGGGAGCCCCTGCTAGCGCATCACAAGCCTGGTGCTGTTCCTGCATTCAGCACCAGCTGGCCCGTCGCGAAGCGTCGATGAATTGCCCATCAGATCGGAATTAAGCTGATCGCCGAGGTCAGGTATCCACTTCCGGCCGCCTCGCGTATTCAATTTTCAGCGAGCCTATCCACACAGCAAGGTGCGGCAACGCGGCGAGTCGTCCGCTTTCGCGCAGGCGAAATCAACGAAGGTATATGAGTACGGGGGATGTCCTCCGTATGTATGTACGCGTTCTCAGCCGCGAGGCGTGAAATCTAACGGCCGCTTAAATCTGACGGATCCAAGACCGTTTGGATGGCGCCCACGACTACTGCCTTGTTGGCACGAGCCGGGCAGTTTCGGACGCTGGTACTGGAGCTGAAGACGGCCGGACACTAAGACAAATAGTGCCACGCCAACGAGCTCCAGAACCAGCGAGCCGGGATGACGGAACGTGCCTTGGGCTCCGCGGTTCCAGTAGCCATTGGTGTTTGGCCGTCCGGTGTGGACTGGGGCGATCGTGGCCAAGCGTGGAGGAGCTTTTCCCAAAACGGTTTTTTTGCCCTGGCCGTTCGAGACGGGATTGAATTTGACGTCGCAAGAAAAAAGGTTTTCCCTCGCCCTGGGGCGAAGTAATCCTAGAAGACGTTTGAGCTGGCCTGACCATCCCAGGACAAGGCTATGAGATCCTGTCACATCAGCGTGCAACCGAGCACACACCCTTTTGCCAGAACAAGGGAAGCCGAGTAATAATACGCAAGAAAAGAGATTATTGCCCTGAACATCCAGGTTACTTTAGCAGGAAATTTTATTTTGCTCGACCCCGGATGTGGGCTCTTTCAGTAGTATATTTAGGGCTGGACCTGGCCTCGTAGGCTTCGAACGGAGTATTTAAATCGCACCCAGTGATTCCTTTCGTCACATCCCATATGGAGTAAAACTTCCCGATGGATCTTCTCGTCTCCGTGACAGCCGGATAAAGAGAGACTGCCTGCCGTTGCCCTACACCCAGCGGAAATACCTGCCAATTCCCTGTCATACATGGCTCGCCACAGCGTTCGTCGCACAACCTACCTGCTTCAATGTCCTGCCACTCAGTGAAATCAGATCAATATGATGAGCTAATTCGCGGGCAATTGGGTATGCAGTGTGTGAGAATTCCCGACACAAATCTCTGACTCCAGATTCGCCCGTTTTGCAGTCCCCCAATTCCACTTTTGCTACTTTCGTTACAAAGCCTTCCCTTCCTCTACTTCTCTCAACCCTTCTCTCCCTTACTCTCTCTCCTTCCCCCGCTGCCTTTTTTTCTTTTTTTCCTTTTTTTTTTTTTTTTTTTCCTTTTCTTCCTTTTTTTTATTTTTTTTTTTTTTCTAAAAACATCCTTCAGCCTTTTTTTAACCCTTTCGTTGGCATTGCAATTGCCGCACAGAAGCCCAGTGCTTGTTGTGGCCGGGCATGGTTGCGCCTGGTGATATTGACCGTGCCGTTAGCTGTCGACGCCGTGTGCCAATCACGGTTTCCAGGCTCACCAAGAACTCTACCACAAAATCAACAATCCCTAATCCACAACCATTACGGCGTCTTCGAGCCCTCATTGTCCACAACCCTTATCACCGCGGGCGGCCGAAGAAGGACCGTACGAAGACATCCCTCTTGTCCCAATAATATCCGCAAATCCGCCCATCTCTTCCCCGATTCCTGCTCCCGAACTTTCATATCAATCTCCTCTTCAGCTTCGTGGCTCCCGGCCACCACGTTCACGATCGCGAAATCGCGGTCCTCTGCTATCGATACGAACGAATATTCGCCAGCCGGCTGTTTCGTCCCTTTGGAATCCCATTAACCACGTTCCGCGCACCAACCCCGTCCCATCTGCCCGATTCACTCCCATCACCTTCGCCGAATCCTCGCGGGACGCTCATCCGTTGTTAACGGTTCCAGAACGACGCCAGAGTCGCCAACAGAATAGCCCAACGAGCTTATTTGTTGAACGCAGCGCTGGCGAGACTGATAGCGGCCGTACTAGTGTAGCCATTCCTCGCCAACACCGATCGAGCGGCACTTGGGAGAGCCTAGATATGGGAGAACATAGAGAGAGCGCTGGAGGCAATCAATTTGACACTTTAGGTCCTGGTCGGAGATATCTCTCGGATACATACCGTGAGACACCTCGTCATGTAAATTCTCGGCAGTCCACCCGATCACAGACTTTCGCTTCATTCCCTTCGGTAAACGGCAATACGTCGGCTCACGGCGAAACGGGCGACGATGGTGATGGCGAGGCCGCTGAAGACTTACCTTGGGGCCCTGCGCATCCTTGTTTCCCTCATATGAACCCTCATGTGCCACTCCATTCTTCGGAATATCAGCATACGCGTGTGATTCGCATACGGCGTGACTGGATGATCAAGGGCGACATGGCACCGACATTCTCGAATCTGTACCCGGAGGTTCTCGATCCTCTTCTACCCGAGCCAGAGTTTCGAAAAATAATAGCAAAGATAAACGGGGAACTGACCGCTGTGTATAATCCCTACAGCCTTCAGAACTGGGTTGATGCCACAATAGGTTTTTTAACTGGGTGGATATGGGACGACATTGGAGCCAGCCGTATCAAATCACGGCTGAGAACCATTGAAACATGGATAGACCACTGGAACAGGGACGTGGGTGCTGCAGAAGGCGTGAAAATCTGGCCTCTTCGATCAACTGGGTACATGTCCCTTGATATACAAATCCCCGACCCTAAGGTTGGCATTGTTGAAAGCGAAGCCGCATCCATACGCAACCCAGTGCCGAATATACATGGTGCGAGGATAGAAGAACCGGGAATGGTAGAAACTACTGGACCGGAAGGCTGAAATCGGTTGTACTATGCATGTCCACTCGCTTTTATTCTCTTCATATGTTTACGTCTCTCTGCGTCGAATGATATCCCAACCGCTTACTTTTAGACACGACTTTGCACAGCATCATATTCCCTTCCCTTTTCCTCTCTTTTTTTTTTTTTTTTTTTTTTTTTTCCTGCTCTTGTTGTGCATTGCTATGGTGGCCCTTTCTGGTGCCCGCCAGCGAATACTGATCAGTGCTCTTTTTACAGAGTATCTAATTTTATGTACATGTGCCTGCTCCGACACGGGATGCAATGTATGTACGACCATTTTTGGACTGGATTGGTGGGCGGTGGAAGGATAGCTGATTCTTTGTACTATCTGATGCCTGTTTGCGGCAGCATACATAGGGATCAGTAACGCTCTTTGTCGATAAATACAAGAATCGACGAAAATAATAGAAAATTACTCCGTACCTTGTGAATCATCCCAAATCCTCTTACTTCTTCATTAGGAGGATCCGTTGTCGCAGCGCTCTGATCGATCACCTCACGATGCCCTTTTTTCTCGGCGCTGGCTGGGCGCAGGCGTGGCGGACCCGACTCAGGGGTAAACCTCCAGATTAGGAATAGCGTGGTGCGTGTCGATAACTAGTGTCGGGATGTCAATAACTAATTATCCGGCACCAATACGACTCGTTACCGTTTCTCCCTTGGACGGTACGATGACGGCAAGCTAAGGTTGAGGTAGTGCTGGAACTCCATCCGTCGCGGTAAACCAGATGATGCTTGCTTCCTAACACTCGACCCATTGGTCTATTGTCCGGCATGCTCTCCGGGATCCTTATATTCAACCAAAAGGGTGAGAACCTCATCTTTCGCGCCTTTCGCAATGACTGCCGTCCGCGTCTCGCCGACATATTCCGCATCCAGGTGATATCGAATGCACAGGTTCGCTCGCCCATCCTGACGCTGGGATCGACGACGTTCAGCCATGTCAAGCATGAGAATATATATTTGGTGGCCGTGACGAAAAGCAATGCGAATGCTGCCCTGGTATTCGAGTTCTTGTACCGACTGGTGCTGCTGGGGAAGGGATATTTTGGCAAGTTTGACGAGGAAGCCGTGAAGAATAATTTTGTCTTAATATATGAGCTGTTGGACGGTCAGTCGGGTTTCCATCCTTGCCTGCCGTGAAGTGCATTCGAATCCTGGAAAACGCGTTAGCTAACTATGTGCCTCTCCTAGAAATCCTTGATTTTGGCTATCCCCAGAACACCGAAACTGATACCCTGAAAATGTATATCACCACCGAAGGCGTTAAGTCCTCACTCACAAAATCCCCTACCGACTCCTCCCGCATTACCATGCAAGCCACCGGAGCACTTTCCTGGCGTCGCTCGGACATCAAGTACCGCAAGAATGAAGCCTTCGTCGATGTTATCGAGGACGTTAACCTGCTAATGTCTGCAACGGGTACCGTGCTCCGCGCAGACGTTAATGGCCAGATTATTATGCGGGCATATCTATCTGGTACACCAGAATGTAAATTCGGGCTCAACGATCGGTTATTACTCGACGGGGATGAGGCCAGCGGCCGGGCAAGAGCTACGCGCGCAGCTGCGGGAAGCGTAACGCTCGAAGATTGTCAATTTCATCAATGTGTGAGGCTAGGACGATTCGACGCTGATCGGATAATATCCTTCGTCCCTCCAGATGGAGAATTTGAATTGATGCGTTATCGCGCAACGGAAAACGTTAACTTGCCGTTCAAGGTCCATCCTATCGTTAGGGAAATTGGTACTACGAAGGTTGAGTATAGCATTGCTATAAAAGCGAACTACGGGAACAAATTATTTGCTACAAACGTCGTTATCCGGATTCCCACGCCGCTCAACGCGGCAAAAGTCAGTGAACGGACGACCCAAGGCCGCGCAAAATACGAACCGGAGCATAATAATATTGTTTGGAAAATTGCGCGATTTTCCGGACAGAGTGAATATGTGCTTACCGCCGAAGCAACGCTGACGAGCACGACGTCACAGAAAGCGTGGAGTCGGCCTCCCCTAAGTCTAAGCTTTAATTTGCTTATGTTTACAAGTAGTGGTTTGCTTGTTAGATATTTGAAGGTATTTGAGAAGAACAATTATAGCAGTGTGAAATGGGTGCGATATATGACGAGGGCAGGCAGTTACGAAATAAGGTATGCATTAAATCGATATCTCCAATTGATTCCGCTGTTTCTCGGGACTAACTCCGTTTTCTATTCTAGATTTTAACACGGCTTTTTCTTTTCCCTTGTACCGCAGCATACCTTGCCACATTATGTGCGTTTATTTGGTAGCATTTGCCCTTGGACATATTGCAATAGCCGGCATAATGAGCACAAATATCCAGATTGTTCGCTGATACCTGTTCACTTCCTCCGTTAGGATTCTTGATCGATATCCGCTCTTCGGGAGTCTGCTTGATGTAAATACCTTTCCTACTATTTTATCCCTTATTGAGAAATTAAGACGAGGATCTCAAATATCGGGTCCCACGATATCCTTCCACCCCATGCTTGTTCGAGGGGCGTTCGGTAAATCTACACGCTTTATTGAAGAAATTGTTGGATTTCGTCCAATGATGTTTGATGGCCACGAGATCCACTGCTGACAGGGTACGGGGTACTATCCTGGCACATTCTAGGCATGATCACATTACCCTAAAAATAGGCGAATAGAAGAACCAGTCGCGCTGCTGACGAGGCTGGGGTGGAAGCCGAACGTTCGGCTACACATCTTGGAAATGATATCGTTATAACATGGCCTTGTTATTAACGATGAGGATTAGAGCGGACCAAGCCTCTATCACACTCTCACACTATCACATGCTCGTCGGTGCATTCGGAGTCACACCGGAAAGTGACCAGGGATCAGAAGTACGTATTTAGCAACAATTCAGGATGAGTTGGGGTTGTCCACCGACAAACCGCAGTTGACACCACAATTCGGTATCCGTGCACCAAAACCAACCAGTTAATCTCTTGGTCACCGGTGGCTTGCCAATTCCAAAGGCCAAATGTTGTTTTGTGGATAGCATCTTCCCGCTTCGCAAGCGTTTCGCGTGCAGGTTGGGCTTCAAAGATATTGCCCTGCCTTACCGGAATTATTTGAAATCATGCTCTTTACGAAGGAGACGAAAAGTGAATATGGATTTTAACCTACTACCGATTATCTAGAGGTACATACCCGTCATGGTGCTCCGTGATGAGCGCCTTTATCACATGATCTCGGGAAATGTGTATGATTGCCTATTTCGGCTGGATAGCTTAATTTGACCTCACCCAAAGAGCCACAGCGCTCCAACAGTTGTTCACCTCGAGATTTTGATACCCTGTACAGATGAATGTTGGTCTGGGTTCAAATTGGGCCCCGGGAGATTAAATTCCCTTTAGGCCACGGGCTTTGAGCTTATGTTTCAATAGTCTAGATAATAGCCCCTCTCTCAATGACTTCATTTGTTGGAGACATCTGCTCTTCCGTTGCTCAAAGGGAAAAGCATGTCGGCACAGTCTATGAATGGAGCGAGAAAGAAAAAATCGCGAGGGGTGAGTGAGCTGGCCGCAGGTTAATGGCCGAATTCCTCCCACTGATTATTTCTCGCTGCATCGCCAAATAGCAATTGACATACTCGCGGGAAACCCATTGCTTATTGGTCGTAGTCCCAAGTTATGGTGAGCCTGTGGAAACCTAGGTTCTGGTTCAATATACATATATACTTACCGCATATAGCCAGGTTGTGGTCAATGATCCACGGGTATCAAAGAAGCATCTTCGTATCTACGCTATCGTATTTGATCAGGACAACCCTGATCATATTGCACCGCTAGTCTACGCACAAGATATTTCATTGAATGGAACACTCTGGAATGGTCGCCGGATTAGTAGGAGAACTGGTAGCGTGCTGCTAAGGGACGGTGATACCTTTGAGCTGTGCGAACACGTAATTTTTACCTTTACAGCAACTAAGCAGGGGCAGGATGTATTATCAACAGCACAATTAAAGGAAGCAAAGGTGAGGTATTCGATGTGTCAACTGATTGATGTTTATGCTGATATGTCAAAGGAGTTTCGGCATGAGTATTCGATCACAGACCGCATGCTTGGCTCCGGAGCGTATGGACAAGTCTGCATGGCGATCAACCAACGGGATGGAACGCAATTAGCTTGTAAGGTTGTTGACCTGAGCGCTATTAAGGCTCAGCTTCGGGCGCCGGGGAATGCAAGAGCCGGCAACTCTCCCCTCCCAGCCGCAAATATTGATCCATATCAGCAAATTCTTGAGGTGAAGAAATGTGTAGCGCGACAGCAACTGACAAGAAAAATAGAGTCAAGGCTCAAAGTCTATGACAGGGAGGTAGAAATTTTGCAGAAACTTCGACATGTGCGGACTTCCACCTTTTCTATGGAGTAGTAATCTAACTAACCACGATCTTATAGCCCAACATTATTGGCATTGAGCGAGTCTTCAAGACTGAAAATACACTGTATACCTCACTCCCATTATTTGGAGAAATAGATCTGACAATATACGCAGATATATATTCCAAGACCTAATTCCCGCTGGGGACCTATTTTCGTTTCTTGAGTTTAAAGGATGGAGGATCCATGACACTGAAGCAGCAGTGATAGTGCGACAAATTGTGATCGCACTTGACTACCTGCACAACAATAACATTGTGCACCGGGACTTGAAACCTGACAATATTCTCATGACATCACTGAGAAGTGATTGTCGTGTAGTGCTCACGGATTTCGGTTGCGCTCGGTACATTCCTCGAGAAGCCAGTCGGATGGTCTCAATAATGGGGACGTTTGAATACACAGCTCCGTAAGTCCCGAGTCTCGTGAACAAAAAGATCAAATGCTGACCAATAGTAGCGAAATCGACCGGTCAAAGCCATGTGCAACAAAGGGCTATACAAAGTCTGTTGACCTGTGGTCCCTTGGATGCGTTACAGTTGTACTACTTACCGGAGGATCGCCATTCCAGCATCCCGATACCCAGCTGTACTCACGAAAATTGGCCCAAGAATGTAATCTTGATAGCCTAGAGAGAATTGAAGAATGGTCTCACGTCGGACGACGAGCAAAGAATTTTGTAAAGCGACTTCTTATCCTTGACGAAAACATGAGGATGACGACTAAGGATGCACTAACACATGAATGGTTCACAAATCCGTCGCACAAGCAAGCTTTCGAGGAAATTTATAAGAAAGCTGTTTCTGATTGGAAGCCACGGCCAAATGGCGAGTACCCACTTCATGATTTCCATCATGTTGATGGCCAGTCCCAAACGGAACGGGGCCCAGATAAACGACTTAGCCCACGCAATACTCTTAACCCTGAGATACACCTGTCATTAGGACGAACGGGCTATGCCCACCCCAGGGCCGATGAATCCGAATCCCAGAAAGCCTCCAAAAGCCTCCGCGGACGGTGTATTTCTATCACACTTTCTGACCCCGGGTACAAGAGCATACATTCACTTCAGCACCTCGGGTCCGCATCCGACGATGAAGGTCCGGGTGATGGAGAGGAACCAAAGCATCATATAGTGCGGCAGGGCAGGAAAGCAAGTTCCGATCAAAAGTTCAATAGCGATATCCATCTCTCCAAGGATGCTGTTGATATATCTCCAGCCCCGCGTCACGATGACACAGCGACGTACACTCCAAAGCAGTCTGTTTCTTTCGTACGACTTCCTTTCAGTCCAGCGGCGTGGAGCAAAGCCGCTGATAGCTCCGATTTAACTCAGCTGCGACAAACAATGGCGCTGACAAACAAGATCCGCGCTGTCAAGTTCGGCGACACCTGTAGCGCGCCCCGGCGATCGATATTGAAGCCGGTTCCCCCAATCAAGGGGCTTCTGAGAGGAAGCGTGGGCCAGCCAAGCCTAAGAAGTTCAACCGGTAAAAAGAAACGCCACGCCCACATTTTTGATTTGGAAGACGATGAAGACATTAACCATCCACCCTCCAAAAAGGCGAGGTGAGGGCGACATAGCAATTCTTACTCCTCATAGGCACCTAGGAAAAAAAAAAAAAAAAGGGGGTTCCTAGACTCCACATAGCAGGTGCAATGGCATTGCGCAATATGAAATAACAAGATTGTTTCAGAGTTCACAAAGAAATCTGGGGGGATCTAGACCCTGGGCAACTGAGTCACTCCACCAACTTTGTTAAAATTGTATCACAAGAAGCAACAAGGCGCGTTTTCTTATGTGGTGATGTCCTCTCCATGTACTCTGCACTGTGTAGTTATTCATCTGGGATCATTCTCTATGGATGTAGTTTGAGAGCAAGCCACACTCGGAACAAAAAAAAGAGAAAAGAAAAGAAAAAAGGGAAAAAAGAAAAAAGAAACAAGGTGCAGATGACTACATATATACGGAGTACTCCGTAGTCTGAACACCAAACAGAGTCCGAGGGAAGCTTGCCACAAAAAGCCTCTTCATTGCCTAGCTTACTTGCTTTTTTTCATTAGCTGCACTACTCCGGAGTTAAAGCAGTCAAAATCGAAATCATTCACGGAAAAGCGAAAAAAAGAAAAGAAAAGAAAAAAAAAAAAAGGAGAAAAAAAAGTAAATGTGCGATGGGGCATCATCCAGGCATGCGGATTTGGGCTAACATAGCTCCCCCCAGAGTTTCGGGGGGAATGGGGGACCCACAGACGCGGTCGGCGGCTGGGAAACGCGAAAAGGGAACGCTGCGGCGCGTCGCCGAGACGCGTGGAGGCGCCTTGGGTTTAATGAGTTTTGGTGGGCCCCCATCGTGCCAGACACCAGAATCTCGAGGAAAAAAAAAATGAAAAAAGGGAATGAAGGACTTCCTTGCCACGGAGATATCGAGAGAGGCAAAATTGGTTACCTATGTGTCTCCTTTAATCATACTCTGTGGCTTTGGAAAGATAGTGCTGGGATGGGTGGGAATGTGTTGGTTTTCGGGCTCAGAGGGGTGTTGAGGAACTTCGTCGCGAATTCTGCTCAGTCTTGGGTCAGCTGATGGGCGGTCTGATATTGTATGTAGCTCAATTTTTATTTTGGAATGGAAAGTGACAGTTCTGCAAGCGTGCCCACCCTTGGAGTAGGCTTACATTGACGCTCGTATGCATCGACCTATTTTTTTACCTCCGTGGGCAATTTTCTGCATTAAGTACGGAGTATGTCCTATCCGAATTTCGGGGTGCGATGTCCATGTCGATTGGAGCTAATTATGCCGCAAAGAGAAAGGCGCTCGAACCTCTCCGGCGGGTTCAAAGAAAACAAAAGAAATGTGAAGATTTTCATCGCAGGGGAAGCTGTAACCTGGTAACCGTTGTATGATGATCTGCGACTTAACGTCACAAACACGCAGGGGCATTCGAGACAGAAGAGTTGAAAAACAAAAAAATTTCAAAAGAATTCATTTTCGATTGGATGAGTTGCTGCAATTACATGGAAAAGATCTGTCTCTCTTCCGGCGCAAGTCCTGTGTGGCTGGACGGTGCTTGTTCGAGCAGCGAGTGCTCCATGGCTGGCGAGAAGATACAGGCTTCGTGAGGGCCACGGCGTCCGGGTAGCGGGCAATTCAAGTCTAAAATGTCTCTGGTCTTAGCATTCTTTGCACCCCAAGTACGCGCATTTCGGATTGCTACACAGAACCTCCAGGGCTCTCCCATCGGCTAGCTACCTACCATGTATGCTTGACCGTCGCCGATTGGCCTGATGTATGTACGGCAGATCAAGGCTCTAGGGGCGCTAGAAATCGGTACCGGCACATCTCAGATTATGGATAGCGCGACTAAGAAAGGCCGAGACAATTCATAGCTTTGCAGGAAAGGATATGGGCCCGTGAATGTCAAGCAATCAAGTTGATTGGCACGTACGGGGTCTTCAGGACCTCCCGCTGCTCTTTGCGCTCAGTTCCAAGCAAACCGCCTCTTCAGCCACAGAGAGAAAAAGCGCGAGCACATTGGCTGAGTATGCTGCAAGGCGGACTCTCGAGGCTTTTTCCCTTGAAGCAATTGGGTTCGGTGTGCTCCACTGGTTCAGATTACGCGGCGCGTTCCCTCAAGGTTACGCTCTGTTTTGGAGTGCTGGCCATGCGCCGACGACGGAGGGAGGATGCAATAACTAACTACTCCGTAATTAATCCAGAGACACACACGTTTTAAGAATAACCGGACGCTTGTCTCGGGAGTGTGTGACGGGAGAGGGCCGATGGGAAGCCGAAGCTGGCTGAAGAATCTCTTGCAGCAGGCGGGGCCCCTGCAGATTCCCCGGCAGTGGTTTCATGGTTGCTTCCTTCCTGCGGCCCCGTCCATTTGTTTGGTTGTTTTGGCTTGTTGCTGGGGGGAAGGCGCAGAGGAAAAAAAAAGAAAAAGGGGGGGAAGAGGGGGGAAATGGGAAGGAGCCGGGCACAAGCAAAAGAAGGTTGCCAAGCCCACTTTGACACTAACGCGGATCCACCCTAGCAGTCCACTAACCTTTTTCTGGGCCATCTGCGCGTGGTGATTGGCTGCAGCGCCCACTTCGCCGCCCACGCTAGAGTCACCTCTGCACGGACAGGGATTCGCCCGGTTCCCTTTTTTTTGCCCTTTTGTCTTTTTTCCCCCCCGTTCCTTCCCTTTCCCTGACTCCCGTCCCTCCTTTCTTTTCCTTCCCCCCCCCCCCCCCCCCCCCATCTCTTCTTTTTCCCTCCCAACCTCCTTCCCTCATCCCAACGTCGCTGCCCCAGAACGGTCTCTTCGCCTTTTTTTTCCACAACACACAACTGTCGCAACACCAGTCGCAGCTGCTCAATCGGAGCGCAACTTCCTGCTCTACACGCCCCTGCGGTTTTATTTTTGTTTTTCCGTCGTTAGTCATCGGAAATCGCATCCGGCGCATTCTGGCCTTCCCGCTCGCCGGCCGTCGCAAACCCACAACACGCGCGCCTCCTCCCCGTGTCACACCCTCGCCGGACGCCCGCCCACCGCGCGCATCGTCCTCTGGCGTGCCGGACATGCTCCTCCCGTCTGCATTGTCGTGTGAGTCACGGCAGCCGCCTGCGCGCTCCAGATTCCCCTCAACCCGCCTGTTCCCCGCAACTCCTCCCCCTTGCGATGACGGATTCATCGCCGGCAACGGCCTTCTGGGGACGTGTCGCTCCCTACAGTCCCTCCTCAATGTCTCACCCGCTTCATCTCCTCGTCGATCCAAACCAGACCGGCTCCAGAGCCCGCTGCAGATCCGCGCAAACACCATGACCCGCGTCGCAAAGCCCATCGCCAAACCACCGCGTGGAGTAAATAAAAGAAGAAGAGATGTATATGAGGATGACAGCGATGATGATGATGGTGATGACGATGATCAAGTGAGCGGCGGAAGAATAACATCTGGTGACCGATTCTCAACGCCAAAGAGACGGCGTCGCGCACCTCCAGAGATACCCCTGGGCTTGGACTCGTCGGATTTCAAGGCACTGGACTCGCTGAGTGATTCCAGTGCCACGCTAAGCTTATCGCCTCGGCAGCTGAAAGATCGCCTTGGGGGTGAATCGCGACACTTCGACTCCGATTCAGCGACGCCCAGTTCGAGAGAGGATGCCAGCAAACTCTCCGTCGACTCGAGTTCAGATTGGACAAGTGAAGATGATGGTCGCCTGGTGGAGCTGGTGCTCGAGAAGTTAAAGCTTTCGAAACGGGACTGGACCGATTGCGCGCGAAGAATGGGCAAGGATAACGATAGTGTTGGCAGACGCTGGAAAGCGCTCATTGGCGAAGGCAACGTTGGTTTACGTCGCGGCAAGCGCATGGTCAGAGCCCGAATACACGAGAGCTGGAGATGACTCTGCGCTCACTACTAATTTCCTTTTCACTCATCTAATTGGGAGTCGTCTCTTTGGGTTTGTGTCCGCTGAAATTTAGCGTTTGGGTGGCCCGGACTGGGATTTTGCACTGGGTGGCTGGCGTGTCTATGGGCTGTTCATCTATCCGGATCTTGTGGCTTTCTTTCTTTCTTTCCTCTTCTTTTTCTTTTTCTTTTCTTTTCTTTTCTTTTCTTTTTTTTTTTTTTTCCCTCGGTATTTATATCATTTCCTATCATTTCCTTTTTTTTTTTTTTTAATCTTCTAATATCTTGATGCCTTAATGTCTCGCAGTGGCTGACTTCGCTCGTTTCACGTTCTCCCCTGTGCAGTGTCAATTTGGTTGACAATTGGGCTTTTCTCCTCCGTCTTCCCCTCGAACAAAGGGATAGTTCTTTGTCTTGTAAATTAGGTCCTTTACTGACTTCGATAGAGTCATTGTCCATGAGCACATTGTATTATTACACTGATTCTATTATCTCAACGCGCGAGCACGCTTCCCCAACATTAGACAGGCTCCAGCAATATATTATCTTCATGCCACATTTTCACCTTCACTTGCTATGACCAAGTCTGTTGCGCCAAAGCCGATATTTCGTCACCTCTGCTACACCATAACCTCACGGACCGCGGTGGAAGCACTAGCCTCTCTTTACTAATCCGAGCAGGCTGTCCCCTATAAAATGTTTTTTTTCTGCTCCTCTCTTCTTTCTCTTCCTTTCTCTCTACTTTGCTGTCCCTACAAGCGGTTTGTTAGTGAGCCCTTCTTGCCCTACCTACCTTTCAGGGTGAAATGCATGCTCAGATCTTCCCCCCAGCCTGGGTCTTCTTGGCCTCACTTCTTCTTTACTTTCTTATCGCCGGGCAATTTAATACGGCTCAGACCGGTCATATACAGTTTTACTAGGCACCACTTTCATCATACATGCATACAAACACTTCGAAGCAATGGTACCCAACTTGTGAATCTGATATGCGCTGTGCCGCACCAGCCCAGGTTGATAATACCAAAATAATGTCGATCAATTTTGGTTATTGAGCATCGAAGCTATTTGTTCTGCCTGCAAAAAGTGCAAGCCAGAGGCTGAGAGCTTCATATTTCTCAAAGACACCATAGAAGCTTTACCCTTTCATTGTTTTTCTTCCATTGCATCATCACTGCAGGATGCAGAATATGAAAGCTCTGTTTACTGGATTCGAAACTCTTGCGACCAGCAAGGCCGAGCTATGAGTGTGGAAAACAAATTCTTTGTGACCCAAGATCACTTCGCTAGCACCTTTCTGGCTTTTTTTCAGCAATGCATGGATTAGCGACGACTTGAAACCCATTGTCATAGTTGATTTCTGACACATCTATAACTGATCCTAAACACCTTCAGTTATAACTCTCCTGATTATTCTTAGATTGATCTTCCAACAAAAGATATCCAATAAACAGCTTACCTTTGTGAGTTATACGAAATACATCGTCAGGAAGAGAAATAAATCAATCTACCGAGGCAATCGAGTAGAAGTTGCTCCCGCCAGGTTCTTCAGTCATCTGCCACTGCCTGAATAGGCTGACATTTGTGAAGACATACAGTGAATCTTGATGGACATACCCATATCATATCGCTTTTTGCCAGGTTAAATCTTCGGCATATCTGCAGAAGCAGTCACTTTATCACTACAGTACTACCAGTAGTAATACTAACCCAATCACTCCAAGAAAGGTTTAAACTACATATCGCCAAAATGCAAATGATACATTTTATTAATCATAACACATGCCTGCTCCTCGGCAGAGCGCATCTCCCAAAAACCTGCTGGTTACCATATAAATTCATTCTCAATCACTTATATATAGCACTAATAAGTTGCTTCATATCTGGGAATGCTCCAAGTGGACAGAGACTCCTGGACATCACCGGCCGATAATCCACAAGTGATTTATGAATGGAGCACTTTCATTTATGAATGATAATATCAACAAGGGCAACCATGATCACAGCATAAATACATTGGTCGAAGCTTTTGGGCGTCATTGGAGATTTTTATCGGAATGTAACGACTAAAATAGAGCTTTGAATAGCTAGAAATCCTGCTTGAGAGCACATAAAATTATGCTCTGCAGGGCGAATCATACCTGGGGCATTCAGTACCCTCTGCACCTGGGAATTTGCGCGGCCGCTGAAGGCGTTCGGAAGATCTCAACCAATTGGCTGACCTTGAAAGAAATGCAATCCGTATGGAAGGGCTTTGCGAGTTCTTTCAAACGACATGGTGGCACCTAGTAGACTTGTCCCGTTCGCTGAACTGGCCTCTAGGTCCATGAAAAGCAGATCTTACGGTGAGATTTCTACAACAAAACAGCAGGTTCCAGCGTTCCCATTTTAGGAGCCTGTCAGCATAATTTAGTATCATTCACGGTCGCTGCAGTGAAGCGCTTCAACGGCAACAGCTGGGATATGCAGCCACATAAATATCCATGGGCTGGGGTCTTGCCCTATTTTATGGCATGGCCTATTAACCTCCCAGCATCTATAGAATGATAAATTTTGTCAAATCAACCAAATATCTTTTCTGAGAAGCTGAGCCCGACTCAGCTTGTGATGCTCGTCGTAAGGCTCACGATCTTTAGCATCTGGTGCCTTGTGTTTTCGACCGCGTCTAGTCCTGAAAAACTGGATGGCGTACGGGCACATGAGCAAATGGTGATCAAGTTAGGTTAACTAACACCATAAAAGCTTCATTGAGCTAAAGCAACGGATTTGAGCTGAAACAGAGAACAATAACAGGCCAGCAAGAAACACGTTGCAGGAATAGAAAAAAATATTGTTCCATTCAGCTAGCAGTCCGATTCGGGGGTTAGCGAACACGATTTCGAGACAGGCTCCCTTCCCCAGCTTGCTGACTCCGTGCAGGTACATATGTGAGTCTCCTGTGCAATGGCTTGACTGGAGGTAGCATGGGGATGTTGATCAATATGACGACGGGGTAGATTGCCGTGAAGACGATCCACCTTGTGTATTCGGAAGAGAGCTGTAGAATTTTGAACCAATTTTTGGAGAACCTTGATATGAATCAACAAGCAGGAAAAAGAGGCCCTCACTCCTGTACTGTCAAGCCGTACTAGGCACTTGGTGGTGGTCCGCGTGGAAATCGTTTGTGGGACAGAGAGTGCCCGTTTTGTTCTCTCCATAATTTGGTGCTTATTTTCTCAGAAGACAGCTTGGGATATAATTTTGCATGTCTACTGTGGACAATGCCGTTCCTCGAATTTTTGCCCCATTGACCTTGGCCGGTTCAACCCCTTTTTTGGGGACATTATCTCTGAGACAGAAAAGAGAAAGGATACCAAACAAATGTTTCCGTGTACGATTAACTACGATTGCATTTGAATTTTTGTGGGGCCCCCATTTGCTTCCAGCCCGTCAACTACCGGAAGCCAGGAGAAGTTCATGCAGGAGAATGGGTGAAGCCAACCGACATAGCCATTGGCTTTTATACGTAGGTAGATTCTTAATGGATGCTGTAGCTTTGATGGAGTTGAGATACTGTGGTTAGAACGTATGGAGGTAATTTTTGTGTTTTAGAAATTAGAATGAGAACTAACCCACCATAAGAACTCTTGCTTTGAATTCAGCATTATATTCCCACCAGGTCGTCCCGGGATTTCCATGAATCAATGTCCAAGGTGGAAATCCCTCAAGGTACGGAGTGTAGGCTGGTTCGTTATCTGAGGCACGCGCGACGGTCGTGACTAGCGCGAGGCCTTTTTTGACTCCAAAAATAGCGGAGCCGACCTCACTCAGGAGATACGAAATGAAGCCCGCGACCGAGTGGTAAGCCTCCTATCATGGAGGTATGAAGCAATTACTTCCTATTGCTACGGCAGAGAATGAACGTCGATAAGACGCATCGCAATTGATCACCTCGCGCTCTAAAAGATCCCTAGATTTGGTTGGTTTGGTCAAGAGCCCTGCTAAAAACGAATAACTACGAAGTACGGAGTACGGAATACCTATTTAATAACTGTCGCAAAGCACCAAAAATAGGAATTCCTGAATCGCGCACACCTCACCGCGATGTCTGCGAGCGCGTCCGACATCATCACCTACATCGGTGTACCCCTCGCCGTACTCGGCGTCATGCCGATCATATACACCTGCATCCGCGCACTTCTCGTTCTGCGATCCATCCGTCTCGCCCTGGCGCGAAACGGTCACTCTGACTCTGCCGTCACCAGAGGCAGCATGATGTCCGGCGTCGTCGAGGTAGAGCTACCCCGATGCACAATAACTCCTCTGGACCGCGACCTTGATCCCGAGTACTGGCAGCTCAACCCAGCCCGATCGTCCCTCAAGGGCGGCACCTGGTCGTTTTTCCACTGGAATCGCCTGGTCACGGGTAAAAGGTTGTATCGGATTCAATACAAGGATGAGCTGCGCGTTCCCCAGGCGGAGATTGAGTTTCATGAATTGGTTTCGTTCTTGTTGGATCGCGGGGCGGTACCGGATGAGAATGGTTGGAGTATGCTAAGGACGAGTGGGCTGTGGACGCCGACAGGGACGGTTTTGATGCGCCCGCCGCAGGGTAAATTCGGGGGTGTGCTACGCGTTGGGGTGCCGGACGATTCCGACGGGGTGTTGAGTTTGAAAGTGCATTGGAGCAGTGACTGGGATACGCGAAGTAAAGAATGTTTGCCGCCCTTCTGGATGAGGATTCATCAGCCGGGTTTGGCCTCTACTACATGTGCGAATCTGGATAAGGAGAGTTACAAATCTAGTGACTGCATTATCAAGATAGACGAAGAATCCTCGAGTGAACCCGATGATAGCAAACGAAAAGCTACGGACGAAAAGCCCGCCTCAACGGGGGAGAAAGGGCAAATTGAAAGCACAGAGCCAACAGAAGGTGAAGGCAAGGATACAGATGCTGTCTCAACAACGCCATCCCTTCTCGTTCTGATTGAAGAAAAGCGGGTTGCGCTGCATGGTGAAGCAAACCGCAGCGATAGCATCAGATTCTGTCTAGAAGGGGACACAATTGACCGTGTTTTCTTTGAGCACTCCAACATCCATACCGGTAGGGTTCGAGAGATCAGTAATTTGGGCGAAATGGTCGTACAGTGGTTCGTCTACATCGCCTCGTCCTTAGCACATGTCGAGAAAACCGGCGCGTGGAACTTCGCCTTGCCCTCTGACGTTCTTCAGTCCACGCAACGAGACGCTGTGCCATGTGGTGTCATGGAGATACTGGGAATCATGCAGGAACACGAGGTCCCTCATTGGCCGAGGCCAAAGCCAAACTTTAACGATCCGTGGAAGACGCACCGACGATTCATGGAGAACCATCATCAAATGCAACTTGAGAGATCAATGCCACCGGCGCAAGCCGAAGCGTCGCGGAGGGCGAGAGAGCAGGCTACAATGTGGAATATGCAGGATGATTATCGAGAGAGTCAAAGGCTAAAACGAGAGTATGAGGAGAAGCGCGTGACGGAGGTTGTGAATTCACCTAGGCTCAGCAATAAAATTGTTGCAAAGGCCTGTGTATCATGGCTGATCGCTCAGAAGGATATTCCGAACAGTTACAAAATAACGGACGTAGTCCGCGCTGCTTTGTATCTTATGGCCTTGGATGTGACCCGAGCGAGATTAATCGCGAATATCTGTGATCGGTGGATAACATGGGGTAGAAGCGGTCTGAATACCTCGGATATCACAGAGCTGCAGCAGAATAAGATATGCTTCTGCTACGCAGCCACAATGGTGTACACTATGCAAGTTGCTGCACAGTCGGATGGCAAGGTCTCCACACACATGCAAGAATGCTTGGGACTATGGAAAAAAGTTCGGCTAGGTTGAAATCCCTATAATAAGCGCCAAACATCGTCCGGGCTCACGGTCCCTGACCAGCTTGCATTCTTCGCATACGATCCTCTGCAGCTCTCGCTCGACGCTCCCTCTCCAGTCTCATCCTCATTTCTGGGGTCATTCCTCGCATCTCTTCTTCTCTCTTTTCGGACGCAGTTTTTTCGCGAGGCGCAAGCGTTCTCGCCGCCCTTTTTCGTTGCGTTGTGCCTTTCGCATCCTCCTGTTTTATGCGCTCCAATGCTTCCTCCCTCCTCTGCGCTTCAGCTTTCTCAGCGGCCCTCCTGTCACGATCTGCTTGGCAATCTACCTCCTCCTTCGAGATTGGGGGCGGCACATGAGCAGCTTCCCAGTCCCAGGATGCTTCACCAATTTCATGTCGGGCGATGCGGAAGGCATCACGTGTTGGTCTATCGCCCGCAAGGTCAAACGCAGGGCGTTCTTCTCCGTTGAGTATGGTGGGATCAGCCCCTGCTTTGGTGAGCAGCGCTATCACAATCGCCGGTGCACTAGAACTTGCAGCAAGGTGCAATGGAGTAGGACAGCGGTGGATTGGTTGAGAGGCCGAAGAATGGAATTTGAACGATGCAGGAATAGTATTATTCGCAAGGTATGACAATAACGCGGGAACTTTTGACCGCCGAATAAGCACTTGTATCTGTGACGTATGAAGAATAGCTGCTTCTTCCTCTTTTGAGATCTTTGGTTTTTGCTTTTGGGCAGCTGGTTTCGGTGATACCACCTCTCGATGCTTTTCTTGCTCCTTCGCTAGGGTAGCCTCATCAAGATGGCTGATTTTTACCCGCGTCAGCTCAGTGTAAGCCCTCAAGAGCTCCGCTTGCGTGGCCCGACGAGTGCTAAATGGAAATCCACGCAATCTCGGGTCTGATGGTTTCAATACCTGCCCGTCATAAGGGCCAAACAATACCCTTCGATTGGTGGGTCCCGCCGCACGCACGAATAGAAGCTCCGACTTATCGATCATATGTTTCCAGTCTTTTAGCAGATCCCTAATCTCCTTCTCCAACGCAGCTTCATTGTACCGTCTCAATGTAGAGCCGGCAGAATGTGCAGCGCCTTTTGCAGCATCACTGGCAGATTGTGAACCTCCTTGTTTCCTTCTTGTAGTGTAGCGGTGGAATGATTTATGGGCTATGATGACTGGCTTTCGATTCTCGATACCGCCGGCCCCCTTATTAATTTCAGAGGCAGCTGATGCGATCATTGCAGCGAAATGACCTCCTCCCATCATACATAGAAAATAATGCCGGGTAGATTTGCTTTGAGCCTGATCTGGGGCAGCTTTCTGGGAATCTTGGTTCGAATTTCGTATTATGGAATTGGTTTGTTTCTTTTGCAGTGACGAAACCAACTGATCTTGCGAGTCTTGTTCCAAATCTGTGAATAGCGCTCGATAAACTCCCAAAAATACTGTTGGAGGAAGAAGGGGACTTTTGAACCATAGTAATGGCTGTTTTCCAGTACGCTTATTCTGAGAAGTTTCGGTAGGATCAGTCTCAGGTGATGCCAGTTTAGCTTGTCTCTTCAGGAGTGCGACAAGGTTGTTATCCGGGGTTCTGTGGCAATCTTCCTCTTCATCGGTTGGCTCCGATTCTGAACCGGATATTGATTCATCGAGCTCTCCAATGGCTTGATTGAAATCCAATTCGTTCAGTGCTTTATTGCCCCGCAGTCTAGCTTTTAGGTTGTATCTATGGTGGTCTGATCGTACATGCACTCGTTGCTCATTGACACTATTAAAGGATACCTGGCACAAAGAGCAGGTAGTAGAAGTTGCAATTCCGATTTCTCCATGTTCGTCGGTGGTTTGAGGACTGTCTTGGTCTGGCTGGATGGCGGGGTGGCTGCTGGTCTTTTTGGTTGCTAGGGTTGCCAAGAGCTCTCTGGGAAGATCAAAGACTGAAAAGCCGCTGGTGAGCTCATGGTCCACAGAGAGTAACTAATTAAATACACTTACCATAGAGAGGCTGCTTTAGAAGCTCTTCAGGGTTCTGTCTGTGTGTCGACATGGTGTAGCGGCAGCCCTCCACCGTCGCTGCTTCGTATTGTGCAACTGCCATAGCCAAGCGATGACGATGGAATAACCTTCAATTATATAAGTCAAAATAGAGTTAGCCAAGAGCGGCTCAAGGAGAGCCCGCGCTATTCCGTAATAAGAACCCGCCCGAAAAACTGTACCGAGCTTTGGAGGCGCTAAAAGTGATGGTATCGTTTGATACTGCACTGCAGCTGGTTCGCAGCAGCTATTCCGGAGTCAACGGGAAGCCGTCTTCGTATTGGGCCGTATTCCGCGGAGTAACGCTCTGGAGCTCCGAGTGTTTCGTCCGACAACTCCGCTTGAATTAGTCATCCATGTGGCTCCACTCGCTTGGCGCACGTTCTAGCGGCTGTCTTGGCCGTCCACCCAGCTAACTGCAACGAGCCGACCGACAGCTTTGTAAGCTCGGCTGCTCGTCTGGCTCGCTTCATAAGGATGTGAAAATGACCTCAGCTCTTCACCGTTTCTGCGACTAGACATCATCAACCGATTGTCCATTCCGGCTAACGGCTCTTGCTGCAAAGCACTCATCTTCTGGTCGTCAATTCCATGATCAGAACATGGCCGATAATGCCTACTCCCAGGTGATCCTGGGGGACTTCTCCGCCGATAGTGAACCGTTCTCCAACCGCCACCAGCCCCTTTGCCGTGATCCTGAAGGATGGGGCCCGATCAGTTCTGGTAGATATGACTTCACACCGTGCTTTATGGACACTTGGATTCTCTTCGTCTCGGTATGGGGTCTTCTAATGGGTGCGGGGGCTTTATGGCTCCTCTTGCGACGGCGCACCGCCCAGCCTGTCCAGAAGAATTGGCATTTCTATGCGAAACTGGTACGTATATGGTTCTTCAATGGCGATACGCGGCAGACAGGCTAATCGAGGGACAGTCTCTTATCTGGGTCATCTTCTTCCTCGTCGCTCTTCAAGCTTCTCTTCAAGTTGAGTCGTTCCCCGGAGTTTGGTTCCAAGATTTCAGATTCTGGTCCACGATCCTCCTGCTCGCTTCTTTGGTGGTGATATACATGGCTCAGTATTATGAACACTGGCGAAGTCGACAGCCGAATGGAGTCGTCCTCTTCTACTGGGTTTTCTACATCATTGCTCACGCCGTGAAGCTTCGGTCGCTCATTTCACGGAAAGCCTACCAAGATCGCCTGCCTTATTTTGTTATTTTTAACGTGAACCTCGGCGTTGCAATTCTGGAGTTTGTCTTGGAATATATGGTTCCCAAGAAACAAAGCGCTTACGATGCATTAGGGGATGAAGACGAGTGTCCCTATGAGTATGCCGACATTTTCTCGGTACTGACATTCTCATGGATGACTCCCTTGATGAAATATGGCTATAAAAACTTTCTTACGCAAGATGACCTGTGGAATCTGCGTAAAAGAGATACCACTCGTGTAACCGGCGATCAGCTTGAAAAGGTTTGGGACGCGGAGTTAAAAAAGAAGGGACCATCACTCTGGCGTGCTCTATTCAAGGCGTTCGGCGGACCCTACTTCCGAGGGGCTCTAGTCAAGACTTGGAGCGATATCTTTGCATTTGCCCAGCCCCAATTGCTTCGCTTTCTGATATTATTCATAGATTCATATCGTGGTGAAAATCCTCAGCCTGTTGTAAGGGGTCTCGCCATTGCCCTTGGCATGTTCGGCGTATCAGTGGTCCAGACCATTTGCCTTCATCAATATTTCCAACGAGCTTTTGAGACTGGAATGCGAGTGAAATCCTCTCTAACGGCAATGATTTACACCAAATCTTTGAAGCTGTCAAACGAAGGTCGTGCTTCCAAATCTACCGGTGATATCGTGAATTATATGGCAGTTGATCAACAGCGCCTTTCTGACTTGGCACAGTTTGGCATGCAATTATGGTCTGCACCATTCCAGATTGTGCTTTGCATGGTGTCTCTTTACCAGCTTGTTGGCCTGAGTATGCTTGCTGGTATTGGAGCAATGATCTTAATGATTCCTCTTAATGGATTAATTGCGAAGGTGATGAAAAATCTCCAGATCAAGCAAATGAGAAACAAGGATCGAAGGACGCGATTGATGACAGAAATTTTAAATAATATGAAGAGCATCAAGCTCTATGCATGGAATGCGGCCTTTATGAACATGCTCAATCACGTTCGCAATGACCTTGAATTGAACACCCTGCGGAAAATCGGGGCAACACAATCCGTTGCCAACTTTACGTGGTCGTCGACTCCGTTCTTGGTGTCTTGTTCGACTTTCGCCGTTTTCGTTTTGACGAATGATAAACCGCTAACAACGGAGATCGTCTTTCCAGCCCTAACCCTTTTCAACCTCCTAACGTTCCCGTTATCCATTCTTCCCATGGTCATCACATCGATAATAGAAGCGTCCGTTGCTGTGAATCGATTGAAGACATTTTTTACTGCCGATGAGCTTCAGACTGACGCTGTGTTGCGCCAAGATCCCGTTTCACATGGTGGTGATGAATCTGTACGCATTAGAGATGCAACCTTTACGTGGGATAGGCATGAAGGCCGACGTGTTCTCGAGAACATCGATTTCAGCGCTAGAAAAGGGGAGTTAAGCTGCATTGTCGGCCGCGTTGGTGCAGGAAAATCGTCATTACTTCAGGCGTTACTGGGTGACCTCTGGAAAATTAATGGCGAAGTCATTATGCGGGGGCGTGTTGCCTACGTTGCGCAACAGGCATGGGTTATGAATGCAAGCGTCAGAGAGAACATTGTTTTCGGTCATCGTTGGGATCCTCACTTTTACAACTTGACAGTTGAAGCATGTGCGCTCTTGGACGATTTCCAAATTCTTCCAGATGGGGACCAAACTGAAGTTGGAGAGCGAGGAATTTCACTTTCTGGTGGTCAAAAGGCTCGCTTGACTTTAGCTCGTGCGGTGTATGCTCGTGCTGATATCTATCTACTTGATGATGTTCTGTCTGCGGTTGACCAGCATGTGGGAAGGCATATTATCAACCGAGTCTTAGGCCGAACTGGAATTCTGTGCGGTAAAACAAGAATCCTTGCGACAAATTCAATCCCGGTTCTCAAAGAAGCTGATTTTATCGGACTCCTGAGGAGTGGCACCATTATTGAAAAAGGGACCTACGAGCAGCTACTCGCTATGAAAGGGGAGGTAGCAGGTTTAGTTCGCTCTGCGGTTAGTGAGGATGGTTCAGCATCAAGTGAGAGCACTCGAGAAGACGATAGCCCTCGAACCTCGGAGGCCCTCACCGCTATCGAGACAAGCGACGACGAAAATCTGTCTGAAGTTGAAGAAGCTCAGGAACGCTTAGCTCCACTCGCTCCAATGAGAAGCGGTGGCGGCACTATCCGACGAGGAAGCATGGCAACTCTCAGGCGAGCTAGCACAGCAAGTCCCGAGAATCCTCGGACGAAGTTTATCGACGAGGAGACTGGCATCAAAACGAAGCAAACCAAGGAGGTTGCAGAGCAGGGCAAGGTAAAATGGAGCGTATATGGCGAATACGCCAAAACCAGTAATCTATACGCTGTTGCTCTCTACCTTGTCGCCTTGCTCGCAGCCCATTCAATGCAAGTCGCCGGTAGCTTTTGGTTGAAGAAATGGTCTGAAATCAACGAGATCGAAGGGCGAAACCCGAGCATTGGAAAATATATTGGTATTTACTTTGCATTTGGTATTGGTTCTTCGGCTTTAGTTATTCTGCAGACGTTGATTCTTTGGATATTCTGCTCTATTGAGGTATGGTTCCTGTTACCCAAGTCTCCTTTTTATATGTGTACTAACAAAATGATGGGCAGGCGTCTCGAAAACTCCATGAAAGGATGGCTTTTGCGATATTCAGATCTCCAATGAGTTTCTTCGAGACGACCCCAGCTGGTCGAATCCTTAACCGCTTTTCAAGGTATGTCGATCCATTTTCCTAGTCATTGAGTTTCAAGTTATGCTAGCATTTCGAGGCCAACTGGTTGCTAATATTATGTACGTAGTGATATATATCGTGTCGACGAGATTCTCGCTCGCACGTTTAACATGGTAAGTTTACGAGCAAACATACGCGGATTTTGAGCTAACGAATTGATTGTAGCTTTTCACGAACAGTGCTCGTGCTATGTTTACCATGATCGTCATCGCAATATCCACACCTCTGTTCCTCGTCCTCATCGTCCCCCTTGGTTTCGTATATTTCAGCTATCAAAGTTACTATCTACGGACCTCTCGAGAACTCAAACGCCTCGACAGCATCACCAAGAGTCCTATTTTTGCTCATTTTCAAGAGACCCTCGGTGGCATTTCAACGATCCGGGCGTTTAGGCAGCAAAAGCGATTCGCATTGGAAAACGAATGGCGAACGGATGCAAACCTCCGTGCATATTTCCCTTCGATAAACGCAAACAGGTGGCTGGCAGTTCGTCTAGAGTTCATTGGTTCTGTGGTCATCCTTGGGGCCGCGTCGCTGTCCATTATCTCTGTGGCAACTGGTAGCAAGCTTACGGCTGGTATGGTTGGTCTTGCAATGTCCTACGCACTTAACATCACGCAATCATTGAACTGGATCGTCCGTCAAACGGTGGAGGTCGAGACAAACATCGTTTCTGTGGAAAGAGTGCTCGAGTATGCAAATTTGCCGAGTGAAGCACCTGACGTGATCTTCAAACATCGCCCGGCGCTCAGCTGGCCTTCTCAAGGAGGTGTAACGTTTGACCACTATAGCACTCGATACCGAGAGGGCTTGGATCTCGTCCTCAAGGATGTTTGCTTGGAAATTAAGCCTCACGAAAAAATAGGAGTTGTAGGGCGAACAGGAGCTGGAAAGAGTTCATTGACGCTCGCACTATTCCGAATCATTGAGGCAGCCGAAGGGCGAATATGGTAAGGATTTAACCCGTATCTCTCTTTATGCGCAGCCCCGAACGAGTTACTAATGCGACATCGTATCCAATAGTATCGATGGTCTCAATATTAGTTCGATCGGGTTGTTTGACCTTCGTGGCCGTCTAGCAATCATTCCTCAGGACGCGGCTCTGTTTGAAGGCACTGTTCGAGACAACCTTGACCCCCGACACGTTCATGATGATACCGAACTATGGAGTGTTTTGGGTGAGTCAAACATGGATTTAAGAGTCCCGGCTTATAGCCTTTCAACGGATCCTGGCTGACCAAATCAAGAACATGCACGATTAAGAGATCATGTTGCGGGTATGCCTGGTCAATTGGACGCTCAAGTCCACGAAGGAGGTTAGTATCCATTTGTCTTTGACGCCTTTTCATTGATCTGAAGCTGAAACTGTGGCGTCTTAGGGTCAAACCTTAGTCAAGGACAAAGACAACTTGTTTCTCTCGCCAGAGCTCTCCTCACACCAAGCAATATCCTTGTTTTGGATGAAGCTACTGTAAGCATCGTCTGTTCCTGAACGACGTCTGATCACGCATTCTAACCCAACATCTCGCCGCAGGCCGCTGTTGATGTGGAAACCGATGCCCTCCTTCAACAAATGTTACGAAGCAGCATCTTCCAAAACCGGACAATAATCACCATCGCCCACCGCATCAATACTATCCTCGACAGCGATCGAATCGTTGTTCTAGACCGTGGTAGGGTGGTGGAATTCGATTCACCAGCGGAGCTTATCAAACGCGGCGGACAGTTTTACACACTAGTCAAAGAGGCAGGCCTGTTGGACGGTGGCGAATCTGCCACTCTATCATCAACCTCGTAACGGAGGAGGCCGTTCTTTGAAGGGAAAATCCATTCTGAAAGGGATTAACGGATTATTTGTGAGAGGTCAGTTGAGTGTATACGGAAGACGGATACGGGAGAGTGGTTGGGACCCGCTATTGGGGAATCTCGACTAGCGCGGCACCTTGTCGTTTTTCTTTTTTTTTTCTTTTTTAAAATTGGTGCATTCGGGGCATTTGACCTGTACCACAGTGTGGGATCCGTCCCAAATGATGAGGAATACAACCCGGCCATGGCGGGAAGTGTCAGCAAGTGGATGTGATACAGGAGATGATTCACGATGTCGGGTAGTGAGTGGGGAAGGTCCATGTATGCTGTATATATCCAACTTGCAATCTGATAAAACAAAAAAAAGTACCAATCATAGAGCTCTGATTTTATTTTCACATGCTTCTAATCCCGAAAAGGAGCTTCTTCAGCCTTGTCAGGGGCTTGTTTAAAGCCAACGGCATTCCGTTATTAGCACGGACGGGTGCACAAAGCAGGTCATGGAAGCATACGTAAAATGCCTCATTGTGCGTCAAATTCACCCCTTTTCCCAAAGAATAGAGACGAACCACGCTCGCGATAGCATAACGGTCCAACCACGGGAATATGGGGCTCCAGCAGCTTGGCTGTCACATTGTCCATATCACCCATACCGCCGGTAAGGCATAGTTTTGGTTTGACAGCACTAACATGCAAGCGATTTCGTTGGCCGAGTCGTTTTGCTTCAGCTGATGTTTCTAATTAACACTTCAAAGGTCAATAGTTATCCATATCTTATTGGCGTAGCGATTCGTAAGGATAAGGGGCAAATTTAGGGTGTACTTCATACAAAGCGAGAGACTTTTGCCTAAAAGCCAGACACCCATCAGCTGTGTCCCCTAGATGATGGGGGGGAGTCCCAGTGTTTCCTAAAAATGAACAGCTTAGCATTCCGTACAGGAGGCAGTAAGCCTAGGTCCACAATTGTGCTACTAGAAAACGCCATGAACCACAGCGGCTTATGAGCCATCTGTGTCGCCCGGAGAATGATAGAAAAGCTTCATTTTGCAATTAAAAAAAAGCATGTAGGGGGTAAGGAGGAAAGGGGAAATCTGTTTCCCAGGACTTCATTACTCACAGGGTGGATGGCTGCATAGGATTCTGGGGTCCGCGCTGCTCGATATGGAGTATCCTTCAGAATTGAAGTGCTATATCTATCACGTATGAAAATTCATAGTTGTTTTGAATGAAGCAGGATTTTCCCAATACAGCAGTGAGAACATGACATAATTCAAAGAGGATCGCTCCAGTCAATGATAGCTGCATTGGAACGGCAAAGCATAGAATATAAGAGACTACACTGCCATCGTGCCTTTTGGTGGCACTGATAGTAACAGGGGTGAGCTCTGTTACTCAAAAATCAGATAGCCCTGCAAGAATTTTTGTTCGAACATGATATAGCTCCCAATATGAAAATTCGAGCAAGACGAATGATTGATTGACAGATTGATATTCTTGCAGTATGGAAAGTGTGGATTTGAGAATCGAGGCCTCCAATTCATGGCTGCTTCATGGAATTGATTGCTCTGCTTCACATCGCGGCCGAAGAAGGCATCGGCTGCAGCAATGACGTCGCAGTTAGGGCATTAACACCCCGGATGGCATTCCTATAAATCTAAACAAGTGTGCAACAAACGGCTTGATGCATCATCTGGGTCTGACTACCCGCGGGTTTCTGCAGACCAAAATCAAATGAAAGGTGCCAGCTGGCACGGGTTCCAAACCAACCAGAGAAATTCAAAAAGAAACAATTGCAGTTGCCAAGTCACTCAAAATTCTGGGAAATCGGGGCCTAGGGTCTACCCTCAGTGTTCGATGCAGAGCAAGCGAACGATTGCAATCTGTATTCCCCCGTTTGAGAAGTGAGTGCTTGATTGACTTTTGAGAGTTACTTCCGGGACCCTTGAGCCGGTCGACAGGAAGTGTTTCAATAATTTCTCCACGATTGAGCTGAGGTTTCGGTCCCGGTTTTTGAAAGTCGAGACCGGCGAGATAGTTTGTCGTGGTGAGCAAATAACCAATTAACACCACGACAAAGACTGCAAAGGTGACTCCCCTCTAACTCACGGAGCCACTCGTGACCGGAGAAAGGAGATGGATGGTTGCTTTGACTACGAGAAGACTCCCACGGCTGCTCCCCAGGCGTTCCCGCCTTCTCATCTGCCTGTAGTTCGCGCGCAGAAGACGGGACAGTGATCAGCTCGCTAGGAGGGCCTGTGCTCGACGGGTCTGTGCGGTGAATCGATGATACGGCCCTGGGTGTTGGGGATAATTGAACTCACTCCCCAGGCGATTGGCCCTTTTGCCTAGGTGCCCGTCGATTACTGGGCTTCCTGAGACCTGGTGCAAGTTTCTGGGATCGGGGCTTTTCTCGTGGCCTTTGACGCCGCTGCCTGCGTGATTGTGCGTCTGTGGCCCTTTAAAGCCCACATGCCCCAACCTTTTCCACCGCATCGCCGAATCTTCATGATTGATGCACGGCTTGCTTCTTCCCGTCGACGCCAGGCTACCCCACATGCCCCTGGTACTTCCAATTGGTGGCAAGCAGCCCGGCTGAAAAGGCCTCGACGAGTGATCGCCACCAGAGTTTGCCATGTCGCGATAGAGTAGTGGGGGGTTGATAGGACAATGAAGCTGGTGAGCTCCTGTTGCAGCTTTGAACAACCCTGGGAGGAAGCACGTACGCATGGAGATCGAACGTGGGAGTTTGGAGATACATTCATCCGATTGTATTTCCATCGAGATGCAGTCCAGCAAGTGTTCTATTTACGGTATCTCGTACTTATACTCTGGGAATGCGCACATAGATGATGGACATTCTGCGGAACTCCGCCTCGACCCTGCGGATGATTCTGGCCGGAGTCTTTTCTGCGCGCGCTCCTACCGTTACTCTTTTGGAGTGGAGAATATTGAACAAGCTGATCGGGCCCAGACCCAATTATTCTAGAGGCAAGGATCTGCTGAATTCCCACCGATCCGGTGCACTCGGATCACTATCCAGAATCGGGGAACAAGGACATAGTCCCCGATCCTAAACACTGTGCCGCCTGTCATTGCTTGGCACGGTGGAAAGAGCCTCGTGGAGGATGAATGTTTGTCTTGTACGTGGCTCCTGCGCACAGGGGCGATGCGATCGAGGAAACTCATCTGTGGTGGCGAGCAATGGGTGTTAACCGCAGAGGCAGCTCTTGAGTTTTGTCCGTTTCCTTACCAAAGAAACCCCCACGCTTGAAGCCTATCGAGCCCAGACACAGTATGTATGAACATACATACTCCATACTTACATACGGAGGGTAGAGGTATGTTCCTGTCCATGCAATGTCTTGCATCATATACTCGAGACCCAAGTTCATCGAAATAAACTTTCAGATTTGGTCGTGGAGACCAATTCACGAGTGACTTCAGATCCTGTACTTCGAGCGCAAGTCACCGATGGATTGGTGTTTTTACAAGAGCAACATTGAGCCCTCCCACCTTCACATTAAAAAGGTCTTTGCAGAGAAAACATTACTATTTGTGACCAAGGGCGAATTATCATCCCCCGTACGTTTGATTCCCGACAGCATCATCATTACTTGACGAATTTTCTCCAACAAGAGTATATTTTTTATCAATGCAATGCAGATAGTTAGAGACAAATTAAGCTTATTCAGACTGATAACCGTATTTCAACCGCAGTCCCATCTCTCTTTCTTTTTCGCAGAAACAACAGAAAACTCGGAGATTTACGGAATACGTGCATTGACTCAATCATGATCGTCTCAACCCCGTGGGTCGAATAGAACATCCGTATTATCAATTCAAGGTTTTGGGGAGAAGAGAGAAAAATCGAACTGAAGACACCTAATACCGGCCCAAACCCCTCAACAACCTTGGACACGTCCCGTGGAACATTCAAGGATTGCTCATTGGTTGGATAGTCCTAGCTTTTGGTTTCCTCAAGCATTGCTCTGCAGGAGCGCACTTGACTTCTGCAGTCGACTATGAAATGTAGCAAAACGGATAGCTGAAGGTTGCGAATGCTGAGTCTCAACGACGGTTGTGACTGCTTTAGTCGTGCATCTCGGCCAGGCTAGCACTACATGTAGAGGTACGGTACAAATTTCCGCAGGTCTCGACAACCCCCAGCTTCATGTTCTGCTGGCCGGAGTAATACATATTATGTCCATCCAATGCCTGGGGAACTGCTGGAACCCGTGGTATTCATCGGCCCAAACTGAGCCACAAAAAGCTTAGCTGGAGATCCCGTTCCAATAAGAAAATCTCGGGAGATTGGCATTTGAGTACAACATGGGTTGGGAAGAAAAAGGCAAGATCCATCGATAAAAGGAGCTCTAGCGGCGTGGTGAGCGTTCCCACCGCAACCCTTTGCCACAAGTAGGGACCAGGCTTGCGAGGTCAATTGGGTGGACGCAACTGGGGCAATTTAACGTCGCATTTTCGAATCGGCGTCGAGTCCCCATAAATAATAGTATTCCATTACGACGACACCTCAGGCCAGTAGGAATGGCTGGAAGTCTTTGGGCAAGGCGCAAGAACTTTCGTCGTAAAGTGGTGGCTCAGTCCACATACTGCTATTTTTCTCATTTCTTTTTTCCAGACGCTCACACAACAGGACCCCATGCGGTCTTTTCCTCCTCGCCTCCTCCGCTCGCTGGGACGTCTGTGCACTTCCAGATACGGAGGACGGGGGGAACCCATCCAGAGCACGGAGTGCTCCGTTTCCATCGTTCACGAGGCGACCAAGGAAGGCTTGAGCGCGACACTCTGCTGGCCTTTAAGGGTGAATCGGATTAACGCTGACGCCCGAAGCCACTTCATTTCCATGTGGCTGCAGATCTCACTCGAGGGCCTTATCTTATCATGCCACACAACTCGAGATCACCGGGGACGTCGAGTCTCGAGAACGTAGGCATGAGGAATCATTTGAACTGATCGGACGAAGATCTCAATGGCGGGAGAATCTGAAGCTGCAGGAAACCGCATGAACTAACACTGAAAGTCAAATCTAGAATGGTTGAACTAAACCGCTTGGCAGGATCTTCAAGCGCCCCATCTCGATGAATACGAAGGTTCTGCGAAGAGGTATTATTTTAGCCGCGTCACGTTGGATTGGGTCCTGGGCGGCGGCCCGGAGCTGGTTTCCGCCCACTTCAAGACATGATTTCCTTCCAAACAAAATGGAATAACAAACTACTTGGTACGGCGGGCCCTCTCATCGAAGAAATTCTCGCGAATATAATCAGTTGAGTTGGCCTGTTTTCTTGTATTCGTGACGCCAGAGTCAACGGGAGGAGCGGGCCCGGGGCGCCTATACGAGATCTTCATAATAAAAACTGAAGCATGGCCCTGTCAAAAAAAGGCCCGGGTGAGGACGCCATTTTGAGTTCCGGATTCCTGGGATGCCTGTCAAGGATGAATGAAGGCTTAGAGCTTGGGCCAGATTTCCGCCTGGTTTCGCAAGGAACCCGTAGCACCGAACCCGTCCCGGTTCCGTCTTAACCCCCCTGGAAAACTAGCAAGGCCGAAAAATGTACTTAAATTCCCGAAATTTGACCGCACCCGAGCTCCTCGAGGCAAATGTCCCCCGTTTGCAAGGCACTTCTGAGCCTGTGGGCAATGAATTCTGCACTGAGAATGCCTGTTAGTTCTGCGGGCTGGAGCTCCGTCAAGCGTTTTCTTTTGTCCATGCAAAACTCCTCTGAGCCACTGATGCCCTTACCGGCCCCAACATGGTTGTGATTGGCCTTTTCAGGAGGGATGGACGTTTTGTTTGGAACCGCACAGCTAGCGCGCGCCACTCAACAGAAGAGTGAGCCAGTTATTGACCCGGCGGCCCCATAACCCCAGATCCCGCGATCTGAACCTTGCATCTCCAGTTGGTGCGATCCCTTTTCCATCAATGTGTGGCCCTCCACCCTTGAATGTGCCAGTGGGCGTTTCCGCAATGCTCCCCGTTGCCCTGCGCCTGGAGGGAAAATCTCGATTCCCAAAGCAGCAAAGCACAGGGTCCATTTTGGGAAATCAACGTCTAGGGTCCTCCAAATGTGGTGTTGGGCTCGATCGAGAACCGGCCAAGCGAGCAAATGCATCACTGATCCAGGCGGACGGTACTCCGTACGGTGTTCCAATTTGAGCCTGTCGCCAGCCGGTCCCACAGGCCCCTATCATGATTGCGGCTCTCCATTCGTTCCCTTTCTCAATCTATTTCAACTTGGGGCCTTTGGACGTCAAAGAGGCGATATGCAGGTATGTAACCATAATCCTATTGGTGAATTTTAATCTTTTTGTATGCCTCCTGGAGTACTTTGATACGGAGGGCGACAGAGTGTGAATTGCTGACCCAGGTGGGCTCTGTTGCAAGATACCTGGTCGGCCCTAGTCTCGCACGGCCCCCGCGTAGCCACGTCCAGTCCAAGTCAACAGCGACGACTCACTAGCACCGCGATGCGTAGGCTGTCTTCAAGGGACCCTTGTTCCGAGTGAACGGCCCTATGCAGTGCAAAAGAATGCTCATAATATGTAGGGCGGTGGTCGGAACCCTTTAAGATGCCTTCTTTCTCTTCCCCTCATTCTTCACTCCGCCTCTGAACCCATGACAGTTCTTGATCGGAGTGTTTTTTTTTGGCTCGTTAGGATCAAATGGTCTATTCAGGTTTACTCACATACTCGAACCCTTCCATTTATCTGCTTTTTCTTGATATTGTGTCTCGTTCTTGGTGGTATCATCTGCTATCTTTTTACTTGTTGTCGAGCTCCCGGACCGTTTCGCAGCCCAGTCATGGTTGTCCTTCTGACAGAAGCAAGCCGCTTGCGAAGTAAGCATCCAGATATCTGTCCCTCAGAGTCGAAAGAGATAGAATCTCTTGCAGACGGCTACTTCTCATGGGTTACCCCTTCAGTATGTGACGCTCCAAACATGGCTACATCTTGTGGCTGACGTTATGACAGCCTATCTCCAGGAATCCAGAACTTCCTTCAATTCCATATACCCATTTTGCATTGATAGCGATTGACGGGAGAGGATGTGTGAGATATCATACGTCACAGTCTCTTGAGAGACATTGCCGCTATATCTTCACCCCGGACCTTAAAGAGCGATTTATCCAGGCCACAGGAACATACGCGAGACCCCAAAGGATAGAGGCTCAACCAAAAAGACGCCGCCTTGATTTGGAAGAAATACCTGATGCCAGCTTTGAAACCGTGGACCGAATTCCGCTTAAGATTGGGGAAGAAGACAAGATCCTTGACTACTATGAATCAGCTTTCCGCGCATTCCAGCAGATTAACTGCCGCCAAATTGCAAAGGCATTTATCAAAATCATCGAACCAAGAAAACAAGTTAAGCACCCTTACAATGGAGGTAGAGGTGCGTCAGGAGAAAAAGGAGATCCAGAAAAAACTAAGCCCGATTGGTGGCCTGCGGGAGTGATCCATAGAGAGCCGGATCACTTAAAGAAGCCCGGTAAGCTCTCACGCATGTCTTTGGATCGAACTCCAAGGCTAATTTAATCGCTGTGTATAGAACGTATTCGGCTTTTAGTCCATATCATCCGAAACCTTCGCAAATCTCATAACATTACGGCTGATAAGCTTGAGGAAGCCGGTAGAGACGTCAAACGCCAAATCAAGCCCCGTGAGCGGTGGGATATTCTTGAAGAGATATATGCCGTTAGGAGGATGGAGGAGAGCTATGAAAGAGACGAAATTGGTGAGCCATCAGATGGGAATTCGTATATGAATAGACGATGGTTAACATTGACGTCAGGCGCCGATGCTGTCGTGTATGTTATCAATCGAGATTCCACCGCCAGAAGTGAACGGGATTCCGAATGTCTATCCGACTCCGGCCATGTTTCACACAAGGAGAGTTACCTGGATAATTTTAATGGATATGCCAGAATGGAAGATACCAAACCAGGGATTAAGTACCCAGTCCAGGAATTTGTTCCCTCCCCCGTGGAACAGATTGGTAACCCCGTTACAACAGATCCCTGGTCGATCCCACAGTCGTCATTCTATCCAGTTGGTTATGAAGCTGCGCCGGCATCAATTGGCGTTCAGCAACAACAGGCCCTTCCACAGCCTTTGACACCAACAACTACAACTCCAGACATGCATATGCGAATGCAGTCCAATTTTGATTTTATGCCACTAGGAGCCCCTTCGTTCCAGCCTGGATCCTTAGGCCATCCTCATCTCCTTCACCATGAGGCCGATGAATCGATTACACACTACAAATAATTTCCTGGACCCTTTCCATCTGGACCTTTGTTCATTCATTTCTTGAAAAGTTTATACTGGGCGGAATTTGTCTACCGAAAATTCAAAGCGCTACAATACCCTGGGCAAGCTAAATATAGGTTGGAGCAGGTGGCGGCTGTCTTGTTTTCGTTTTAGTATTTTCCCTGAGGCTTCTTTTGAAGCCCCGTTGTATTTCTTTAACTCCTTGTATGGACAGTTCGGCCTTCTGTTTGCTTTTACAGATCAGGGTTTTCCAGACCCCAGCATGCATGTTACATGCCCAGCACCTTTTTGAAACCATCTTACAACCACATAATAGGGCATCTCCTTTGAGCCTTTGGCTAAAGCCTCTTAATATGCTTTTCTCTCAACTGCCGTTGATTTATCCCAAAATTACTGTATTTTCACCCTCTCACCGCGCAATACTCTGGAACGAGTGCTGGAACTCGATGCCTGAACAAGTCATGGTGAACCCGGATGTATAGGTCCAAACTTGGAAAGGATTAGTGCTGTTAATTGTTATTAGCACTGAACACGATCCCTTCGAATATCACTGTCCAAAATGTTTGTAACTTGCTTGGTGTGTGATTTGCGTCCGAGTTGGCCGCAATTTTGATCCTTCCACTTCTCGGTTCATTCATTTATTGGCAGCGAATCGGTCGAGGATATCTGTGGCGCCCAGAAGCCTCTAATAAGCCTGGTTTGGTTGTCCGTTTGTTAGGCGGCGGTTGATTGACCTCCCGTTAATCGCTCGTCCGAGATCGAGATTTCAAGCTATTGGCAGGAATCGGCCTTTGGTGATCCTTGTTTCCCGTCGATATCCATGCACTCCTGCCTCTACTCCAAACGCGAGGTTTGTTAAATGTGATCATCGGGCCCATGCGGAAATACCATTAAAACCTCGAGAAGAATGGCCCTGCCTGGGTAAGGAAAAAGGGAGCTTCCCCCCTCCCAGAGGCATTCGGTCCAGTCATCAATCGGATCCGAAATATTTCCTTGTATACGGGAATTTCTTCATAGTATGGGTCCGCACATCTATCTTTCAAGTCGTAGACAGCGGTGTGGGGTGTCCTATGATTTACCTGGAGCTCCGGATTCAGCACTTCATCGTAGGAAGATGAGTCTTGATTGGAAGCGTCATGTTATGTTTCGCCGCAAGATCTCTTCGATAGGTTTTTTTGGGTCGGATAAGATTGAGTCTAACCCCATGAAGCCATGAGATCAAGCAGGTGGTGTGAGTGTGGAACACCCTGGTACTACTGTGGATATACTTAGAGCACTCTTCTTCGAAACCTCTCTGTCTCTCTCTATCAATGAGCTTCCGAAACCCCGGAGTTAGGCGAAGAAGCGGTGCGACATTGGGCATATAGGCACTCCGACAAAATGTCCTTGATACCCTGTTCCTACTATGCTCGGCTGCAAGGGATTTATCGGTCAAGATGCATCCTATTTTTCTATCATGATGAGAAGCCGACAGCATAGATTAATCTGCTGGTTAGATACCTGTCCTTCAAATTCATTTTAAACAGTTACTCTTTCCGTTTCAATATTGGCAAAGCACGGCACTAGCGATTCACTCCTCCATGGAGCCGCGATCTAGTCAAGTAGGACCTACATCCCTGAAGGGCAAAATATAATGATCCATTTCTCGGGGCATCAAAATCATTAGCTATCACTGCACGTAAGCAACGGTTTATTAAGCATTTATATATTTCTCACTCAGAACCGAGGAGAAAATTGTAACCTGCGGAAACACTCCCAACGAATCCGATGTGGCCAGCGGATGGACTGGGATATATCCCACTCACGAAGCATCCAAGGTAGACTCGGCCAATTGTGGTATATAATAGGTACGCATTCTCTTGTAGATGGCTGGAGACTTTCACTAGTCAACCTGTATCCAGCGATAAGGGTGGCAATTACTCCGTACATGAAATGGGCTTGCTCCCGTCTTCCTGCGGTGGTCTTCGCTGATGAGATGAGGTCGAAGGTCGAGGGCATCCTGGTGAGCTTAGCTAATCAGGATTATCAGGTGACCTTTAACTAGTTCCAAACTAACTAACGTAACTTAGCGCCGGCAGCTGAGCTAAGCGTATCTTGTCGCTCGAGCTCGACGTCGCTGCTCGCGAGCAACTCTCCGCCGCGTCCACGACATAGCTACTTGCAAAGGAAATGAGACCCGAGGATTTACTCTGAATAAACTGTTCATATCTCGCAGGCCGGGCCTGTATTTTCCTTTCATTGTAATTTGATATTTTTATGACATCCTTTTCCTCATTCTGTAACCGTCATCCAACTCCATCCTCAACCGGAGCAGGGCTTATCTTCACACTTCGCCCGCACTTAACTAGTGATAAAATGACGAATGTTATCTTTCTATGACTTTCAGGTTTGTTAGATTACGCCCCTATGACTGTTTAATTCTGGATCTTTTGTTGCGTTTTTTTTTTTCCAGCTCCAGTGGTGTAGTACCGCCTTTGAAGTCCTAGCTGAATCCAATTCCCAATCAACAGGTTAGTCGGAGACGGAAGGTATGGTGCAGAGATCCACCGAGCGATGCACTATGCGACATCTGACGACGGATTCATCGAATAGCCCAATCGTTTCTACCTCTGAAACTCTAGCGGTACTCCTTGGTGACCGTTCTCTCGATTCGCCGAGCCTTTCGATAAGATCTTTGATTCAAAGGTCACGCGGGTTGGGACACTGAACCTGCCTGAACTCCAAGTACGAGATTTTCCGTACCGAAAGCGAAGCAATGTCGACGTTTCCTACGGGCACGAAGCGTGGCCTTGGTGCTTCGTCAAGTCGGGGTCGCATGTCTCGCGGCAGCCGGGCGTCATCCAGACAAAGCAATCCCATTCGAGATTCAAATGCCCATGAAGAGCCTAGCATGAAAGCTGGACGCGGGAGAGGAAGCGGCACAACGTCAAGCATGAGGGGGCAACGAGCATCTAGTGCGGTGAGAATGGAGAATGGCAGGTCTTCAGGTGGTCTCTCTAGAGGTACTATTCCCTGGCATTTATCGTTGGGACCTGACACTTTAACCACTAACTGATACCATCCTAGGTATGCTAATTATTCCATTTCCGTAACATCTCCACCTTGAGCAATGTCCCAGCTTAAGAACAACAGGCCTTCGAGGAACCAAATCACAATCATCGTCACCTTTCGGATCTGCGCCAACCAATAGTATATTTTCTATTGATCGCGCAAGGGATCCACGACGCAAACAGGGTTCAGTTCCGCCTTTTAAGCCGCAGAAAAAGGACAAGAATCAGGACTATATGAGTCGTTTCGAAGAGGTATCCCCTCAGCCACTTAGAACCTGCATGCTGCTGATTAGATCTTTCGTTTCAGATACTAACGCTGCGTCAATCCCAGTTAAAACGTGAACGTACCAAGCAACGTACCAAGGCCATTAATGAAGGACTTATGGCAGACCCCAGCCAACCAACGTCCCTAAATCGAGCCATTACTCCTACTGGCGCCTGCACGGATATGTGCCCTGAGTACGAGCGAGTAGAACGAATTGTTCAAAAAATGGTAGATAAAAGTGAAAAGGTTGGGACTTGCCGGTTTTCCCATCGCAGATGATTCTAACTTTAGGTCATTAGTTACTGAACCTAGACACCGGAGAGCTTGACATTGCGGAGACTAGGATGATTAAGAGGTTTCGAAGATCAGCGGCCGGCTATGATGAGCAATTGCCCTCTGATATCAGGACGCCGAACGCCCTCTTGCAGACGCTAAATTACATCCTTCGATACGTGATTAGTGACGATGATACTCTTGGAGGTATCCATAAATTTGTCTGGGACCGAACTCGGTCAATCCGCAATGACTTGTCTATCCAGCAACTCACGCAGCAACAAGACGTGGAAATTGCAGTTAAATGCCTCGAGCGGATAGCTCGTTTCCATATTCTATCCCTCCATTTATTATCAAGTCCCACAAATACGGAACAGTTTGACCACCACCAAGAGCGGGAACAACTTAACAACACTCTTCTCTCGTTATTGTACTACTATGATGATTTTCGAGGGCGTATGGTATTTCCGAACGAAGATGAATTTCGTGCTTACTACATTCTCTTTTCGATCCACGATCAGCGCCCTGATTTGGAAGCACGTGTTCAAAAGTGGCCCCGTGAATTACTACATTCTCCACGAATAAAAGTCGCCTTGGAACTCTTTGCTGCTGCCGGGAATACCTGGGAATATCAAGGAACTCTTGATGCGCGCAGGCCTAATGCTATCGCTCAGGGACTCTATTCACGATTCTTCAACCTGGTCCGTTCAAAAAGTGTTTCATACCTTATGGCATGTATTGCGGAGATTTATTTTAGCCAAGTGCGTCAAACTGCGATTCGATCAATATGGAAAGCCTACTGCCGACAGCCGCTCTCCCAGCAGCACAAAAACCAAGAGTGGACAATAGATAGGCTCACAACAGCGCTATGGCTCGATGACGAAGACCAAACCATTAAATTCTGTGAAGATCAGGACCTCGAACTCGCAACCGATTCTGAAGGACGGCTTTACCTCGATTGGGGGAGTCGTTCAGTTGACTCTGTCGGTGCGTATTCCTAGAAGCCCAACACGCGATACCGACTTTCCACTCCGAGTCTTTCTTCGACCTCAATCTAACATTGAATTGATAGCCTTCCAACCGTCTTCTCAACAGATTTTCTCGGAACGCTTAGTCGAGTCGAAACGTTACGGAAGGACTCAACAAGCTATTATTCTTGGCATGAGCGTTTCACAGGCACTTAAGCATGGGATGATAGATAAAATGCTGCTTCACACAGAATCAGAATCTGCAGCCGTGTCCGCTAAAGGAGACGGAGAACACGGGGGTCTTTTTGTTAGCGATGACGAAGGCGAAAAAGAATTACAAAAGAATCACGACAACATTCCTAATATTGAGGTCCAGGCAGAGATGCCGTCAACGTCTCCCTCGATATTTTCTCGGCCTTTGGAAAGTGGAAATAGCCAGACCTCCACGAACCCATTCATAAACCATTTGACGGGCACATTCCCTGCCGGCTCATCATCTACATCTTCATTATCAGCTAGCGCTCCTCCTTTTGTCCCTCAGGGCTTAACAAACTTCACCAAGGTACGGGCGTATTCTCTTTCTCAATCCTTCTGACTATGCCATTCTTGGTGGACCTGGTGTTTGGACGGATCTATTAGATATTCGGTTCCATTCTTGGTGCTGACCTTTTCCAAATGTAGTCTCAACCAGCACAGTCAGTACCTTCATCGATAGAATTGCGCCTAGACGAAGTCAAACCCCCGGTTTCGAGTAGCCCTTTTCCGTCTGTGTCAATGTCTGGGCCCTCAGCGCCTGTATTTTCTCCCTTTGGTTCGAATTTCGGAAACCCGTTTGCATCGAACCTTACTTCAGCGAAAGACGCCAGTGCTCCCCAACTATCACCATTCCCTGCCAAGAAAGGATTGTTTGGAACCCCTTCCGCACCCGAAACTGTCTCTTTCGGAAGACCAAGTTCATCACCGGTCGTAGCCACGGTTGAAAGCGTTGAAAGCCCTAAGACGCCCCCTTTTGGACCATTCACAAGTAATTCGTCAACAATAG